TATACTCTAACTATATATTAGTATTAGCCTTTATATTAATAGCTTTCATATACTTTTTATCCTTTTATTTAAACTACTCTTACTTTTACTTTATAGTATATATTACTTACTCTATTATAATAGCTTTATTAGGTATCTAGGTAGCTACTACCCTAAACCTAACCTTAAACTAACTACTACCTAGTCTATTATTAAATAATTACTAGCTTTAGATATTAGTATACTATAGTACCTTAATTAGATCTATAGGTTTATATATTATTCTTCTTTCTCTTCCTTATAGATTACTTTATTTATATTTCTTATAGTAATATTTCTATATAACCTATAGGGTACTAACTATAAATAAGTACCTTTCCTTATTATATTCTAACTTATTAGTAATAGGTAGATAGATATATAAAATTAGGTTAATTATTAGTAGTAACTTTTACTATATTAGTAACCCTCTCTAGTCTTTAATTATACTAGGTATATCCTTTACCTATTATACTATATCTCTTTTAGTAGCTACTTTAATATCCTTATAGTATTTTTTTAAATATAGCTTAACCTCCTTAGTAATATATATATAATAGTATATAGTATAAATTATAAATAGAAACTTAGCTAATTTAATAAATAGTAATATCTTAGCTAGGTTTCTCTTAGTTTCTTATAATATAAATACATAGTTATTTTTCTAGCTATTTACTTATTTATTCTATACCCTAATTAAACTTGCTTTTTTTATTACTATAATATAAAACCTTAAACCTTACCTACCTCTTTATAGTCTTTAATCCTAGGTCTATTATAATAACTAATAGTTCTACTAGATATAATAACTAATTTAACCTACTAAATCCTAGTTTCTATAAACTTTAATTAATTACTTAATTTAAACTTTAAGTTAATTATAATACTATAAAAATAATTTTTAAAGGCTAGTAAGCTAGATATAAGCTTACCTTATTATAATAAATTAATATATTTACTTATAATATATTTTATTAATAAAAGCCTATAGGTAACCTAAATCTGTTTAGGTTAAATAGATTTAGGTTATTAATTTATTAGCATCTTTTTCTTTACTATAAGCTTTTAAATAGATCTGCTAGCGAATCCGCTATGCAGCTAGGATAGGCTGTGCCCCCGCAAGTAGTCGACCTTCTCGCCAACTTGGCCAAGGTACTTTAGCCGCCGCCTGACTTTAGTTGATAACTTTTACCTCACTCTGTGAAAAGAATGGCGTTTCACGTTGACAATTGGGTTGGAAGTCGTGTGGCTTCAGACCAAGGAAGTCTCCGTCTCTTTGAGAAGCGAGATATCGTGACTTTGTGGCCTGCTGACGATGACGAAAATCAAATAGAAGAACCAACAGCTTTTTGCAACCAGAGTGACTGCTGAATAGAAGTTGGCATTTACGAGAGATGGTTTGTGCCACGTTGAACACTCCGGCGGACCAGGGACTAGCGATTCTTATGTTACCAGGATTCTGACGCGGTTCTGACGGACATGTCGGTACCTCTTTACAGGATCGTTATTTATACGAATAGCCGACAGCTCCCTACACGCCGCCATCGATTGAGAAGATCCTATTACGTCCGTTGATACTTCTATTTCCCCGGAATACGGCTTATTATAAAAACCGAGCCTTCTAGAGACGACAATTTGACGCTGGGCTATCGCAGATAGCAACACGAGACGCATTGGTCACGCTTACTCCGACACCTGAGTATTGCTAATGGCGAATATTGGTTCATCCTGAGTTTCAATATGCTGTATGCTGAAACGTATATAGACGAACTCAGTACAGTTGCGCAATCATTATTCACCAGCCACCAGCCACCAGCCAAATCCTATCCGCGATAGCCGGTTTCAAAGCCAAAGGTCAACTTCGTCCAGACATCCCAGTCTCATGCCAAGAACTATAGACGACGTTCCCTTCTCATCCCAAATTTTATTTACAACAACCTGTCACTTCTTCTAACATCAAGTCGAATCAGTTCCTACACAGACCAAGTATCAACAACAATAAACCGGTTTATATCCCACTCTTGAATTGTGTTCAAGTTCTCGGCCGCCCTAATGTACTAAGGTAACCAAGAATATCCAACAGTTGACCATAGGGTTAACTTCTTCGGTTCAGACGACATTCTCCAGCTTGATGCATGAAAGCTCGTTATCATGGTCGTGGCATAATGCTGTCAGCGTCAGATCAGACCCGACAGGTCGATGATGCCCGGTCGATGAAACGGTGCTGCGTGTCACCATTGATTACTTGACTAAGCTTCTGGGATTTGTCAAACGTCAGATTTATGTCGATACATTCAACGTCTCTTCCACTGCGATGACTTTATGTATCCCTATTATATGGATTTAGAAGGCTATACGATATAAGCCGCTAGCATCTGAGCTGAATGACCACATGTGATATGCAACTACGTATGGGGCTTGCAGTGAAACCGACTAGGATTAAATTTTACCCAAGTCTATAGGTAGTGCTACGGTTTTAGCACCACCTGATGCGTGTCCTTCTTAGTTGGGTAGAAAGAGAACAGAGTATTATGCCTAGTTCACGCATCTATGAGGTTATCTGCTAATTAAGTACAGATGGGGAGTATGACAGACGGTCTCGGGAGATGCCAAATACTATGCGAGTGGCGATAGGACGGATCCGAAATGCAAACAGGATGCTGAACCAGGTTTTAATCACGTGTGCATGGCTAGACAGGCACTAAACGACAAAAGAAGGGTAGCTTACAGAAGGGACGACGAGGAATGCTACTCTATCAACTTCAGATCGACGGCAATGGGTATCCCAGTTTCTCTTGTACATGCATTAATAACCCAATCATTTCGTATCTTATGTTATCGATAGCCGATACTCCCTATATTTCGATCAATCACGGGACGGCCTAGCCTGACCTTGGAGAATACAGCCATCATCAGAAAGACACCACTTATCTACCGACATTACAGCTTCATTAGACTCACTGGCACCCGATGCGCCCGCATTCTGGCTCGATAGTCTGAGATAGATTAGCCAATCATCAAGTAAACTTAGTCCAAGCCCATGTCACTCGGGATCCTTTGAAGAGCCAACGAAAGCAAACTTCCAACCACTCCAGTAGTGTCGTTAACCTTGGGTCCATAGAAAATACGTTGATGCGTTGATGGCAGGACCTGAAGGAAAGTGGTCAAGAGGAAGCACAACCAAGACAGGTACTCGGAGGCTTGCGTCCGAGCTGGACAACCTTCTTGACCGATATCTACTATTGTTTCCCGCAGTCCAATCCAGTCCTATTCCTTTGCCGAATAACCCGGTCTGCAAGTTCGAGAGTGCTGACAACGTGCAGCTGGTGTATAAGCATCAAGTCAACTGTTGTCTCTTGTACAAGTCATGATACCGTCAGGTATTATTCATTGTCAACAAGCAGAGCGACCCAACTTTGACGATGTAGTCTTTTGCATATTCCCTACCAGTCATCAGGTATCCAAGAAGAGAAACTTCTTTTTGGTTCTGCCCTATCTCAGTGAGCTGTCACTACTCTGGAATCAAATCGGTGCGCTTCCGTGCAGTTACTAAAGCCGAGGAACCCGCTATAACGTCAGTTGATGGTGATAGAAGTCAATTCGGTCAGCTGAGCTAGACTAGCTCGACTTGACAACGCAGTAGATTGATGCTAGACTAGCACATCTTGTCCCTCTCCAGTTATATTGTCAGTTGACCACACCAAAGTATCGTCTAGGTTCACTGCATCTCCAAATCTCGTCATAGTCGTAAAATTATAGTTCTTGCTATAATAGACAGGCTTACTAAACTCAAAAGAGAAAAGAGCTAATCAGGTTGTGCAGATATCATTGTGATGACACCGAATGTAAGGACTAATGTGCGTCACTTTAAGCGGGGGCCATTGTAAGCATTACCGCTTTAGCCCGTAGGTCGTCTCCAAACCATCACGGATACTGTAGACAGCCTCTTTCCGCTGTCACGGGGACTCGGACTCAATTCCTCCGACCTGCCAGAAAGTGCAATACTCAAGTAATCATTGTATCAGCAGACAGGTATTTGGGATCGGCATTGGAATTGATCCATTTGACGATCTCCTAATCATCACCCAACACAAAAGAAGTCATCATATAGACCTAACTTTCCTGTCGCCCTGCCACTTTAGGTGCCGAGGTGTCGCTAATGCAATCCATTTACTACCTAGTCAGAGTGTAGTCCGCTAGCCAATCATATCTCCTACTGCCAGGGTTACAACCTGCATCTTGGGCCGTTCTACACCACTATACTCATCAGTGGTTTTGACTTACTTAGTGTCATTACAGAGGCTTATCACGACATGTCTGACTGGCTACATCTTCTCTAGTCATAGGTTAATAATTTAGAATCTCGGTGAATATCTAGAGCTATCGCTAAGAGATCTAGAAGAATTACAGAGATCTTACAGATGACAGACTAGCTAGGTATACTGAGTGGAGTATCTAGGTCTCAGCTACTTCCCAATTGTCTATCTCTACTTACTTTGTCCTCTTTACTTGTTCTTTCACTTCACAGTTTTGATCTAGCCGAGGGAGTCATGAGATTTGCTTGCTCTAGCCGTTATGCCATCGTAGCCTCAAGTGTGCCATCCTCCAGATTGGCTACTTGCAGCACTCCGCAGCTATGTCAGAACACTAAAAATATCGTCACATGTGGTTACTTGAGATATCATATCTTTTTCATCGTTGAAGTTCGAATAAGATTCAATCACACAGAGACATTCGTCACGATTCGTTCAATGATGCCGAAGCGTCTTGGAGTCCAAGGCGGCGTGGATGGGACACCGCAGGTTCAGTTCTTGATACGTTTCTATCGAGCCATGCGTGCCCTTCCAAACTATATAATAGGGATATGCCTCCAGGTTTGAAAATATTTCTCTCCCCATCTCAAAACCACCAGCTCTACATCACTCCGATCTTCTACACAAACCTCTATTCCAAAGACTGTTTTACCCATCATTATAACCACAATGAAGGACACCAAGGTTCAACTTCTTCCTCTCCTTACCGCCATCCTGGCGGTACCCGTTCATGGAGCCCCCAAGGGCTATACTGCTACCGCTACTGCTACTTTGACTAGTAGCTCTGCCTCTATTGCCTCGGACCTACCTCCAGGCGCTCTGCAGCCATCTGCTACGGCAGTTGCCAACAATGGGGATGGTGATAACTCTGGCAATGGCGGCGGATTCGGAACATGCGGATGCGGAATCTACGGAAGCTTCCCAGGAGGCTACGGCGGCTACGGCGGCTACGGCGGATATGGAATCCCCCCTGGTGCCGCAAATGGCGGAATCAACGGTGGTATCAATGGCGGTGTCAATGGAGGTGTTAATGGAGGTGCCAATGGAGGTGCTAACGGTGGCTCTGATGGTGGCGTTAACGGAGGGGATAACGGAGGAGCAAACGGCGGTTACAATGGTGGTGCCAATGGCGGCTACAACGGCGCCTGGAATGGAGGTGCCAACGGCGGCTACAACGGTGGTGTCAATGGAGGATCCAACGGTGCCTGGAATGGAGGTGCCAATGGCGGCTACAACGGTGGCTACAACGGCGGAGCCAACGGCGGCTATAACGGTGCCTGGAATGGCGGTGCCAATGGCGGCTACAACGGAGGAGCTAATGGCGGAGCCAATGGTGGCTATAACGGAGGAGCCAATGGTGGCTCTGATGGAGGAGTGAACGGTGGCGATAATGGTGGTGCTAACGGCGGTACCAATGGAGGAGTCAATGGAGGTGTTAACGGTGGTGTTAACGGTGGTGCTAATATTCCCGGATATGGACTCCCTGGAGGATACGGAGGCTATGGAGCACCTGCATATGACGGGAAGGGTGATGACAAAAGCAATACCGACAAGGCAGACAAGACCGACAAGGCAAACAAGACTAATAACGACTAAACTGGCAGTTACAATCAGGGAGGAATAGCAGAAACAGAGCTAGGTAGAGATGCTAGTAGAGAAACTTAGGCTGATATTTCCATTCTATATTGTTATATTATTTATTTTAGGTTAGTATATTACTAAGAGCTTTAAACTAGTACACTCGTTCTATAAAAAATTAAAAAAAATACTTATCTTACTTTACTTATATTATTATATTAAACTTATCTTAAAACTATTAATAATAGAATAAGCTAATTAGGTATTAGACTGTAGCTAAAGTGCTAATTATTAGTTATAAAGGTAGTAGACCTTTTAGTTCTTAGTTTTATAATATTTTATATTTAAATATAAGCCTTAACTTTAAGATAAAGGAAGATAAACTTAATTAATAATTTAAAAATACTTTAAAAAGCAATCTATAACTATTAAAGGCTATAATAAGTGAGAATTTATTTATAGGCTAAAGAGTATATATTAATAATACCTGTTAAGCTAGTTTATTATTAAGACCTAAGGTTACCCTATTAGTCTTTCGCAGTTAGTACAGACGGTTCTACGCCTATTGCAGCGGACCTTACGTGCTTAACAAGCAGCGCATGTGTCTAGGGAGGCACGATTGTGCTTTATGCGTGGGGGATTGAGAGTATTATCTAGACTCATAGTGAACAAAAGGTAAGCTGTACAAATGCGATGCAGGATGTAACTGGGAGAAGTGAAGGAAGAATTCCGACGACGCTACCCAGACAATGCGGGGGCTGGGTCTCGCTATACAGCACGCCATAACAGGGATAAATTAGTGTCTAGTAGCCTACGATCGAAAAAAAACGTTTGAACTTGGCAGAATAAAGCTGTATTCAGTGCATTGCAGGCAATAGAAGGCCTACTTATAACCTTGCGACCGTTGATTGAGGACTATCTAGCCCAGACAATTTCCTTCCATTGACCTGTTGCTACTGGCTCTAAATTTCGTTCTTGTGGATGACAGTCACCCCCGCTTCAGAATCCTTGCAATCTCGAAGCCCAGGGTCGGTCTCCACTCTAGCTCCCTTGAAGTTTCTCAGAGGCATTCCGGACGCAAAAAGGTGGTCAATCTCTTCTAGAGAGCGGCCGGATACATCCGGAACACAGAAATAGGCAAATATAATAGAACAGACTGAAATCGAATCAAAAATGAATCCAACGGGCGATCCCAGGGCTGCATAAGGCTTGTTGAGAAGGTATGGAAGAGAGAACGATACAGTGAATCTATCCGTGTGTTAGTCTCTATCCGGCGCTTATTTCTGCGTTCATTGGGTTACTTACTGTGTAGCAATGTTAAGAACTGAGGCGGATCGGTAAGTCATATCTCGAACAGTTAATGCGGGAATTTTTGCGCTGAGAATATGCGCCGTAGGAGCCCACCCCAGAGCATAACCAAAGGTAAAGACCACCATCATTGACACAATACCTGCTTTGATTTGTGTAGAAGGGTCACTGACAGTACCGAGGCCGCCCATGGTCATCAAAGCAGATACTTGGATAGAAGCGCCCAGAAGCAGCTGAAATTTTATCACAGAGTTAGCAACGTGGCTCTGAACCATTACACGGATAATAAATCCTACCTTCGACCCAACTTGTCGGTCAACACCATGGCCAGCAACGACGTACAGCTATTGACGACTGCAATTACTACCGTAACAGTGAACGGGTTGATGGTTCCAAGCGACTTGACGAAAAGTGCGCCGTAGATAGACGTGAAGATCTGTCCTGTGGATTGCAGAAAGAAGCACCTGTCACAACCACGGTACGCTTGCGATGCTGCGGCTTGAAGATGTCCAAGAATGAGCCGCTTTTTGTCTGACATTCCTGCTCGACGGCCATCACAATACCCTGGTACTCTAGTTCAATCTGTTCTTCTGTGTACTTTCCGGCTCGGAGCTGATGCAAAGAGGCTAGGGCATCACCTTTTCGATCCTTGAGGACGAGCCACCTCGGTGACTGAAAGATTTCATTGGTTAGAATGTGCGTTTCACTTGACTTTCAATATGAAGCGAGCTAGAAAGGTGAGATGCATACCTCGGGAATGAACCATATCGTGCAGATGATAAAGGTTGGGATCACGTAGAAGAGACCGTACGGAATCATGTGGGCCGCCATAGGGTGCTTATTCCTCTAGCAATACAGTTCATAGTCAGTCCGCCAATCTAGCCACCGAAGACGATATCAGTATCACATTTAGCCGGCTAAAGAGGAGGGCTTCTCTGTACACCTTCAGAGCACTCAAGGGTCAACGATCTTGAAGGCTACATAAGCCAGAACGAGCTGAACACCATCACACTCACGCCAACAGTCGCAAGGGTCCTACACCCAGAGAAACTGCCTCATGTCAAACAGTGTCTTTTCGGAGGCGAGTCTTTGACACAGAGTGATGTGAAGGCTTGGTTGCAGCGAGGTCGGCGTGTTACCAACTGCTATGGACCAACCGAGGCATGTGTGTTCACCTGTGGTAGAGATATCCAGGTGGAGGCTATTGATACAAAGAGTACGAACATTGGACGTCCCGTGGGAATTAATGCCTGGATCATCAGCCCCATGACGGGTAGTATCTGCTCCATTGGAGCACCTGGTGAACTGTGCCTTGAAGGCCACACTCTGGCTCGCGGTTATCACAACGATCCAGAGAAAACGAGACTATCGTTCTCCACCAGCCTTCTTGACTCTATTCCAGGAAGGAATTCTGGAAACAGGGTTTATCGAACTGGAGACATTGTTCGCTATGAACCTGATGGCACATTAGACTTCCTCGGAAGGCGAGATGGCCAAGTCAAGGTCCGCGGTCGTCGAATTGATGTGGGCGAGATTGAGCATCATATCCAGCATGCTATGGCAGACGATCCATCATTTCACTCCAGCACTGTCCAGCTCCATTGGCGGGACAGGAAAGGGCACGGGGAGCCTGAAATCACAGCGCCATTGAGGATGGATATGCTTCACGACGAGACTGTACTTGAGGTGCCTTGTACGTTGCTCTCAATGACAGGCAAGATCCCTACATCCACCAAAGCCTCACAATTGAGGTACGGATTACGCCGCCTCCTTCCCGAGTACATGATTCCAAGCATCTTTATTGCTGTCGCCCGTTTCCCTACCACTGCATCAGGAAAGCTAGACAAGGAGTTTGCGCAAGGCTGCATCGAATATCTCTTGACGCGAGGACGACAGGAAGCAGAACAAGATGAGATTTGGTCCGTAGCTGAGACCCGTGTTCGAGAATGGTGGTCCACTATTCTCGGAGTGGATGCCAGCCTCATCAGCCGTCATGAAAACTTCTTTGTCCTTGGTGGAAATTCGATACATGCTATCAGACTGGTTAGCCTAGCACGCTCCAACAGCTATCGCTTGCAGTATGAAGACATCTTTTCGTCTCCTGCTCTCGTTGACATGGTATCTCGTCTACTGCCAATTGGTCATGATGATGAGAACAAGCCCGAGTTACTGTCTTCACCCGAACCTTTTGAGCTCATCTCCGAACCTGATCTAAAGTCTGTTTTCGATGCTGCGTTGCTCTTGCACAATATCAGCAAGAATGAGGTTGAGGATGTATATCCTTGCACAGCACTTCAAGAGTCACTCATGGTTGAGACAGCGAGATGTCGCGGCGCTTACATGTTGGTCGAGACTGTTGAAGTCCCCGCTTTACAGGTCACACGATTTCAGGAAGCATGGTTTTCAGCGTTCAAGGTGTACGAGATATTGAGGACCAGGATCGTGCTGAGCCATGGTCAGAAACATGGGGCATGGCAAGTTGTGATGAAGAACCACCCTCTGCGATGGACCGAGTTTCCTGACGTCGACTCTTTCGTTGAGTTTGCCTACGACTCACAGGACTATGGGAAGCCGTTGTTTCAGCTAGAAATCATTGAGGACTTTGACAAAGCCAATAAGCAAGGTAATCAAGACGTGGTAAGATGCGGCTTTTGTATTCATCACGCCGCCTACGATGGGTGGTCTCTGTCAAATATCTGGCAGAGAATCTACCAAGAGCTCTCCGACAGCCCAGCAAGCTACTCATTCAACCATGTCACTCCATACAAGTCGTTCATCCGCAATCTGACTCAACAAACGTCGGAGCAAGCGATCGCCCACTGGGAAGAAAGGTTTGCTGGAATTTCTAACACGCGACTAATCCCCCGATCAAGCCATGTAGAGCATCGTCCATTGGCAACCGATTCAACTCAGAGGACTGTCCAATTACCACGCTTGCATGACCAGAGTCACCTACAAGGTAAAACAACCACAATAGCTCAGGCAGCCTGGGCCTTGACCATTTGCCATTACACGGCCAACAATGATACTGTGTTTGGGACAATTCTTTCCGGCAGAGTCTGCTGCCGCAAATATTTCTGGCATAGAAGCCATCGCTGGTCCGACTATTGTCATGGTTCCGTCTCGTACCCTTATCAACTACGGCTCTTCAATGTCGGATCTAGCGGCCGTCGTGCAGCGCAATAATCTCACTGCTATCCGCTTCTCTCACATTGGCTTGGAACAGATCTCTCGCATCAACCCAGATTGTCGTCAGGCCTGTCAGTTTGACAGCATTTTTGTCGTTCAGCCTCCTTTAGACAAGACGATGGTAACGACATCTACTGATGTCGTTCGCCAGACTGTCGATACAAAAGGGTTCTTCTCAAGTCCTTTGATCGTGGAGGTACAGTTGTCGGCGGATAGCGAGGAAGTGACAGTCACGATGAGCTTCGACCCTATCATAGCATCAGTGAGTGTGTACCTATGTTTTTGGCATGAAAGATAACTGATTTGGTGGGATTTACAGAACCGAGAAGCCGAACTAATGTTAGACACTTACATTACGATTCTCGGCAACCTTTTCCATTCACCTGAGGATACGCCGTTGCAACAGATATCTGCACTTTCTCCAGACCACATTACACAGATTGGCACGGCCAATAGCAGCTCGACCAAATCAGTTCGAGCTTGCGTCCATGATCTCGTGCGGAAGCAAGTGGAATTGAGCCCGTTCCTCACTGCAATCGATTCGTGGGATGGATCAATGACATACGCCGAGTTGGACGATTTGTCAACGTCTGTAGCACAGAAGCTTTCTTATCTGGGCATCAAACCTGAGAGGGCAGTATGCATGCTATTTGAGCAATCCAAGTGGGCTATCGTTGCAATGCTGGGCGTTGCAAAAGCGGGAGGCTGCTTTGTGCCTTTGAATCCACAAAACCCAGTCAAGCGACTTCGGCATCTTGTCCAAACTGTGGACGCTTCAGTAATTCTCACATCACTCCAACACCAAGAACTTTCCACGTCTCTTTCCGGATGCAAGGTTATGGTTGTTAGTCCAAACAGCCTCCCATTACCAATAGCGGCCTTCTTGAAGCCGCCTCATACATCTCGCATACCTGCGGAGCCACACCACACAGCCTACATACTTTTCACCTCTGGAAGTACTGGGCTTCTGAAAGGAGTTGTCATCGAGCACCAAGCTCTCTGTTCATCATTGGTCGCTCTCACAGACCGCATCGGCATGGGAGCCCATTTGCGAACGCTACAATTCAACTCTTACTGGTTCGACGGAATGTTATTGGAAATCTTTGGCACTCTCATCGTTGGCGGAACTATCTGTGGCCTCTCCGAGTCAGAGCGCATGAACGATCTAGCAGGCAGCATTGAAAGGATTCATGCCAACACCATCACTACACTTGCGACTTCTGTATCACGCTTGATCGAACCCAGCAGTGTTCCTTCCCTCGAGACTGTGTGCTTGGGAGGCGAGCCCGTTCTACCCAGCGATAGGGATCGATGGGCTTCAAATGTCAGACTATTGTCAGTGTATGGTCCCACTGAGACTTGCATCATCATGCTAGTTGGAGATATGGAGCGCAACTCGCCAGCCACGTTGCTAGGTCAACCGGTCGGATGCCGCGTCTGGGTCGTGAATCATCTGAAAGACAACGAGCTGGCGCCTCTGGGCGGTATTGGAGAGCTTTTCATCGAAGGTCCTTGTCTTGCTCGATATTATCTCAACGATGAGGACAAGTCTTCGGCAACGTTTGTCTCCGACCAGCCGTGGATGGTTCAAGACCCGCATCTGCTGAAGCCTCAGCGTGTCTACAAGACTGGCGATCTTGTTCGTATGAGCCCTAATGGTACTGTGACCTGGATTGGCCGCAAAGATTCGTCACAGGTCAAGATTCGCGGTCAACGAGTTGAGCTCGCAGAAATTGAAGAAGTCATAAGGCAGCACATTCCCCAAACCATCCCAGTTGCCGTAGACATCTTTGCACCCAGTAACAATGATGAGATGCAGATATTAGGGGCAGTACTGGCGACAAGCAGCGTTTTGCCTGGAGGATCAAGTGATCAGGTGGCTGCTTACATGCAGAGGCTTACCGTTGACCTGATGCCAAAGCTCAAGGGCACACTGCCGCATCATATGGTTCCAAGCGTTTTCATTCCTTTGTCTGATTTACCTTTCCTAAGCACAGGTAAGTTAGATCGGAAGACATTGCACCGCCTTGCTCTACCTTTGGCGGCCGAAATGTCCAAGGGGACAGCTACCACATCTGGTCAAGCGCCAGAAACACCGAAGGAGAAGCTTCTCGGCGATTTGTGGACAGAGGTTCTTGGAAATCAAGACAAGCCAGCGGGTCGCACCGACAACTTTTTCAACGTCGGGGGAAATTCGATGATGGCCATGAGATTGGTTGCGCTGGCAAGATACCGGGGCTTTGCACTGACAGTCGTGGATATCTTCAACCACCCAATTCAATCCAACATGGCTGACATGGTCCAGGCTTTGGATCACGAGGAGGATTTACTGAAAGAAGAAACACAGGACGCTAGTACATTTGACGAGAAGGCCTATAGCCTCTCTACACTTCAGCATCTGTCACACGAGGCCATGCCGATTTGTGTGGACAAGATCGAACAGATATACCCGTGCACCAGCATGCAAGAGATGTTCATGTACGGATCAGAGGCTTGGCCTGGAGCCCACGTCACGCAGTGGATATTCTCACTAGATGCAAGCGTCGACATCCTTACTCTTGGAAAAGCCATTGACCGCTGCGTCGTCCGCTATCCAACTATGAGAACTCGTATTGTACGGAATGTGCAGACAGGACAGCTTGTTCAGGTTGTCCTACGCAAGGGAAATGAGGCTCCGTGGTCTGTTTTCCTCGCTGAAGATGTCGACTCGGCCATGGAACAGGAAAGGTAATGCCATTCGATGCATTCCGGTCTTGGTGAGCCCTTACAGAGGATCTCACTCGTCCAGAATAGCTCGGGCCCTACTCATCTTATTTGGTCACTGAATCATGCCGCTTATGATGCGTGGAGCCTTGGGATGATGCTGAGGTCCATTGGTCAATATTACGCCAACCCGGAAGACGATCCAGAAACTTCTCTACCTTTCAGTGGATTCATACATCATGTCACAAAGGCAAGAAATGCAGGTTCAAAGTCTCGCAGCTTCTGGCAGACTTACTTCTCAGACATGGGCCCACAGACATTGCTCTTTAACTATTCATCTTTCAAAGACCCTCGCCAAGACTGTCTTGCAGTATATCGAGTATCGTTCCCCAAGCGTGAGGGCAAGACTCCTACATCACTCATAGCAGCCGCTTGGATATTGTTAATGGCTCGGCTTACTCATCGCATCGACATCACTATCGTGTACCTAGTCACAGGGAGAACTCTTCCCCTGGGTGGGATCGATACGTGCCCCGGTCCACTCATTTCAAAACTACCCCTGCGTGTTCGACTGCCAACTGAATCCACCGGGATATGCAATGCTGCTGATATTGTACGCACGGAGATGGTGCGGGTCATGCCACATGAGCACACTGGCCTAGATGCTATGCAAAGTCTGACAAGCCAAGACGGTGAGGCTACGCCTCTGCATGCGGCCTCACTGTTAGGTCACTTACCATTCGACCTTGCTATTCATCCAGCAGGCCACACAGACTTTAGTGGCGCAAAGGGCACTGGCATGGCCCATGTGGGGCAGAAGGTTGTGGTACCTCCTCCTGGAACGTTCTCAGCCGAGTGCTCAATTGTGTCAGAGAAGGATAATATTGAAGTGGATTTGGCTATGACCTGGGATTCTAGGGCTGTAGATAAGAAGGGGGTCGATGATATTATAGGACCTTGGAGGGAGATTATAACAGATGATGCTTAGAGTAGTTTCGACTGTGGATAGATCGTTGACTGTATTATTCTTTAAGGACTGCTTGCAATTCCTTGGATCATATCTTTTGCCTTTACACTTTAGTGACCTATCGTTCTAGATACGCATTAAACTCCATGTTTTCGAACGACTTTGTACGTATTATTGTGGGCAACAATCTCTCTATCTAATTTGGGGTTGTTCTTAAGTCAATTGAAGGTAAAGGCATGCCGTCAAAGCCATCGCGTAACTTGAAGCCAGCAGGATATTATTGATATATCTGATATTACTTGTTCTTCCTATCACTACCACTTACTGTGTTACCGGTGCTGTTGTTGGTTGCCGGCGTAATCCCATCATACAGACAATCGATGGTAGAACGAAAAAGTGTACGGATCAAAGACAGACCTTCTCGGGACCGAACTGAAGGGTTAGTCACCGCGTGCTGGTGTGTTACCCAAGGAAAGGATTTTCCTAACAATGAACTAGCCTGATTGATGTTTCGGGCTGCTGATCGTGAGAAGTAATAATCAAACTACAAACCGAGCAATGAACTGCCGACAGCAATTAGCCCCAATTGAGTTGAGGACAGCAGGATGTTATGGATGAATCGGGCTTATTGATACAGCCGGGCGTCGATTATTTCATAACATGGCCCAGACCATAAGTGCGACTCCACATCGCTCAATTGCAGTGGTCTATTCTGAGAATCAGGTTGATTCGGTAAGCCAGACCGCGGGAGGGTCGTATTGGAAGTCCTGTTTTGGGGAAATGCTCTTGTCAATTACATCGTTTGTTTCTCAAGTAATATCTACTCCCAGATTTTCCATGACCGGGTCAGGACGAATGTCTGTAGGGCAAAAGATGGAGGAATGAGCTCATACCAAGTCAGGAGCCGGGCCAAGTTTCAAGTCGTCAGCTTGACCAGGGTGTGTTGTATGATTTCGCAATCAACGGCATAAGTGACCCGGCACTTGACATGACATGTATGGATATTCTGCGCTAACAATAGGAGTCTTAGATAATGCCTTGTTCTATACCAGCGCTAAAAGCCGTGTAGCCGAAAGAGTGGAGTCCAGTTTTGTATTGAGCAGCACTGACCCTCCAGCCAAAGGATCCCTCGGGTCGCAAAGGCTTGTTTACACTAATTCAGATTATTATCAATAGGTCTAGGTAGTAATGAAGGATTGAGGATTAGAATGCCTCGTGTGAAGCTTCCAATAGCAACTGAAAGAGTGAAGTTTAGCTTTAATCAGCAGTACTAATCCTCTAGCTAAAGAATCCTTTAGCTCTCAAAAGTTTGCAACGCTTGTTAGTACCTACCTAAAGCAGTAAAGAATAGGTCTAGGCAGACACAAAGGATTCAGGATCATCCCAACCTCATTTACTAGATGTCATACGACATCTCAGACTAAATCTACTGTTTTCTAAGCAATATTGTTATCTGCAAGGTTGCACTATATAACAAGTCCTCTATCACCTCGTCATGGAAGTTTTTATCTGACATTCGACTCAGTTTTCAAACTCTCTTACTTACCTTGGGAACTATCTTTGCAATGCCCTCTCTTTTCCTCGTTTTAGCTGCAGCCTCGGCTGCCAGTGCCAGCGTTGACGTTGTTTGGCAATATGCGAAAGCATCTCAAAGTTCACTCAGCGTCTATAATGGCACTTCCCTGCTTGCACAGAGCTGCTCCAGCTTTCTCTCGGATGAAACTACCAGTATTGACTTCTCTGATGTTGACGAGAATGGCTTTGGTAATTTTACTGTCGGCCATAAACACTACCTTGTCCACTCGAAGGCTGAGTATTCTGGTGGGCCAATCTGCATCAAGAAGTTCAACCACGAGGCAACTGTGGTTGAATGCTCTGGTGTTAATTGGGAGCCCTCTCCCAAAGTCAAAATCGATCACAACTGCCATTCCAAAGAACACGAGACTGTCTTTCGTTTCCTCAACTCCAAGAACTCAAAGTCTTTTGCCAAGCGAGAGCCAAGCCCGATCAATGATCCCCCGCCCTGCTCAGTTCTGACGATGACTTCACTTGTCGGTGATGGTAAGATAGTAAGACTTCACTTTAGGAACGTTTGGGCTTAAAATAGAAATAGGTGATCCTCATCAGAACTACTTCCACAAACAGCTTTCTGTAAGACAGTTCCAGCTATATTACGAACCAACCCAGATGAATGCTAACTTGGATAAAAAGGAAGTTGTCAGTTGCGGTTCAGCACCTTCATGCAGTGTGGGAAATACCCAGTCGGTATCTTATACCATCGGATGGACTGCAAGCTTAACTCCTGTAAGCTGGATCAGTGGCGGATTCTCTGTTTCCGAGAGCTGGTCGACTGGTAATACCTATTCCTGTACCGGGAGCACTGGTGAAGACGTTTGTGTTTGGTATAACACTGCTCATACCGCTTGTAAGTATCCTTTCTTTTTATTTACTATCTATCGTTAACTGATTTTCAGACACTGTTCAGAACATGCAGCGAGACTCCTGTGCGGTAGGAGGCGGCTGGGATGCTGATGGAGACCCGTTCGTTATGTTTTCACCTAACGCAAATAACCGCGGGGGTGGTTACTACTGCGTCATAGGCACATGCAGAGCTCAGGGTGATAACTATTGGGATTACAGTGGTCGGGCTGGTGGCCCTTAGACTGGCCACTTAAAAGTCTATGCTAGTAGAGTTAATGTCAGGATAAGCTACTTCAGGTAACAGTGGTGCTGTTATCGACCGGCGCTGGTTAAAAGTCTCGTCGAGATAGAGGTCCTTTGAAGTGTACGAATAAAAACCTACATTTCTCAAGTCTATCATCTGGAAGAAGCTGTTAGGTACACCTTATTGCCTGGTGTCTTGCTCCACATTACTTAATTGTTCTTTCTTTGAAGTCTCGATAGGTCCCTTACGCTCGTCTCATGAGTGGGAGAGTTTATTGCCGGGGTAACCCCCACTGTAGCTGCCTATTTAAGCATAGCCCCATTTCCCCACACCCCGCGGACCTCGGCTCATTTCGCTCGGCTGCTAATGAAACTAAGTCTGGGATATATCTTTCTCTTGTGTATTTTCCAAACTATTTCTCTTCCACATACTTACATCAACACATTGTTCAAAGATTCATAGTAATCATTCATCATGTCTGGTCCCGGTGTTGGTTTCGAGTACCCACCTCTTGAGGTCAAGTGGCTGCAGCGCGATGTCCTGCTTTTCGCCAACACCATCGGCGCTACCGCTGATGAGCTTCACTTCCTCTACGTACGTCACCAACTTGTCCAGAAACTTAGCTGCAACTGACAAATGACAGGAGTTCCATCCCAATTTTGCCGTATTCCCTACCTACCCGGTCATCCTTCGTAAGTCTCGCTACCTCACCCGCGGTCCAATCATTAAACCAGCAAAGCCTTCAAGAAGGACTCTCAAGAAGTAGTCGACTACTACAAGGCCAGCAAAGCCGTTCAGATTCCTGATATCCCCAAACTCGACTACACGCGCGTTGTCGACGGCCAGCGCAAGATCGAATTCCTGAAGCCCCTCCCAACTACGTCTGACGGCCGCAAATTTGAAGCCCGCCAGAAGGTCATCGGCGTCTACGACAAGGGCCGCCCGGGCACAGTTCTCGAGACCCAGACTGACCTTGTCGACACTGAGTCCGGCGAGGTGTACGCCCGCGTTATCGGCAGTGGCTTCTTCATCGGCCAGGGCAATTGGGGTGGTCCAAAGGGTCCTGCTACGCAAAACTATCCTCCGCCAAAAGATACGGCCCCTGATGCCACGATGGAGGTTCAAACCACCGCCGAGACGGCGATGCTATACAGGTTGAATGGTGACTACAACCCGCTCCATGCTGATCCTGAGCCCGGGAAGAAGATGGGCTTCGGGGGTACAATTATACACGGGCTGTATTCGTGGAACTCAACAGCTCATGCACTGTTGAAGAAGCTAGGCGGTGGTGATCCTGCCAACATCAAGGAGTACCAGGCGAGGTTTGCCAGTCCTGTGAGGCCGTGCGATAAGCTGATCACGCACGCGTGGGTTACCGGGAAGGAGCAGGGCGGGTGGTCGGAGGTGAGATTCATAACGCAGGTCGAGGGTGGTAAGGTTGTTCTGAGTAACGGATTGGCTTTGATGAAGGTTACTAGTCAGGGTAAGAGTAAGCTGTAGACTTCTTCTTATTAGTTTTCTATACAGAAAACCGATGGTTGTTGAATCGTGGGATAAGGCATGTAAGAGCAAGAGGATGGTTGCAAGGTGTGAATTTCCGTTATATACAAAAGGGCTACTATCAGCACGAATCGAATCATCGTCTGGAAGTCACTGGCTACAAAACTGGCCGGCAACTTCCCCATCCTCCCCTAGTTGTTATTCTTGTTTCATGATATATCATATCCACATCGCTTCTCATTTCTCAGAGCCATCTCCAACCTTGACTGTGCCGACCTAGCTTGGACAGATCATGTTACAGTCCATGAATGTCGGAGCATTCGTTTAGTCGACACGCTCAAGAGGGAAGTCCTTGGGGCCGTCATAGGCCTGGACATCGCCGGTAGGGGTATCACCCTTGACGGTCTTAATATCCTTGTTATGGATGAGGTGAGAGCCCTTAGTGAAGCTGTTGGGCGAGACCTGGACGGATACGGTGAGAGTCAGGCCCTCGTCGCTGCGGACGACGTCAAAGGTTCGTGAAGAAGGAAGGCAGGTGCCAGCCTTGACCTCGCCAAGCTCGCCGGGGCCAGCGCCAGGGACCTTGGCGGTGCAGTCGTAGCCCTCAGTGTCCATAGTTCCGGGCTGGATGACATTGAAAGAGTAGCTATGAGTTTGGTCAGTGGCATGTTCACAGAAGGTTTTTGACGGCGATATGAGGACACATACTCGCACAGGGCGCTGTGAGGGGTGCAGCTGGCGGTGAAGTCGCGGACGTTGAAGACAGCATCGGCGGTAGCACCAGTAGCGGCGGCAGTGGCCAGGACGACAGCGAAGAACTTCATCTTGATGGTTGAAAGTTTGTGGGTAGAGGCTTGAGTTTGGTTGGGTAATTTGTGAAGTAATGCAGGACTGATGAATGAGAGAGTTGATGTTTCAAAAGAATAGCCATGGCCCTTTTATATACGTCAATGATCATGTGGATCCGGTACTTCAATGGGCCTGCGGGTCCGGCAATTATAATGATCTTCACAAAAACCTCGTATTATCTCGGGCGGTGAAGCGGGCCGGTCAATGCAACGGCTCTTTGACCCATTGGTATTTCTAGACCTATTTGTCCCACAGGTGAACTACTAGGATTCGTAGCAAAATATACGAGAATTCGACGACAGAGAAATTCGGTGAGCAGACGCTTAGTGGCGATTTACGTGTAGCTTGATGAGAAAGTTCAACTAAGAATGGACATCTATGTGGATAGATAGTAGATCAGATCGTCAACCTCTTTGATCTCATGTACTCGTAGTCGCTCATCGCCGTGCGGACATAGGTTTCCAGCCTGTCGCCAGCTGTCTCTCCAAACTCTTCCCGCCACTTCGCCGCCTCAACGTCAATATCAACATTACCAGCAACTTTGCCCAGATCGACCTTGTCGCTGGAGTTTAGTGAGCCCAACATGTACTGTACGATGGGAGGCTGACTATCGGTGACCTCTTTGGGAGCTTTCTCCCATTCGAATTGCAGCTTGTTAGGGTCCAGTCCAGCAAGCCTAGCGTACTTCAGCATCAACTCCGGAGAGGTCATCATGTCGTCGGCATCTATAACAAGCGGCTCTTCGCCTCCATTGCTTTGCTGAGCCTCGTAAAATTCTAGAAGTTTCCTAGGCCAGAAGAGGGACGTCTCGATGAGATTAAGTTCTTTGATCTTTCGCTTGAAGCCTTCATGCCTCACCGCACGGAACAGTGAAGGAATCGATACAGCCGGGTGTCGGATGAGAAATGTCGGTCTGAAGGTCCTTAAGAAGTCATCAGAAAGTATAGTCTTGTTCAGCGATGATCGTGTGGTCGATAGGCCAGCCGGATAACCCTTCAAGACCTGTGGCTCCCCGACTGTAGCCCATTCTCCGTAAATGTGCTGGGACTCAAAGAATGGATGATTAAGCAACAAAGCGTGCTCTTTGAACATGACTTTGTCTCCCTCTACTTCTGCATTCTTGATGTATTCTAGAAGATTATTGAAACACTTTTGCTCCATGTCCTCAATGCTTTTCTTCTCCTCGGCTGACCACTCCTTCATAAGATTCTTATGCGCGTCGGTGCGCAGGTTCATAGCCTGTAGCCAGAAGTAGCCATCATTCCAGGTCGGGCGAGCACCCTGTCCCTCGATATTGAGGATGCGCATGAGAAGATGAGAAGCTGTTCGTGGGCCAGTCACAAAAATATAGCGTGCATCCGGCCTGGGAGGCGTTGTTTGTTCTGCAGTCTGTGACATTGAATCTGGGTCTTTGTTCAAGTTTAATTTGAAAGAGTAGAGGGATGGCTTCCTGGACAACAGCTGATCACTGATCATTGTAATCCTCTTTATCCGGAACGCTCGGAGACTTTAGGCTACAAGTGCTTACCTCTCATTATGACGATCCTTCTAACTACCAAGCAACAGTGTCAGGTGGATGTCAGAGAATTGTCCTCTAAGTCTTATAGCGCCAAGTTAAAATATCCTGAGTGCTGGTCTAAGATTCTGTCAGGTAACCAAATTACTTCGTCTCTTGTACTCTTAAAAGGCCAATTCCCCTGACACCCTGACGAGTGTTGTTTGCTTATGCAATATTATGTCAGTACACAAGTACTTATGCAAGTATGAGATGTCCCAAAATACCCCACAGCTACTGTGGAGCATATTCCGTCCTTTGCGCTATTTTTATCTCCTCCAAGTAATCATATCTATTCTTTCCAACGGGGAATTGCTGAAGTTAATACGCTGCAGCCCACCATGTTGTGTGACTTCTGCGCTCAAATACCTTTGGACCCTGAAATCCTTAACAAGCGCGATCATAGCAAGTACCCACTCGGTCCAATTGCTCGAGTCAAGGACAGCTCATGTGCTTTCTGTCGCATCGTTAGTAAAACTCTTTCTGAGGGTAGTTTGGTGACCGGTATCAGAGATGAAACTGGATTAACTTGGATGCCAGGACTCTTTGGTCGTCTCTGCTTTTCGCCGTGACATGCCGAAAATGATACCTGGATTTGCTTCAGATCCCGCGTACAGCCATCGGCTGAACGTTTTTCAATATTTGATACAATGTTCATTGAGCCAGAGACAGCACCTACAGTGGAAACGTCTCGAATGCTCAACTGGGTCTCTTCCTGTGAACGTTTACATGGCTCGACGTGCGCCTTGACGACGGATGTAGCCTTTGACAAGGCTTTTCGTACCCTTGAGGTCCTTCGGTTACTGGATGTTCAAACTAACTGCCTTGTTGAGACTACCAGTCTCGAAAAATATGTTGCCTTGAGCTATGTCTGGGGCTCAGTCTCAAGCTTCCGCCTAACTACGATAAACCGACAAGCACTTCTAATTGAAGGCTCCTTAGAAAAGGTCGTTGAGTCGCTTTACAATAAATGATGCTATGGTATTAACCAGACGTCTTGGTTGTCGATATCTTTGGGTAGATGCCCTATGCTTGTTACAGAATGACACCGAAGATTTGGAGCTGGGTGTTAACTCTATGGATCTTTATACGAGAGGGCCTGGTTGACAGTCGTCGCTGCCTCTGGCAATGACGCTAATGCGGGTTTGCCCGGGGTCAAGGAAGGTACACGAAACACCCGTCAGAATACAGGCGAGATATACCCTGGTGTCGAGGTGGGTATTGTAAAAGGTTTGGATACTTTGCTTAAGAAGTCGGTCTACAACACAAGAGCATGGACGTATTATTTACATCTTACTAAAGTAAAACGCGACAGCTAAGCTAACATGTTTCAGATTCCAAGAACAAGTACTATCAAGACGAGTTCTTTACTTCGTCGATGATAAAGTAATCTACCGCTGTCGCGCAGCGGAACAGGCCGAGCATCTTTCAGACAAACTATCGCAGGATCGCCCTCCATCTGAATCCTGGGGATCCCTCCTTCCAGAGGCCTTGAAGATGACGGAACCGATATTTGATATTACTTTCCAAGCTATTCTTGGACAGGATGGACAGCACAGATGGGATGGAAAGGCTGTGTTGATATAAACAGCCCATTCCATCACGCCGACGAATACACCAACTACCGGCTGCAGAAAAAGACTTGGATCGTCTGGTACAATAGAAGCCCCTCTGGCATTACTAATCTTGTTTGGGACCCAGCTGCCAACCCTTCATTTCCTATCAAAGACATGGAATATAAGGGGTATCGGACCAGAAGTACCTTCGCAGATGGCAGACATGTTCCCTTGCAGGCTCATACAAGGCGTATTTTACCTACTGAACAAATTTCCTTTTCTCGAGATGTGCCATCTTACCCTCTATTGCAGTTCTGGACGCTCTCCTTGGTGTACCACACGTCTGGTATTAGTAGTTCTACAGGCCACGGTTACCTTGAAGATCTGAACCAGAAGAAATGTGGGTTCATATTTCTGGATGTGTACGAAGGAAGGCTTTATCCACATTTTCAGGAAATTGAAGTGGTCCTCCTGTCTGAAGCATATTCGCATGCGATCTTGGATAAAAAGCCAGATCTTTGCGAACCATATTCCTTTAAGCATGCAAGGTACAATCCTAACGACAGAATGACTCGGCACCCTCTCCGTTGGTCATCTTACTATATTATGCTTCTTGAATAGCAGGGAGGAATTGCTGAACGGCGTGGTCTGGGTCTACTCCACCAAAATGCTGTTAACTTGAGTTAGCCCCTGGTCCAATTTGGAAGGAGATCTTTCTAGCGTAGAAATGCAGCTACAGCTGGACAGTATTTTGAGAGTCAAATCTTAATTGCTATACTAAGTGGCGTTTTAAATCTCTGTTGCATTAGTACTTTCTCTCCTATAATGTTGTGTAAAATCATACTCGATACTCGAGACTTTCTAGATAACTGTCAGTAACTGTGCTTTATAGATAACAAACGACCTTTACTGTCACTTACCAAGAGAAATTCCCTCATATCATTCTCATCTTTTTGCAAGTCTCTCAGAATATTAAAGAACTTGTCTGTCTCCAAGACTGTAACAGGATCCGAAGTCGCCACACGATTCAGGTTCTTCATCGATCTTGGATCAACGTATCTCAGAAAGATATCACGTCTGATCTGAGCATACTTTTCCAGGATATCCTCTCCGGCTAAGCCCTTAGCATATCCAATGAAGCAGTCAGCCAATCCTCCGACGTCAAGCACAGCTGTCATGCAACCATAGCCACCCATGGGGTTATTGATGTGAGCAGCATCGCCTGCGAGTAAAATTCGGCCAACTTTGAACTGATCTGCGCAGCGATTGTGGATGTTGTATAGATTTGTCTGTTCGATCCGGTATTGGTCAGGTTCGGGATGACCTGGAAGCATCGCTTTGAGGTGCACAGGTCGACGGTTCAAGTATTCTTCATCCGTCAATCCTGTGACTCGATCTCCGTAAGTAACACGCCATAATCCCCCTTTGCCTCTGCGGGCGATAAGACCCCAGTGTTCTGGGTCAATCATATAGTTTCCTCCATCCCAGTTATGCTTCTCAAATCCATCATAATAGACCTGCTCCCAGTCAATCTTGATATTATTTGCAACGCAATATGGGTAAACTTACATTTTGGACGACGAATCGATATGGCAAGGTCTCTCCCGGCCAATTTCTCCCGAACAACGATCGTCTTACAATGCTTGAGGCGCCATCACATCCGATGATGTAATCAGCCTCGAACTTGGCTTTCGTTGTAGTTTCTCCATCTTTTATATCGACGTCAACCCAAGCGCTCTTCTCATCCTGGCCAACATTCGTCACTGCATGGTCGAATTTGACCTCAATCAACCCACTGTATTTTTCAACACAGTGTTGATATAGGATCTGGATAATTTGACCCAGTGGCAAAATAGTCATTCGATCGGGATGATCTTCGACTAGTGAGAGATCAAGACTTATGAGCATTTCACTGTCTGAGACGCGTCTCCAGCAGATGCTTGGGAATTTTGCAATGCTGGCTTTTCGTATGTCCTCGAGAACACCTGCGCGTCGAAACACGCGCGTGGCTGGGACGCCATACTGGGTTGCCCGCAGTCGTGTGTCGAGATGTGGCCAGGATTCAAGTACAACAGTGGGAATGTTTTGTTGCGCAAGCAGGATGGCTAAAAGTAACCCTGATGGACCAGCACCCACGATGATTATCTATCACGATGTTAGTTATCTATTTAAGTGGTAGATGAGCAATCACCTACTGTCTCGAACGGCAGCCTTGATGAACCTTGAGCCATGGTTAATAACTCGGGATGATTTCCGATCTTGCGAAGTCTGGCTTGCTCAACCAAGTACCTACGTCAAGCTATTATAAGAATTTAGCAGACCCATTGACCTGAAGCCCCCGAATCTTCCGACCCCAGTTGCCGATCTCCGAATGGTCTAGACGCGGGGTTCGAAAGTGGAAAGTGTGGCACACGGAATCCACTTCGCTATCGGCTGTGCGAAGCGGCAACAGACCGGGAATACAGCTGACTGATGACGCTGAAGAATCGGGTAGCTAAATATTCCGAGTCCGGTCGAGTTGACCTCGGTTAGACTCACTGATCCAACACCTTACATAGGTACGTACCTGACCAAAAATAGAACGACCAGCCCGCTTTCGCTTAACGTCCCGCAAATGGCTTAGGTCTCATTCGGAGACCGATGCCCCGTCCAAAACTGCATAAGCAAAGATGTGATTCAATTGAAGTTGAATTCATGTTCGGATTGTTATCATCCGCACTCCAGTTCGTCGACAACTAAGTCATTCGGTACAGTCGGACCCATTACATCAATATTCCGATATTCATGCAAGGAACATTCTAATTTTACCTCACTCAAGAGGCAATCGCCGATTCTCATGACGTCAATACCAAATTACACAAAACTACCCTACAATGACCTCGAGAAACAGCGATGATCCAGCGACCGAAGCTGGACGACAGCCAAAGTCATTAGCGAAGGCATGCATATTGTGTCGGACAAAGAAGGTCCGCTGCGATGCGGCACGACCACAATGTAGCAATTGCCGAACCCAAAGTCGCGAATGTGTTTATCACATTGAAATACCTCGAAAACGGTACGCAATTGATCGTCCGTCGGCCTGGTCGCGCTGACCAAGATGTCTGTAGACCCACATTTTCCCAGATCACCAGATTGCAACGCGACGCGTCTGCTCTGAAGGCGTTTATCGTGACTCTCAAACGTAGTGGCCCGCAAGAACGTGAACAATTACTGTTATCTGCCGTTGATGATGACGGGAACATTAAGTTACCAGCGTTGGCGGACAAAAGCCCGTCCAAGCAAACTCAACATTCCTCAATAGGCACTCCGTCGCGACGCGTCGAAGACCCGGCGATCGTATCTGATGATGAGCTCGACATCGCAAATTTCGTGTCTATTGACGATGCTGGTGAGACGAATAGCTTTGGCCCTTCATCTGCACTGCATAATCCAGCTGGAATTAGTCCGAACAAGACTACACACAGTCGCGCGACACCAATTGAGAATGTCAAGAATAGCTTGATAGCAAACGCTGCTCTGCAAAGACACTTGGAGTATGGACTGCTCAAACATTCCTCCATCGCTGAAGTGCCGATCGAACTGGCGATGCACCTACTCAACCTCCACTGGGATCGTCAACATCACACGTTTCTTCTCACCTATCGACCCGCTGTCATGCGCGATCTGCAATGCTCAGGCCAATACTGCTCTATCTTTATGCTCAACGCCATATTCGCCTGCTGCAGCAAGTTCTCGCCTCGACCCGAGGTACGAGAAGATCCCAATGACCCTTCAAGCGCTGGTCTTCATTTCTTCAACCGATGCGATGAGCTTCTTGCCAAGGATTCTCTTCTGATGCGACCGCATATTACAACCACCATAGGACTTCTTCTACTGGGTTCAACGTACAATGCCCGTGGAGAGACTTCGAAAGGGTGGCTGTATACCGGGTATGCGCTACGAATGGTCTATGATTTGGGTCTACATCTAGATCCTAAGCAGATAACCGATGACCCTGAAGAAATTGAGATCAAGCGACGCGTGTTTTGGGGTGCGTTTGTCTGCGATAAACTGCAGAGTCTCTACATGGGTCGGCCCGTGGCTATAAACCTCTGCGACTCACGCGTGTCACGCGAGTTCCTCGATCTGTACGAAGAGACGGAACCATATCATCTTCCTGTAGTGGCGGCAGAAGCCACTCCCGATTTATCCAAGGGCCTAGGCACAGCAATACCGAGGTACTCCGTATCGACTTTCCAACAATTATGTCTCTTATCTAAGATAATGACTACCATCACCAACCGATTTTATGTGGTTGGGGCTACCTTCTCCAATGCACAGAACAGTCTTCTGAAGATTGAGCAAGCGTTGCAGAAGTGGCGAGAGGACTTGGCTCCTGAGCTTGACTTCCAGCCCTGGCTACCGGAGGGTACACAATCCCAGACTCCAAACATCATGGTCCTGCACAATGTGTACTATTCCCTCATAATCCTTGTTCACCGACCATTTATTTCGGATGGGCATCTTCGCTCAACTGGTACACCTGCACGGTCTTGGGAACAATGCACAAACGCAGCAAAATGTATCACCAGTATCGCATCAGTTTACAAGGCGACATATGGCCTTAGTGGCGCGCCTTATGTTCTGGCATACACGGTTTACGTGGCGTGTACTATACACGTCCGCAACGCGGCTTCACAACACCACAAGGAAGAGCATCTGGATTTGCTAAAAAAGAGTTTGGAATGCTTGGATCAGCTTTGCACTGCGAACCCCGGTGTTGCGAAACCGGCTAATAGTATCAGGCGGTTGATTGAAGCCAACCGCTTGAGCCTGACATCAGGTGAGTCAAGACATGCTTATCGGACTGCACGCGTAGGGTCTGACAGACATTCAGAAGAGGGTAACTCGGCGGCGGATGCAAATATCTCATTTGACCTTGACGCAATTCACAGCACGTTTAATTTTGCCGAATGGCCTTATCCAAACGTGGAGATGACTGCTGGCGATGCAGATTACGGTTTGCCACTGGATCCGTTGTTCGGCTGGATCAATGTGCCGACCCCGTCGATGGATCAAGACACAACTCTGCCGTTTCTGTAGTGAATTCAACATAAGAAAATTGACGGGATGAGCTATAATGTATTGCTTGAAGTTACTTGCATTGATGCATGGCCCTCGCCTGAGCCATAGATTGTTGTCCCCAAGAGATGTCGTGTACAACTAAGCGCGACGCGTTATGGTGTCTTGTCAGGTGTCAGAAGAATTGATCGCCAAGAGACTAAGAAGCGAAATAATCCAGTCACTTTACGCCGGGCTCAGCCCGCGCCTAGACCACTTTATTTTAGTAGTCTAAGCCTGGAAGGACAATTCTTCTGTCACCCAGCTGGAACTCCACCCGGAGACTCACTGTCCGAAAACATGTGGGTCTCGGAGGATGAACTTCCAGGCGTTGATATCACCGCTCGGCAAGGAACAGTATCATGAATTCATAGATATATCAATAGCCATCACTCCATGATCCTCGAGTCCTCAATGAGCTTTCAGTTGCGACATCAATTGAACATCCTCACCAGACTCTCCTGTCTTTGACCTGCAAATCCTTACCCCACTCTCTTACATCATGGCTCCTCTTCCCCAGAAAGTCGGCGTCTTGGTCGTCGGAAGTGGCAACGCTGGTTTCGCAGCAGCTCTTTCCGCCGCTGAGAATGGCGCAAAAGACATCCTCATCATTGACAAGTGCCCCGAAGAATGGGTTGGCGGTAATTCTTACTTTACCGCTGGTGCCTACCGAATCGCACATAACGGTCTTCAAGATTTATTGCCAATCGTCAATAATGTCTCACCTGAGCAAGCCGACAAGATTGACCTGACACCATACACTGCCAAGGACTTTCAAGATGACATAGACAGAGTTTGCATGGGACGTTCGGACCCAGTGCTTGCTAGGGCGCTCGTTGAAAACTCCAATGAAGCAATCAAATGGCTTGCTTCCAACGGCATTCGCTTCCAACTCTCATTCAACCGACAAGCTTACGAAGTTGATGGAAGAATCAAGTTCTGGGGTGGTCTTCATATCAAGACCCAAGATGGAGGCAAAGGTCTCATTGAAGACTACCTCGCCGCGATCAAGAAACGAAACATCCATGTTTCGTGGTCGACAGCGCTCACAGGACTGCAAAAGCGCTCAAAAGATGACAACTACGATGTTGAAGTCTCAATCAATGGACAACAGCGTGTATTCACTGCTGGCGCTGTCATCCTGGCCGCAGGAGGATTTGAGTCTAACCCACAAATGCGAAGTCAATTCATTGGACCTAGCTGGGACATGGCCATGGTTCGTGGAACACCTTACAACACTGGAGAGGTCTTGAATCTAGCGATCCAGAAGTTGGGCGCAAAGGCGGTAGGCAATTGGTCTGGGTGCCATTCCGTTGCTTGGGACGCCAACGCTGACCCAAACACTGGTGACCGAGAAGCTTCCAACGAGTATACGAAATCAGGTTATCCTCTTGGCCTTATGTTGAACGTGGATGGTCAACGATTTGTGGATGAGGGAGTGGACTTGAGGAACTATACTTACGCTAAATTTGGTCGAGCTATTCTGCAGCAACCTGAGCAATTGGCCTTTCAAGTTTGGGATTCTCGAACGATCGACTGGCTCCGAATGGAAGAATATCGCGAGGAACGTGTTGAGCGAATATTCGCCAAGACCATCGACGAGCTTGCTGAGAAGTGTGCTGAGCGCGGTCTTCGAAACAAGGGTGCTTTCGTTGACACAATTCGAGAGTACAATGAAGCTGTATACGCGCACCGTCAAGAAAGCCCCAACGTGAAATGGGACCCTGCCATTCGAGACGGTGTCTCCACCCAGTCCTCCAAGAAGAAGCTAGCTTTGGCAAAGTCGAACTGGGCTTTACCTTTGGATCAGGGCCCTTACATGGCTGTCAAAGTGACGTGTGGCATCACCTTCACCTTTGGTGGTGTCAAGGTCGATCCCGAATCTGCGCAGCTGATCCATGGCTTGAGTGGCGCTCCAGTGCCGAATGTATTTGTCGCAGGCGAAATGGTTGGGGGTTTGTTTTATTCCAATTATCCAGGTGGAAGCGGATTAACGTCTGGTGCAGTCTTCGGAAGGAAAGCTGGTAAGGCCGCTGCAGAGGCTGCTTCAAAAACAGACCAGTCATTCTCGAGCCGTCTGTAGGCACGCTCCAAGCTCAGGTAGCTATGAGTCTAGAGACGAAATAGTTTAGCTGCCCTGTGCCGTCTTGGATAAGGATTTAGTATATATTATTATGGAAAATTGGTTAGCAACATTCAACTTATAAACTTCGATTGACTATTAGAACGGCTATCTATGTCTTCCACTAACATCGCACGTGATTGGTAATGGTGACATGCATGTCATATATGACGAACAAGTATGGTCAATAATCCAATGTTATGGCGTGATAATGTGAGGCATTTCTATGTATGGTTTTTAATGTCGGCTTAGTATCATACACACCATCTTAGAACAGACTTATTGGAAAAGAAGAAAGACCAAGGAAAGCCTCCACGAGATTGTATCACAATGAGAAAGTCAAAAATCAAGTCCGTCGCCATCGTTGGGGCTGGAGCTGCTGGTAAGTAAATTCTCTGCATCGGACCCAATACCATACATATGCTTACACAGTCTGCCTGATAGGTGCTATAACAGCAGCTGCTCTCAAAGCCGAAAGCTATTTTGAGAGGATTCGCGTCTTTGAGCGAAGGGAAACTCCGGGTGGCACTTGGTTAGTACTTGACGTTTAAAGTCGATACACCACTAATATATTTAAGGATTTATGATCCGGACCCAAAAGTCGCGACCACCCATCCTGGAGCTTTGCCGACAGAAATCGATAAACCGCTCGTAATCCCAGACGACTTACCTACCACAGCGGCCCCAAATCAGCAGGAGAGATATGAACATACACCGATCTATCAAAATCTCACGTAAGACGTTACTATAGACCACGATGGCTCAGGTGACTAACTTAGAATAGTACAAATGTTCCTCAAATCGCCATGTCGTTCTCTGATTTGCCCTTCTCTTATGGGCCATTCGTCCCACATTACGTACCTCGTCAGTACATAGAGTCCTACTTCTCAGTCCATAAGACCGATGGATATCTGTCACTCAACACCACAGTAGAAGATATCTCGCAACTGCCCTCGACTTCCAGGAATGACTTGCACTCGTGGAGACTGACGTTGCGCAAGTACGAGCCATTGCGTCAGATTGATATATGGTGGCAGGAGGACTTTGACGCTGTTGTTCTTGCAAACGGGCATCATGCCGTCCCCTGGGTAAGTGCGCATTGTCGAAATTGCAATTACGGTTAAGAGACTGACTCCTTAAGGTCCCTCAAGTTCAAGGCTTAGAAGCATATATGGAAAAGTTTCCGGGCAGGGTGATGCACTCCAAGTTTTATCGCTCTCCTTGGCTATATACCAATAAAAAGGTACTTGTTGTTGGAAACTCAGCTTCGGGTCATGATATTGCTGTTGATCTACTACAAGCCGTTCAGCTTCCACTTTACCAATCACGAAGATCACGTGGAAGACTGGACGGTGATGAACCACCGGCAGGGGTGGAATGGAAGAAAGTCATCAAGGAGTACCGTCTGGATGGAACAATCGTTTTCGAAGATGACAGCGAGCTTACTGACGTTGACCATGTTCTTTACTGTACTGGCTATCTTCCTTCCTACCCGTTTTGGAACTCTGACGCAAACGGGCGCTTGCTATACGACTACAAGAAGAAAAAACTTGTTAATAGTTACTGGCATACCTTCTTTCAAGACATACCAAATTTGGCAGTCGTCGGTATGCCACGAGTCCTTACCTTCAGGAGCTTCGAATACCAAGCCATAGCAATTGCACGGCTCTTCTCAGGGAGGAATGCGATACGTCTACCGTCTAGAGACGAACAGGAAAAGTGGGAAAGTAACAGAGAGAGTCGTTGTATACAAGAAGGCCGCAAATTTCATGAGATCGAATGGGAGAACGGCGAGACATTTAGATGGTTAGATGGGTTCTTCCAGATTGCAGGGTTGGGGACATTGCACGGCGATGGTAGGGTACCGCCAGTCCTGGGGAAAGATCTTATTTGGGCGATAGAGCATGTAAGGAAGTATCCAATACCAGGTAAAGACAAAAGTCATGAGAAAGGAGGGAAACTGGAGTCTGAGGAATCCGAGTGGACGTTAGTTCAAACGTCCAAGAGGGACCCCTTGTTCTTCATCTAAGTAAAGTGGTCAATTTAGACTTAAACGAAGTTACAGGAAGGGGTTAATTTCCTTCAATTCCTATTCGGAGTTCCCTGGTTCTAGTCTTGGTTGCTAAAAAGCAGCAGACCATCTGCTTTTGACCTGCTTTATATCCCACGAAACCCGCCCAGATCTCTCCCTATGGTATATCGAAGACCAATGACCATGAATACTGTTTGCCCAAGGACAAACTCTTGAACAATCCAAAGACGGTGGAACCATGGCGCAGAGAAGAAATTAAAAAGCCTTCTAGGCCACCCGTCTCCCTTGACGGTCTCGATTGCGTCAAGAGGCTATAGAAACTAATCTACATAGGGAGCGAGTTTAAGCTCGATGGCTTCAAACTCGGCCCAGGGAGGACTGCCGCTTGATGTCATGACAAGAGCAGGAGTGTTAATTATCCTACCACGAATCCTATAGAACTTGTCCCAGGTACCAGGAACCGCATAACAAGCGGTGCTATCTGTCATCTCGTCCAAGTGGCATTCACCAGCTGGTGCAGAGCACTTAAGCTTTCGGTCGCGATTTTGTTCACATGTGAGGGGTTCTATTCCAGCCATTTGGCCAGGGGTGCAGAGCGTATTGCTGTTGGGGAAACCATCGCCCCCAAATGAAACACACAGGTATTTCCCCGTGTTGATCTCTCGTACATAGTTGTTGCTGGCTTCGATAGTGAAAGTCAAAATTGGAGGAGAGGGTGTGAACCAGCCGATACTGTTATAGGTAACTGGATCGCCTCGCAGTAACTGGCCGTCGACATCTGAGCCGAGAGCCTTGATATTGAAGGTTGGAATCGGCACAAATGTGTCTTCAGTAGTCGTGGTTGCGTCGGCAGATGTCGTGGCCTCAGCGGTCACAGTGGTCTCGGCAGTTGCAGTAGAGATTGCAGTCTTAGTGGTCTCTATAGCAGTGGAAGCTGAGATCTCAGCAGTAGCGCTTCCTGACTCGGTCACCTCGGTAGAAGTTTTATCGTCGCCTGTAGATGTAAGAGTGATAGACAATTCGACGTAGGTTGTAGTCGTTAGCGCAATGTCAGTACTTATGGTAGACACAGACTCGGTAGATACACTGCCTGGATTGAAATTAGTCAAGACCTTGGTGCCTGATTAGAAAACTTTACTTACTGGGGTCGCTCGATGTTCGACTTCGCGGCTTGCATACGCTTGCGATTGCGATATTAGTGCCAAAGCCCAAAGAGAGAAAAGCAGCGAAACGCATTTTCAAGATAAAAAAGAGTAACAGAGTTGGGCAGGGTAAAAGAATAATGAAATAAGAGGAGAAACAGAGAAACCAGGGATAAATAAAATTCTTCCGTATTCCATATAGGGGTTTCCATTGTTTTTGAGGCTTGGCACTATTGACAATAAGTAAGCTCAGCTGTGCCAATAGTGCAGTTGATAGTTCTCTATTGCGGTCTAGAATGCTAGAGCATTGACAAATTAGTTCACTTGGCATCTTGTTAATTTTAGCACCTATGCGCTAAGGAAATATCATCAAGGCTAAGAGGAGGGTACATGATGCAAATAGGCGGCGCTCAACTGCATTCCAACTTCCAGGTAAATATTAGCAATGCTAATAATAGAAGTCAGGTTCTGTACAGGCAAGGGAGTACCCCGGAGTCATAGCGCTTGAAACGTGTAATTCTTGATGGAAACCTTATCTTCAGAGCGGAGGAGAAAATGATGAGAGTATATAGACTATAGCATCTATGTCACGAGACTAAAAGTGCATGTTCCGCAGGCCCACTTGGACCAAAGGGGTCTTATTCTGTTTGGCTTAGTTCATTGTCAGTTAGGCCCTTACCTTGGGCGAAGTGAGGGCGGTTTACCTAACCCTGTGGTTCGCTCAAAAATGGCCTACCTTTACCCTTTCGCGTTCGACCATCGATACAGGCCTGTCTGATAGGGCAAATGTCTCCCGGTTGGCGTGGTACAGGGATGATTGTACATGTGACTGACAGCAGTGAGCATCCTACTACTAAAAGCGGCGTTTCTTGAGTAAGAGTCATTTATACAAGATAAGACAGCCCTGAACTAACGGAGAGGACTGCACAGAAAGAGATAACATATGTGGAAGCGTGATCTATTGAGAATTGTCATGTCCAGCCAACCACCCCGCTTACTGAACCTTCCCTCTAGAGTCAACAGGCCATATCTCCTCAATAATCCCTTTTCGGTGAGCGTAGTAGTAGTCGTGCAAATTGACAGTCGGATCAATATGGCTAGGGATCATCTCTACCCTGTCGCCTACCTTAAGTGACGGCGTTCCTTCTTCCCAGCTCAACGAGCCATGCTCATCGCCCAACTGGTTGTATCTGTATCTTTGATCTTTGCATTCAGAAAGACCACTATCGGTTGTCAAAGACTTGAGACCCGTGTCGATCGTAACCTGTCTTTCTCCCTGCTTACTCACAACAGTCGCGAGAAGTGACAGGCTGTGTGAATAATATGTCCCTATGGCATTGCGGTAGTCTGCATCCATAAAGATAAATGACCCAGGTTGCAGCTCTGTCACGCCTGGTACCGTCGCACAGAAATCGGCCGTGCCGGTGCCTCCAGTCGTGACAACTCCAATATCGAAACCCTCTCCCTGTAGGGCTTTGGCAGTCTCTGTGAGTATCCTCATTGATTCGAGGCACTGCTTCTTTCGATCCTCAAAGTCGTGAAGATGTTGCAGATGACCCTCATAGCCTTGCAGGCCGATAAGACGCAGGTGCTTAAGAGTCGCAATATGATGCGCCAGAGTGGGAGCTCCTTCGGGCTTGACACCAGTTCGATGCAGCCCGACATCCAAATCAATTAGCACAGATATAGGGTCCTCAATACCTGACTTTGCCAACGCGTCGTCAATCGCTGTGGCAGCATCTGTATCGTCCACAACTATCCTGAGACCCCGATATTTTCTAAAAAGTTCCACCAATCTTCGAACCTTGGTCGGTCCAACAATCTCACAAGTGATGAGGAGGTCTGTGAACCCGGCTGCAGCGATGGCTTCAGCTTCACTCATCTTGGCCACACATCCACCTTTCGCCCCAGCAGCGACAAGCTTCTGTGCAAGGATAGCGCTTTTGGTGGTCTTCAAATGCGGCCGAATGTTTCGCCCAGTCGGAAGGAGTCGATCCATGAGCTTCTTGATGTTGGCTTCCATGACATCAAGGTCGACAATCATGGAAGGAGTATCGAGGTCATCGAGGCTGTCGCCCACTTTAGGTGAGTACATGTCGGCAGTATGAGTCGATTGATTGTCTGTGGTTGGTGAGGAGCTCAGTAGATTATGATATTGAGTTGTATTTTGAGTGAACGTGATTAGATACGCATCGGTGTTACTTCTACTCTCCGGTCTTGAGTCCCACTAACTGGGATCGACACTCTTTGAGGTAACGTAGTAAATTGCGAAGCACAGTGCGCCATTTCCCCTCTTTTGATTTTGGAGTGTCGATCTTCCCTGCTTATCAAAGCGATCTATGCTGCCCCGCTCACAGAAACCAGCGAAATTCGGGGACAGATGGACCGTCTCGCAAACGCTGTGTGGGCACATCGGCCGCTGTAGTCTTCCTCCCCGCTTTGCGGTTCCTGCGCGTGTTATCAAACACCATGAATCCACCTAAAAGACCCGCAATAAGGCATCCACAAGCCCCAAAACAGGCTGTTGTGATAAGAGCCGTTGGATACTTGGGCTTCTCATTTTCGCGAAAGATGTTGCTTGATACGAGGCCCATCAAATTCGCTAAAGGGACACCCACTGATGTCAGGACCACACGGCGTCCCTCGTGGGCTATGTTGTTATTATACCAAGTGGATAGGAGGACCGATGGGGCAGAAGTACCCCAGACCATCATGAAGCATGCATAGTAGGCCAATTGGATTTGTGCCTGGACGTCGGGAATGGCAGCGTAGATGATGAAGCCGATGAAAGTGAATGCAAAACCCAGCATAATAAATGGGAAACGTATGCGCAAAAAGTCGGAGCTGAAGGCCAAGATCAGCAGCATCACGGCACCACCAACATTAGGCGCGACTATCTCAAATTGTCAGTAAGATCAAGTAAAAGAGATAATGATGGGCTTACCAGTGTAAAGATTTGTCTTGATAGTCCCATACCCCAGGCGCTCGATAATTTGCGGCATAAAAAGAGCCACTGATTGAATTGGCACACCCAAGCAAATCTCTATCATGAGGAAGCAGTACGTTGTCAGCTGCTTGAAGATCTTGATAGAGTCCTTGAAGTTGAACTTTTCCTGAACTACCGAAGAAGAATCGACTTGCATTCGATGGAAGGCCAATGCCTTTTCTTCTTCCCCCAAGAATTTGGCCTCGCTAGCTGAACGGGGAAGATACCAAAATGCGAAGGTAGAGAAAAGTACAGAGGCTGCACCCTCGATGATAAAAAGATACCTCCAGACAAACATTTCAGACTCTATCTGAAATACGCCAAATGACAAGAGACCGCTCTGCAATCATTAGAATATGATGTTTGGAATGAAGGAAAGCGACTCACAAAGGCGTTGGCAATATTGGAAGCCGCATAAAAGAGAGCGAGGCGACGTGCTAGCTCACCGCGTCTGTAGAATGTTGTAAGATAATAGATGACAAGCGGAAAGAAACCTGACTCCGCCATGCCTAGAAAGAACCTCAGTGCGAAGAGACCGCCGAAGTTCTGCACGGAAGCAGCCAACAGGGTCATTGACCCAAAGGTGAACATGAGAATAGGGAGGACTCTGGCCGCGCCATACTTTTTGCCGATGATCGCCGTAGGAGGAGCGAAAATGACATACGGAACGAAGAAGATTGACACCAGTAGGTTGTACTGTCCAGGTTTAAAATTGAGATCTGAGAGTCGCATTAGTTCTCGCTGCGTAGACGGGAGAAAATGTTGTACCATCGCTTAGCCCAGCAGTTTGGGCATTTCCAAGATTGCCTTTATCTAGTGCATTGAACAGATCTGGCCACAGGTTAGAAGAGTTAATGGGTATTTCGTGATAGGCGTACACATGATAGCCAAGACTGGCATCAAACGAACATCGAACTTGCGACAAAGCTGACGTTCCGCAATGTGGTCAACGACTCGAGCAGTTTCCCCTTCAGAGACATCGGGAAGAGTGTCGTCAATAAAGTCATCATCTTTATGATCTTTCGAGTCCATTTTATCCATAGGTGACGAATGTGTGGAAGCGGACAGAGTGCAGAGAATAGAGATTGTTCACTGAGTTGAGTGCTTTTCAAGGTCTAATAATGAAGTCTTTCAATTAAAATCCATCTGCGGGGAAGCGATTCTGAGGTTACATGAGTCGAGTAATGATAGGATTGAATGGTTACAGACAAGATATGCTATCAATTGCAGACACTGTACATATCATGTATCGAGATAACACTGACAAGGAACCCTGCAATCTGGGGGTGGGCCACTTCTCACACAGTGCCATGCTACGAGAAACTTGGTTATCTCCCTGTCTCCGCAGTAAAAGGCCACAGTGTAACTGTAACGTGGAACGACGATCCCCCAATCAGCCGAGGCCCCGAAAATACCATCGCATGACCGGTGTCGGCAGCCAGACCCAGAACAGCGGATAATAGATAAAGTTCCGTCGTAAAAAAGTGCACGATATCACAGTTGATAAACTGCGATAAAAAGGAACGTTTTTATTTATTTTATTTTATCAGCGGACAAAGCTCCTCGCTACCCAGTATTCAATCCTCACAGTAGCTCCCAATGAGTAACGAACCTCCATATCCCCTCCACGCGTCAGTGGTCGGCCGGATAGACCCGGAATATGCCGAGTTTTATAACAAACACATCATCGATAAGCAGCAAGTCCATCTTCAACCCATAGAGGCATCGCGATCCAGTGGTGTTCTTATTCCAGGCAGCGGCCCACTGCAACCTGTCGCCAGCACAGTAGACTACAAAGTCAAGCGCAGCGAAAGCGAAGGACCTGACGTGAGCGTCCGATGCTTCACGCCCAACGGTGAGAAGCCAGCAGCTGGATGGCCAGTGTGTGTTTACTATCATGGCGGCGGCTGGGTCCTCGGCACAATCGATACTGAGAATGTGATTGCATCGCATTTATGCGCGCGGGGTAGATGTGTAGTTGTTGCGGTGGATTACAGGCTCGCACCTGAGAATCCTTTCCCTGCTGCTGTGCATGATTCTTGGGAGGCTGTATTGTGGGTCATGAATGAAGGAAAACAACTTCTCGACCTGGACACGTCGAAATTGGCGACAGGTGAGCTTCAGTCCTCATATGGAAAATGCGGGTAAAACTAATCTTATTTTCCCAGGCGGATCATCAGCTGGGGCTAATCTGGCAGCTGTCATTTGCCAACGCGCTGCAGACCGCGGATTCCCTGAGTTTACCCTACAACTTCTCTCTGTTCCAGTCATGGACAACACAGCTGATACGACCAATAACACGTCATGGAACGAAAATCAGAATTCACCGGCACTTCCCGCTTCCAAAATGCTCTGGTACAGAAACCACTATCTTCCCAATAAAGAAAACTGGTCCCATCCTGAAGCTAGCCCACTATTTTGGAATGGCGACTTCTCCAAATTGCCACCCGCTTGTTTCGTCGTCGGTGAGCTGGATGTTTTGCGTACCGAAGGTGAGCAATTTGCGGCAAAGTTACGTACTGCAGGCGTCAAGGTCGACTTTAGTGTAATGAAGGGTCAGCCACACCCGTTCATTGCTATGGATGCAGTTCTGGAGGCGGGGTCGAGGGCGATTACGATATTCTGCGAGGCACTCTACAAAACTATGTATGGCAGTTAGTCCTGCATAGCCTACAATACCCCTTACGACAGGGCTGAGTTGCTTGATCAATAGAGCTTCCAAACAGAGTACTACTAGTTTGAACTGTAACGGGGCTACGGCAGCAAGTTGACTTGTATCTACGATCATTTCCTGCCATTGTTGAGAACACCTTATGTGTACTGCCCCTGAGTTAGCCGGGTTCCCCAGGTAATAACGTATCCGGTGGTTGGTTGGTAGCGTCTTCTTGGAAGTAAGCAGTGATGTACGTGAAGTTCCAGAACGACCTGGGGATTCAGTCCTGGACCAATATCCGGAAGACAGGCTGAACCTAGCATGCTGAAACCAACAACTTATTGGCTTTCAAGAAAACTGCCTTGAGCTTTACGGATAACACGGCATGATTGAATGCCCGGTTAAGCAATATCGGATGAGGCGCAGCACCACTTTCGAATTCTCATTGAATAGTGAATCCTCTCTAGGTGCTGCGTCAGCTTCGTCTAGAGCTTGAAGCAGCCGTTGGTGGGCTCGTATCCATTGGCAATGGCTGTTTCGTGCCACGCCATAATTATCCAGATGTCCTCCCTTCGGGCCGCTTTGAGGCTTGCCATGGACAAGTGAGGACTAGTCAGGGTGGTGGGTACGGCACCAAAATGCCGATTTACGCATTGACCAATCCCGTTGAGAGGCTTGTGTACTAGAACTTCGTATACTTGAAATTCGAACGACAACACGTCGTAAGCCGTCTGACAATATAAAAAGACTGGTCAGGTGCTCTTCGTACCTGTCGGTGTCAACACTACTCTTCAACATCAGACAAAATTACTCCCAATCAATTCATCCTTTACCACCACCACTCTCCCAACATATAACATCCACCTTCAAAATGAAGCTGAACTTCCTCCTCGCCGCTGCTTTCGTTGCCGCCCCTGTTCTGGCCGCTTCGACCACTACCACCACCCAGTATGGTCGCCGCTTTTCTATTAAAGACTTACATACTAACAAGAGACAGCACATCTACTGCTACTGCCAAGGCTTCCTCAAAGTCTTCCAAGGCCGCCGCTGCCCCCACTATGGGCGCTGATATGCTTGGAGTTGCTGGAGTCGCTGGTGTCCTCGCTGCCATGGCTCTCTAGACCTTTTCCTTTAAGCTACTGTACAATTCTTCTGTCTATATCTCTTGTGGAGTTTAGAGAATCATATTACACAACCAGATAGTCTATAATCTAATACTATCATTACTCTATCTATAACAGTTGCCAGATTACCATCTACCCCTGCAGAGGTACTTGTAATTGGATAATAGCGCTGAGTAAACACTTAAAGTTAAGAAGAGGATCATCCAAAAAAAGCGCAACCATCTTCCGCATTACAACCTCCTTCATCTTGTGCCTTGCTTGATGTACCAGTTCCCAAAGCCCACAGGCCTGAGATATATATGATAGCTTCGCATAATCTCTTGCGATAGAGAAACCCAAACACTCGCAGAGATCAACACGACAAGTCAAACTACAGTCAATGGTCTGCTTTCTATGTTATGACATATCGCATACTATGAAGAATGATAGACTTCTGATTATAGGACAATTAGCAGAGTTTATGCAGAGGGACTAAATGAGATCATAGGCGAAGTAGGCCGAGGGATAGTGTTTATTCCTCTAGTTACAATCTGTAAGCTGTTTCTCATAGATACTAATGAATCTTAAATACGCAATATGTAGTCTAAAACTTTCACTCACGCTTCTTTCGACGAACTCGGAAGCGAGGCTTCAGCCCAGCAACCTGAGATGCCACACGCCATAAGTTTTGTGGCGGTGGGGCTAGCGGCAGAATATCATAGTTAAAGATCAAGTATGCCAGTAGAATCTTAAGCTCTGTTGAAGCAAAGAAACGGCCCGGACACGCATACCGACCGTGGCCGAATGGCGTATACTCGGGACTGGTTGTGACCCAGCTGTGCCTGGTCCTTCTTCCTGAAGATTTCTCCGACTTCCCATCACCTATCTCGCTGGATCGAAATGGATTATAGTCGTTCGGATTAGGGCAGATCTCCTCGTCGTGATGCATACCGTAACCAGGAACGTCCTGAATAGTGCCATAAGGGAGATGCAACCCAGTGGGAGTGGTGATACCATCTAGTTGAACCACTTTGCGAACAACTGTGATGAAGTTGCCGTTGTTCAATCGCTGAGACTCGCGCATAGCGGAATCTAATTTCGTCATATCGGCAACGGCACACCTACTCCAACACCCGCCATGGTGGGCGAAGACCTCGGTGATCTCACGCACAAGCTCGTCAATATGTTCTGGTTTCTTGGTGATATTATGAAGAGCATTCATAATGACGAGGGAGCTAGTGTGGATGCTGGAGAAATTATCTATCATCAGACGACGAGCAAGTGCGTAGGGTTGGGAATGTTGCGGATCATCTAGCACCTTGGCTTGTTGAATGAACCACTGAAGAAAGTCGTTGGGCTCTTCAATATTCGTTTCGTGGCTCTTTTGGCGTAAGTCGTAAAGAGACAGCCGGCGTGCCAGCTCTGTCTTCAGAATTCCATAGAACTGTGCCAGGTGTATCCGGTTGGGGATCGTCAGGATTGGGGCCAAGATTGGTCGTAGTGGCCTCCATGTCAGCCGGAGCAACAAGGCAGACAGTGGGACATCCTGAGTGAACGCAAGGCTTGAATCTTGCAGTCTTTTATCTCGGCACAATGGAGCTCCGAAAAACACGCGGACAACAACTTAGGCAATCATGTGCTGCACCGTTGGCATCAGGTCGATCTCCTTCCATTTGTCACTTTCTAATCCCCACAGTTCGTCAACGCTGCAACGAGTCTCGTCTCATATGATTGGGACCAAGTTCCCCGTTTCCCGCGTCAGCTTTGTCGAAATCAGATGCACGTGTAGGCTGTCATGTGCAAGCTTGGATCCGGGAATAGTGTGGTCTGTCTCTAAAAAGTCTGCGAAGAGTTCGTGGGAATTGACGGCCGAATTGGGCTGGTCGGCAAGCCATTGTGCTTCTTGAATAGGTAGAAAAACAAGATCGCCCTGTCCAATTACGGGTAGGATCATGTAGGTATGCTTCTGGGACTTGTACATGGCCGCTAGGGTGGCTTTCAGCCTCAGGGTGTTGCGCCAGCAGGCGCGCGCTTTGGGGAAAAACCATTGGTGGGGTTCAACTCCGAAGACCGGTATACTCTTGGGGAGCTGGGAGGACGATGGCAACAAAGCTGCTTGGATTGCGCCTGAGAAGACATGAATAACAATACCAGCAATAACAATCCGGACTATATGCCGAGTCTCAGTAAGACTATCTGACAAATGCGATGTAAGCATATCTAAAAGCCTGACTGAAGGGAGTGTTGATTCGATATGAGGAAGCAAGACAAATTGTCACTTATCATCGTTGATGGGGATTTCCGTTCCAGCCCATAAGTAACTTATTCCGTAGAGGCATGGGGGTATGTATTCCGATAAGCATCCGCCCGCCTTTCAATAGCCTCAGACGACAATCATAAGTTTGTGATTCCTTCCCTCTCTGGCAAGGTCCCGAGGAACATTGGCTGTTCTTGTCATCTCTTACCTTGCACAACCCTCTCAATTCTGCCTTCTGCTCCCCTCGTTGATCTGTCGTTATCACTGGACACCACGACTGAAGGTAAGGTGCTTAGAAATCATCGAGTCGGTGTTAGTCGGTGCCGATTGATGATTGGATCACAATACAAAGAGGCATGGTGCACACGTATGTGTCCAGTTCAGCCTGTGAGCCATTTGTGGGGGTAGTTACATTTTGTGGATTTCAAGTATGCAGGGGGAAGTGACTTCGATACTGTATAGCAAGTGGTGGCGTTCGTGTAACCAAAAGTGTTGTTTTATTAAGTACGCATTGCAGGCATCTTTATCACCAGATGTATCACCAGCAAACCCCGAGTAGCAAGTGGTGGCTTTGTATTTGTCCACTGGCGGTGATGCAGATTTACATAAACGCGTGTATTATATGTGACATCCCGGCCATAATCCTGCCCGTGTGTGATTACGGTAGCCAACAACAAGTACCTAAGACGCCAGAATCGTCGCTGTTAGCGTTATGACTTTGGCTTCTGTTTTCTGCCAAAACATTCAATTGAGTAAAGCATGCATGAAGGTTTCAAATACTGGGTAGAATTGAGGTCTGATTGAACGTCCTTATTGACAGACAGAACCCAAAAGAAGATTCGTGCCAAACGTTAGCTATAGAGAGGGAGCTCATTCATGTCAAGTCAAGTTCAGTCAAGTCAAGCCGGGGCGGTGCGGTGCGCTGTTCCCTGACAGCTGGGGTGACTCGCATTGGATCTTCCGGTCCCACTCCGTCTTACTTATCGGCTGGAAATACTGCCCTGCCGGCCTTCTTACTTGCCCCAAGGGCAGTTGAGAGTGCAAATTGCGTGGAGACTCCGTCGATACGGTGAACGCTGTTGATGTTCTTGACCAGAGTGATCTGGTAGCAGGTCGCAGAGCCTTGACGGGAGGAGATGGTGGCTGATGCGAGGAAATACTTCCAGATCTGGGCTTTGGTTAGTTACAGCTACTACGACAGAAAACATTCAACTAACCTTGAACCATCTCACTCCGTACTTGGCCGTGACGTCAGCTTCGTTCGCCAGCCAGTTCCGATACCAGCGCCAGATTGTGGCCGAGTAGTGAACGCCAATGGTGTCCACGCTGAGCATCATTAGCATGTCTGTCGTGCGTGCTGGATTGATTGGCAGAGGCAAGCGGCTTACCTTTTGACTTCCCAGCCAGCCCGTTCGCAAAACCCGATATAATACGCGAGTGGCGTAGATGCGTCTGCGCCCGGGAAAACATATTTGTTCATGAACAAGCCCCAAACCAGATCCTCATACTGCCAAGCTTGTCGGATGCCTGCAATCTGGAGATGCATGACGCCGTCATCCTCCAGCATATCGCGACACTGTCGAAGAAAGTTAGTTATCTTAAAAAATACCGACATGCTCGGCCATCTCCAGGCAAGTAATCTTGTCGTATTTGGCCTTAGGCATGTCGCGATAGTCCATGCAGTGAATTTGAGAGTCCGTTACGCCAGCTCTGCGCAGGGTCTCATTTCCCCACTTGGTTTGGTTACGCCCGAGAGTGATGCCCGTTACTTTTGCGCCATAGTTGACACTAGCAAACTTGGCAAGCGTACCCCAACCGCAACCAATATCCAAGAGGGTTTCGCCAGGCTTCAGGGCAATCTTTTCGCACACGACAGCGAGCTTGTTGTCCTGTAGCTGTTCGAGAGACTCCTCCTTGGTCATATCGGAGATGATGCCGGACGTATAGACCATTCGCGGACCCAAAAACCAAGCGTAGAAGTCATCACCACGATCGTAGTGTTCTCGAACTTGGTCTTCATCCTGAGATCGGCTGTGGACGAGGACGTCGGTAGCAAAATTGACAATGATGAATCGAAATAGCTCCCATGTGAATCGGAAAGACGCCCAATCATGACGGTACTCCAGGACTTCGAGGACGTCGCCGTTGAAGTCCGCGTCACCGTCGAAGTATTTGCGCATGAATGTCTCAATTGGAACCTTGTTCCGTCCTTGGTACTTAATCCGATCTTCTTCCTTATGAAAGGTCAAGTAGTGTTCCACAGGAAGGCCTGGGCACTTGACTCTCTCGTTCGCGCGCGGGGCTGTGGCGGAGGCGATGGCCCAGAAGGTGATCAGAATTGGAAGAGTGGTGATAAGGGCGAAGAACACCGTGGTCTTGAACCCGCCACCCAACTTCCATGCTGTGCACGTGGGGACAAGAATCAAGAGAGAAATCAAAAGTCCGTTTGAGAAGGTCTCGTTGCCAGGGCCATCGGCGGGCAGTGGAGGGTTATTGATCGCGGGAGACTAGAATAGATGAGCATCCGAGCAGGAAGGGATCCCATGACAGTCATCGTACTGACTGTTGTGATTTTGACGCCGCAGTCGTGATCAATCTTGAGTGTTAGGGGCACAGCCTTAGGCGTGGCCTTGAATGGGAAGTCTGGTCCGATTTCGTCCATGATGGGATTGTGGTCGGAACAAATCGACGATGGAATGTTTTATATTGTAGCTAGGAAGCGAGGAACAGGAGGATGTGGGCTTGGGAGAAGGGATGACAATCTCTCGAATGTGATGTTTTTCGCCAGAGGAAAAGACAAGCGACACATGTGCGTGTGCGTGAGCGTGACATTAACCCTAGGTCTCTTTGCGCAGGCTTCCGATACTGTGTATATGTGTAACCAACAAAGTACAGGCCTCAGAGATATGAACAGGGACCAGGGGTCGTGCCATTTGCCTGCAGGAAAGCCACGGTCACGAGTGGTGGTGGTGGCGCTTGGCAGTCAGAACATCTGATGTTGAGCATGTACGTATTGCGAAAGGGGCCTACCCCTGGATCCCAACCGTGTCTTGGCGGTTGGCTGGCTGCTATAATCATCCAACTACCTAGTTTTTCGATTGGACGACGAAAATCAGGCTTTTGGCTGATAAACCTAACAGCTGTTGGGAGCTGCCAACACACCTGGATAAGCACCCACGGAAGTTAGAGTATTGAAATTAAGTTGTGAAATGGATGGTTGTCCCAGGCTTAGCAACATATAGTTAGCTTTGGCACGAAACCTTGATCCGTCCCCTCAATTGCCACTGTCAAATGAAACCACTCAAGCATTGCTTTAAGTATGTTGGTGGCGTGTGGTAGGATCATGTGCCGGATCAGACTCAATAATCGTAACATCTCCACAACTTTAGTAACTCTCAGTGACGGTTTATACCTTAAACCTCCCTCCCCTTACAGGATCTCTAATTCCTCCACACCACTACACTTAAGTTAACTCAAGGACAACTAAGCCCCCCAGCGACTGGTTAGAAGATCAGATCAGTGACGCGATCAGGGTCCTCAATGGCGAAGTTGTCGCGGTATGATCGAAAGGATAGTCATAACCTTTCCGCACGTTGTTAAGTGTTTCGGGCGGGGGGATGGCGAAGGTTTGTTAGAAATAATACGTGTTCGAATTCAGAGTCAAGGCGGCCCGAAGCCAAAGCGTGGCTTTGGTTGGCGTGTTCAAAGCTTCCTCTCAAAAGTGTTGTTTTATTAAGTACGCATTGCGGGCATCTTTATCACCAGATGTGTCATAAGCAAACCCCGAGTAAAAACTTCCTCTCGATCACACATGCCGTGACACAACCCAATAGTGTCATCAACAGTATCATCTGCGGGTCATCTAATTATATGATTGGTAGATCTTTAAAGTAGGTCAGATTGAAGAATCATATAATCAAGGCCGAGGGGGCTCAGTGCTAGCGGAAGTTGTTTCCCTGTCAGTCAACTCAATTAAATAGGACAGATTCTATGAGTAAGATTAGCCTCAGAATACGCGTAAACTTATTCGGATTAGGTAAAGCGACTCGTTACGGCCTGTGCCGTAGATAGTGTCGGAGCTTTGCTATTCGCTATTGTTGGAAAGAGTTTTGGGGCGACGCGCGTTAATGAGGGCGGGCTGCCGGTAGCAAGAGGCCAACTCTTTTCACTTCGTGGGACTCCCAGCCGGCCCAATCAGTTGGAGCGTTGGCCAGTCTCGACAGGGTGAAGGCCTGGCTTGCTCAACTCTTGCAATCGGTATCATAGAAGACGTTGGGTTCCTTGCCAGATACAGACACCTTCCTGAGGCGTTCCGCGCCACATATCTGTACTTCTTGGATGAGCAGGACCTCCTCGACTCTCTGGGGTTTGTGTTGGGTCCACGAGCTTCTGTTACAAACAGCACCTCTGACAGGAGCACAACTGCCGCAGAGTAGACTGACGAATGCACCAGGCTCACCATGTCATCGTTGGCATGCGCTCAAAGCTGCCTCCCCTCTCGCCCGTGAACCGCACGGGCTGGAGGAGCTGTTTCAGACAAAAGGTAAGAGTGCCCTTGACAATGGTGGAGATTGTTAACGCCACTAGCATCGTTGATTCGGAGAAACGAAGGGGAGAAGCCCGCTGAGGAATACAAACGATAGCTGTGATCGAACTGACATTAGGCATTGTGTATTAAACTCAATAAATCATGTCTACTGTGAGGCTTCCTATCAGCTCGTTAGTTGGTTGTTTAATCAAAGAATATCGCAAATAGCACCATATAGATGTGTTGTTAGTGTTGTTAAATATTCGCATGCGTGGGCTGGTTTAGGGTAATCTGCTGACGCAATGTGTATTATCTCTTAAACATACGATAAGATAAGATAAGAGATCATTCGGCAAATCGGGTCTAGCGTTTATGTCTGAGACCTTAGGCGCATAGTTGGTGCAATACCGCTAGCTCTACTTAAGTTAATAACTACGTGACAGGATACACGTTGTAGCTAGCTTGAAGGTGTACGAGAAGACGCAGAGATTCATTTACATTATGAAGTCACTAAGAACAATTTGGCCCTGTCACGCGCACTGAAATCAAATGAGTTATGAGTAGTTATCTGTACTGTTGTCCTATCTAGAGCCTTCGTGTGTATAAATAGCACTAATGTCCCCATCATCGATGCACTAAGTCTTCACGGGATCCATCTGAATCCTGCGACGTTGCTGGCCTCTCCAGGTAGTGCATTTCCAAATCAACTTTAACATGAATGTTTCCGCTGGATGCGCCCTCGCTGTTATCCAGCTGCTCCCAATTATTACCCACTTTGCTTCTGTAACTCCCATGTGCGGCCGGCACCGACTGCGAGATGATGATAGCTCTGCTGGTACCAGCAAATGGTGTCACGTGAGCTGGAGAGCTTCCCGTGGATGTCTCGAAATGGAAACGGGAGCTGACAAGTTTACGTAATGGAGGCAAGGAACCGGCGATTATCCCAATTCCTGACTCGGCGGTGGACCAGAGGACAATGTTTGCGACATCATCTGGTCTGGTTAATATGCTACAGAAAGTAATCTTTGAATAAATACTTACATAGGTAATCCTGAGTGTCAAAGAAGGCTTTCAAGTAGGGCAGTCGAATGATAGTACAGAGCGATGCCCTGTTCAAGAGTTAGCCTCACACGACTGAAGTTGAACGAAGTACCTACATAGCAGCCAAGCCAAGAACAATGCTCACAGAAATCTTGGTAGTTCTTCTCATGTTGGACTTGTACAACATAAACACAGGTAGAACGGCGCAAGTCCAATCGGATATAACAGCGCTGATAGATACCGTATAGCCTGTACTCATTATCACCGGCAATAAGCATATTCCACGTTTCTCCCAGTTGGCAGTAATGGGAACGCAGGCCGCAAAGGTCGCAATGACGTTATAGAGCATCGTGACTATAGTGAAGATGATAGTGCCCCACACGATAATGCGATGAAGCTTCGTGACAGCAATTCGCAATAAGGTGACGCAGATGGAGCATTTAAGAGGAATTAACGACATGCTGTATATAGTCTGTCCAATCCACATCCACTATGTGGTTCAGTTAGCAGATACAGGATATCAGGAGCTATGTGAGAATACCTTGCGTCCGTCGATTTGTAAAAACTCATTCAAGTTTTCATCTTTTGTTCCCAAACCGGCATAAATAGCACGAATGCCTGCTGCAGTGAAAGCAACATGTAACAGCTTGCATCTCGTAAATATGGTGTTCCATGCAATACTTATAAAACGAACTTACCCAACCGATAAGCATAAGACCATCATCAATACCGAAAATATGATACCTCAATCGAACAAAACATCGCAGAATGACGACGAAAGCAGTCGTAATAAGGAAAAAGATAAAGATAACAAGCAGAACACGCGCCAGACCCTGGGGTGCCACTGTCCTCAGGCTTTCATCAACCATGGTGATGCGAATGAGATGGTGAAGCCATACTTAGGAAACAGGGTAGAGGAACATGCGCAGGACAGGCATTTTAAGAGTAAGAGCTGTCCCTCCTTTTCAAAATCCAATCTGTCGGACATAACAGAGTTCGCGCCATTCCCCGCGTTTTGACTCCCCAGTACTGAGTCTAGTGAACCTTATCGACTCTGGGTGGTGGGGCAAGAGTCCTGACTCGCAGCTCGATCGCGCTAGCGCTTGGAGTACCCTCATTGAGGTGAGGCGTTGCTATGGCTTATTGGGCTTTCGTCGTTTCTGGTTTGGAGAAGCGTCCCTGGTAAGCCTAGCCCAGCTGATGCGCATCACTTTGTCTTGTTTCAATTTCCACGTCGATCCAAGCTAAAAACCATAGTGAGTTGTCCCCTATGCTTGAGTTCAAGGGTGTTAGGACGGGACTATGATTATGTCAATAGTATCATCTGGGCCCTCTCTAAATTAGCCTTGGGCTGGTATAGCTTAACACAGAATTTTAGTAGTATAGTACCTTATCGAGTCTCGTATCTTATTTCCCCTCCTATGTAAGCTTAGTAGATGACTTACCGAAATTGGCTAGATATGTGCTCTAGTGCTTATTGATGACATATCTCTTGGCAATCTGTAGACCGGTTCTGTGGTTATAAATTATCCTCTGAAGCCCTACTGCAGTGCAGTGCTTTTCAGGTCAGGTCTTCGGAAATTTGACAACATTTATGATGGGTGGTGAGACATCTAGACCAACTGACAAGCGTCGTGAGCCTGAGGTTATATGCCTCGGTTACCAACGAACGGGTACCCTCTCAATGGCTTTGGCACTAGAGCGGCTTGGGTACGAACCAGTGGCGCACGGTGGAAGCCAAATGCTGGGCAGAGAAGATGGTAATTGTCTCGTTCGTTATTTATTGACCTTTCTAACATCCAACACAGCATATATGCGCAAAATATGGGAGATATTCCAGACTCTCGAAGATAAAGAACGGACCCTGAAGGCACTACGCGAAGTCACTATCGGATTCGGAGCTCTCACTGACGCTCCTTATAACTTGTTCGCTGAAGAGCTTTATGAACTATACCCAGACGCAAAATTCATCTATCTGACGCGCGATGTATCCGCCTGGTGGCGCAGTATCGAGCCTGTTGCGAAAGCGGCAAGGACGTGGTGGTTGAGATACTACAATATAATTGCACCGGGATGGCGGTGGTTTATTTACATTGGCGATGGCTTCGTGATTAGGTTTGTCGAGGAACAGCCTCACTACCACATTAACACCTACCGGCCACCATTATCACTGACACTTAATTTTAGAAACCAACAGTTGGGGCTCGATTCCTGGAAGTTGAGTAAGTTACGATGATATCTTACATAGAGTATTTCTCTGAGTATCCGCTTGATACTGACCTTATCAAAGAAACCTTAGAACAACACCAAGCCTACGTTCAAAGTCATGTTCCACCTGAGAAACTTCTTATCATGGATATCAAAGAAGGCTGGAAGCCTTTATGTGAGTTCTTGGGGAAGCCAGTGCCAAATCAGCCCATGCCACACGCAAATGAAGCGAAGTCAATGGAAAAGATTCTACCGAGAATGCTACTTACTGTTTTTGCCGGATGGATCGCAATCTTTGGCATTATCAGCTGTGCCTCCTATCTTGTTTTTCGAGGCTAGAGCGGCAAAGAAGGGTACACCTATAACCACGGATATTTTCCTATAATACTTAGCCCTGCTGTTTCTGATTTAGGTTTAATAATAAGCTGGATAGAGGACAATGGATATGTAATAACCCAGCTTATGATAAACGTTTTAGGTATCTGATTTGACAGTATAAGAAATAGTTTTGTATCACATTAGTAATAATTTCTAACCCTACCTGCTAAAAGACTAGCTGTATCATCTCCTACAGATCGAGTAAGACCTCCATTGCTCCCAAGCTGTTATTCTATTCCTACTAATTATGATCCCGGGCGTGGGACATACGGGAAGCTTGATGTCATCTCGCTTTCTGACTCGCATAGACTCTTCCTCCTGCCATTGAAATATTTTGAAGGATGAAAGACATAAAGACCGATGCTGACGAGAACCATTGGAATAGCATCGAGGACATAAAGATATACCTCTTTAGACTGGAGTTCTCCGTCACGTCCCTCAAGGTACTCGATCATACGGAAAAGTGATCGGACAAGAATGAGCGCACTTGCAACGGAGATGATGCCCATGAACCTTTGCCAACCATAGGGCTGTGCTTTGGACTTGGTGAGAAATAGGAAGTGGAACGATGTTGCTAGCAAAATAAAAACAGTGAAGAACACGAGCTGGACCATTATGCCAGCAATTACGATGCTTTCTACTGTAGTCTCATTCTCTGCGGTATCAACCTTCGCGAACTTCCCGCCGTCTAAAAGCTGTTAGTTATCGCTATTGTGGGGTAACATCATGCAGACGCACCGACCGCTTGTAGCGCAATTGATATTATGTCGCCAGCGAGGAAGCCTTTAGCCAGCCAGTTCGGCTTAAGGAACGAAAACCGCTCCCCTTCTAATTTTCGGATGTAGCGTCCCAGACCCATATAGATTGATGCAGAAAAGCATGTCGGTCCCAGAAGGAGAAGTGAATTTTGCATAACACAAGGAACAAGGGTATAGTTAGGAGACTCCCAGGCACTGACTGCGCGGCTAAAAAAGGCGATAGCCTCGACTGATGAATGGCTTGTTAGTCAATGGTCGGAAGGGGCCGAATAAAACGGCAGACTTACACAGTGTGCCGATTACAAAGGGCACAAAAAACCATGTTCTTGTTCTGATGGTTTGAAAGAGGTGGAGAGCGAATAACAATGTAAAAATGACTGCAAAGACAGTTGCTATGGGAAGGGACGGTTCATAATAATAATAATTGACCATTGTGCTATAACTTTTCGGCGACAGCAAGCGGGTATAAGATCCATACAGACAAACAGGAGTTCCGGCCATTATTGCGAAGAGGCGTTCTTATGTATTTGAATAGGACCTGGAGATACCTCAGACCCAGCATACTTCGGGCATATTCTTTTGAAATTGTCTTGTTTTAAAATACAAAACTGTCAGACATTACGTATATTCCTGTCACGATAAGAACGGAGGAATATTATGATGCACATTAAGTGAGTGTGTGTTTCATTACTACAGATGCTCTAATTGGTTCTCTGAGGGTTACATAATCAGAATGCCGCGGCTCTCGGCAGAAGTTACTTCGGTAGTCCAGATCTGTTTCTTCTTCGCCCTTGCTACAAACAGGCACAGTCAAGCTTTAGGTATAAGCACTACGCCCTTGGATCAAGGGTAGCTAAGGAATGTGTGATATTGGCTGTACTCACTAGTCTGATTCTGCTGAAATTCAATCGTTATCTAAGATACTGGGTGTCTTTCTTATCTCAATTATACTATACCTTAGTTAGTTAGTCTAGTTACCAGTATAATACCCTAAACTTTTCCAGCGGCAAACTACATCACGCCTACCTTCAATCCCATACCAGCAAAGAAAAATAAAACTTGAAGTCTTAGATACAATTAGCAAAGCAATGGTATTTTCTAGTATTGGGCAATGCAGTTCCCTTAAAATAGTGGTCAGTTGATAACATTAGGCGTGCACAGTGCTATTCCATCGTGTACAGTTGTTACTAAAGGATTGTCCTTAAGGCATTCGTTTCTTCAATGGTGTTCGCAAGAGGGGATGTCCAACCACGATTCAGCACCTCATAAGCCGACCCAAAGCTCGAAGCTTTAGCATCCAATTGCAAAATCAGTGTCATTTAAATTATTAAGTGCGTATACTCTATTTATCTGCAAATGGTCATCTAGGTGGTAAAGAAATGAAGGGTAGGTATATCCAAAGTGGACCTGTTTTATAGGGTAGAGAACAGTTGCAAGCAGCAATGATTTGGTGAACACATAACATTAGATGCGCTTCTTGTATGTACATTCAGTTCTCAATTCCAAAGCCCTTTGCTATGATGCATGTCACTACTCCATATCATTTGGGATTAAATGTTGACCAGCCCGGAATTTGGTTATCTCCGACCACCAATACCCGCTAACTTCAATTTATTGGTAATTGAGTTGTGAGTGTGGCACTTTGCAACAATCACTAAATTGAAGAGAAAAGTGGGCATTTTTAACTATGTCTTCAAGTGTAGATAAAGATGTCGCTTTAGGGAAAGCCAACCCCAGCCGCAGTGCACGTACAAAGTGTGCATGCCGCAAGGAAGAGGCATATGCCCGGTAATCTAACGTCCAGTAGTCAAATGCACTGGTGATCATCAACAACAGTGCGACCGCAACTGGCTCTGTAATGGCTGTCAAAGACGTAATGTAGCAAACTAATGGCAGTTCAGCTTGTTTGACTGCCAGAGTCCAGGTCAGGAAAGGCGTCCAGTTGATGATGGGCCGTACAAGGAAACAAAGGAAGAGGAGCCTGGTAATGACATGGCTGGGGAAGAAGTGCTCAAAGTTCGGGGTATGGTTCAGAATCTTTTTTCTCTAGGATTGATATTGATAAGTATTAGAAAAAATTGTCCGACGTTATTCGGAAGCCCAGGAGATTGGTAGGGTTGAAATCAACCCAGCCATCTACTTTCGCAGCCATCTATCAAGAAGCGTCTGCATTCGATATCTTCGAATTCAAACACGAAATGTACCCACGACTCTGGTGTGTGCTTAGCACGCGGGACTGATTGCTACTCTGTCAGTCTCATAGTTGAAATATTTGCCTAATGTTACAATGGGAGCTTATTCGGAAGTTTTCCAACCGGCTCGGACTCACCAGAGGTCTTGGTTTCGGAGCTATCCTCTTGCATAGCTTGGGAACCCATGTGCATTACATTTCGCAAAGTGGCATTTTTCAAGCCCCAGAAACACGATAAGTAGGGTTTAGTGATCAATGCTCAATGTGATGGCCCCGACTGGTATGCTCTTGACCTTGTACTGTCTTGACAATCGGGCCGTTGATTGATTTTGCCTCTAGGATACCAGCCATCACCTGCCGTGTCTCAAAAGTCAAGATTGGGATCTTGAAATTAAGATGGATCAGGAAAATAGACAAATCTTACATAAGCGATGTCTTAATTACCAACCAAGTACAATGATTTCGTATGCGTATCTGGGACAGGCTTGAACTGAAGAAGGAACACCGCGTCTTTGTTGCCGTATTCAGCCCGGTGCAATCTTCAACATGGCAAACTACATACGGCTGCGGCCAAGCCACTGCTTGGTATTGAGGCATCGCGAACTTTGTCAAGGGAATTGTTCGAAGTTTCGGTCTTCTAAAGTATAAATTTATCAAAGTTTCCTCTTGTCCTCCTGTTCTTTTCTTATCATCAATCACCGGTTTACACTTTTATCCACTTATCTACAACTTTATCTCTTCATTGACAAGGTTCTTTTGTGTAAATTCCCTCAATTACTATTGAAATGCATTTCATGTCTACTATTACGTTCTTTACCTCGGCCGCCGCTGCCTTCGGCTTAAAAGGCTGGAGAAAGCCTAATATCGACTCTCTCAAAATCTCTGAAGCTCAGGAAGTCTGCGGACCGGACACATCTGTCCGATGTTGCAACAAGGGCAATAATCCAAACAACAATAACAACAACAACAACAACAACAACGGCGGATTGTTCGGTCTTACCTTTGCCAATGACTTGAACCTATTCAACAGTTGCATCGATCTGAGTTTGGATATTGTTGGAATTCTTGATGGCACCCTTGGAAGGAAGTGCAGTGGGAATGTTGTCTGCTGCCGGAACTTCCCCTTTGCTGTAACGAACCTCACATCCTAGTCTCTATTGACATTCTAACATGTTGCAGGATATTACGGGCCCCATCAACGACGGCCGACCCTGTATCGCTTTAAGCAACCTCCTTTAGGCCTTTCTATCGAGCAAAATCTGGTGGGTGGATGATTCTAGCAGTAGCGACAAGATTTACATGCTGGTCAGACTGGTGCTTTGAATGATAATGGCGGAAACACTGCTGGCATGGAATTGGTAAAGACGTTCTCGCTGCGCTGCTAGGAATGAGGGAATCGTGGTGTTTTGAAAGAGGTTTATAAAGAGCTCTTAAATAATAAGCTTTATGAGGTGATGATATAACTGAAAGACTTGTGCCGTGCTTAATATATAAAATGATTTAAGAAGGATAGCCCGCTGGTGGACTCTACTTTAGCTATGCTGTACAACGGGGAATAGCTTATGTTACAAATACTTACACTAATAGATATAGTACATCCAGATATAGTACTACTATCATCTACTTAAAAAAATCTAAAGACTTAAATCTTGTATCTAAACTTAAAGAATAATATCCTAGCTATTTAGCTACCAGGTATTATATGAAAATATACTAATAGACTTTTTACTATAGCTTATTATAAAAAAAAGGACTTAAAGCTAATAGGTTAAATAAATTTTTTATTTATTCTTAGGCTAAGGAGTTACAAGTTAATCTAATACTATCCAACTACCTTCTCGTAGGACTTTGATGATTCCAGTTCATAGGCATATAGTTAGGGTGCTGACCCTTGGTAAGTGGAGCGTATTTGCCTTCAGCCTCCCTGCTGACCTCTTCAAATCGGTCGGGGAACGAAGGTCTCTGCCAGGTCAGATCACCAGACTGACTTGCAGTCTTTGCAGCCTTCGTAGCCATCAAGCTCAGCGAATCCCAGGGTGAGTGTCCATCACAGCTCAATTCAGGGCCGCCAGCTGAGACAATAGCACGTTCAACACATCCTTCTTTCATAAAGAAAGGTAACGTGAACACGACAGATCGGGTATCTCCATCCTTCCAGTCCCATTTCGCAATGGCACCACATCCTCTCTCTTCGTGCTCGAGGCTGTCACCACCATCGTCGGCCCAATCCTTGATGTTGCTAATCTCAAAGGTCCAGTGGGTAAGGTCATCCCAGAAGTCGCAATCAGCGGTGGGAGTTGGTTCTGGTTCTGGCTCAGGATCCAGGGTTGGCTCAGGGTCAGGTGCATTGGATGTTGTTGGTTGTACCGTAGTCGTTGGTGGTTGAGATGTAGTTGTTACCTCGGGTGCGCATCCGCAAGTTCCGAACAACCCATGACGCAAACATGTAGGCACCTCACCGTTCTGGCAGTCGTTATCGCATGCAGAGTTTAATAAACATAGGTTTGGCCCCGTTGTGGTGGTAGTAGCCTCGGGTGTTGTTGTTGTCGTCGTCGCTATGACAGGTGCCGTTGTTGTCTCCATCTCGAATGTAGTTGTTGGGATGGCAGATGTCGAGAAGGTTGTCGACGACCCTGTTAAAGTTGGACGCTGACAGATCCCATCCGCGCGCGGAACAAGCGCCGTCTCGTCTGTTGTCCAATCCCAGGAGAAGTCAATTGTGTAGCCTGCTGACCTGGCCTTTTGGAACCTGTCCGTCCACTCCGCAACCTTTGCTTCCTGCTCGGCCTTCCTCTCGTCGTCTTCGTCGTATGATGGTAGGTTGTTCAAGTAAACCTGGATGAGAGGGATGATGTTATCCTTCGTGTAAATGGCCCAACGGTTGATCGAATGTTCCTCCTGGCCGGAGAACCGTTGCTCCATGTATGTCTTGAATTTCTCAGCAAAGGACCATTTGCCCATACCTTCATAACAACTGATGCTCTTGTCAAGGTCCAAGAAGGCACTGTAAATTCGCTTGTTTTGACGAATCATCGCTGCAATGAATTCAGGTTCATTGAAGAGCTTGACACCCAAATAAATCTTTTCAATGTATGGGAGGAGGTGGCCGTCTAAAGATTTCGTGACCTCCTCCCAGCTTGAGTAGTCTGGGTTACCCAGCTTCTTGTCAGTCAATTTCTTGACCGAATTTTCTCCAAATGTTGTTGTGATCCCGGCCTTGGGTCCACCATTAAGGGCGCCTTGCATGCCGATAAGATCTCCAAGCCACTTCTTGTCAGAAGGGTAAGCGTCGAATGCCGGCTGAAGACGGTTGGCATTGTTCTTTTCGTCCCAGACGTAGTAATCCAGATCCTCACAAGTGATCTGCGTGCGTTCAAGATCAGGGTTATCCTTGACGCTGATAACCTCCTCATTCAAAATTACCGTGAAAAAGTCCTTCAGAAAGCTTTTCTCATAAACATGATCAGTGCTTGCCGCGTCGGCCTTTTCCATATCCCCATACATGCTGCGGTAGGTGGCGGCATCGACGCGCTTGTAAGAAGTCTTGCATTCGTCGTACACATACCATCGCGAGATGTCTAGCTCCATGCCCGAGAGCGTACCCTTTTCATCTCGTGTGAAAAGCCTAGGCCCCTTCAGATAGCCTGGAAACTTGAGAGATCCCTTGATTGGGCAAAGTCCGGTCTTGCCGTCGGCGCGTAATCCCAGCATATCCTTCTTCGCATTGCCACGTTTCTGCAAGAATTCACCGTCGGTGTCTCTAGCCCATAACTCCGACTCCTCATCGTCTACCACATCTGAATCGGCCGGTGGAAGCTTGCAGGCACAGCTGGGCCCTGTAGGGCATGCTTCCACCGATGTTGTCGATGCTTCTGAGGTGGTTGATGCAGCGAATGTAGTCGATGCACGAGATTGAGTCAGAGACTGCTTGTCGTCATTTGGATCAGGCTCGCCATTACCGCCAGTGCCCCCACCGCTTCCTCCAGTACCAATTCCGCCAGTACCGCCCGTGCCAGTATTACCTCCACCAGTACCACCCCCGCTACCCCCTAAGCCTCCGCCGACAAGTCCGCCGCCAACCCCGGCAGTGGTTGTAGGTGTGACTGCAGGAAAGGTAGAGTCTGATGGGGTAGAGATCTCAACAGGCTCTACAGTACCCGAAAGGGTTGGAGTAGTATCAGATACTGCACTTGGGATTGTAGTGGCGGGGAGATCTGGGTTGGGGGTAGTTGAAGGCAAAGAGCTCTCAAGCCCTGATGGTCTTGCTGTATCAGAAGGTGCATTCTGGTCTGTAGACGGTACAGAGACTTCAGACTCAGTAGTACGAGAAACTGGTTGTTGATCAGAAGTAGTAGAAGAAGGCGCAACGGAATTAGCAGTAGAAGGGATGCCGGAAGGTACAACTAAATCTGACGTAGCAGTGTCGGTAGTAACAGAAGACTCAGGGTCAGATGTAGGTGGTGTCATGGGTAAGTCAGGAGGGCTGGATAGGTCTGGTTCAGACGTGACTATAGGTGTAGAGGATGCGGTTGTCTCAATGGAGCTAGGGGTAACTGCGGCAGTAGGTAGTCCAGATAGGTCTGAGTCGATCCCTGACACCACGGGAGCAGTTTGCTCTGAAACTGCGGACGACATTGGTGTTTGATCGGAAGTGGCAAAGGGAACAGAAGAGTCAGATTGAGACGCTACCAGGGAGATTGACTCTATGTCGGAGGCTTCGACAGGACTCACACTGGGTGAAGCTACTAGAGACTCTGTGATGTCAGAAGTAGACTCGGGCCCAGTAGTGACGTGAGTCTCACCACTGGTCCTGCTTCCGGCCGGAAACGTATCCGTGTTCGAAACAAGTGTACCATGGATGATAGTTGGGTTGATCATCGTCGCCTGAGCCCCATCGGCATCACCACCTTCAGCTACAGCAGATGTACTTTCAGATCCCTCTGAAGTCTGACTGCTAAGTTCTTCATCGGCTCCATGATGGATCAGAGTCGACAATAACGCCGATGGGACAAGATCGGATTGACTAACACCGATTGGTGATACACCAGAAGCAAAGATATCAGAGTTTGTATGGGTAGGGCTTGGAGGCTCAGCCAGGGACAAAGGAACAGATGCCGTCTGGGTTAATCCAGGAGGTATAGAAGCACTGTCATGTTGTTGTATGGAAGAAACAGGGCCATAGGGCTTGCATGGCCCGGCAAGAACTCCAATGGAGAGATGTAAAAGAAGGACTTGAAGCTTCATGTTGCTAATGAGAATGACTGTAGGACCCGAAAGTAGAGGGTCGGTGAGATGCAACGAGGAATGAGTGTATCATTTCGAAAAGAAGTGAGACTCGTGGCGGTATTAAAGAGTCAAGGCCATAGGACCAAGCAACCACGCATGACTATGGATCCATGATGGCCATTGCACGGAAGTCTACGCATTATGCAAGATATCGGGCTGCCCGTAGAAGAATACAATAATAACCGACGATGACATACAAGTAAACCTCTCTTAATGCAGGATCTATGGTATTACATAGCTGGGTCCAAATTACCAGGAGTCAGCGCTGTTGGCTGACAAAAGCAAATTCCATGCCCAAAGTACAGTGGAGACCCATTGGCACTAGAGATTGTTGGGTACCTTACTGGTGAGCCCATCAGAGAGGCCTTTAGTAGACCATGGTGCTTCAGATGGAATGTGACAAGAGATCACTCAAGCCTTCTGCGCGGCGAGTGCCGATCTTGTCGAATACAAAGGTCTTTTGAAAATGTCTTTCGCAACTGAAATCTCAAAATGGTTCAACGAAGTACAGAGATTAGGAATTTGTCTCGCCATAAAGCTGGACCTTGTCTTCATCCTCACTAGGTATCCTATCCTGCCAATTCTTCATCTAAGTTTGACGCTACGCTAGTGCCGCGAGGTGATCTTTGGACCAACTGCCGTTGAAGGTTTCTTTTTTTCTATCATCTAAAGTAGTCTGCGACACACCTGATCCTGCTTATCTTGTGAATGTGGGCTCATTGTTTGAAGTTTATTTGCTATTCGGCAAAGCCGTATAGGTATCGATTTGAGCCTCGTCTCAAGGCTGTAGAACAGACGGGTCTAGTTGTGTAGGTAGCGGAATAATCTTTGTACTTAAAGCCATCGCAAGACTAGGCATCAGACTATTTGGTTTCTGTACTCTTAGCTCCGCTTCTGGGTTCCCTCTCCCCTCGTGTGTCTCTTAATCGGGTTCACATTACGTTGAAAGAGGCTATAAAGAAAGGGTTTTCACAAGGCCTAGACTGGTCTCACTTTTTTGTCTAAATGCTGACATTTCATTTAGGATATTTACACTGAAACAAATTGGCCAGTGCTGGACCCTGACTCCCTTCGACCTGACAGTACGGAGTAGACTAACTTTAGTAATAGGTATAAATTTAAATTAGGTATCTATTAGTAGAGCCCTCATTGGTATGTTGGTTCTGGCACCTTAGTGCTTATGGTAGGTATGTACATTCTCCGCCCTGTGCTTTAGTGGACCTACCAACCAACAGACTTAAATCTGCGTCCCCATGAACCAACACTTCCATTTTTTGCAATGTTGCATTCTTCTTCAACACTACTACATCGCAACCTTTGCACACAGCGCTCACGGGGCTCAGTCATAAGAAAGACGATTCTGCTTGCCCAAAGGGTGGAATAAAACCAACGTCTTCAGGTGATCTTAGACCCGCACTTAGGTTATTTATTTCCAGTAACCTAATCCTTAGATTCTGATCCTTTCCGCCACCATGACCGACCTATATACATATTCACTCCTTTGTTGCGACTGTACACTTTGTGGTATCAAGTTGGATCAAGTTGATCCTTACGACCTTGACGATGAAATATACGCTGAAGTAAGAGGAACAAAACAATGCTCACCCGAGTACACATGTCTAACGTTATACAGTCACCGCCTCGCTGGTATCCCGAATTATGGAAACAGGATAATGTCGTCCTGTCAAGCTTGTCCTACTTCGAGCGCCCAAATCCTTTTAGTGCCATATCAGATGATTCCATTGGCTGCGATCCGGTTTATGAGGATACCGACGAAAGAGGTGCGTTCAGGCAGGTCGTATTGCGACTCAACTCTCCGCCTTTCGAAATCATTCATCCTCAGCGCCCAAACTGGTATTGCAATTCTCTCGACCCCAAGCTCTACTTTATCGTACTGCATGCTCCTTGCTTGCGCATCGCTAAGCTGGCCATGCAACTTTCCAAAACTGCCCACGTTCGCACACTTGGTGATCTATGGTTGACACTTGAACGACGCACTGAAAATGTCGAGCAACTTGAAAATAAACCGACACCTCTTCCCGTCCCATTCATACCAGCAATTCCAGAGGACCCTCCTCAATCCCGTCCAGTGACTGGACCTGTGAAGCTTGGTTTAAGCCGGTATTTTGTTGACCCAAAACGAGTCCTCGGTGCAGTGGATGACGATGATTGGGATGAAGAAGTTCATGGCCCGCCCCTTACAGATCGCTGGGTGAGTGGACACGGCCTTCTAGACTGTTGCAAATCTGATCGGTTTCATAGTGGAACTCGGACCCGGAACATATTCCCAACCTAACGCATAGTCTCCTTTCAAACCTCGACGAGTATAAGCCAACGCCAAACCCCTTGCCCGGTTTCATCGACTATTTCGAGGCACTACCTCAAGAGATCAAGGATCGCATACTGGAATTTCTTCCATATGACATTCCTCTCGAATGCACATACTTGTTAAATCAGTCCCACTGGTTCGCTCTACTTTTGCAAACTCCGTTCCTATGGGACCTCGACCTGGCCATGGTTCACGCTAAGCTCGGTGGTGATACATCAGGTGGCCTAGAGATTGCTAAGCAGTACGACTGGGAAAGGCTTACGCGACAAGTGCTGACACCGATGGATCTAGTCGATCCAGATGTGATGCCACCTTTACCTAGCACCTATGCTCGAGTTGGGCTGGTGGTTCCGCCCGGCTTGCAGAACCGACGACGCATTTGGCAAATAGTTGAAGAAATGCAAGTAAATGACGTCCGCATGAAACCAGGACGGGGGCGGTTTTAGCATACACAATAAAATGGAATGCGATTCCTCCATTTGGCTTCGAATCACACATCTTATTAATGATAGAATTGCCTGGGCCCCTGCATGATATGCATTTAGCAAAACATCATTACAGTGACCAGAATCAAGTTTATCTACATGACAGTACATGCACCATTGAGGTTTGGGTCATTGGAGCCTCTGTTCCGCGGTTTATCCTCCAAGTCCTCCAAGTCCTCCTAGTAAATGAAGTCTATGAATCTACTGCAACTCTCATTAAGGATCTGAGGCACCATTTTCAAATAGTCACCATCCGCCTCAAAGAGGGCAACCATAGTAAGACCAATTCTCTTCTCCTTTTGCTAAAGTCCTGGCCGCTTATATGCTTCGCCGTTAACGGAAACGCCTCATTTGTGTAGTCAACTCTCCAGATTTGCTAAAGGTGACAATCATCCAGCAGGTAACGCCAGGATATTCCAAGGTCGACGTCACTCCGGTACCGAAAACGTCTATTAGAATATCGCCTGTCGCTATCTCTGAAATATCACGTCCAGATATTCCGTATAGAGAGCGTGGGGACGCGGATGTATATCCTTATGGAGTATATTCTTTCAGCACCTCTTGAGGACTAATCACAACGCCTTTTTGCCTGATATATTAAATGTCAGCTCATGTATGCACATACGAAAACATCATATTTTAACCTTGTGGCAGGTGAGAAGACTTATGCTCAAACCAGTGAGGCTTCGAAAGCAACACATATGAATGCCAGATGAGTGCCGGTGCTAATGAACCTAAGAGCAAAATGGATCCGTTGAAGGTAAAACCACTAGCCTCCGGCTGCGTAGTTTGCCAGAGGACAATAGATACAAGGGCGCTCTCAAGGACTGAACATGCTGTGTAGGTTAACTTCCGCTTCGCTGCAGCGTCTCCGGAATCCGCTATAGACAAAACCATGGGTGCTGACATTCCGAGTGTTGCCGCACCGAAGAACTTGAATACAGCGCTCGTACTGTCGGGAACTGACTCTGATGCCACCAAAGAGGATAGCAATCGGGCGGGGAAAAGAATACAACCGAGAGAGAAGACAGTGTTAAGTATTGCTTCCCCACCGAGAGCATGCTGGATAATGGACGGCATATTCGGTAGTAAATAATGTGAATAGAGAATATCTTTACTTTCGATCTGGAGCGAACTGTTGAACTTGGATAGATGTAGGAACCTATGCGGCGGGTGACAGGCGGCTTTATATACCCAGGGCGATAGGTGTGCATGGGAGTTCGTTCAGACATAACGCTAACGGTGGGTACGTTCGGAAGGCCATAACGGCATAACTCTTAAGCATAACAGGAATAGGGAGGGCCCCACTATGATTACTCCGAAACAACTCGAAAGTCCGCATCCAGCTGGGAGGAAGAGGAGCAATCCCCGCGTGGAGTTTGAACATAATAAAATATGTAAAACATACTAGGGACCGCACAAAAAAAAACATCACCTATCTTGTAAGTGTCAGGCTTGGTGCGATTGACTATGGAGATTTTTCAGGTCGTTTACGGTTTCTGCAATGACGCTGTTGAGGTCTTCGCATGCAACGACTATTTAAAGACCTTGTGTGTAAGGTCGAAGGTCTGCCTAGTTGATTCAGTCCTTATATATCCTGACCTTGTAGTCGTCTAGCCATTTGTCCTCGATAATAACGAGCTGAGAAGCCTGAACCTTTTTCAAGTACTCATCTTCCGGAGTATCCTTGTAGTCCTCCCTATCAATATCCACGAATCCCTCTTTTGCAACTGACCGAGGCGTTATCATCAAGGACCGCCCTATTATAGCTGTTAGCATGTGGAAATTTCAAATGGCGGATAGGCTTCTTACCGTTAATTGTCCTATCAGTAGCAATTCGCAACATGCAGCTAGAAACATCCTTCTGCTCCCCAAATTCGACGCCATGATCGATGAGCCATTTTTCATACTCTGCTGTTCGGATAGCACTCTTTATCCAGCATGGCGCAACATAGTTAATTCGGATGTTTTGCTCATGGCTGGATCTTCGAACTGTTCTCATGAAACCACGCAGTCCATATTTCGTCGCAGTGTACTCCCAGTTGCCCTGTCATAAGTCAATCAGCTTGCTCTATGAGGTCTCGGTGGCGACTTACTGGGGAGTCTATCCATGCCACCATACTGCCTGTTATGATGAAGCAACGATCCCGCTCTTCATTGACCGGCTGCTTACGGAAGTAATGAACGGCTAGCTTCCAGGTGTAGAATGTGCCATCTATATTGACCCGGACAATATTGAGGTCAGGTTTTGTTGGCTCGCCTTCGGGATCTAGGTCCTTCGGTCAGTGTCAAACCCATCATCGCAAAGTTGCGCGTAAACTTACCATCCAAGTTCCACAAACTGTCGCCAGAGCTCCGACTAATGCCAGCATTGGCAATCACAACGTCGACGCTGTTACTAGGGCTCTGGCTTTTTGCCTTCTCAAAAACTGTCTTTTGTTGATCCCAATCTCTGATGTCGCATTTCACGAAAGCGCAGGTTATCCCGCTAGCATTAAGTTCCGCTTCAATTCCATGGCCACGCTCCTCGTTGACATCAGCAAAAGTAACGTAGGCACCAGCGGCGACAAAGTCTCTCACAAAGGCTTCGCCCATACCGTTGGCGCCTCCTGTTACAATGACTGACTTTCCACGCACATTCTCAAGTTGAGGAGTGGCTGTGTGATCTGCTGGACCATTATAGGAATAACGATTTACTGTCATGGTGGTGTGTGCGAGTATTGCGATGCGGTGTGTGTATTAGCTTGTGCGGTAAACTGTAGAAAGAATTAGTCAGGAGAATTGAGATCAATGGCAAAACTCTGACTAGATATAATAAGGAAGAACTAAATCCGCTTACCTTTCATTTCTCTACAAGGATTCAAAGTCCGAGTTCGGTTACAACTTATAGGTATCGTTTACCAACCCCGCACTCGGCGACCGGCAATCCCAATTGGGGTAGCCGCAGCGAGAGCCAAGCATGCACCATGCTCTCAATGCCGGATGCACTCGAGTGAGAAGTGAGAAGCTAAAGGTCGGGAAACTTGTTCAGCTATGAACAATGTTGTCGGAAGGAGAAAGTAGCACGGTAACCCAATGCGGCGTTTGCCGAACTGAATGGGACGTTGTTTAGTGCCGCTTAGCGGTTGCGACTTCAGAATGAGGTTCTTTGCACGAATCTTCCACCCACAAGATATAATATGTAGCTCACTAGGTACTTGAAGTATCACAAGGAGACTTGAACAAACAACATATCGTCCTAGTCTACATCATCCAATCAATTCCAATCCGTCCTCTTCAATTGAAGCTCACCATAGACTGCGACTTTTGGAGGAATCGCTCCAATTCGTCACTATGCCTGCTTTTATCGAGTCCCCCGAGACCAAAGCCCAAGCAGCTGCGGATATTTCAGGGATGCCAGCGACAGAGCTTCCGGAACTTGTTGTGAAAACAGATGAGATCCGCAGTAGTACCAATGGCCATACGAATAGTCACACCACAGACCCCTTCAAACTCAGTCAGGAGTTTGCGTATACGCCACGCAAGATCAAGGTCATTACCATTGGAGCCGGCTTCTCTGGTCTTCTGATGGCACACAAATTTCAACACCGGTTCCCCGAGATGGAAGACATTGTAGAACACACCATCTTCGAGGCTCGGAGCGATATTGGCGGCACATGGTTGGCGAACAACTATCCCGGAGTTCAATGCGATGTTCCCGCTCATATTTACGTACGTAACCGCGTTTCATATAAACGACTCTTTCTAATCGTATCTAGGCATTTCCCTTTGACCCCAATCCCGACTGGGAGAGGTTCTATGCCAGTGGCGGTGACATTCTAGCTTATATGAAAGCGACAGTCAGGAAATGGAACCTCGATCGTGACTTGAGACTGAATACTCGGGTGATCGGGGCGGAGTGGCAGGATGACTTAGGTCAATGGAGAGTTACGGTAGAACATGAGGGTGTTCCAAGAGAGGAATACTGTCATGTCTTGATCTCAGCTCAAGGAGTCCTTGTGTAAGCTTTTACCATGGCTGTTATTCCATCCAATGCTAATTGTCCACAGACACGAATCATGGCCAAAGATCCCCGGTCTGAAAGACTTCAAGGGCCATACAACCCACTCAGCCAGCTGGGATCACGACTTTGACTACTCCAACAAACGCATAGCCGTGATCGGTAACGGCTCATCGGGTATTCAAATCGTTCCCCAGATGGTTAAACTACCTGGCACGGATGTTACCAATTTCGTCCGAGGTCCGGCCTGGGTTTTCTACCGGGCCCCTCCCTCGAAACACTTGGGTCGAGAAGATGACGATCCCAATCCTCGATATTCAGCTCAAGACAGAGAACGATTTCAAGACCCGGAGCTTCATTTACAGCACCGCAAGGGCATTATCTCACGAACCAACAAGTCCTTCTATGTCTTTAGAAAAGGAGAGAACAATGAGGCAGGAATGAAGATGGCGGCCGAGCAGATGGCCGAGAAGCTTGGACACGATCCAGTTCTGTGCTCCAAGTTGATACCGAAGTGGGAACTAGGCTGTCGTCGCATAACGCCAGGTCCAGGATATCTGGAATCGTTCCTGAGACCGAACTGCCACCTTACGGATAGTGCTATCACGCAAGTGACAGAGAAGGGTCTCCGGACGGCTGATGGTAAGGAGCATGAGGTAGACGTCAGTAAGTACACGCGCTTTATCTCTTAGAAAGTAGAAATGCTAACGCGTGTCCCAGTCATCTACGCGACCGGTTTCGATGTCTCATTCCGGCCCCGGTATCCTATTGTTGGCCTCAATAACATCGACCTCCGAGAACAGTGGAAGGAAGACCCTGAAGCATATCTCTCAGTCTCCGTACCATCAATGCCCAACTACTTTATGATGATGGGTCCCAATTGCCTTGGTGGCCATGGTTCACTCGTAGAGTCCCTCAACTGGACAGGCGACTACTTCGTCAAGTGGATCAAGAAGATGGCAACTGAGGATATCAAGTACGTCGTTCCGAAGAAGGAAAAGGTTGATGCCTTTATCAAGTACTGTGATCAAGTCCACAAGACTCTTGTTTGGAGCGGTGGTTGCACGAGTTGGTACAAGAGAGGCAGAGTTGATGGTCGAGTCACGGCGCTTTTCGGTGGAAGTGCTCACCTTTTCAACCGTATGCTTGGAGACATTCGTGCGGAAGACTATGATATCACGTACAACACGCCAAACCCCTTCAGATTTATGGGTAATGGGTTTACGGCTTTCGAGATGGATCCTGAGAGCGATCTCTCTTGGTATGTGGAGAAAGCAGAAACACTTAGGTGTTAAGTAACGAATCGCTACGGTATCCTTGTTTAGTTCTCCAGGCTAGATAGTAGCATGTCCAGTGGTTCCTGTTACTATTAAGGCTTTTTCTTTTAGCATGTGCATCACGGCAGTCTTTACAGCATGTAGTAATCTGAGGCTTGTATTTGTAATTAAAGAATATTCAAGTCAATGGTTCCAAAGTCAAAGTTGTAGTCAACAAAAGGTTCCAGTAAATCGTGATAGCGATTGAATAAGTCTTCATGGAACACGGCATTCTCAGGCGATGGTAAAGCTGTTGTTGTGGTACCAAACTCATTATCAGCAAGGAGGCAATCCGCGATCCTGCTCGTCGACCTCGTCACAAATGGAAACAGAAGCACCCAGTCGAAATCGCGAGATGATGAGCCTGCGTCCTCCCCATTACCACGGTTGGAAGTAGGCTTGGGTTTGCCAGCATGCATCATAGTTCGAGGCATTGCGCGGAGTCGTTCAAAGCCTTGTCTTATGACATTCGCAGAAGCCCACATATGCTGAAGCTGGCCAACGGCTTGATCCAAGATGTCCAGACCCTCTTCTGCTTCCTGCGAGAATTGCTTAATCCGACTTGCTTGTAGAAGTGCAATAAATGCCGTTCCACAGTACCAGCAGGTAATTGCCATGAGAAAACGCGCATTTCCGCGAGATAGAATATCTCTGAGAACTCTAGCGATGCATGACGCTGCCAATATTGCTGGTGGTAGAGCTTGAGGTAGATCTGGGGTTGTTCTTTGGAGATGCATGATGATTATTGCCGTGAGGTAAGGAAGATGCAACTGATGGACGTCGCGGTCAAAAGACTCTGTACGATTTGAACCAATGGGAAGCTGAAGGTCCGGTGGCAATGATTGAACCCAGTCAACGAGCTCCTGTCGGAGTTCTTTGGGGAATGGAGAACAGGTCGAGTCAACAGACCTGGACAGCGCTTTGGAAACTTTGCCTAGAATGCCACATAAACGAACCCAGTACATGAATATTCGGCCTTTCTTTTGAGATACCGGATCGCTCGGAAAGTCGGACGGTTGAACTTCCTTAATGGTCATGTCCTCTGGACAAATAATACAAGGCTTGCTTTGGCAAAGGGACGTGAGCCTCTCGCGCGCCTGAAAACAGTCAACATGTTTCCAAACTCGGTAAAACAATAACTAGAGACTTACGAAAACAGTCCACCACAATCTCCTTCGCAGGCTGAGATGAATCTCATTTGATGCGACGGTATCTTCTTTCGGCTCACGATGAATATTCATCTGCTGCGCATGTCTGATTATCACAGAAGTCCACCACCAAGAAGCATGCCGATGAGCTGTAGCTGGTGATCGCGGTGCCCACCAGTAAAACATCGAAATAGCCTTCAACGCTATAAGAATATCCGGCTCCTCATCTTCATAGAACATCATCCTTGCTTTCTGGTAGTAGGCAGCTGGTCCCTCGTGCGGTATTAACGGCGGTTGTATATGGCTCGCTGCAAGCGCAAGAGCATTGGCAAGCATGGGTGATCTCTCCAGTTCGGATGTGAGAGTCTGGCGGTCAAGAACAGGACACCAAGGATAGCAGTACTCGAAGTATGTCTCGGAAAAGCTCTGTTGAAGTTCTTGTTGTCGAGGATTTGATGCTGGGTTCCGAAGCTCGAGATTTGCTACGAGCTCTTGTTGTTCCGCTTCGAGTTGATTCTCTGGCCCGTATATCTGGAGGAATCCTGTGTCAACATCTCCTGCATGACTGCGACCGGCACCTTCCGTTGGTGATGTGCTCGATTGGGTTTGATGGATGACAGAAATGTCAGGACGATGCTCGGTCGGGGGAGCAGCAAATACCACGTGCGGTGTCGAAGCTGGTGGAGGGGCTGGTGATTCAATATTGCCATGGTATTCTAGGTCATCTTGAAAGTCGATATCGGTACTGTCCAGCTCTTGTCTACCATTATCCCCATCATCCACTTGATATTGTTACTTAGATCCGAGTAACAACAAGGACGAAGGCCAACTTACCACCTGGATTAGCTGTATCAGTCACAGCATCGTACTCTGCTTGCGTAGACGCTTGGCGACGCTGCTTGCCTCTTCTGGACGGCCGAAGATGACATTCCTGATCTTGGTTATCGCAGTTAGAGCATCTCGCATGGCCCTGTGAGCTTCGGCTCTATTACGCAGTCAGCACTCGGCAAATCCATTTTCGGTAAGTGAGAAACTCACTTGCAGATCGCATTTGATCTTCTTCGAATGGCAAAACAGACAAACGGCTTCAGCACGTTTACGTTTCGGCTGCTGAGTGGTAAAGTGGAGCCAATTGCCGACGAGTTCAGTCATTGCCGAGTGATGGATTGAACAGTGAAGATAGGGAAACAAATGGAGTGTTGCCGAGATGTGCCCCATATATTAAATCAACATTGCCCCTAAAACCCACGGACCCAAGTTAAAAGGCCGAGGGCAACTGAGACTGGATGGAATGCGGGGAAACCACTAGTCGCTAACTTGGCGAGTCTCGGCACTGATAAGATAAGTTAGTGAGGTTATGCATTCTATACTGAGTTTAGGGTAATTCACCTTAATTTACTGAAATAAGACGTTTGCAATGTACTGCATCACTTGAAAGACTCTATTATTTAGTCACCTACTCTATGACAGTTAGCATTATTTGTTTTAAAGTTGATATATTTATTTCTAGGAACTTCGAGTATATTGTCCACTGGTTATTAATCATCGAACTGCACACTACGTTTGCATGGAAATTATATCACACTTTCAATTACACAGTATTCTAACGGAGACTAAGAATCTTTTTCCACGACCGAACCCACCAGCGGAAAGTATTACAGAATGTAGCGGAATTGCATGTTCTAGCTTGCATGTTAGTTGTTGTCCAACGACGAGGAACTAATGTACTGACTTTCTTGTCGGTGAGATCATCTTCGTATGCATGATCAAATCCCTCCATGATACCAGCCTTGTCGCGCTTCTTGTTAGTCCACATACACATAAGACGATGTGCAATTGCTAGCAAGGCAGCCACAATAGCCGTCACAACCACAACAATAAATCCTGGCACGTATCGAGGCGCGTCTTCCTTCTTGAAGCACAGGGGCCCAACGAAATTACCTGGTGAGATATTAGTTGGCTGTTCCCAAGAGACGTGGACATTTGCTTACCCATGCAGTAGCCGATGTAGAGGCCAGAAGAAGCGATGGAACGCTTTGTATAGCCTGCTGTATTGGCAATTTGCAGACCCATAAGCACAGCATATCCACCACCAACAGAGGGAAGGATATAGACCGCAAAGAGAAGGGCACCTGTCGCCGATTGAGGAAGAAGCCAAAGAAGAAGAGAAGCCAGAATTGTGCCGAGCTGAGCAACGAAGATTAAATACGTTCTGACGTTCTTGTATCGGTAGGCAAGGTAGGGCATGAGCAGTTGAAGAGTTCCTGCATACAGACCACAGGGCATCATAAGCAGCAGTGAGTTAAGAGTGCTGAACCCAAATCCGTTGATGATGATGGGAACAAATGTAGAGATGGGTGCATTTGCAATCATTGACAAAAAGGCGATAGCGAAAACGACCCAGAATTTAGTATCCAGCAAAAGCTCCCAAATCTGGGCCACCTTCAGGTGGGTGTTTCGAACTCCAGAGTTGTTAGACTTGAGTCGAGCGACGATGATGTATCGCTCCCTTTCGTTGAAGCCCTTGGCTCGAACTGGGTCTGGAGGCAAGACGAAGACGAGTATGATGCCCCAGACAATGGTAAGAGAACCGGCGAAATAGTACATATATTTCCAAGAAGAAACACCCCCATTAATGAGACCGAATCCATAGTTGACGAGGGGGGAGATGATCGAGACGTAGCCAGTACAACTGTACCAGATACTGTTCTTCAAGTCAGTATGTATAAGCTGCTGATAGATGCAAGTTCATACCCCATTCGCATAGCTTGCTCATTCTTCTTGTAGAAGCTCCCCTAACGATATTAGTGCGTGGGCATTGGTCGACAGGCATGTTACTTACGACGATCATCATAAACATTGGGCTAATGCCACTTTCTAAGAACCCAAGAAAGAACCGCTGCGTATAGAGGGTCTTGTAATCCTTACAGACCACGGTCAAGATAAGACAAATACCCCAGATTGTAACAATGCCAGAAGCAACTCGTTCGATCGGATATCGTTGGGCAAGCATCATGGTCGGATAGGCTCCCACAATGAAACCAAGGTAAAAGATCGAGGCTGACATGGCGTATCGATCTCCGCTAAGGAGACCTAAGTCTTGTCTCAATCCGAACAAAGCCTGTTAAGCACGAGTTAGTGGCGTTCGAATTGCCATACACACGGACATACCGCTTGAGAAAGCATCGCCTTGTCGTAATACTGCAACATGTATGTCGCACACAGAACAGGCATAAGTCTCCAATCAATCTTGCGACGCAATTTCTTCTCCTCCTCATCCGTCCACATCTCATCGCCTTGATAAGCCGCTAGAACCTTCATGGCTTCATCCTTATGGACGGTGTCAACCGTTTTGCTCGGCTGTATCTCAGCCATGCCTTCATCGTGATTGATAGTAGGTCCCTTTTCGGAGCCGGACATTGTTGATCATATGTTTGTTGATGAGTTAATAATTGTCGCATTTCGAGTGCCAGGGCTGGATACTTATGTCGGATCCTCGTGCACTTGTTCAACAGGGATAACCTGGGGTAGCGGATTGGCAGTCCGGGGTATGAGGAAAAGATGGAGTTGTCGTGGTGTGGTTGTGGCTGGGCGACCTTACCCGACCAAGATTACCGAAATGTTTGCCGATGACCTGGACTCGGCGCTAATTTCCCCATCAAGCGCGCCACTTTTTGATGTTTGGTCATACTCGCGACTCTGTACTTGTTCAGTTCCAATTAACAGTATTTCACTGCAGGTTATAATTCTACACAACAACTTCTTAGCTATCCACAGGAAAAGCGCTATGAAGGTAAGCACACGTCTCGAAATCCCCAGCGGGGAGACGATGCAAGCCGTCAAGCTCATCAATCCCGTCAACTTCGGCCCAGCAATTCTTGAGAGGTTCATGGCGCCTCCAGTCCCAGGTCTTGAGACATTCAAGTCCTCTCCGTCGTTATCATTCCTCCTCGAACACAAGTCTGGTCGAAAACTCGTTTTTGACTTGGGAATTCGGAAAGACTATGAGAATTATGCACCGTCAATTGTCAAGTATCTTCCAACTACGAAATACAATATTGAAGTGGCAGGTAATGTGGCGGATATCCTACAGCAGCATAATGTCCCTCTGGAAGACATTGAAGCTGTGATATGGAGGTGAGTAATCATTGGTTGACCAATACAGTCTAGGTTGTCCATGTTACTGAAGTCCTGCAGTCACTGGCACTGGGACCACATTGGCGACCCTTCCACATTTCCTCCGCGAACGGATCTGATTGTCGGCCCCGGCTTCAACAAAGCGATGCTTCCAGGTGCTCCGGCAAATCCGGAATCCCCCATCCAAGAAAGGGATTACGCGTATGTCAGTCGAAAGCTTTACCAATACATCAATACTAACAGATACCAGTGACCGCAATCTGCAAGAGATTAGTTTCGAAGGGCCAAAGTCACTCAAAATTGGCCAGTTCCCCGCCTTCGACTATTTTGGAGATGGGTCATTTTATCTACTCGATAGCCCCGGCCATGCTGTGGGCCATCTTTGTGGCCTGGCCAGAACGACTACTAATCCAAATACGTTCGTTCTCATGGGAGGAGATGTCTGCCATTACGCTGGCATTTTCCGACCGTCTGAGTATCTTCCGATCCCGGAGACCATCTCCCCACACCCATGCCACCCGAAAGAAGATAGCGTTCTCTGCCCTGGTGAAGCATTCGCACGTTTGCAGAAGTCACGAGGAAGGAAGTCAACCGATAGTCTGTTTGACCTGACCTTCGGCTTGGATCTAGAACTCGCCACCAAAACTACTAGGCAACTACGAGAGTTGGACTGTAACGAGAACATCTTTGTTATTGTGGCTCATGACTCTACAGTCCGTGACGGTGTACCACATTTTCCGCAAAGCATAAATAATTGGAAAGCTCAAGGGTTCGGCAAAGAGTTGAAATGGGCGTTCCTCCGTGATTTGGAGAATTATTGGAAAGCCGAAGGATTGATGTAGACAGTCACATATTTAGTTTGGAATAAACATTCACCAGCGTCACATTACCTCCATTGATTAGTGCACGATTGTCCATCATTAGTAGGCTAGATTAACCGGAGAGCGGACACGTCTCGGCTATGGTGCCAACTGACCATGAGGATGTTCGGCTATGTGAATGGCTATCCCGTTTTGGAAAAGCTTCGTCTTTCACGATGGGGCATCCCGGTTGCACCATGGACTAGTATATCTTGTCCCCGGATCAGAGAACGCGGGGGTAACAAGGATTTTGCGGGGTGTTTTATTAACACGAGCTACGACGATGCTTTTCCTTGCTTAAACTATTCAATTTGACACACCGTTTTCTGATTACAGAAACACCATCGTATTTTATGGGTTTTTCACCCTATCTCTTCAACTTTCCAAATCATATCACTTTCTACATTGAAGGTCCACAATGCCGTCAGCGAACCCACTCCGAGATGATGCTTTTGGAGCGTCAAGCACTGATTTGGATTATGATGTTCTCATAATTGGCGCTGGGCTCAGTGGAATCCTCAGCCTTTACCGTATGCGAGAGCTTGGATTGAAAGCCCTCGTACTCGAGGCTGGGTCTGCCGAAGGAGGAACTTGGTTCTGGTGAGCCGCTTCATTCATCGCGATACCCACTGACTTTCAGCTAACATCAATTCAGGAATAGATATCCCGGTGCACGATTTGACTCTGAAAGTTACTCGTACATCTTCTCATTTTCACAAGAGGTTCTCGATGAATGGAATTGGACAGAACATTTCGCTCCTCAACCAGAAACACTTCGGTACATCCAGTATCTCACATCCAAGTTCGACCTCAAGCGTGATATGCAATTCGACACGCGTATCAAGTCAGCAAAATTTCAAGAGGATACTTCTTCATGGTTGCTGGAAGATGAGGCTGGATCCCATTACAAATGCCGGTACCTCATCACAGCGATGGGTATCTTGAACAAGCCGACACTACCTAACATTCCTGGTGTTAGAGACTTCCAAGGCGAGTCCTGGCATACGGCAAGATGGCCCAGTGATTCTTCGAGTCTTATTGGAAAGCGAGTGGGTATCATTGGCACAGGTGCAACAGCCATCCAGACCATCCAAGCAATCTCTGACAAGGTTGGGCACCTTACGGTATTTCAAAGAACTCCCAACTGGACAGCTCCTTTGAGAAATGCAAAGATTAGTCCTGAGGAGATGCAAGAAATCCGCAAGAGATACCCAGAAATCTTCCGCCAATGTCGCGAGTCGTATTCATGCTTTATTCATGTGAGCGACCCCAAGAGCATCTTCTCTATGACAGAAGAAGAACGCGAAGAACACTGGGAAAAGCTTTATGCTTTGCCTGGGTTCGCCAAGGTTCTCAGCATCTCGTCCGATGTATTCACAGACCACAAGGCAAATGAGCTGTATAGCAAGTTTCACGCAGACAAGATTCGCTCAAGAGTCAATAATCCCGTGATTGCTGAAAAGCTGATACCGAAGAATCATGGCTTCGGTACAAGACGAGTCCCTTTGGAGAGTGGCTATTTCGAGGTCTTCAATCAGTCCAATGTCAAGTTGGTGGATATAAGGGAAGATCCGATTTCCCAAATTTCAGGAACTGGTGTTCAGACGGGTGACGAGTTTCATGAACTTGATATTCTGATTTATGCTACTGGTTTCGACGCTGTCACTGGTTCTTTCAATGCCGTGGATATTGAAGGCCGTGGAAACACCAAGTTGAAAGATGTTTGGGCTCATGGAATCAAGACGTTCCTCGGGCTTACAGTCAAAGACTTTCCAAACATGTTTATGATCATGGGACCGCACCAAATGTTTGGTAACATCCCCAGGTACGTTTACTCTCAACACATATCTAGACAAGGTTACTGACAACTTCATTCTTGCAGGTCAATCGAGTATGCCGCTGACTGGGTGGCTGAGTTTATCCGTTATGCCCGCGACAACAAAGTCACTTATGCGGAAGCGACTGATAGAGGTATGGAGGAATGGACGCAGCACGTGCATGACTGCGGCAAAGGATTACTGGCCAATGAGGTTGACTCTTGGATGACTGGGGTAAACAAGAACTTGGCCCACAAGCAGAAGCGGTCCATGACACGATATAACGGGCCAGCCCCAGGATATCGAAGGAGATGTGATGAGGTTAAGGCGCGGGAGTACTCGGACTTTGTGATGAGGCATAATTGAATGATGTAGAGAATTGATATGCGTGCTATTCCAAGTCTAGTTCAATAAGTAGTTGAATAAGTCTATTTAAACTGGTACTAGGACGTTTTAACTTCGAATTCCATAGAAGGCTCGGGGTTCGAGATTGCCCATTTGATTCCCTCTTCCATGACCTTATCCCATCGCTTTGACTCACTTATCTGCTCCCCATAGCGGCGAAAGCCATGGGGCAAGCCCTTGAACACGTGGATATCCGTTGGGACCCTGATACATGAGTTGTTAGAAACCTGCCACCCAAGGTATTGGTGGCAATCTTACCCTGCCTCAGCCAATTTCTTTCCGTAAAGCAACCCTTCATCTCTCAACGGATCGAGTCCACAAATACCCAATACCGTAGGTGGCAAGCCCTTTACTTGGGAGACTGTGGCATTCCCAGTGTTCAATCGGAGATCGGCATCCTCAGAAGCCGAGAGCGGAAACTTGAGTAGTCCAGTGAAAAACTCGATCATCTTCTTGGAAAGGATAGGAGCATGTTCGTTCTCAATGTAAGAAGACAACGAGGGGTCTTTGAGCTGTTCGAGTTGAGACTGATAATGTTCCGATTGAACCAATGCGGGGATCATGAGGATCTGTCCAGCGATCTTGGGACTCGGAAGTATGTCAGGAGAAGACACATTTTGTTTCAGAGCTAAAGAAGCCGCAAGTTGTGCACCTGCAGAGATACCCCCTACCAGGACCTGATCAGGATTACCAAGAAGCTCATCTATGTGGTTGTGTACCCAGTAGAAAGCATCCTCAACGTCGTTCCAGGCTGTGGGATATACTGCATCAGGTGTGTGACGGTAGTTGACATTGAACACTATCGCGCCTGTACCGAGGGCAATCCGCGTAGATATCGCATCTTCTGACGATAAAGAACCGAATAAATAGCCCCCTCCGTGAAGGTGGATGTAAACAGGAAGACGTGCGTTTGCATCGGCATCTACTGGTCTATAGCTGCGTGCCTGTAGAACAGTCCCATCTCTTGCCAGGATGTCATGATCTGTTAGTTTAACTAATGAAGCTAGGTGCTTCATGTCCCTGGCGGAGATCTCCTCACGGCCTTGGTTGACTACCTTCTGTTGCTCGTAGATATCGGCGAAAACAGGAGGAGAAGAGAGGCTTGCTTCGATTGCGAGCCATTCCGCCGATTTGCCGCCGTATTCGGAGAAGTCGCACATGATGATTGTCTATGGTTTTACAGATTGAAAAGTGCAGAGGTGTTCCATCAACATGTGCTGTCCTCTGATGCGAGCTTTCCAATCAGCGATAGTTAGTCAGTCCATTGCGCCATGACACTAGCTGTACCTCGGGTCAACCGCATGCCTCGATGTCGGAGTTGGGTCCGGGAATGCCTAATTGGGATAACCGCTGAATTTGTTGCCGAGAATTGCCATGAACTACCCAAGATATACAACATTGGTAGAAATATCAACATTCAATAGTATTTACTACTTTATTTACTCTAGCAATACTTCGACAACATTAGACATCATGGCTTCGGAAATACCAATCGATCCTCCTTCTCGATCGCTGAAAAACAAAGTCGCCATCGTCACCGGCGCCGGCTGTTTTGGAGATGGCATCGGCAATGGTCGGGCGATCTCAATCATGCTGGCAGATGAGGGTTGCAGCGTGATATGTCTTGACATGAACCTGGAGTGGGCAACCAAAACAGCTGAAATGGCCAATCAAAGATCAGGTCGAAAGAATGCAATTCCAGCGCAAGGAGATGTCACAGTTGCAAGTGACTGCGAAAAGGCTGTTGCATTGGCGCTTGATAAATTCGGGCGACTAGACATACTTGTCAACAATGTCGGAATAGCAGGGGCGTCAGGAACAGCTGTTGACGTGGACATGGCTAGTTGGGCAACAGGGCTAGAGGTCAATGTGTCGAGCATGGTCTTAATGGCCAAGTACGCTATACCAGCCATGATCAACAATTCTGGGGAGATCAAGGGATCTATAGTCAACATGGGGAGTGTGGCTGGCCTCAAGGGCGGAACACCGCATCTTCTGTACCCGACTGCCAAAGGCGCTGTTGTTAATATGACACGAGCCATGGCAGCGCATCACGCCCCGGATGGTATTAGAGTTAATTGCGTTTGTCCTGGAGTAAGTGCATTCGAACCAAAAACTACGACACTGCTAACATGCCTAGATGCTCTATACCCCAATGATGTATGCGGAAGGAATGACGGACGAGGCCAGGGAGGCGAGAAAGGCACGAAGTCTACTGGGAACAGAGGGTACAGGATGGGATGCCGCTTGTGCTGTTGTGTTTTTGGCAAGTAACCATGCTAGGTGGATCACGGGAGCCATCTTACCAGTAGATGCTGGAACTACTGCAGCCGTTGGAACGAGCTTACCAGCAAGTGCAAGTGTGAATGGATGAAAACAACATAGTTACCATAGTCTCTATCTATCAGATCATGCTATTCATGAAGTAAGGCAACCCGTGACTTAATCTTCCCTTCTACTAGCTCATCCAGAACTTGCTCAAATTCCGTAATCCTTCTTGTCTCAACACGAGGTCTGATATGCCCAGCTGCAACGAGGTTAAGCACCTGCTTGAGGTCTTCCACTTGGGCGCCATAAGAAAAGATGAACGATAGCCTCTTCCTTGTGCCAATCTTCATGTGAATGGTGTTTTCTGTATCCAGGCTTCCGATGCAAAGTAGCTTACCACCACGACGGACTGAATCTGTTAATCGAAGTCACAAAGTCAACCGGTTAAACTTACCAATGTGTTGAGCGTCTTCAAATGTTTGATGAGTGCCAACAAAATCCAAAACAGTATCGATCTTACCCGAAAGACCACTTTCTATGACAAAGTCTTGAGGAGATGTCCCGACCGGCACAATGTCGCTAGACGGAATGCCCAGATGCTCTGCTTCATTCAAAAGGTCTTGTCGTATATCCGAAATGATAACTCGTGCTCCAATGTACAACAGTATCTGAAGACCGTTGAACCCAAGGCCGCCTAGACCAAAAAGAAAGACAGTGTGTTCTTTTTTGACTTCTCCTCTTCTAATGATGGCGTGGTATGCAGTACTCACAGCATCTGTAGCTACCGCGGCTTCTGCCGGGGTGACGCCTAGCAAGATCTCAGTCAGAAACATATCGGTCATGTGCTCAAATACTTACCCTCGGGAACCTTTACTACACCCGTATGTCTATCACCGCATAAGGCGCATAGAAGCCATTCTGGCCGATCCCGGAGTGATGTCCTCTTTCACATAGTTGTGACAAGTCGTGGGAGCATTCTGTACAATCTTCTTCTCCGCAGCCTGGGACTGCATGGAGAGCTACAACGTCACCCTAGAGACTTTGTCAGCGGTCGTATCGATGCCTTGACGTTCGAGTCTTACCACTTTTATGTCATTAGTCTGCACCGCGCTGCCTAATCTCATGACCTGGCCACAGCCTTCATGTCCCTACATGATCAGCGGTGGTCGTGTATATGTGTATTATGTCCATACCAGAATGTACTTCTCCTCAAACCAAGAAGGTTGGTTGTCTATAGTGAGCAACGAATGATCACTCCGGCAAACTGATGGTGATTAATTTTGGATCCATGCTTGGGGAGAAGTTGGTCGTACCACCGGATGCGAGCATTTTGCAAAGGACGCCATTTGGAGTGAGATTGGGAACAGGTACTTCTTCGTAGACCTCAATCATGTCAGTAACAGGAGCCTATGTTTAGCGAATCTCACTTACTGGCTTTGGGCTTCCTCGATGTTTTCTCCAGGCATACATCGTTGTTGAAAGCTCTGATGTTGGCATTATAACACAAAGGCAAGGTACAAATTGGTGTAATTTTGATTCCACTGAGTGTATTCTCAAATACACGATCTGAATACTACGAAAACATCGGTTGTTTGTATGATCGTTTTATTATTGTAGTCAATGCCGAGGAAAGGCTGGAAGTATGCCATTGGCTGGTAAATCAGTTTGAAGCCGAGGGGAAAGTGCATCAGGCTCTCGGTTATCTATTTCAGGACTAGCACCAGTAGCATCCCTGGTCACACATCGTTGGTGTCAAGCGACTTCAACTGCGACCTTCGGCCTTGAGGAATTCAACCCCGACGAAGGATTCTATGGGTCGTCAAATCTCGGCGAGCTAGGCTGCTATGAATGCTTTCTACTTTCTAGCAATCTGTAAGTCTTGGTTCTGTAAGCTGACCGCGCTGGTGGGTAGGATGCTTTATTTTGTGGCTGTTGTAGGCGGTTGTGGTTGTAGGTTGTCGATGTGGGGCGGAAGGAAGCGAGAAAAGCCGGATCAAAGAAAGGAAGTTATTTTATGCTGTGCCTACGGGTCACATATAGGGTATGTAGAAAATAAGGTTTATGTCGGCAAAGGAGTTATAATGCCCTGTGGAAAATATAAACATTATAAAAAGCTTATCCAATCAAACGGCAGCAGGTATGTTTGCAGCAGAGTCGTTGATGACCAATTGCCTTTTTGCCTGAATCGGTAAAACGCTTTTCCAGCGTGATGTTTGAGAACTTGTAATAAGGAACGCGTCCTCTCACTAGCTGCCACTCAGTAAATTTATCCGACACCTTGTCATACAAGTTACCACTGTCTCTACTGAGTGCGTTTACAGTAGTCATCCTCGAAATATTGTTATTGATATGTCGCGTGATAAAACAGCCATTTAACTGCGAGACTCGATACAAACCGAACAATATCATTCAAGTCCGACAGAATAAAGGATCATTCTAGTCTCCTGTATGCCTGAGGCTAAAACTCTAGCGCTATGGGCATGTATCGCGGTTAACCTAGAAACCTGCTAAGTCCTAGAATGAGATACATAACGCAAGTGTCATAAAACCTCATTCCAGACGATACAAGTAGAAACTTGCCACGCGAAATCCCCAATGAGTTCCTTCCTGCAGAGTACACACAAAAACCCGAGTCATCCGAGCGAGTCCACGAATCAAGCTGGAGACGTTCGGCCGACAGATATGAAGAAAAAACTGCGTGAAAGACAATTAACTCGCAATCGCAAAGCCTGTTTACCTTGCCGAGAGGGGAAGGTTCGCTGTAATCGTTAACAACCTTGTTAAACCTGCGTCAGACGTGGTCATTCGGACCTCTGTTTTTATGACCAGCCACCAGCGCCAAGGAGCCCTAGGCAAGAGGTTGTTCAAGTCAACCAAGCAGTTACAGATTCAGCTCAAAACAAAGAAAGGGACACATCCTCGGCAAAGCCCACCAGCAACAATGATAGAGCATCAATCCCTACTCCATCTTTGCTCGGCGGCAACTCCATCATCTCAGTAGCACGACCAAACAGTACCCAGCCCCAGTCAGACAATGAGCGCCGTGCTGCTTTCGCAACAGGAATTTTCCCCTTATTGGGTATGAGTGAGGCCTCTGATAACGAACAAGGTCCTCGACCTGGGCGATCGGATCTAAAACTCGCCGATGACCACGAAATGAGTGCGCTCTTGAGCCTCTACCGGGATCGAGTCCATCATTTCCAATTTGTTATCGATGATCTTGATAAGATAGAAAAGCTTGTGTGCTCACTTGTCAATCGGAATACGAAAGTAGGGCAAGTGGAAAACCATAGCCTCTGCCTCCTTCATGCCATTGTTGCGGCTGGGGCACAGTTCTCTGACCTCAACAATGCCGCACGAGTATCCAAGTCTGGACAAGAATGTAAGTAGCCAACTGTTCGTGTCTACTCAGAGGGTCACTCACATATACCAGTGAAGTCTCCGCTGGAGAGCCTCGGCTCGTTTGACTTGTTATGGAATCCATCCAAAAGGCTTATCCAAGCACTGCTTGTCCTCGGGCACGTCTTATAGAATGACATGAACCCCCGTGCAGGATGGATCCTACGGGGAACTACCATTCGGCCGGCACTATCTATTGGCCTTCATCAGCCTCCAACAATACCAAATACTCTCCGCCTCAAGCCTGGTGAGTCACAGCATCTGGGGTAAGTTGTTGGTTTAGCCTTCCAGCCTTTGCCTTGCTTGAGCTGACGTATACCTTGATGGCAGACTCGCTATAGTCTGGCAAGATACCCTTCTATCTTTAGCTTTTGGTCGACCGCCTGCTTCTAAAGAGATGGGCCTCGAATCAGACCCGCCAACGATATATCCAAATGCTCTTCCTGATCATGTTTGAACTACCGGCAAGCCATGAACTGGCTGTGTCGTCTCACACTTAGACATCTACGAAACTTCTCACAAGGACCCTGGTTGGAGCATTGTATTCTCGTTTCCCGAGATCTCCGCAACTTGGAGGCTTCTCTCGCTGCACATTCAGAAGGACGACAGAACTGCACCTCTATCCAGGTGCTCCAAGAGCATTACACCTTAAAGCTACATCGTAACTTTGTGCTGTCTACGTTCTGCCGACCGATCCTTTCAACAAAGGCAAAGAAAATTTGTTCTGACGAAGAATACTCGCAGATCCTGAGTCAGTTCCAAGCTGCTCTGAAAGAAAGTGTTCGTGCATTTATCAAGCTACGTTCGATGTTGAACTATGCTACTTCGTCATGGGCACTCGTCCATAATGGACTCTCCTCTGCCTTGCTCCTCAGCTTTATGAGACAGGATTCGCCAGCGGATGAAACACGACAGATCCAAGCTGAACTGCTGCAGACGTTGGCCGATCGCAGCGAAGACGTGGGGCAATTTTCCACCGCGCATAAGAAGTCTCTGAGAGCGATAAAAGCTCTACAAAGATTAGCGGAACAAGACGAAAGTAGAGTCTAGCCTTTGGGTTCAACAAATGAACGTCCGTCTACGAGCTTTCCGGAGGGAATGGATATCCCCTTTAACCCCTTGAACGCCTCCCAGGAACAAAGGTTTGAGTTTCGCTCACTGGGTATAGTGATCATATTGCTAACCGAACTTTCGCGTAGTATTTTCATCGTCGATGAATGGCCTCGGACCTTTGACTTCGATGACCTTTCACCCCTAGAATCGTATAATTTCATCATGTCGGACCAGGTACCGATGGATACAACGTTTTAGCTCCCACTCGGCTCACCGTATCATGAGTCGACTCTGCATACGATAGTTCTTGTCATTTCTATATCTATAGTTTACGTAAGCTATATATCTTAACCTAGTTCGAGTTCCCAAATCCCAGGGCCTCCCAACGGCTGGAGACCTTCTCCTTGATTTCTTTGGGAAACGAGTTTTCGAAATCCGCTGCTACCCAATTCTTCCCGGTTATATACTCGACGGGCATCAAGAATCAGAAACGATCTTACCACCCTGAGCAGGTGCTCCATTTCCATGTGACATATACGGGATAAGAGGAAAGCCAGGAACATCTTCGAAATGATACTCATCCATGCCAGGACGGCAGCGTGTACAGAAAGCCCAGATCACGTCCTTGAAGTCGTATGCGTTAATATCGTCGCCGATAATGACTAAGCGGTAAATGATGTATCCGACCTTATACCGGAAAACTAAATCTCCGATCTTGCGGCAGAACTCCTCAGAATTGGTGTTGAGTTCTCGCAGCTTCTGATTGTCCACTTGCAAGACAGTTCATGTAACTTGAGACTCAAATGGAGAGTAAGCTTCCTTGATTGGCAAGCCCTGAGACCTGAGAAGGAATCCAATCTCTGCAGCAGCAAGAGGCCCGATCATAGTAAACTATTGAAATTAGCTATGATGTTCACAAGACAAAGAAAGACAGTGGAACATACAGTCTCGTTGGTCAGTCTACCACAGTTGAACACAGGCAGGATAGCGTCTTTGCGATGTGTGATAAGATCGACCGTGTACTTGGGCCACTGGTGTGTGTCTCCGGGAAACACATAGCCTGAAGGACATTAGTAGTCGTAAAAGATAGAAAGTAATCGAAGCTTACCCATGCATCTCTCCAAAGGGACCTTCAGGTCCAGTCCCTGTTATAGAACAAGTTCCCTGAAAAACAATCTCCGAGTTGGCAGGGACATGTAGTCCGCTGGTCTCACATTTAATAACTTCAAGAGAAGATGCTACGAGCGAGCCAATGTACTCAGCTTCAAAAAAGCCATTCGGAAGTAGCATACTAGATACCATGACAGCAGCTGGTGGGACGCCAAAGGCAAGAGTCCAAGGCATGTCGCGTCCTTCCTTTTTCCAAAGCTGGTGCATCTGCCAGATGTGTTGTGGCTTGATGACAAGACCGACAAGGTGGTTTCGGTCATGAACCATAGCACAGGCAATGGACCAGTTTGTCCACTTTCCATCCGGCGATCGAGCAATGTGCATGCCGTAAGTTTGAACATAATTCCCACCATCCGACTGGTGCAGAAGCGGCGCAGGGAGCTTTGTAACGTCGAATTGGTCAGGTGTCAAGATATGTTCCTTGCAAGAACCGGACTCAACAATCGTGGGTGGGATAGGAGTCGATGTCTTGACATCAACCATCTTATCCAGTATGTCTTTGATGGATGAGCCAATGGGAAGTCCAAGATGTCTGGCAAGTCTACCGAAGCGCTGCTTTGGATCAGAGCGCAGCGAGTTAGGTGCGCCGAGAATCCTCGATAAGCCATTCTCATATTGTCCATGAGCTTATTGAATAGAAGAGCTTTGTCATTTTTCTCGACGACTTTTCGGATGATGGCGCCGACTTCAAGGTGAGGATCGCACTCTTCATTGATTGAGACAAGATCGCCATCGGCTTCAAGGGCCTCGACGTAGCTGCAGAATTCCATATGAGGAAGGTTTTGCGACGACATGCTGATGATAAAGAATCGATGATGAAGGTTGAATCAAGATGGAAATAATAAATTAACATTGCGCCTTCTTATAGATAGAAACTGTGATATGATGGGTTTTCTGATATAGTCCTGTTTTACTGCATAATACTTGGTCGTCCGAAGTCACCGAGTCTCCCGACTAAATCATCCTTGCCGGGTTGAATCCGGTTAATAAAAGCTTCGAAGTAAACGACAGTGACCAAGAAGAAACTTCTCTACTTATTGTATTGAAATTCCAGTGCTCTCATCGGCGAGAGACTTCACCTTTACCCATAGTTTACTTTCGCACCTTCCCAATCCTGATTCTGAAAACTACTTCTTTACCATCCACTTTTCCGATTCAAAATGGGAGAAGCCTCAAGAAAAAAGATCGTTGCCGCTTTTACTGGCGCAACTGGTGCTGTAGGCATCCACATTTCCTCAACACTTCGACATTTGAACGTTGAAACACATCTCATCATCAGCAAATGGGCCGCTGAAACCATCAAATACGAAACAGACTACACATCAACTGCCGTTAGAGCGCTAGAAGATCATGTCTACAACCCAAGCGATCTAGCTGCACCCATCGCTAGCGGCTCCTTTCATGTTGACGGCATGATTGTTGCCCCTTGTTCAGTCGAGACACTAGCTGCTATTAATGCTGGTATCTGCGATGATCTCATCTCTCGGACTGCAGATGTCCGTCTAAAGTAACGGCGGAGATTCGTTTGATCAGTGAGAGAAACTCCTTTTAGCGAAATACATTTACGGAAGATGATGGAGGTGACTCGGGCTGGTGCAATTATTGCACCTCCAGTTGTGGGATTCTATACAAGGCCGAGCTCTGTGGAAGATATCTTGGATCAGACGGTTGGTCGTTTGTTAGATTTATTTGGACTTGAAGCTGGTAATTTCAAGAGGTGGTATGGAATGAAGGATAGCATGCAATAAGGAACTTGGCGGTATAACGTAGTTGATACCCAGTATAATTGGAGGTTAAAACTGCACCATACCCTGAATCTTCTATCGTATCAAGCATCAATACAAGCTGATCAATGATAGCTTCAATTTCTGGCCAGAATGTTGCCGAGTTTTCCATCTATTGATATATCAACATCACAGATGACGGTTAGGATCCCCAGAGCGGCAAGGGCATGGTAACGTCACAGACTGCCGAAAGAAGGACGCGGGCTTCCCTTGATACTAAAGAACGGAACTTCCTGCATCCTTGGAAAGCTTGTACAATACCTTTCCCCAAGAGGGCTCCTAGACGGTGAAAGGCGCAAAGTCCAAGTTTTCCCAGGTCGAGCTCAAGATTCGGGTGCACTGGAAAAGCCAATCAATGTAGGTAATGTATTCTTCAGTTTTATGGCAGCCAAGTTACTGTAGGTCTTTTGACCGGGGATGGGAAGGCCAGCGTTATCCTCGGGTCTGAACCCAAAAGTGCATGCCAATCCAGGAACTCCTTGGTCCTGAATCTGCCCTAAGAGACTTTCAAAGTTGCTGGGATTGATTCTGCAATGTGGGGTAAGGTACTAGTAGTGATAAAGTTAAATGATATTTGTATAATTGGGAAACCCTTAATATAAGGGAGAAAAACCCAATTTTCCTTTTAGACTAAACTTTGAGTTGTTTAACACTGTAATTCCCGCGGTTATTGCTAGCCTTTACGCTTCAGCCAAGAATTGGCCATTCCACCTTACTTCTTCTCCCTTGTCTGTTTATTGCGAGAGTAACACTTACTTCGGCTGATGCAAACACCGACCATTGCAAGAGCCCGAAGCGCAGCATTTGCCCTCGTTGTCTGTACCCCTACCGCAGCATGTGTCATTGAAAGCCCCAGAGTCACACTGTTCCCGATTTGTTGCGCATCCTTCTCCGGCGCCAGTACCACAGAAACATCTGCCATCCTGGCCCTTTACTCCCGGGGCGCAGCAGGCACGATTGTTAGGAAATTCGCCACATGGTGCGCATTCAGCAGCCTTACACCTGCCCTCAATGCAACTCAGATCGCGATCGAAGTCCTTAAGATCACAACCAGCAAGACAATCGCAAGGAGATTCTTTCTTGTCTGAGATAATGCGACAGAAACCGTCAATGCATGTCGCATACCCAGCGAAAACGCTTTTCCGATCGGTTCTTTCCTTGTGGCACTCGGAGACTGGGGGGCGCGTGCAGTCCTTAGAGGCCTTGCAGGTCTCTCCAACCTTGACACATAGGTAAACCTTTCTGCCGAAAAAGTCACGTTCTGGGAGATCACGAATCTCGGGAGTGACGCTGGGTGCTTTGCAGTTTGCAGGGAAATACGGCGGGTCTGCGCGACTGATTGCTTGAGCAACACTGGCAAGTGCAATAGCTAGGACGATGCTGATAGTACGCATTGTGAGGATGCAGGCGAAAGGTACTGGGACTATAAGGTCCTAGTCGGCTGATATAATGTAGAGGATTTAAAGTCTTGTTGTCGTGATAGGAAGTGAATAAAGGGGAAAGGATGATAAGTTGTTGAAAGACTGAGGGGCTCTTTTATAATTGTTGCTATCTTTTAGGGGCTCACTTTATTCGTACGTAAGGATGTCTTATCCCTGCAATACCTACCTATAGGCCCGAAACAAATTTGTGAAGTTGTTACTTATTGTTATTATTAAACCAATCATAAGATAGAAAGAGTAAGGAGAAAAAAACTATTAGCTGCAATAGTAGGGAGGGGGTGAGATAAACTGCAAGTATTACTATATGTAGCTTGCTAGAGTTTATTTATTCGGGCCTTTTAGCATAACTATTCCCTAAGAACTCTTTGCAAAGGGGGTTCTAAACTTAAAATATCTTTTAAAAGTACCTAAGGCTTCAGGGACATATATATTAGAATGTAGTAATAGTCTAAGGGGGGAGGGGAAGAATAAGATAACAGATATGAGACTTTAGCTAAGTAACTAAAACAAAGAAAGAAAAAGAATATAAGAAAGATACTATGTATATAAAACTATTCTTAACGTAATAACTAAGAGTTCCTTTATTAAGTAATAATTTTAAAGTACTAGATACTTACTAATTATAAATACTTTAATAGAGAGAGGTAAGCTTGCGTTTGTTTATATCTAATATCTTATTTCCCCCTGAGGGGATAGCATAAGCAACTGCTAAGAAAAAAGAACTGTATTTTACAGTACTAATATGTGCTGTGTCTCAGCGTGCCGTGTCTCAGCGTACCATGTATCAACCTGCTAAGGGCGTTGACTGGCCAGATGCATAAATGGCTCTAGGTTTCCAATTAGTACTTTGTCCGTATGTTCTTTGATACAGCTCCGTTTGTAGACGGCGAACCCCCCAGAGTTGATAGAGCTGACCAATTGGAACGCCACTGGTACATAGCGGTACTGGAAGGTTTCCGCGGAGTTTTGTTTCAGATTCAGTGTTTCGGAGAGAGCGAGGCCGAGAGTGAGGTTGTGTAAATTGATCGAAAATTTGCTTGGTGCTTCTGGACACAAGCTCTACCCCCTTGCTGTTCAATCTGGTCCATCGTAGGGTGTCAACATTATTCCTGGCAAATAGGAGCGGCTCTCCAGGACGGCTCAGGCGTGAAGCTGTTTTCAGGGCGCTGTGATACCATGTAGATGCGACGACGTCTAGCTGGGTTGGCATGACTGGAGGGAGCGTATGAGTCCCGGTTTCTCTTGTGGTAGAAAGTCCTCTAAAAGCCGCCAGGTCACGAGAGATATCTAGAACAGACTCTATGTATAGGTTTAGTTTGTCATCTCTCATAGCTTTTCTATTCAAACCACTCACAACATAGGGGTATTGACAAAGTGGCTCAAAGTTGTGTTTGCTCTTGAGAGCTGGTCTTGTACTAGAACCAGCCTTTTCCGGTCGAAGGTATTGGACTCTCATCTTTGGCCCTTTATATGTCTCTTTCAAAACGGAAGAGGCTTCGGTGCTTGCATAATCATCGAGCAGAACCTGGAGTGACTTAAGCTGCTCTTCGCAGTTTATCACGCCTATAGCAAGCCCATCCACGGCGAGACCATGGTGACCAATCTTGGATTCGCTGGATCTAAGTGCACAGATGTTCATTTGAAGCAGTGCTATCGTTGTTCCTGTTTTTGGCAGCGCTGATGTATTTATGAAGCCCATGGCCCAGAGTGAGGCCTAGAGAAATAAGGCCGGCTACGCCACTAGAGATTAAGAATGGATCTCCCATTTCAAGTTGAAATTTGCTGAGTACGAAGTTCGAACGCAGCAAAGTGCAATTGAAAGTAGTATATATATGGCACTTACAGCTTAATTTGGTTTATGACCACTACCATGAACCACGGCTTAGTAACCTCGCATATCAACCTTCTGTTATATGCCCGGAGTTCGCAAGTCATTGGCTCTAGCAGCGGTTCAGTCCGACTGGGTGAGAATTTAGTCTTAAAGAACTAACCATAACAGGAATAAATCTTGTGGTACAAGCTTGGTACCTTTTCAGCTGCCGCACCTTGCAACGTTAGCGCCAGTTACTGAAACAGTCTATTGAAAGCGGTCGAGATCCGATTAGGATCGGCATTAGTGGCTGACTTCGGTTCTTGATTCTAATGTTCATGCCTTGGGGCATGGCGGTGTGAACAGGTGCGCAGCCTCGAGTCGGAAATACTTTATAGGGGTCATGATCAACACTACAGTGCCAAGTGTCTCTCCTTAACATACATCAATATGGAGAAAAGAGACAATTGCGCTAACCTAGCGTCTGATACAGAAAGGTTTTTACACGGGGTTGATGCCGAGCGTTGGGTTCAAGGTTATTAGCCAGGACTAGTTTGCTGCACTTCTGCTAGGGCGGTTTTGTCAAAACATCACTGCTCTACTTAACTGTCTACTTATCACAGGTGGATCAAGACTTCATCTGGGCAGTGTAGATACAAGGAAGGAAGGTCCAATATTGCTTTTGCTTTGACCTTAGCTAATTTAAGCAATGTATAGGCAAGTAGCGCTATATTTGTTTACTAGCATCCTTGGTAATAAGACTTTTATTGCAGTAGATAAATTATTAAGAAGGATAACTAAGTTTGTTGCCTGACGATCTATAATACCCAGTTGCAAAAGTGCACAGGGCTAGACCTAAGATATATGTAATTTACCGGGTTGATATCGTTATCTCTCAGAGCCCTTACATTTCCTATTCTAAGTATAAAAAGTTTCAAATTTTAAGAAGATTTTACTATTATTAGGTGATATCATACTGGGTATTTATAACTTAAATTGAAAACTGGAAAAGGATGTGTTACATGTATTTTTCTGTTATTCCTTCTCTTATTAAGTTACTCTCTTTCTTTTCTATGCCTAAAAACGTATACCCACTCTCTGTAGCCAGCGCCACCCTTTTACCTTCTTAGGTTCAACCAAGGTATGCTGGCTGATATTCCTAGCCTGAGAGGCATCACGGTTAAGTTTTTGGATAGGCTGGTCTAACATATTTTCAGTTTCAGGTCCATCGTTACCTCTATCATGAGGTAGTGTACTGTTCGATACCAGACTCTCAACGTCTGTGTCAACGGCTAGCGGTATATTGCCGTCGTGCGAGAATGCAGGAAGGTTCTGAAGAAACATTTCCCAGTCCTCTCTTTTTAAAATCGGTGAGGTCACCCATGGAGATGCTTGAGTCTCCGTTAATAGAGAGTCCAGGTGAGGAAGTAGCGTTCTCACGGCCTCTGCGTGAAGTTTATGCATCGAAGTTGTACATAGTCTTTTAGTCTCGACATACCATCCTGGGTTTTGCAATATACATTCTGCCTCGAACAACTTTAAGACAGCGGGAGAGACGAGGTCTGATGACTCTGCGGCTTCATAGGCCATACGATGTCCGATTGCCGTAACGAGCGAACTACATCGGGGAAGGATGAGTTCGTTGAAGGCGTTATTACGATTACTGGCAGAGCTAATCATAATTTGTCTAGAAATCCTAGATGCTTCTTTCCAAAGAGAAGCCTCATGTTGCGCGAGAAGGCCTTTTGGATTTTTAGCAGTCGGAAGTTGATATCGGTCTAGCAGCAGCTCCGAGACTAAGCCTGGATGTTTGGGTCAGCAATTGAATTATGAAAGGTTTTCTCGGCTAAAAACCTACGAATGCAAAGAACTAGCCTGTCGCCATCTGCTATTGAGGTTCCTCGTATGCACATGACCATTTCGATCATTTGATTATGTGCGTAAAGCCCTTGCCAACCACATCTGTCAATGATGTCATTGTACAATGCCTCGGCTGCGGATGACACAGTCTGTTTGTAGACGCACGCCAATCCGGACCAGACTCTCGAGTTTCCACTGCCATATGATTCGCATAGTACCCGCCCAAAGGCCTCGAATACTGAAGCTGATGCCAGTGCTGCTAGAATAGGTGTGTGCTGAGTTGAGAATGTGATGATAGGCACCCTTTGGACCGTAGTCATACCGGCAACTGTCCTTCTTTGACTATATCGGCCCGCAATGAACGCTATTAGACGTAATACTGGTATGTTCCCCATTGACAACGACAATGTACCTATTGTTACGCGCTGAATATGCCTTGAGAAGTCTTTGCCGGGGTTTTCGGAATTTGGAGAATCTTCTAAAAGTGCCCAAGGCTCAAGGTACACATGGTGGAATGTGGTGACGGCATGATCAACAGGTTTGGAACCTGGACGCGAGGGTAAGAGTCTCGAAACAACACCAGGAGACAAAGTCCCGTCGACCTGATTGGTCCGCACAACAAAAGGACGAACCCCACGATTTACACCATTAGCGATAAGTCGTGCGAATACAACAGCCACACGGGACATTCCGGCCAGCGGGGTAGTGGGAGGCATGATTTTTGCTGCATGGGGGACTGGCGTGTGCAAGTCGAAGGATCCATCTGAACTCATGGTGGCCGTGGTCTCGATATTTCGTGCATCATGGCCATGACCTACTTCACTGAGCATGAATCCCCCCACAGACTTGAATTCCTGCAATTCTTGGAGTATAGACTTGACAGTGGGATGCGCATCTGGATATGAGGCTATGGTTCCTATGCAGAGGTTCCAATGTATCGTCAAAATAACATATACTGCCGTGTCTGCGGTCACCATGTCTGGATTGGTCAGCATTGCAACTTAAGTATAGTTTGAGAGGATTAGCTCACAATTCAGATGGAACCCCCAAAACTTTGGGCTCGGCCCCAGAATATCCTCAACTGTCATGCCGACTTGCTTGGCAAGTGACTTAGCACGAGCGTATGAAATTTGTATCTTTTGGAAGGCTGAGTCATCATTAAAATAACCTCGGTTCTTCCACTCAGGTGTGTCGGGGAGCCCGGCGCCAGTTGGGATGCGGTCCATGGTCGATTGTATAATTTGTAGCAAAAGATCACCGATTGAATGAAGAAAGTCTCTTCCATGTCAGAAATAAATGTCTAAACAGATCTGTGAACATGTCAAGGTCCAGAAATTAATTTATAGATACTGGTGAGAGATGATGCTTTCAATTTGGGACACATAATAATGTACTTAATTAATCTACATTTATAGGGTAGAACATTTAAGGGCGTATATATTAGTTCTAATTCCAGTAATCAGAAAATTGCAGATATAAAATTAGATCTTGTAATAGTACGCAAGATACTTAACTACTAATTAAACATATCTCACTTTAGTAAATCAACTTGCCTTGCAAGTATCGTTATGCGTTAGTCATTTGTTAAGCCGCTGCAAATGAAAAAGAACTGTACTTCGTATTATTGTTAGAATAAATCCCGTGACTTAGAGAGAGTTATAAACTAAACTACACATAAGTTGCAGAATGAGAAACCGGGATCTTAATCTCGTAGCTACAAGGATTACGTACGCTGGTAACTAGTTCCCTTAGATGTTTTATTAGTAGTAGAACGGCTTGATAGCAAGCGAAATCTCATACTTCCGTTACTTAACGGTGAAACCCCCAAGGTGGCTATGTTGGTTCAATTAGTACAACCAGTAGTTTCAGTTACAGGTTGGAATAGTGCGTATCGATGTAATCTTTTATCTAGGGATAAATTCCTAATCAATGACGGAGAGGCCGAAAAGAATGGAAAGCATGGGCCCATTGCTGATCTGAGAAATGGAGTCGAGGTCTCTCTTTGCAATATCTATGGATGAGAGCGCCAATTGCATTTCTCACTCTCAACAATTGGACTATTCACTTCCCCAGCATCCCTGTCAAGCAGTAGGAAAGATAAATGCATGAGCTTAAAATTCTTACAGAACCAGAACTATAGTGCAACTATTAAAGCAACTCGAGCCCTATTGAATATTTCTTCCTCTGCCGTGTCTACATCCATGTGCCGTGTCTTAGCATGCCGCGCCTCAACGTGCCGTGTCTTAGCCTGCCGTGTCTCATATCCTGCGCCATCTTAGGTAGGGAAATAACATAATTAAATGGTATTTAACAGACGCAGTCAATGGTATACTTAATTAGAACTCGGTGCTTGTTATATAATAACTACTTGGACTTCCTCTTGAGTCTTGTAGCTTTTTGTAATAATACCTAGGCGCATAAAAAGCAAGGTATAATTGCCTTTTAGCGCGAGAAGTTGTTCTGCCATGCCATCTTGTCATCGGACGATAAGGTTCAACCCGGCAAGGCCATGTCACCAGGAAAAAGAAATAACTGCGTAGGACATCATAAGATAACGGTACGTGGCAAATTAAAAGATGATGATTAGGAGGGTAAGTGTTAAAGCAGAGGATTGGCAGTTGGGGCTGCTTGTAGAAAAACGCGATCGATACTTCCAAATGGCTTCCCTAGCATCACATTCCTGGGAATGCAATATCACCTAAGCCATGGCCCTTTATGATATGTGTGCATCCATCTTCCACAAGCACTCCAGAACGTACTAGGAATTAGTCTCGAATCAACATACTACACAGACTCGAGGGGAGAGATCGCTGTGCTGAAATAAAGAAAAAGAGCACGAAGGTTTAGGGTCACTTCTAACTTGATTTGTCTTTCTACTCCATCTACGTAGATCCTCAACCATAAAGTACTATTTCCAATCTTTTCCTCAATGTAAAAGTATGTATGGCTCTAATGTTCCCTCATATGGTGGGTGCCCAGTCTACGCATATAGGTTGCCTCAAAGAATCCGACCTTAACCCAGGAGGGTATTCAGGGGTACGAGGGTAATAGATTGTGTGAATAGACGTGTCTAAGCTAAGTACACTAGGAAATCGTTTCTTTTGCGACGAAGGTAAGGGGTGCTCATGAAGATCAAACTCAGACATGAGGCAATCAGCAAAGGCTATGTGACAGCGTCCCATTGTCTGTGCTCAGGACGACCCTGGTCGAGCTGATCTTCAAGGGGCTTCGTCCAGCCATCTCAGCCTCTGCTACCCTCCCTCCTATACGGAGTATCCGGTGCTGTGGCTGATCTATAGCGCTGGCGAGATCATACATGGTAACCAATGAGGGATGATCTGTGCCATTTCAAGCAATGAGGTGACCCTAGCCACATAGCCGAGGCTGATCGGGCTTTATTTCGAGACAGCCTGTTTTAGCCCTAAGAGCTATGACAATTGACCTGATAGGGATTCGCTTTTTGAAGATGGTCTGGGCCCCCTCTATGAAATGATTTTGAGATCTAGACTCTCTTCCCAAGTTCCTGGTATCGCTGAAGAGATGGATTTAAGTGCATGAGTGATTCACACGGTGGTTCCAGGATTAATATAAGAGCCTGTCACGACAGCTTCGATCATCTTCATGCACACTTCTCTTGCCGCGTAAGAAAGCCGGATCACCCACCCGCAGGTCTAGCCATCATCCCTGCCTCCAATCAGCAATCACCATTGTACCCTGCGTCAATCAAAAGCCTACATCTATTCCCATTTCATGGTACACCAGATCGAGATCGAGATTCAGATCGAGATCGCACAACATAATGTCCCAGAATCCTGCACGTAACATGGAGCCTTTACGGGCTTACGACCAGCGGTGTGAGCCGTTCTGTTGTTCCTGTTACTCTTGTGCTCCCGAAGTCTCACTCTGTACCTTACCTTCATCTCATTGGTATTCAGCCGACCATATCTGGGTCATACAGACCCCTACTCCTTCTCGCAAGCCGTACGACCCTGTCGGCTGTCATCCAGTGCCATATGGCCCCCTTCGACTACAGCTCCGCCGTACCATCTCTACACCCAATATCAAGATCCAATGTCGGGCAACGCAATGCACTAGTCTTGCTGTCGAGAACCAAGAGCAAAGCATCACCAATACCCGAGATCGCATCCAGACGAGCCTCACCAAGAGCTGTACTCGCCCAGGTACCGAATATAACAACAATGCCGAGTTCGATACCTGCCCTGGTTTGGATTCATCAAATAGGTCAGGACCATCCAAGTCACGCTGGTCTCAATCCACTTGCCAAACCTTTGGCTCCAATTATGATCATGATGACGATTCCGATACTGCTACAGAGGGTTCAGATGAGGAGGAAAACACTAATTCTTGTTATTTTAACGCTTGCCAAGTCGCATCACACATAATGCTATTAAGTCGGACTCAGGTTGACGTTGAACGGACAAGTCAATTAGATTCAGCTGATGAATATGCACGGGAAAGCTTTGAAAGTTCGACTCGGTATAGAGAACATAAAAGATGGGGCACTGTGTTTTCGGATGAGGAGATCAACTATTTGAAATCCCTGTCACTTATATAGATTCTATAGCGCTAAGTTATAATAAGTTTACTTTGTTAACCGAGCACAAGTTGCAAGATTCTGCGTCTTAGGTATACTACTCATTGCACTCTTTGTACTAATCTTACTACTACTTTAATTACTTGGGTGCTATAAAATGCCTATAAAGTAGATATGAGCCAAGTGAAAGTACTTTCTGGTCTAGTTGATTTGCAATGCTATTATATGTCTCTAAGATGCTTTGTTTTTAAACTATTTAAACTATTATCTAAACTTATTTCTTCTTTGCTTCAAGACTCTTAGGTTCTGGTACATTGGCTCATAAATCCTCGGTGTCCCCGCCACCACTGTTGGGCCCGGATACAAAGTGCCAAGCTTTGAAGTGAAGTAGTGTTTAGAGGTCTAAGGTTGCTCACTTTCATGATGACAATGTTCGTGCTCTGTTTACTTCCTTCTGGAGTCTGACATAAAACCTAAAAATATTTCCAGACTCCTTGTCTACCTCAAATTGTAGAAGTCTCGCCTTATGTCACATTGTCGTTCTGCCTCTCTATCACCTTCGATCAATTATCATCGAGTAACGATTGTTTGTTCGCCACTGGAATTATATCACTGGTGCATATTTTTCATCTCGACATGACGCGTTAATAAGACACTGCAAGCCCACTCTTTATCACCCACTATCCAACGTCACCTTTACTTGTCCTTGCACCAAGGCAAAAGTCTACACTCGTCTCGTATTCAGGACCCTTGGGTTATCCTTTCGTAGGCACCTTCGCTCCGGTCTGTTTTTCAATCTTACCTCCTGTATCTACAAGCCCCCGATCAAGAAGAACCCACAAAGTTGTTCCTGTAGAGATAGAGTTACCTAATAATAAGGTTTCTATCTTAAATTATACTTTTTAAGCACTATAACTCTAATACTTATACAGAACCTTTTTTTTTTACTTTACTAATTACCCTAATATTAGGTTTTAGCTATATATAAAATATATTATTTACTTCTATTTAGTTTTTTTCTTCTATCTTTTACTAATACCTATATATTATAAAACTACTTAAGTTATTATAATAGCTTACCTTTTTAATAACTATAAGATATATCTTGTAAATAATATCTAAGATACTATTAATTATAACTACCTTAATTATAAAAGAACTATATTAATTTCTTTTTAAAGAAATAAGAATAATATATATAATAAGCAAGCGTTATAGTTAAGTAAGTATTATACTTTTCCCTCCTATATTATTACCTATACCTAATTAATTAGTTTTTAACTATAAATTATATTATAATCTTTAATTAAGGCTAAAACCCTTCTTATACTTTAAGTACTTTAAAATAATTTAAAATTAAGTACCTAATATACTATAAAAATATATAATATCTTTAAATATAGATTATATTACTATTATAATAGTATTTAATTATAAAGTAATTTTACTTTAAATTTATAGAAATTATTTAGTTTAAAAGAGTAAATAATAGTTTAATTTATCTTTAACTTAGATTTATAAGGATTTCCTTTATAACTATATTCTATAAAAGAAATAGCTAATTCTTTACTTACTAACTATAATATACTACCTATTAGTAAGTACTAGGCTTATAACTTTATAAAATAATAACTAGAATTAAAGATATATATTTTTTATAAATATAACTATTAAAGAGCTAAATATAAAGATTTAACTATTATTTATAGCTAGTTTAGGCTTATATAAAATATAATTATAAAGTATAGTATTTAACTAGGTAATATCTAGAACTTTAATAAGATTAGCTTTATAATAAGCTTTATATAGTTTAGAATAGCTATTATAGGTATAGAAAAGTAAAAAAGATTAAAATTAGTTTAGCTTAAAAACTATAAATAGATTACTATAATTCTAGTAATTAATATAAAAGATTAATTAATTTTACTATTTATTATTAGTTTAAGCTAATATTACCTTATAAATTAGTATTAAGAATATAACCTTTCTAGTAATTAAGTTATTATAATAAGCTAAAATAAATAAATAAATAATAAGCTAGATTTTAAGTAGCTAAAGTACTTTAATTAATTAATAGTAAAGAGATTAGTTAGTCTTTATTACCTTTTAGTTCTTAATAGTTATAAAAGTTACTACTTAGTTAACTTTAAGAGATATTATTAAAATTATAAGATTATTATACTTTATATACCTACTTATATATTTTACTTACTTTAACCTTTTAATATTAAGTATTTTTTAATACTAAAAATATATATATAGTTAAGAAATAAAGTATTTAATAAAATACTTTATAACTTATATTTAAAAAACTAAGTTCTTTTTTACCTTTTATACTACTTTTTAAACTACCTTTATAGAAAGTAATATCTAGAAAGCTTTTAAAGGAGCTAAACTTTATTTTCTTAACTTAGAAACTATTATATTAAAGCTTAATATATAGCTATAGACTTTAATACTTCTTAAGGAAGTAATTAACTCTTCCTTTCCCTAGATTTTAAAGACCTTAAGGATAATAATAAAGACCTAATCTTAGTTTAAATACCTTACTAAGTAAATTAAATAGTATTATAATAGTTTACTAAAGTTAATTATTAAGGCTTTATACTATCTTTTTAAAAAAGCTAAAGTAGTAATATATAAGGTTACTTTACTAGTAATAGAAAATAAAGAACTTTAATAGGTAAATAAGATACTAAGCTAGTACTATAGATAGAAAAAGACTAGATTATAAAAGAAAAGGGTAATAACTATAAAAAAAGTATTATAAGTAATTAATTAAATAGATATTAATATATAGGTAGTAGCTAAATTATTAAGAAGTAGTAAGTAAAGGAGGTTAGTTAAATTAAGTATTTAATACTATAGTATATATAGTAAAACTAAGTATAATATAAGGATTTGTAAGGTAGTTTTAAAGGTATCTAAAGAAGAGTATAATAAGTAATTTTAATTAATTAGATAAATTATAGAAATCTTATTATATAGATAATAAAGGATATATAGAAAAGTATAATACTTACTTAACTATAATACTTGCTTATTATATATATTATCCCTTAATAATATTTATTATAGAAATTATTAAAAGCTATAATATAGCTATACTTTTAAAAATATTAAAGTAGCTTTTAATAATCTACCTAATAACCTATTTACTAAAATTAGCTATTTTAGCTATATAGCCTTTTTATTAATAATAATTACTTACTATAGTAGTAAGTAAAAGCTTACCTTAAAGAAGAATACTTAGCTTAAAGTTACTATTAATATAGCTATTAAGAAAGAAGACTTTAGCTATAATAAGCCCTATAGCTAAGGGGACCCTAATTAGCTATAGGCTATCTTAAACCTATAGGAGAAACTTAAATAGTTATAAGAGAAGGAGGAAGATATTAAGTTACTACTTTATTGCTAGCGTTGGAGGGAGGAAAACCGGTTAGAAGCTAGGCGTTATTTTACAATAAAAAATACACTTTGGGAGATAGAGTTACAAAAGCTACCAAGACAGGTTGCAAATACCACCTCCTAGGGTCGGCGTGGCCACCACCTCAACACATTGACGAGGAGCTATCTGCTGAGTTTGGGCTTACTCAGGGTTGTGCTTGTAACACATCTGGTGATAAGATGCCCGGCAATGCGTACTTAACAAACCAACACTTTGCTGAGTTTGAGGAGGCAAGTCCTAGAGAAGCTTATATGCAACTACGGAGTGGGACCTGATTCGTTGCAAGATGTTGAAAGTCTTATGGAATTAGTCCAAATTAGGTATACACGGGCGCTACCGGATTGCACGAGTTGGCACGGCATTACGAGGACCCCAAACGCATACCTTAAATTCTTAAATACAGCTTCTGTCCATAACATTGCTGTGTATCTCTATTACGTAAATACGTTAATATCCTAGTTTATTCTAAAGCGAAGGGCGGCACATTATTACTAGAAGCGGTTTAGTGTTATAGATTGCATGTAGTATAAAAGCAATGGAATAAGCATTAATATGTCTTGGCAATTTGCTAGTCCAAATGACATCATATTCCAATGCGGAGGTATACATGATTTGTTCTTTTCCGGGTTATTCAGGGTTGCAAGACGCCCTAGGCTTTGGCAGTGGTCTCTGTGGCTGAGCTGAGCGCATTGAAACTCCCGTTGAGAAAAAGAAAACACTACCATTCGACCACTTAATACTTGTTATGATCAGTAATGTGGCGCCGTTTTAAGCATGGATTTGAGGGTTTAAAAAGCCTTGTTTTCTAAGATCTAGGTCGCAGCAAATTACTGCTTTTGTGGCTACGTACGTCGCACACCGCCAAGGCTGAGCGGGGAATAGTTGGGCCGGCGATGTTATATCCGTTATTCCGACAATGCTGATTGGACTGTAAGGCACTGAGTTGCGGACTAACTCTATTTAATTGGCTTGTGTAGTGAGCGGCTTATTTGGCCCTAAAGGGTTAGCTAGCGGCATAGAAAAGACCCAAGCGTGACGTACATTAGGCAAGGCACATGTCTATAAAAGAGGATAAGACTTGTGTTACATGCTGAGGAATAGAGACGTCAAAGAACTAATCTCAATCTATTCAATTTAATTCTAAACAACTTTCAGGATGCCTTTTGATTGGAGACAAATCTCACCAACGGTATTTGAGAACGACCGTGGTACTTTTGAAGAATTGTACTATTATACCCAAGGCGAATTTGGAAAGCCTGCTCCATTCATACTCTATACGACAGTCAAGTTCAAGAACCATGATGGCCTTGCTCCTGATCAGATCGAAACCTCTCTGAGGAACGCATGGTCGCAGACAAGGCGAACGCAACCTCAGATCGCAGCCCGTCATGGCGAAACAGGCAAAGTCATTGAGATTTTCCGAGGCCAAGCCCTCGATGACTGGCTTTCCGAGACCTTTCTTGTTTATCGGGAGACTACCCTTGATGACATTTTCCGCGATAGCGGCTCCAGGCGTTACGCCACCTTGTTCTACTTTCCAACCACTAGGGAATTAACCCTTCAGATCAACCATGCCTGGGTTGATGGCCGGGGTGCTCTATTCTTTTGGGATACTTTCTTCTCTGCACTGGCCAATCCAAGCGACGCTCCAGTTACCCCCGAAGACGTCAAGAAGAATTTGCCTGTCACAATTGACACTATCCTTGATATTCCTGGCGGAACGTCCCCAGAGGTCCTCGGCCCTGCGAATAAGATTCTCGAGCGCATTTCGACAGACAATGCCATATTCACACCGGCCGATAGCCCCGACACACCACTCAAGGGCTTTTTCCGCCGCCAACGTAAGCTTGACCCAGAGGTCAGCAGCAAGGTTATCGCAGCACTCAAGAAACGTGGCATGACAGTCACAGCTGCAATACAGGTCGCTTTCGGCATAGCCGTCCAGGAATACCAGCGCGAAAAGACAGGCAAGGCAGGTGATGTATGGGCCAGCTGTGCCAATATTGATGCCCGTCGGTTCTTCCCTGAAGAATACACTGCCGAGCTTAAGAGAGTCGCGTGCCACTACACACTTCTTCCGCTATACGTTCCCATCAGTGCTGAAACGTTCGACAAGACCGCTATCGAGCTCTCTGACTACTACCGAAAAGCTCTCAAACATCCTGATGCCGAAGGTGCTCTTTGCGTTCCGGCCGCTATGCCTCTTTATATGCAAACTGTCGCTGAGGGTGCAGCGTTTCTTCGGACGCCGCTGCTTACGTCGCTGGGCATTGTGGAAGATTTCATGGGTCACAGGTTTGGAGAATGGGAAATTGAGGACTTTTGGCTTGCTAATACCATGATGCCACCATCTGTGCAGGTTTTTATCTGGACTTGGAGGGGTCAGGTTGTGTTTGGTGGTTCGTGGAATGAGGCTATGTTTGGAGCAGATGTAATTGAGGGGTTGCTAGAAAGGACTGAGGATATACTTTCCAAGGGTCTTCAGCTTGAGTAATTTAGCTAACCTTTTTCTTGAAAGTCACGCCTCTCAACGCGTATAGGTTAAATCAACACAACGAATAACAATACATCTACGAACTTGAGTAATTTAAGAATAAGTAGTTGATATACACTACTGCGATTTCTACTATTGAAGGCAAATACCCCTTTTCAGAAGAGAAGGCCATTGTTAATCAATTGCTTGTTGGTTGCATGAGATTGCAGGGCAAAAGAGGCAGAATGGGTGCAAGTGATAACCAACAAACAATCCCAATCCTCGACTCGTCACACGACGCCAGCCTCGAGTGGCGTTTATGAACCACTCACGCGCCCCAACGTTAAGCCATCGACCCATTTTTCTCCCACATTGAAACTTTAAGCTCAAGTTTGAAATAAAAGTACGGCAGGCAAACAGCTTATCGCAGTCGAACTTGGCTAATCCGAGTATAGCTTTATCCGGGGAAGCAAGCAGCGAGTCAGTGTCCATATTCAGCTCTCCTCGTCATCGTTGACCAAAACATGGGCAGCCCTCCACACTGCATTGCAAACCCTTTTCCTTGACTCCATTGTTTTATTCCACAGCTAAAACGACGTGTCGCATCGTCTGCCTCTTTGTGTGGAATAACGCGTCATGAATACATGTCCGGACAATGGCTGGCCTTCAACCTAACATCTGGGCCGGTGTGGCCGTTCCATGGCTTGCGGCGTTGAGCTCACTTGTTATGCGTGTTTGCGCCCGACGCATGACCAAGATGAGTTGGTGGTTTGACGATTACTTTTCTATCTTGGCATTTATCTTTGCGACCGGATACTGTGGCATCATGGTGCAGTGTATGTTTCACATACATAACTGGTCTGGTTTCTTATTGACATTTGCGCAGGGACGTTGCACACATATCTAGGCATTAAGATCCCGGACTCGATTCCATCTGATGAGCGGGAGGCCATCCTTCAACAAGCCCGTTTCCTTGCCTTCCTCAATTCTTTGTGCTATGCCTCATCTATCGCCTGTTCCAAGATAGCCATCTTGTCGCTTTACTGGCGTCTTTTTAGCATCTCCTCAATTCGAATCCCAATTCTGGTCATGCTTGTGATGGTGGTTATATGGATTATCCTTCGAACATTTATGCTTACTTTCCGTTGTGTCCCTGTCCAATCTCTTTGGGACTACACTATCACCGACAAGGTTTGCAATCTCGACAGTGGCCAGTTCTTCCTGGGTACCATTACGACTCACTTCATAATGGATCTCGCTATCCTTGTTCTACCAATTATTGAGGTTGCCCGACTTACCCTTCCAAAGGGTCAAAAGCTTGCTATTGCTGCTTTGTCTTACTCGGCGCTATGTATGGTCCCTGACGTTGTGTCACGTGTTCGTTCATCAAGCTGATATTTGATCTAGTGTCTGCTTTGCTTCAATGTTTGTTCTTGTTGAACTTGTTAACTACGACAATAACACCACACAAATGCCTTATGACTATGCCATGTTCTGTATTCTGGGGTCCGTCGAAGTCAATATCGCAATCGTCTCTGGTAAGTAACCGAACCGGAGTTACACCCGTTAGCGACAATGTACTAAATTTAGCAAATCAGCTTGCTTTCCTCTCCTACCTCCCATCTTCAATCACATATTGCCTACCACTTTCCTCATGTCATACGGAAAGAGCAGCCAACGCATCAGCCGACCAAGCAATGTCATCAAAGTATCAACAATTATCAGTTCAAAGAAGGATAAAGAAATTGATGACTCAAGCTCAACACATCAACTGGCTGACCTGGAAAACGGACTTACCTATGATACAATTGATGTTCAACATCCAAGAGGGGTACATACCGTTATTTGCAGTTGGAAATCTGTGACTGGTCGGCACGATAATCTTTCGGGTATCTTTGTGCAGAATGATACTGTGGTTGAGGTTGACCACCTGTAATATAGAAGCACAGGCAAATTTAAGCGGAAGTTATTGAACCACTTGGAAAACTACAATTCTAGGCTCCTGTGGTACTCGTTGCCCAATGGTGTAACCAAGATCTTTGTGGGACAAAAAAGCGTTGTAGTTGTACGGATGCTTTGCGCCACAGATGTGAGACATTTGTTGGGCCTAAATACAGAGGGTCTAAGGGCCTAGACTCTCAACACCACAGTGGCACAGCCTACATTTAGTGGCTGGGCGTTGGTTCATTTTCGCAAACATTCAAGAACCTAGAACACTCTCGGCTGATGTTTGCTCAATAGTTTAATCTCGCACATGGTTGAGTCTTCTGGGTCTAACGGGCGCTTTTTGTCTATCCCCAACTGCCGTGATCGTCACCCAAGCTAAGACATTTCATTAAACTCTACTGGTCCGGTGCTTCCAGCGACCCGACCCGTGCTTGCTCTACTGGTAAGCGACATTACTCGAAATGGACGTGCGGGCATCAGACTATCGGACAAACAAAGTCATTGCAGATTATTGGTTTCACGCATTGATGCCATCCTCTCCCGATGGTTCCGTACTACCTGACAGCCTAACTTTTGAGCACGTACTTAAGACGCAGGTGTCCGTGGTTATCATGTTGTCGGTAGCTTCTCAGCATCTTTGTCCTCGTCCTACAAGATGAAAGTCGAAAATATTTTCATCCTCTTTTCCTACATCACAGGCTGTGCAGCCTTGGCTAAGCCCAAACTCGTGCGCGAAGTCGACGTCGCTATCGTTGGTGGCGGCGCGACCGGTGCTTATGCCGCTGTTAGACTCCGAGAGGATTATGGCAAGTCTGTGTTGGTCATTGAGAAAGAAGACAAGCTTGTAAGTTAAATCATTTTTGAATGATCCTCTTATACTGACATCAATGTTCAGGGTGGCCATGTTCATGCATACAAGCCAAGCGCCAATGATAGACCCATCAATTACGGCGTCCAGGCATATCTGAACCGAGAAGCAACTAAGGCCTTCTTCAAGCGTTTCGACGTTGGTCTGGTTGACCCGGATCTACAGAGCGGTGCCAGTCTTCTCTTCGGCACCAAAAACATCGACTTCAACACCGGCAAGCAAGTTGATGTTGACTATGGACTGCCCAACGCAACCATCGCATTGATTGAGTATGCTGCACTCGCCACCAAGTATCAGCCATATTTTGAGAACGGCTACTTTAAGCAAGGCGACATCCCCAGTGATCTGCTCTTGCCCTTTGGAGAATTTCTCAACAAATATGGAATGGGAAGCTCCCTGGCTGTTCTCCGCACTCTTATCTGGCTCTCTGATGCTGTGAACACTCCAACTTGGTTTGTCATGGCGGTAGTCGGACAGCCTCAACTGGCCGCTCTAGGCGGGTTTGGTCTGGCTGGTCCGACTTTCAAGTATCCCGCGACATCTTCTTCGCAAACCCTCTTTGATCGAGTCCTTGAGCTTATGAAAGACGATGTTTTACTCAAGAGCACCTTGGTCTCCAGTCGTCGCAGTAAAAGCGGCGTTGAGCTGGTCGTGCAAACGCCAGACGGCCAACAACGCGTCAAGGCCAAGAAGCTGCTATTCGCAGCTACTCCTTCTCCTGACAATGTCGGATCTTGGGATCTTGATAAGAATGAAAAGTCCCTCTTCTCCAAGTTCTCTTGGGAGACATTGTATGTCAGTGTTGTCGGCAAGACTAACCTGCCATCTGACGTTCCCGGTATTCGCAACGCACCAGATAACGCGACAAACTTCTACCTCCCACGAGGCGACTTTGCCGACGCGTATACCCGTGCTGGAAAGAATGATCTCTTTACTACTCGTGTTCTGGGCAATGATCGTCTCACTGCCAACAAGGCAAAGGATCTGATCAAACAAACATTCACGAGAATTGATGAGGCGGGAACGTATGATACTACGAGCCCTGAGATCCTGGCATTTGCATCGCATGGACTTACGGTGCCCAAGGTATCGTCTGATGAGCTGAAGACTGGATTCTATCGGAAGCTTTACGCGTTGCAGGGTCAGCGAAACACGTTCTGGACTGGACTTACTTGGGCGCCGGATTATACTCCTATTCTTTGGGACTTCACTGAGAAGTTGTTTCCTCAGATTCTGGCTGATATTTGATTATTTTTGTATCCCAGATCCACTTGAGTGTATAGCACTTCTGTTGATTGACAGCAGCTGAGCGACAAACGTTCCACAATCAACATCATAAATTTAAATGACAGCTCCTTCAACTGGCATTTCTACAGCGCAACGCTGTTGCAATTCAGATATGTAAGCCTAATGCTGTTGACATCGGTGTCTTTTGCTGTTCATAGACTACCCTAAACCACGTATCAAATTAAGCTTAAATTTCGCCGTTGCCAGTGAACTTCCAGCAAATGATTCACTTTATTCCGTTCGGGCTGTGGAAATTACTCGGCAGAATCATCCTCTGGACAAATATGCCTTGTGTACTTGGGTCTTTTGTTTTGCAGGAAAAGCATTCTTTGTGACAGACTGCTATAAAATCTCGACGTTTTGTGTCCTCAATTACATGCTCCGCTGATAAGTCTCCCATCAGTCATTTATTCGGAGCTCTTGAGTTTGCACATTATTTATATGTCCTGCTTGTCGCCAAACATATCAGCAGACCGGACCTTGTACAGGTACCAAAAAAACGCTCCTCGGGCTGCCTCTGCAATATGGTAGCCAACATTTCCAATTATTGTGGGCCATTGACCAATGCAATGTGGCTGATTATGCATAGTGATGTGTAATAGCCAATCTGACTGTAGCAACTTCAGCCCAGTCGTCATTTTGTTTCAGTAAGCTAAGCATAGCCGCAATGGTACTTTGTAAAGTGTACAGGGGCCTGTGTTCCAACAAGTTTGTACAACGTGAGCTGTCGCTATAATCCAGGCAGACACAACGAGCCACGTCATGGGCTATGTCAGATCAATGGTACGCGCTTTTCGCCCTGGAAGTCACGCAACTATTTATTGCCCAATGTCATTAACCGACCAGCATTATATTCCAGCTTGTCTTCTATGTGACTATGCCCTCACCCTCCGAACCAATAGGCATGACTCCTCAGCGACCCGGGCTCAATTCTGTGCCTTGGGCAGTACAAACATTAGAAGACCCACATCTGCTTCCCAAGACTCCTAGATGGGTGCGAATGGGGAGTCTGGTCTCACGCGTGTCATCGGTGCAATTGGTCTCATACTGGATATACTCACCAGTATTGGTACCAGGCACAGAAGAAAGATGTTACAACCGGAAAACTATCGCGCTTGCTTCGTTGAGATTTATCATCGCATGGCCCTTGTTATGCATACTGGTACGTTACTGAAAGTATCTTCAATCAAATTGCCAATTTAACCCAGATATTCCAGATGGCTGGGTTCCAATCGTTGGCAGTAGACGAAGGATACAGCCCTATTACCTCTGAGTTACGAGGGCATGGTCTAGAATCACCCCGGGGTGCTGTCGCAACACAACCTCAGCAACGTTATGCAGACGATGTCCAACTGGACTCTGTGCCAAGCTCTCCAGTCGCAGCTCAGACAGAAACAGCAATCAATCTCACGACGGTCCAGCAGAGCGAGAGAGGCGATTCTGTTCCGCCTCTTATCCGCCCTACGTACCTCTGTTTGGTCAATGACTTTGAGAAACGGACCTTTGAAACAGTCAAGGTGTCAGAGTACCTAAAAGATCATGGCGATAACGTTGACATTGAATTCGTATTCGTATCATACACTCGCGTTCAATTCAGGGTTGCAACAGATGACGAAATCACAAACTATACATATTCCTCCGAAAAAGAGAGGGAAGCAAACCGAATCCTCGCAAGGAATGACCGTCGGCAGCTGATCAACTGGGGTATCGATGCAGCCAGGCGAGCGGGTAAGAGAGCCTTCTGGCTTGACTTTGAATGCATCCGTAACCAGGATGGTCTCGCACAGTCTACAAGCAACAGTGATGAAGTATATCAGATCTGTGATATCATCAGAGTCGCACATTCGATGATTATAGCTATTGGTCCTCCTACGGAAGATAAAATATCCCAAGGTACGGCACTGGCTTCATTCGATCCCGCAAATGTGACCCCTTGGCTACGGCAGTGGGGTTCCCGACTATGGACACTGCCCGAGCTTTTGCTCTGTCCTATTGAGCATCGAATTCAGTTGTATATTACCGGTGATACTGGTGAGCCCAGGTCAATGGCCAAACGAAACTTTGCGGAACGTGCATGGAATGATGCTGGCGCTGTACAAGAGCTGGTCAATCATTTCGAGGGGACCGCGACGCTCACCAAAGTCCAACTCATCGAGGCTGCCTTCAAATGCTTCTCCCGACGAAAGACCGATCAGTTCAGCCAGGGAGATATAGCTTATGCTATTATGGGTCTCTTTCCGCTTCGCCAACGTCCAGCTGTCAACGCAGAAGATTCAGGTTTCCAAGCATTTGCGAGGCTTGCCTTGGAAAACGAATGTGGTGCATTCTTGAACCGTCTCATCTGTATTAATACACCAGCAGGTGCTCCCTGGCATGATACTACGGATTCACTTGGAGCCGATTTCAGGGACATACATGCCACTAGCACAGTCACAAACATATTGGGTACAGATACAGTCTTACTCGATGATGTAGCTGGAGCTATCATAGAGTGGGACAACCTTAACCCTTCATCAACCCCTGGATCGTTCAACCCTCTCAACTTCTTCTCTGCAGCTTACCTCAGATCGGTGGTCTTTGTGTCGTTAATAGGTTACGGTGTCAGGCTTCTCGCTGGGCGAGATCTGAACGACTTTCCCTCGACGATATGCCTCGCCCTCGCGCTACTTTTCATCGTCATTGGCGCTACGCTCGCCCCCACTATACTGACTTCTTGTTCCCGATCCAAGGCAGAAGAGTTACTGGGGAGTAGATTGATTGGTATAGAAGGACATCCATCTGCCGCCGCAATCGAGAAACATATCTGTGGATTCAATCACGGCAGGTTCAAGGCCACCAACCTTGAGCCTTATTCGGACATGCTTGAACATCAACAATCTACTCAATCCCCAGCCGGAAAGTATGCTTTCACACTTGTCGAGACCCGTATGATGACTGTCACCCATTTCTATAGTGCGGAGCCACCAGCTGCTGTACTTATACTGGGAGAGGTGAATGGTGCGTACCGTGAGATCCTCTGCTCATATGATACACAACAACACGTCTTTCGCCGTCAGTCAGTCCTGAGAACAAGCCGTCGAGGTATTGGTCACTATTCTCGAGCTTCAAATGTACTCTTCTCCCTTGGTTTGGTTTCCCAAAGCCTGAATCATGCCCCAGTGAATAATCATAGTGGAGAGAGTCACCAAGCAGATGGGCGGGTCAATGATGCTAGTGAAGCAGTAATAGACCAAGAAGCTTTAAAAGAAAAGGATTGGCCAGGATGTCGACGAGTCGAGTTACTGTTCATCTACTTGTTCATGGTAAGTTCCACAGGACCCTGGGTGTACTACGGATGTTTATTTCCGCAGGTTACTCTTCTATCCGATTCCAACTGGTGGTACGGCCCTTCACAACCTGGGTTTCAGTTTGGCGCAATCTTCTATGCCGCATCTTTTACCTTAGCCCAACCAGCCTCCTACTTCCTTCTATCGCGAGTTTCAATTCTCAGATGCTGGTCAAGTATAGCCCTGTTGAAAGGTAAGATTTGCCTACAGTTCCCCAGCAATGATTGACAAGGTATCAAGGACTTCACTTTATCCCCTTGATCCGCACTATCTACATCCAATTCAATGCCGTCCTCCTGCTATATGCCGTGCAGGGACTCATTAGAGGTCTTGAACTATCCTGCATGGTAGCCATTGTTTGGTCCTGGTTTAGTCCTGGCGAGATGTCATTGCGGCTGCTTGTGCTCACATTAGTTGGAAACAAGTTACGCATACTAGCCTCTTCCTCGTTCATACGTACGCCTTTCCAGTGTTTAACGTTCGTCATTGGAGTCACATTATGCTTCCTGCCGACAACTACTGCATCATATCTCATTGGGCGACCAACCGAGGTAACTTGGCTATCCTTCAGTCAGAGGATGTTCTACAGTCAAAGGTCGGTCATCAACAAGCAAGAATGTACAGCAGCGTGGACGTTACCACAGCCCATAAGAGTACGTATCTGCTTTTCAGGCATTTCTTTCGTTCTAACAGAGTCTAACAGCGCCTAATCGTTCGACCTCTACTGATCTTCGCCATTTCTACGATCACAACCTTTGATACCTACCAAAACCCATTTGATATCCACCAAAACTCACGATCCCTGAAACCTTCTGATGAATTCGGTGCTTTCTTGATTGTTATTCTTATTGGTACCATCGTGATGAGATTCCCGCGCGCTTCTTGTCTGTTACCATCAAATCTTAACCTGTTGGTATACATTAATGCTGACTTCCCTACAGTTGCAGCTACATGTATATGCTCTTTACTCCCTTCATTTCTCTCCTGCTTGATGCAAAGCACTGAGATTAATGCTACATTTGGGGTCCGTATCTTCATGAAAATGCAAGAGAATGTAGTTCCTCGTAGGTTAACTCATTTCACTCCAGGCTCATCTCCCCGGTCTCATGCTGATACGGTCTAGTTATTTGGTCCTTTACAATCAATCAATCTTCGACTACAAAGGAGGCTCTGACCAGCCTATCGACCTCGCTTGCTGGAGTATCAGTCGGCTATTTGTTACAAATATTTTTTGATAAATCATCGCTCGCTGAAATCATATCGGTTCTCGTAAGCAAGATTGCGTTGTTTGGATTGCTATTTACTATTTCTTAGTACTATAGGTTTTAACTTGTTGGAAATATGCGCGAGTTTAATCACATTGGCATACATTGCGGTATTCTCAAGGACTGGATGTTCAGAATAGGAATAAGCGATACTACCTAAATGAACTTTGAATGGATCGGTGATGATTGCGGTGATCTCAATGTCAGGCGTGATGGTATCTCTCACGCAGCGGAGAAGTGTATTAACGTTAAATACAATATTCAGCTCCCAAGGCATAGCCAGACACTCTGAAGTCCACACTTCTAGCTTTGGTTATTATTCCAGGAGATAGCTACTTTTTAATGCAGGTACAGGAAGGTGATAATCGACTCGCTGACATACAGTGAGCGATGAAATTTTACAGTCACATAGCGTCAGATGGTTCCAAGGCGAATTTTAATCTGATGTGAGATTTAGTTCATCGTCACGTAACCTGAACCCGAAAGCCAATTCAGTCGTCCTTCGTAGTACATTGCATTCCCTGACTCTTGACTCGTCTGTTCGAGAAGGTCTATCGCGGCGAAGCGTGCTTGGATACAAGTCTTATTGGGAATCTAGGAACAAACAAGAACGACGGCAGCTATGGTAACAGCCGCAAATAGCTTCGTTATACGAACGCTAAAAGCACCGCTGTCAGAGGTATCGCTGGGCATAGCCTCACCCGTGATTGTAACTATGTCATCCCCACCAGCGCCATCCGTTGTCCGACTGTTAGATCTTGTCAACGTTACTAGATCTCCTTTACCATTGGAGCCCGTCAATATGATCACGTCATCGCTATTGATGCCAGTCGACCTTCCACCAGATCCTGTTAACGTCACCAGATCTCCATTTCCATCCTCGCCTGTCAGTATTACCACGTCCCCAGTGATAGAGCTCGCTGGTATGTCACTGGACGTCGTTGCCATTTCAGCTTCCAAAGCCTTGGGAGCAGCCGTTCTTTTCGAACCTGAGAGATACTCTTGGCCTTTCGTGACGGTAACGGGTAGCCAAGAAAAGCTTCCAAAGTCATTGTCACCAAAAGGGTACTCGTCGTCACTGGCGGTCCGGGTGAAAGTCGCTGTGGGATGCCCGTCGTCGTTGCCACCAAGATTGACCGTGGTGCAGGTCTTGGCGTAGGTCTTGCTCATTTCGCATTGCACAGAGAAAGTGAAGTCCGCGTCAGCAGTAGCGTCTAGTCGCCAGAGTCCAGTCGTAGGGGCTCCTGATGCGGGAGTCTTGTCACCCCATGGTCCCACCATGAAGGTATTGCGCACGATACCACAGTGTTCCTCGTTCTTTTCGGTGTCGCAGTCCAGCACAAAAGTAGTAGCGGTGGCATCCGCACCGATTACCTCGGCTACGAAGTGGCCGGTATATGCCGGCAAGAGCAGCGACGTGGTAGTTTGGACGGCCATGATTTGATGAATGGAGGTTTAATGGTAAGGTTGCGTCGTAATCGACGTAAGCTCAGGAGGTGGCTCGGAAAGAAACTTTATAAATGCAGGGGTACATAGATCAGCAAAAATAACAAAGCTACCTATTGGATGGTCTGCTTCAGCTTGACCCACGTTTAATCTCACTCGTGTTACGCGACTTGGCGTGCGTCATTGCTGAGATGCCCAGTGATATACCTAACCTGGAGTCTGCAATTATTCCGATTTACTGCCATGGGAAAAGAAAATAGACAACATACATAGACTTCAACGCGTCTTTTTCTCAGTTACCGTCGCTTCTCCTCATATTATCCTGATTGAATAAAGTTTAGCTTCAATCTAATTGGCTTTGGCAATGCGACGTTGTAGGTTTGCATGGGATAGAACAATTTTAAAAATGCCGAATGTGCCGACCGCAATGCAGACTGCTATACGGCAGGATAATTGCAAAACATTGACCCTTACTTGTTTATAATTATCCCATGTCAGCCTCAACATAGCCTGCGAAACACTAGTAGAAAATGCACCTTCTCGCCAGTCTCGGAGCTGTTGCGGTCTTGCTGCAACACGTCTATGCATCCGGCTCGCGCCAACAGGCTCATTTCGAATCGAAGCCAGACTCTCAGCTTCTAGCACGACAGAGCGGAGATGATACAGCTGGTGTTCAAAATGGTGTATTCCACCAACTGATCGATCACGACAACCCTTCCCTGGGAACTTTCGACCAGCGATACTGGTACAGTCTGAACTACGCCAACGGCAGCAACCCGCCGGTCGTTCTTATCGCTCCGCTCGACGCCGAAGCTGAACAAGTCAAATTCTGGCTGCACGATGACTATGTCATTGGCGGTATGATTGCGAAGCGTATTGGTGCTGTCATGCTCATGCTTGAGAACCGATACTTTGGCAAATCTTCACCCTTCCAGAATCTCACAACTGAGAATATGAAGTTCTATACCGAGGACCAGATTATCAGAGATAAGATCCATTTCGCAAAGACCGCGGATCTGCTGTTCGCGAAGAAAGATAGCGCCAGGCCAGATCAAGTGCCTTGGATCCAGACTGGTTGCTCAGCGCAGGGAAATCGCGTCTTGTTCACGGAGAAGGAATACCCGGACGTATTTTGGGCTTCGTGGTCGTCGAGCGCACCCCCTCAAGCGATTCCAGATTTCTGGAGGTACTTCGACGCTGCCAAGGCTTACATGCCCAAGAACTGTACGACAGACGTGGGGAAGGTCATTGACTATCTAGACGACATTATGCTTCACGGTAAGAGAATCCATCAGACGATTCTGCCCATACTAATAAATTGAATAGGGTCAGCAGATGAGATCCAGAAGATCAAAGAGGAGTTTGGCGCTCTAGACCTCAAGCATAATGATGATTTTATGAGCCTACTTAGCTATGGTCCACAAACCTTCCAGGGTGCCAGTCTGCGTATCCATGACACGTGGCAATTCTGCGACTATGTCGAGAATGCCGTCGACACCACAGACAAAACGAAGCTTCCTGGAGTAGAAGGCGTCGGGTTGCAAAAGGCACTAGCAGGCTACGCTCGGTGGACCAAAGAAGTCTGGATTCCAGGAAAATGCGAGCAGCAAGGTCCTTGGAAAGGAGAGAATAATACAGGATGCTTCAATTTTGGCGACGCTGACAGTCTGGTTTATGCCAACAAGAAATTGGATGCGCCAGGTATTGTCGACACATTGCAATTACAATGGCTCTTCTGCAACGAGCCTGAGGAATACTGGCAGACAGGTTCACCGAAGGGAACACCGACATTGGTATCGCGTTTGGTCAACAAAGATTTCTTCAGGAAGACCTGTGCTCGTTACTTCCCCGCTGGCCCGAACGGTGAAACATTTGGCTTGGCTAGGGGAAAGACGGCGGACTCGTGGAATGCGCGATATGGAGGATGGAGCGACCCATCAGCGTATCTGAACAGGACAATCTTGGTAAACGGCTTGTACGATCCCTGGCGAGCGGCATCCTTTGCATCTCTCCAGAGACCAGGAGGTGTTCTTGGAAACAGTACCTATGTCAAACACTTTCTGAACCCTGTGGGCAATCATTGTACGGATACATATCGCAATGCTGGTGATATATGGCCAGAGGTCAGGGCTATCCAGGAAGCGGGGATTGATCAGATTGAAGGATGGGTTTCAACCTTTCCTACACCCGAGAAGAATTAAACACTGGAATAAGTTGATCTAGCTATAGTACAATAGTTTAATACCATTCTTCAGCCGAGACAGAGCCGACTTGTTGTCCCCGTGCCTTAGACGGATCTCGTCCTCGGATCTCGTCCTCGGATCTCGTATGTGGATCGATGGAGCCCGGATCTCGTCCTTCGGGGAGTTCACACACAATTTCCTGGGGTAAATCACACGCACGGTGGATCTAGCAAGGATAGACCACTAAAATCGCCCCATTCGTCAATCAATCCCAACCATCACGACATCTTGAGTTTTCTTCATATAAGTCTTATCTCAACACCTAACTCCAACCCATCATGACAGACGAATCCATCAAGCCATATCATCCAACATGGGCATCTTTACAAAGTTCCGCTTCTTCAATCGGCGACTCGCGCTTTCATGCATGCTCATCGCTATCTCGACGTTCAATTATGGCTTCGACAACCAGGCATTTGCCACGACGCAGGCTATGGATGCCTTTGACAAGCAATTCGGTGTCTTTGACGAAAAGACAGGCAAATATATTCTTGAACCCTCTTGGTTGTCGCTGTTTAACAGCTTGAATTACATCGGATTTGCTGCTGGTAAGTGCGCTCCATAAGATAATCGGCCCTTGCTAACAATTCTAGGCGTTCTTGTCGGTACCTGGATCTCGTCGCGATGGGGAAGAAGATGGTGCATGTTCATAATGAGCGTGTATGCTATTGTTACAGCGACTATTGCCGTCACGTCATTCCATCGCGAGCAGATTATGGCAGCCCGAATCCTGAATTACGTCTACGTGGGCATGGAGCTCGGTGTTGTTCCAACATTTCAGTCTGAAATCGGTACGTAATAAGATAACCTGGACAGACACAAGCCTCTCGCTAATGATTTCAGTTCCCGGCCAAGCTCGTGGCTTCATGGTCGGATCCTACCAACTCAGTCTTGTGATCGGTGGTCTTGTCATCAACAGCATCTGCTACGGAACATCCACCCTTCCCGATAACCGCGCGTGGAGAATTCCCCTCGGCATGTTTTACATCGTCCCCTCGATCGTTATCGCAGGTATCTGGTTCGTTCCAGAGTCGCCAAGATGGTTGCTTCGAAAGAATAGAGTGCATGAAGCTCGAAAAAGCCTCCACCTAATTCGAGAGGGTGTCTTTACAGACGAAGAGATTGACGCTGAATTTTCAGAGTTGAGGGTCTCTTTGGATGAAGAGACGGAGCAGGGGAGGTTCATTGAGCTTTTCCGAGGCATCAACCTTAAACGGACTCTCATTGTGATGGCTGTCAACTTCTATCAACAGGCCGGTGGCCAAGCATTTGTGTCACAGTATGGTGCCATCTACGCCAAATCGCTCGGAACCATCAATCCATTTCTATTCAGTCTGATCACGTCAGCTATTAGCATCGTTACTATTGTATCCATCCTTCTATGGGCTGACATTGCTGGTAGACGGTAAGTACGGGTATCCAAGAAATTTCAATGAAGCTAACAAGATACAGTGTCCTTCTGATGGCATCATCCTGTACCATGTTTGTTGCCATGGTAACAATGGGCTCACTCGGTGTCCAATCTCCTGTTGATGATTCCAGGAAGAAGGGCGTAATTAGCATGATGGCTGTATTTGCCTCTGGTTTCGGACTGGGCTGGGCGCCTCTGGTCTACGTCGTGACCACGGAGATTTCCGCTCTTCGACTTCGCGATCATACCTCACGAATTGGGTTCACTACCAACGTTATCATGAAGTACATTCTCAACCGTAAATTTGTATCATGCAATGCTAATGCCTTTCTTAGCTTCGCTGTTAACTTCAGCATTCCGTATCTCATCTACGACAAATACGCCGGCCTCAACAGCAACGTTGGCTTCATCTTTGCAGGTATTATGGCTACTGCCCTTGTCTTTATCTACTTCTGCGTTCCCGAATGCAAGGGCAAGACACTGGAACAAGTCGACTTCTTGTTCAACCAAGGTGTTCCGATCCGACAGTTTGGAGGGGTCAATGCTACTGAGATGATGCGTAGCGCACAGGGGGAAGGTGGATTGAATAAGGTATATTCTGATGGAGGAAAGGATTCTGTACATGTAGAACAACGAGCTTGAACTAAGCGTCGTTCTCTCAGACAGAGATGTAGATCTGGAAGTCTTGTATTTGAGGGCCCAAATAGCTAGCTAATACTGCGACGCGTTCGAATCAGTGTACGCGTTCATCTGCAAATCAAATGGGTCCATTGGAAAGCCGAGCTCCTGGTCGCCGAACACCATGTCGATAGAGTTGATGGAGTCATAGTTGATGAGTGGATATCCAAGTGATGATAGCGACTCAAAAGACGCATCACCAGTCGACCCCATCATATCTTGTGCATTATCCTGAGCTGTGAAGGACCAGATATCCTGACCTGGTGGGATCTCAACTGGGACTGCCTCAGATAGCTCTTCACTTGTGCTTTGATCTGGTGGCCGAATAGCCGGGTCTTGTTCTTCCTCATCCACTGGAGCATAAGCATGCTTCGAACGACGATGCAACTTCTCTTGTTGCCGAATTGTAACTGGCGACGTGCTGCTACAAGACTGTTAGCTGGGTGGCCATCTATTACGGGTGACTTACGGTGAACCGGGCGATATATGTCTTGTTCCCAATCGTGGTATAAGGTTCTCGATATCAATGAGCTGAAAAAGTCAGCTTCGCTCTTCCACCACCTGGAATACCTGCTTACGCATGACTGAGTCCATCCAACCCCAGACCGACCTCCCGACACAACCAGTAGAATATCTACAAGTCTCTGTTTGATCACCGGCAAAGATGTGTCCCCGTGTAGTGGCAGCAGCCCTGCTAGGTGATCAATTATCTTGACCACCTGATACGTGACCACAGCAGAGGTCGGAGTCCCAACACGACTATTCGTCTCCATTTGTCTGATCGTAGACCACATATCTATGTACTTCAGTGCAGTTTGCAGACATCGCTGTTGGCAGTAGTCCATGTATTCCCTTGGTGTCTGGTTCATTGCTTCCGGCGATACGGATTCTCGTATACCTGGGATGAGAAACCTGTGAAGATCGCAGCGAGAGCTCAAGAGCAAAGTATGTACCATTATGTATGCACGCGCTTCGTCGGAATGACACATTATCATGAGCCTGTTATCGTTGAGTTGTAATTCATCAGGTAGTGACTCTTCAAAGGATGATATTTCGAGGTCTAGTGACCGTAGCCGTGCCCTGCTGTGATAAGGACTCGTTCCACTTAAGATAACCTGCCTGGTGTATCTTGATCTTGTCAGCAAGGGTCTACCTGTTGTCTGAGTGTCTTACCTAAGAACTCTATCGCGAGTGTCATAAAACCTCATCAAGAAGGCCAGCACATTCAAGTCCGTACCGACTTCGTCTTTACTCTGTAGAAACGGTGCCTTTGACCTCGACCCAAGCTGAAAGTTGTGTTGACTACTCGGTAGACGAATATGCATCCGTTCCGTTGGACAAACAGTTAGATCCTCAATGCCACCTGAGAAAACCTTGTCAATTCTATATATATACCACATCAACCGACGGAGACATTCTTGTTTGACTGCGTCAATGGCCGGCCTTTCATAATTGAGTCGTTTCGTGAATGCGATTCTTGATGCGATAGAGACGAGAACCCAAACATCCCCAGTGAATTGCATTGAGAAAAGGAACTCGATGACCAGCATCAGAGACTGTAGCTTGGCTACTGAAACATCGCCCATTTGGCTAGTTAAGTCATTTTGAACTTGTTTTATCCAGGTATGGGCGGGTGAGCTTTCAGGATCGTATCCCGACGTAAGTCGCAAGGCGGAAGCGCAAATCGCTTTGAGTAGAGTCTTTTCAAGCTTGCCTTGGTTCCATTCTGCAATTGTGGTTGCCCGATGTAGGAATACACAATCAGCGATGTCTGATCTGTCGAAGTACGTATCTAAATACGTTCGTATAGTACTCTTGCTCTCAAGCTCAAACACCCTGTTTCTTTATTAATATTGAACGGATATAGGCCAGGATATGGACATACCGGTTCATTTCGTCAGCTGCAGCGGGAGACATATCCATTGAGGCCTGACTGGGTACTGATCCATAGTGTGTCTGGGTAGTACTCATCGGAGATGGGTGCACTTCCATACCAACATCTACACTTGACGGTGATGGTTCATTGCCGAATACGCACTGTTGTCCCGACGCCTGACATCGGTTACAAGGACATGTTCCCGAGCATTTAGACTTGGCAATGCGACAAGTCGTACAGGCACGGAGAATCCTTCGCCTCTTGATGCCCGCCTGGGTCAAGTCCTCGCTTTGACCAGTAACTGATTCCTCGGTCGTTTCATTCGCAACATAACTACACGTCAATTCTAGACGTTCACATCGCATGCATCCCGAGGTCCGACGATCGCATTTGACCTAACGATCTTGATTAGTGGGGAACCCCTCAAAATGTGGCAGCACCAACTTTTCTTGCCCGACACTGTTTACAGGCGAGCTGCAGGGGTGGCCTGGATGCATTCGGCGAACTGGCATCCATTGTGCGAGATCCGAACGAGTCCCTGGTTGACTCGGTCGGTCACGTTCACTCGTCTTTATAATAACAATAATCACCTCACAATGGACGGTCAATTGCAACCCGGGTTCACTAGACCTAGCCTAGCAGCCCCGGGTGGGCCAATTACAGGACCTATGACACTGGTCTGAACTTTCCCCGCATTGAACCAGCAAGCACGTCAATGCACAGTGGAATGGCGAGGGGCGAGATCCGGAGTACGAGATCCGGGACTAGACATGACAGCGTTAGCCTATTACTAGATAACCACAGCTGAATTACCTCCCGAGAACACAGAATCAGAATTGAGAATCGAGAATTTTGTTCAGAGCAACTCACAATGTCGCAAACCTACAGTTTACCGCCAAAACCTCTTCCTTTAGAGGTTGACTCCAAAAATGGAGGAGATAGGCCGAATTATGTCATCTTTATGCCTGATCAATTGCGATACGACTCTCTCGGCTGCACAACTGGCCCCGACTCAGAGATCAAGACCCCGAACATTGATGCATTTGCCGCACGAGGAAGTATATTCACAAATTGCTTCACCCAAGCTTCTGTGTGCTCTCAATCGCGATGTAGTATGTTTACAGGAACATACCCTCACGTCAGCGGTCACAGAAGTCTTGATAATCTCATCAAGCCTTGGGAACCCAATGTCTTTCGCAGTCTGAAGGAGTCTGGATATCATGTCGCTTGTCTTGCACCTCGTGGTGACACGTTTGCGCCTACAGTCACTGAATTGAGTGTGACCGAGTACGGATTTCTGGAAACACCGGAGTTCACACCAAAGTTCGCTGGTGGTGGACGAGAGGTTGATGAGAGCATTTGGGGTCGACTGTTCTACCGTGGAGTGAGGGATGCAGACAAGACTCTTGACTACGATGAAGCTGTTGTGGGATCGGCATTGACTTGGCTGGACTGCCCTCCCACCGATAAGCCATGGGTGCTGTTTATGCCTCTCATCTTTCCTCATTGCCCTTTCCAAGTTGAAGAACCGTACTTTTCTATGTATGATCGATCAAAGGTCTCGGATGTCGAGGCCACGATTGATAAGAAGACTGGATATGAACCTCGGTACATGAAGTCAATCAGGGAGAAATATGGTACACAACGTGCCACACCTGAGATATGGAGAGAGATCAAGGCGACCTATTACGGTATGATCACCCGACTGGACGATCAGTTCGGCCGTGTTCTGAACAAGGTCGACGAACTGGGCATGTGGAAGGATACCGTTACCATGTTCTTTACGGATCACGGTGAGTACTTGGGAGACCATGGACTTATCGAGAAGTGGCCTTCGGGTCTCTCCGAGACCTTGGTGCACGAACCTCTCATTGTCGGTGGTGCGGGGCTACCAGAAGGAAAGAGGATCGATGCCATGACAGAAATGGTTGATCTCGTACCGACTATGCTGGAGATGTCAGGAATCGGAGAGTCATTTGCTCACAACGGCCTCTCCTGGGTTCCTCTTCTTTGCAAAGATGCAAAAACCCACAAACAGTACGCATTCTCCGAAGGCGGGTTCCTCGCATCCGAAGAGCCCATTCTCGAACAGGCTCTGTATCCATACGATCTCAAAGCCGGTCTCCAACACGAAGATACCACTTTGGTCGGAAAGGCAATTTCACTTCGCGACGAGAACTGGACCTACGTATATCGACTGTATGAGCCAGCTGAGTTGTATCATCGACATAATGACCCCCATGAGCTTCATAACCTGGCTCAAGATCCTCAACATAAGGAGCTGGCAGATAAATACGAGAAAGCTACGTTGAAGTGGCTGTTGGAAGGAGCAGATGTTATGCCATGGACGAAGGACCCTAGATTTCCGGAGGTAAACTTGAAGAGTCCACAGGAGCAGATGGAGGAGAGATTAAAGAAGGTTCAAAGTTAGGGTTATAGCATAGAACGAAAAAATTCTTATTGCTTACATTTTATTACTACATGGTAAGTAATCAAGTGTCCCTCAACTTTAATTAAATACATACATCAGAAACTAAAGCATCCATAACTTCTCTTACTGTAATGCTAAGGGTAGAGAGCTTCTCGCTTACATGATAAAGAAGTTATAAATTTAGCTAAAGCTCGCAGCTGTCTGTTCCAATGTCTGCAATTGTCACATATGTGCTGCAACCGAATTTGGTAATCCTTCAACCACATGACGTAAGCCTGAAGGCTTTAACAGCATGGAGATACCCCGCTTCTCATTTGTAACGTTAGAATTTACTTGATCCTATCCAGCAAAGGCTTCTTTCATCTGCCAATACATGGAAAGCAATGCTGCCTGTCCTATATACCAGAACAAGGACTAGACTGCCAGGTGTCTTAATGCGGTGCCTTTTTCAATGCAATCTCGTCACTAGCATAAGACATCAGCAGTCATTGCGCTCATTCTCATGTAGCCGAGCAAGGTTGTTGGATGAATCAGCTATCGAATACCTACCCAAAATCTCGAGTAACCCTGTCAATGGCAAAGTATCTAAGGCAGTCTACAAGCCACTGGATGGCAGTCGCCGGGAGATTCGGCTGCTTAGTGTTCACCCTTCTACCGAGCCCAACGACAGTCTGAGTTGTACGCTCTCACACGCGGACCTAGGCCCTGATGCTGGTATAAATCTTCCAAGGTACGAAGCGCTGTCATATGTCTGGGGAGAGCCCGATTTTTCAGAGGCTATATCCCTCAACGGCTATCCCTTCTTTGTTACACCAAGACTTGAACGTGCTTTAACCTCGCTCCGGCAGAACCATAAGGTCAGGAATTTGTGGGTAGATGCAATCTGCATTAATCAGTTAGATACTGAAGAGCGTGGCCAGCAAGTCGCTCTAATGCGGCACATCTACTCGAATTGCGAGAGAGATATAGCGTGGTTAGATCCAATACTTACTGCAGAGCCCCAGGAAGAAATAGTCTTTACTGCCCGGTCGCTTGAGAAAGCAGAGCTAAGAGTGAAAGAAGGCATGGAGTTGCTAAAATCGCTTGTTCACAAACAAGGTCAAACACTCAAAGCTGCACAAGATAGCTTTCGGACAGCCGGCGATGACGCTACAAGGAGAGCACACAGACAACTCGCTGCCCTATTTAAAGGCCCAAGTCTATGGAAACGACTTTGGGTGATGCCAGAGCTTTCTCTAGCCCCACAAGTTACTTTGAAGTGTGGAAAGGCTGAACTTGAGTGGCAATCTTTGGCGGCCTTTTTCAAAGACGAGCCATATCTTGGCGCTTTCCACATGGATTATCCATCTCATTCAAGATCTTACTACAGGGGCTTCAGTGAGATATTTCTTCCAGCAAAGCGTATCGAGGACCAGCGCCAACTATTGAGTCAAGATGGCAAGAAGACATCGAGCCTCTTGGAGGTGCTAACGCGCTTTCGAGCTATGGAATCTACGGACTCAAGAGATACAATTTTTGGACTGCTTGGGCTGGTAAACGATAATCATGACATCAAGGTCGATTATACCCAGTCATTCATCGATGTGTACAAAACAGCAACCTTATCCCTGATAAATCAGTCAGGTAATCTCGACATTCTTTGTCAAAGTCCATTTGAACTTTGGGGAGGCCCCAGAGCACTCGAACTTCCTAGAAAAGACAGTATCCCTACCTGGGCTGGCCAGTTTGATGCAAAGCCAGAAGACTGCGTGCCCGTTCTTTTCGCACAGCGTCGAATATTTGCTGCTGGTACTAAGTATTGCGCTACTCCGTGCCGTGCGCAAGGACCCCAGAAAGATATATTGGTCTTGAGAGGTGTGATGCTAGGCAGTATTGGTCCGATTCTCCAGAAGCGAGTTTCTATTTCTCAAAGGCTGGACAAAAAGGAACGCAATGAATCTCATCTCAAAAGAGGGCCTTCCAACCAATTCATCCGCTCTCAGGATCGAGAAGCAGGGTATCTGATGGAGATGTATTTGGGTAAAGAGGCCATACGAAACCCTGACAGCCGCTTTTATGAGCCCAAAGTTGGTGACGGGATGGAACAGCCTTTGTCCCCCGAGAATACAGTATCCACAGCGAATGCTGATGGCAGACCAGGGTCGATCAGAGAAACAGCCTTTTGCGCATTCTTGCGAACGATCTTCAGAGACTGCACGCAGCCACCCAGAGTGCGTCGCCTACACGAGGCAGAGATATTATCTCTCCAACTGCACAATAGGGATGCTACCAACCAAGGATTTATCCGTGGCTTGAAGAACTATAAAGTCCGTGATGAGTGGCGAGTCTCGAGGTATGCCTTCAGTTACGACCCAAAGGCAATTGGAGAAGGTGAAAGTGATGTCAAACTAACGTATGTTGGCTATGCCCCATACAACAGGGATCTGATGTTTACAATGACAGATAATGGACTGTTTCTGTTAGTGCGTCCACATGTCCAAAAGGGTGATATTGTGGTAATCCTCGATGGCGCTAAAGTCCCGATGGTTTTGCGAAAGACTGAGCTACATCTTGATTGCCGGGATACCAACGAGGCTTATCAAATTGTATGTTCGGCGTATGCTCATGGGTTTATGGATGGAGAGGTAGAAATTGAGATCAAGGAAGGAAGATTGACAAAGCAAGATATTGCTCTTATTTAAGCAGTATTAACTACGTCTTTTTTAGTCAAAGAAATCAAGCATGCCAACACCTACAAGTCGGGCAATACTTGAGATTGCGTTTTTGTAGCTGGTAGTTGCAGAGCTTACATATCTGTCTAAAGTTATAGCATAAGTTGGATTTCTATAGACTTTAATCATATTCTCCATCCAATCCTAAATCGTAGACCCCATCCAGAAAAGCCACACTCTGTATTCCTCTCTCCATACTCCCTTTGACAGAAGTTTCATGGCGTTGCGTAAAATCATTTAAGAGCATCATCCGTCTTCGGGGTCCACACTGTAGATAGAGTCAGTCGTCAATAGGATATGAAACATAGGCAAATAAACATACCGCCACCTGAATCTGCTGTTATGGTTCGTGCCTCCCTGTCGGCAATTCTCAATCATATGCTGCAGCCAGATCTGGCATTCCTTGGACGACAGGGTATAATCGTGGGGCTGGTGATTCTGCATCTCGAAAAGAAAGTGATAGTTTTTGTTAGACTGATAATAGTTATAGCAGCCCTTCTTGATCTGTCCCTGGCGGTAGCGTCCGGCTCCTCCGCCACCAGTGCACCAGCGACCAGGGCGGTCGATAGCCCAGTCGGTGTTGTCGCCAAAGTAGACGCCACTCTGGTAGCAGTATCGGTTCTGACGCTTCATCAGATGACCCGTGTTCTCAGAGACCTGTTCAAAGTCGAACCCGTCTTCGGTAACATCGTGCTTGGGTGCGTCGGGGACGGGACTGGCAACAGTGGCTGCCACGACGGACAGGATGGTGAGGAGGTTGGCGATTTGCATGATGAAGCTGGGAATGGTCTGTCAAGACTGAAATAGTAAAATTGTGTGTTTGCTAGTGAGAGTTGAAAGATGCTGATGAGAGGTGAGAGAATAATACCCTGGGTAGAGAAAGCCTCTGCCCTTTATACTCAGTTACCCTCCAGAAGCTGTCTAGTTCGTAGGCCTCGAAGTAATACCACAATTCTTTGCCAAGTATTCGTTACCTCTCTGTTCTTGCTTTCTTACTAAATTCTTGGTTACGATGTCCAATAATCACGATACGTTTCCGAGCTTACTTAGAACGGCCTCACGGGTGGATGAGCCCACTTGGCCTTTATTCCCTATTGCAGCAGTTGTTGTAATGCACGTATGTAATAAGCACACGTACATTGTATACAAAATAGCCTTGTATTGGTTAAAAGAGGAGGGGCGGGGAAGTCAGTTTCTCCTGCCAGCTAACCTATCCTTACAAGGCCGGCTCCCAATAGGTTCGTTCATCTGAGCGACGCAAACACGGCGGGGTGGACGCGCTGACGTTGGATACTTATTCTGGCTGGAACCCACTTACTTCACCAATTGGTGACATACTGGTATATCTTATTTTAACCATAATTAAATTGTGAATTTGAATCACCTGTATGGACAAATAACAGTGAGTGGCGGAATCCACATTCCCTTAGCTTGGGACGGATGGGGACGTTTTGTTGTTTGTTAGTGGCTTATCTAGTTCTGGCCACATTTGTGTGTATATCTGTTAAGATCTAACAAAGTTCCATCGCAGCTAACCTGCAGTCTCCTACCTAGACTATCACCTCCCCTGGTCTATGAAAATTCCTAACCTGTATCATTTGGGGAATACATTACTGCAAGGCTAAAGATGTTATAATCTACACCAGATTAAACCAACAATTGTTTTTCCCTCTATAAATGTTCCCTCATCGACTTTTGAGACATTTGGTTAACCCGGAGATGGTGTCCATGTTGTTAGTGCTCAGACCTCTTCGGCACGTGCGCGTTCCGTCCCCCGCATTGTACGACTGCACATCGTATTAGAAATCGTTCACGAATTCAAAAGTTCACCTAGCAACTACGACTTATTCTGGACATTTGCCAGATTGATAGAAAAGTCGCGACGATGGACGGTGCCGAGTTGCTGACACTGCCCTGGGCGCTTCAAAGCGCCTCAGCCCATCTTCTTACGGGAGACCTTGTCGTGCATGACATTGAACGTTGGTGTCATCGAAAAGCCGAACAAGGTAGCATTGAGCCTGTCATGGCTGTCGTGTTCTTCAACACGGGCCAAGACGCAGTAGACTATGTCAAGATCAAGGCTCACGTTGCTGCTCGAGTAAGTTGATAGTCTCTCCTTGATTGCAGCGCGTAATTGACACATTGTGAAATAGGCTGGCGTCAGCTACTGGGTATATGAGATGTCCCCCGACGCATCCACATCACAGGTGATGAGCCAAGTCCAGAAGCTGAACACGAACCCTCAAATCCACGGGATCCTTGTACAGCGCCCTTTGCCTGACCAGGTGAATGAGCCAAAGGTAATGGCGTCCATCGATCATGTCAAAAACATCGAGGAGTACACTAAAGGCTTGGCCGACAATATTGCTGCCGACGCGTTGGTCCGCTTGATGGACAGGTATGGGCTGCTGCGGTCGGCACAGCAGGCGAAAATTCGAATCGTCGGCTTTGGTAATGTCATCACGAGAGAGTTCATTCGGCAGATGAAGCACCAATTCCCTTATGTGAGTTGGTCTAAAGACTTTGATCCATCCTGTGATGCCAATCAAGACGAACATGAAGCTCTTCAGTCAGAGGTTGAAGCACCACGCCGGACCATGATCATTTCGGAGCTACATCGCGGACCCGGTTTCATCAAAGAATCCATGATCAAGCCGGAAGTCAGTGTTTTGGTTGATCTTGGCTTCTACGTCACCGAAAAAGGCGTCATCGGCGATGTGAGCCACTCTCTTTTTGACAGAAGTAATCTGGCAATTGCACCAACACCCGGAGGAGTCCTTCCAATCTTATTATGGATCATGATGGAGCGGACAATTAAGGCCAAGGAAATAATTGCAAAGGAAGGGATGCGAGGGTGCTGCTGCATGACTATGTGAGACTAGTAGCGGTAACTCTTTCAACACACTTGATGTCTAAGATATTAATTCAATAAGGTCCCAATTCTGACAAAGCACCAAGAGTCTCACCGTTTCTCAAAGTCTCATCTGTAAAGACAAACTTGGAAACAAGATTGTTTCCGTCCATAAATTAAATCAGCCTACAACCACAAATCACAATAAAATGACAATCCAGTAGTGACTAATTAAAAAGTATTCTATAATAATGATGTCAAGAATAGATTTGAAGATACTTGAATAAACATATACTAAATGTAGGAATTTCTACCCATACTAATTACAGAGCAATGTTACTGTTCAACATCAACTTGACAGGAGAACCAGTCAGCTTGACCCACTGGATCGTTGGTTCGGAACCCAAAGTGTCAGCTTGGGATACGCCATCAGGTACCGCAGCTCCACCGGGGATAGTCACAGGTACAGGAACAGAGCACGAGTTATTGTCAGCAGACAGTACGACATGTGCAATGCTCTTTCCATCCTTGGAGACACCATACGATAGCTTAGGATTACAAGCATCCAAAGCCTTGCGATTGAGGAAATACTGAGCGATGTCGTCGTGCTTGATAGAGGTGATAGGCCAGTTGGTCAGACGCATCAGCTCCTGCGTAACAGCCTCAACCCAAGTAGTCACCAGCGACATCTTAGAAGTGTAAGTGCCGATGGTACGCTGGGGCATATCGGCGACCCGCATGTTAGCCTGGTGGAACATGTAAGGGTCGGCATGAAGTCCCAGTAGATGACGGGTGTTCTCGACTCTAGCTTGAGCTATCAAATCTTTGAAGTCACCCTTACCACCAGAGGTATCAATCCACTCCTTAGTAGTGCACTCAGCGGTGTCGCAGTTGTAGTAAATAGTGGTGGCAAAGCGAGGAACAATAACCAAACCATTGTAACCGTTGCTCTCAACAGTGCTGATGAGGGGCCAGAAGGTGTTCTGCTGGTTCTGGAGGACCGGTCGAGTGTTATCCCCAACAACAAAAGTGATCTTGTTGTCCAGCCACGCCTGGATAACATCGGCGTTGTGAAGACCAGTGATGGCAGGGGGAACCAAGCCATTGGGAGAATAACGAACAGCCTGATCAATACCCATCTGCTTCATCCATGCACGGTTGAAGTCAATCTCGCGACTGGCGTCTTGGTAAGTGGCGTTGTTCAACTCCAAATGCGTGAATGTGTGGGAGAGATGGGCGAAGTGGTTGAGGTTGTCCTTGTTCAAGAACCAAGAAGCAAAGTCATCCAGCTTGGCGCATGTCTGAGACCACGGGTATTGTCCATAAACAAACTCATCAGACCATTTGTTTGTGCCTGTGCCCGGTGGCTTGACAAACTCAAGTGGCGTGTCGGGGGGAGAGTCGAAATCAACAGCTGTGTCAGGTACACAAACTTGATCAGACGAAGTCTTGCCAACAGCGCTGATGATGTCACCGTTTCCATTGTGGGCGAACTCCAGCCAGAAGTCGGAACCCTTAGGGAGACGAGCGTTGATGCTGTACTGCCAATCAACGTGTGCATTGAGGTCATCAGTGCGAATCTTGAACTCCTTCTCGCCCGAGACAGAGTAGTAGAGACCGGTGGACAGCTGAACATCATCAATTTGAGCGTTGAGATGGACCTTGCGCTTGCCCAGGAAGACACCGCGTGTCATCCAGTGGATGTGGGCGTGTTGAAGGAAGGCAGTGGTCTGAGACCAGTCGTGCGCCCAACCGAGGAACCAGACGAGCTGCTCGCGACCGTCATCGAACTTGTTGATGATGGCAGCGACGGTGTCAGAGGTGTAACCACCGCCTGGTCCAAACTTTGCAATTTGCTTAGCGATGGTTGCGTTGGTGATGGTGGCAGGGTAATGGTAGATGCCCTTGGTAGAAAGGGTAGCGCCTCTATATGTCACGTTAACTTCATTCATGAAGATGCTATGAGTCATATCGCTTACGTCTTCAAATTGGCCGAGGGAAAGTCTGAATCGTCTGTAAGACTAACAAGTTGTGGATCGACACCGTCTTGATCCGAACAGCAGCCATCGCCGGCGGTAGTAACACCTAAGATCATGTCAATACCTGCAGTACAAGCCAAAAGCACCATTGCTTACCAAATTGTGGGCTGGGAAACTCGTTGATACGAACAAGACGCGCATGGAAGTGCAGCTGGTATTCGTAGATTTGATCCCACATGTCAGTGGTAATGGCGCTAGCCCAACCAGACTCATACTGATACGATGCAGCATCGATAACAATGATAGCACCATACTTGCCGTCGCTGGATGAGCTGTTGAGACTAGGCATGACAAAGCCCTCCTTCGGCACCAGGACCTTCTCAAAGGGAATGCCATAGCTCAGAAGGCCTGATGCTGCTGAGTCGCAAGCATAATCAGTCGTGCCGAGGATAAGAATGGTGCTGTCGACAGTGACGGGGGACAGGCCAGGTACGATGGAGGTCGCTGAAGGAAGAGAGGCTGAAGAAAGAACAGAGACAGAAGCACCGGAGGAAACCGATGACGCCGAGGACACCGATGAAGCCGATGAAACCGAAGAGGCGATAGCGATGGAGGGAGCAACAGAAACAACCGTAGCAGATGTTGTAGATGTGCTGAGCTCGACCGCGACGACGGCAGTAGTGGGCTTTACAGCTACAGTGGACTGAACGTTTGTAGCAGGCTTAGTAGCTGTTGGGACAGGAGCTGGCTGAATAGGCGCAGGTTTAGGAACAACGACGGGCCACTTGATTGGGAAAGGAAAACGAATGTTGGAGAAAGAAAAAAAGAGGGCATCAGTACCGCCCACGGCAAGGGCCGCGACAATGGGAATGCTGAGACGCATAATGGTCAGAGCTGAATGAATGACTGGTGAAACGAGTGTATACAAAAAAAGAACGAACAAGGACAAGGAGTGAAGTCCGCGATGAGGATACAGATTTACAAGACGATCTACATAAGCATAATATACCCTTATCAATAACGTACTACAGGTCCGCCTCGCCGGTAACTCATGTGTGTCGGGGCGCCGAACAATCTCAGCTGAATCACAACGACTACAATTATGGATCGTTAGTTGTGGCTCTCTTGGCGGTTGGTACCTGAACACCGGAGAAAGTTTTGCAGTGCTAAAATGGCGTTGATTAGCGTTGATCAAAATTGGTCAGGTCGTGGGATTAGGGAACACACCCGAGTCAAAGGTCAGAACTGTAAATAATGGATCGCACAATTAGATCCAGACCCCTGTACAATGCTAGCGTAGTGGCGGCTCGGGAAATGACATGCTCTTACGGCAGATCATGACTCGCTTCGGGGGTTTAACAAAAGTCGAGACTGGCTAATGTGTGGAGACACGAATCGCAACGCCGATGGATTGCGGAAATTTCCGTCTTCTTCTTGCTGCAGGATCTTCTGCACCAATACGTTTTTCTTATTCCCCTGAAATTGCTCAACTACGGCAAAGATCTACAAGGACTGTCTAGGCCTAGACTTCAGGTACGAGTGCACGGAAACATCAATCGTTTCTCAAAACACTCGTCTCACTGCCTCCTCGGTGGCCAAAGAGGCCTTTGTGGATCTAGGATTAATCTCACTTGGCCTCGGACCAGCTAACATTGTTTCCCAAATTTACCAGCTCATACACTGCCCCGCTGCTGATCTTTTCAGTCAATTATATCATCACCACGATCTATCCTCATTCGCGCATCATGTCTCCTCCGGTACTATTATCCTCTCGCCACGCCGATTTATCATTCCCCATGAAATCCAATACCATAACCAAGAAGTTTGCGGCATGGCCGTTTTGGAAAAAGCTGGCTGTCGTTGGCATTGTCCTGATCATCGTCATTCCTCTCAGTGTCGGTCTTGGCGTTGGCCTCTCCCGGGGCAGATCCGATGATGACGATGGTGGAAGCAGCGGTGATTCAAACGAAGATACCCCGGGGAATACCCCCAACCGCACCTCTCTATGGCAACCTGAAGTAGGTGCCTCATGGCAGATCATTCTTCTCAAGCCACTCGACATCAGCGATGAAGACAAGGTCACACCGGACGTTGACATCTTCGACTTGGACCTCTACGACAACGATGCTTCTACCTTTGCCGCACTAAAGAAGCTTGGCAAGAAAGTCATTTGCTATTTCAGCGCTGGTTCATGGGAAGACTGGCGAGATGATAAAGATGACTTTGACGAAGCTGATTTGGGCAAAGAGCTCGACGGCTGGCCAGATGAGCGGTGGCTAAATTTGTCCAGCCCCAACGTACACTCCATCATGAAGAAGCGTATCGAAATGGCAGCAAAGAAGGGATGCGACGCTATCGATCCGGATAACGTTGATGGCTTTGTAAGTTAAACATCTTATGGAGAGTCGGTCGATGAGTGTTTACTAATCTCACTTGGCAGCAAAACGAGAACGGCCTCAAGCTCACAAAAGAGGATTCTGTCAACTTTGTCAAATTTCTGTCTGAAACGGCAGCATCGTTCAACATGTCCACGGGACTTAAGAACGCTGGAAGTATTATTTCCGACGTCATCTCAGATGTGCACTTCAGCGTTAACGAGCAATGCGTGGAATATTCTGAATGCGACACATTTGCACAGTTTATTGATCATGACAAGCCGGTGTTCCATATCGAATACCCCAAAGGTGCTGGAGGAAAGGTGTCTGCTAAAACAGCTGATGAAATATGTTCTGGCAAAGGCAAGGCTGACGGGAGTAAGGGTTTTAGCACAGTCATCAAGAAGATGAATCTGGACAAGTGGGTGGAGTATTGTAACGGTACGACGTACGCGTCTTAGTAGCCGCGATTTACCCAGTACCGGGAACCATGGATGGGCTGCCTCCTTTTGACACCAGTGTCAATGACAGTCTTTTGGGTTAGGTGTTGGTGTGTTTAGCTACTTTTGTACGTACCCTAATATTTAGACAAGCCAATTGAATTTTAAAATGTTTAATGGGACCAAAGAAGTCTGCACATGCATTTGCTGCAGGGTAGCACGACAAACAACCACCATTCACCACGAGTGATGTCGATCGCGAGCAGAAATTTCTCAATTGATAGAAGACGCCTTCTCCTTTTTTGAATCCCCTATTTCTAGCTGACGTTTTGGAAATTAGTGTTCAACTAGCCGCAGTCGATTTAGGTAGAGGTCGAGACATGATCGACGACTCCGACAAGATCAAACCAATTTTGAGGCCACTGAATATACCCTCCACCGGATTGTTCGGTTAAATAAAGTCCACCCAAACCCATTTTGACCATCTCCTGAGCTAGGCTCTTGGCATCTCTTGAACACGAGTGAACGATCGCCACATCCTTGCTTTGGCCACGATCGGGGGCATCTTGATGCAGGTACCAATTTCGCCACTGATGCTCCGACTGTTCGAAAACAACAACCAGATCCACATCCCGGTAGAACCGTTCACCTACAGCTACGCCAGGGTTGTACACCACGATTCCAGACTTTCCGGTGCTCTGGTTCCAGGTCGATCTTGTAAAGTGGGACAAGCTGGCCATCAGACTGGCGTGCGCATCCGCAGAGGGCACTTCATCAAAAAAGATGCCATCAATTCTAAACTGGGTGTTCCAGCCCGAGTACAAGGCAATATCCTTCTGGATGTCAAGGTTGGGACGACTGCCGTAGCTGCAATACACGTAGCCGAGAAGCTGGACGTTGGAGAAAGATTTGAGTTGGGCTAGGGCATCTTGGTAGTTGGTGTCTGGAAGTGCCTCGGCGCCAGGACCGTTGCAGGGGTTAACGACAACGATGAAAGAAACGCTGGGGCTACTGCGGGCCGCCTGAAAAAGTGGCTCCCAGGCACCAGGGGCAGGGTAGATGTAGACGGGGACCACCAGATAGGGTCGCTTCATGATCGATGCAGGGGTCACCGTGTGGTGCGCCGTGGCTGGAGTTGAGTGACGGAATGTTCGGATTGTCGATGAAAGCCGGGCGAATGAAAGAAGCGCCATGGAGATGGGAAGAGTATGATTGGATGATGTAAAGGAGAGAAAGTTGGCGAACGGTGGATTGGGAAATGAAACAGTCTAAATGCTCCCCAACTGTATTTCAAATACTTTCTCTAGATCCGTCCGTGATGATACACTATATACCATACTGGTTAATGATCTCCACCAGAGCCTACCAATCGTATCTTTCGTCTTGGGAGCCGCAAGTCTAAAGCAATTATGGTTAGTGATCATTGCTAAATGTGACGGGCTCCCTCTGAAACTCAAGCCACCAGATTCCCCACGATCGATCGGAACAGGGTTAGAATCCTAAACACTAAATCGACTGTAGTTAGTCCGCCACAATCAGGGACTGTGCGTTTGGACCTAAACAAGTAGCTCCACTATGATTCAATGACGATTGTTTCATGGGTTAATTTTGGACTTGGCATACAAGAGCTTTTTCATGGAATTAACCCGCTTTCACCTGTGGGACCAGTCAACTTCTACCTGAACTTTTTTTTTATCAAAGTTAAACTAACACAAATTCTCCCTATAATTAGCTCCTTCTACCCTGGATCATAACATTATTCAGTCGTCTATCACATAAATTATATTGCCTGATGTTGTTAATTGAAGTTATCTAGCAGGGTATAGCTTAAATTAGAAGAGATAAGTAAAAGTTATTCATATTAATCAAATAAACGCTTTCAGTTGATATTAGGTGATACTTTTGTTTTTATCATTTGATGCTGCGTTAAGGTTCAACGACCGCAAGCTTTATCAAAATCATTATATTTATAATAGAGATATAAATAAAATAGAATATTAATATAACAGTAATGAACAAAATAAACCGGACTATCCCCAATTTTAATAATAACCGCGCCCCATTGGACATGGACTAACCACCTGAAAAGCCCTTCCCTACGAAGTCCCAGATTGAGCTGACGGCGGTTGTTGAACAAAATTCCACAAATCGCTTGCGCACTGCTGCAAAGTCTTGTTCGCCGTCCAGCCAAGTTCCTTCTGGGCTCGGTCGTTAGCCGCAACACAGAACCCCACATCACCGACTCTCCGTGGCGCTAGATTGACTGCTATCCTCTGTGAAGACGCACACTCCAGACTGCGCACAGCCTCGGCAACTGTAGTGCCATTTCCTGTGCCAAGGTTGAACGTGCGAAACGGTGACTCGACATCTGCGCTAAGAGCCGCGACATGCCCACGGGCCAGGTCCGTAACGTGGATAAAGTCTCGAATCGCTGTACCATCTCTCGTATCCCAGTCCGTGCCAAATATGTCAAGCTCGGGTCGAGACCCTGTAAGAACCTGTGCGATGACTGGAAATAGATTCGTTGGGATGCCCTTGGGATCTTCACCAAGGAGTCCAGATGGGTCGCACCCGATGGGGTTGAAGTATCGCAGAGCAACAATGCGCCAAGATGGGTCGGCGTGTGCGATGTCTGCGAGGATAGCTTCACAAAAGTACTTGGAGCGTCCATAAGGCGACAACAAGCCAGAAACCGATGGTTCTGCCAAAGTTTCGTTATTTGACTCATCAAGATACAATGTTTCGTGATGAACGACGTCTTCTTCCCTCAAGCGCTCGCCCTTTGTAGCCTTGGACCCATAGACTGTAGCTGAAGACGAGAAGACAAACTTGTGGATGTTGTGTCTTCCAAGTAGTTCGACAAAATCCACAAGCCCACAGACATTATTGCGGTAGTACTGGAACGGCTTGTCAATGGATTCGCTCACAGACTTGAAAGCGGCAAAATGAATGACACCCGAAATCTTGGACTGGACCCTGATAGACTCTTCTGAGTCTGTGGAGGTCGGCACAAGCGTCGAATAGGACTCCAAGAGGAACTTCATAGCCTTGCTGCGATAGTCAAGCTTGTGGAAGTGCAGTGTTGGAAGCTTGAGTCCATGTTGCGCACAATGCTTTTGAGCGAGGACATTAATCTTGCTTAAGACTCCATGATAGCTGTTGCTGAGATCGTCCACGATGATGACGTTGTATCCTGCTTTCAGAAGCTCAAGCGAGGTGTGTGAGCCAATGAAGCCGAGGCCTCCGGTGACAAGAATGAAGCTATCACTGGTTCCCAGCGGAAAAACATTGTTTCCCAGGGGTCTAGCTTCAGAGTCTGAGTCTGGTGTGGTAATGGAAGAGAGGGAAGAGTTGAGTGACAAGGTCGATGAAGACCGTGAACTTGAGAGGCGGGACATGATGGGTATGTACAAAGAAAGCGAGAACTGCTGTAAAGACAATGATAGATCTTACAATGAGGAAAGGGTGTGATCTTATACCAACCTTTGCACGCAGCTACCGTTAAAAAACCGTTTACTCGTTTGACTACTGCTGCTTTTCCTCTATTGGGCTATCATATTGTCCCTGCCCATCCGTTTCTTCATTCACCGTCGAAGAACCGCACAAGTCTCCTGCTACACTAATTGATGGTCTGCAAGATTGTCATCTGTGCTCAAGTCAAACGTCTCGACTCCAGTCTCGGCTCCACCTCACACCGTAACCATCGGCGTGTCCATTTCATTTGACCCCGTAGCTTTGCATCGCGAAATGGTCCGTTCCAGAAAAATACCCCACCGAACCGATGAGTTGATTTAGACTACGCGCCTTGAAGACTAGACGTTTAAGAAAAAAAACTCAAATCAATAAACTCGACGTTTACCCCTGAGAAGCTGAACATACGCCTAGTCTTGGCAGACCCGTCGGGCCGGTGCCGTACATTCAAGCCACAGCTGATGAAACAGTTTCAGGGACAGCTGGAATTGAGTTCCAGGGGCACAGAAGTCAAAGACGGAACTTTAACTGACCGAGGGTGGCGTCAAGCCTTTTAGACCCTCTTAGCGTTTCAGCGGAGGACCGACGTTTGCCGGAAAATTATACTTGGTTAGTCTGAACCTCTAGAGCGACGAGTGACGTAGGAGACTTGATCGAGCTCCGAACCTCGAGTCAGGCTAACTAAGCTTTTTGAAAGTCACGTCTCTCAACGCGTACAGGTTCGAGTCAGGCTAACACGGACCGGCTGGCTTAGTGATCGCCCAAATTCGGCGCCATTGTGTTAGCGTGGATCTTTGTTCGTATAACCGTGGAATATTCCGAAATTGCTTCCATTCTGCTAACTTGTCAACTAATCGTCTTTCTTTCTTTTTTTTTCTTGACTACTGGTACAAGGGAAGGAATTTTACCCCTGTCTTGGTTGTGTTAGACACTTACTGCGCACGCCGTGATCCGGTCACTCCTTTACACAGATCGGCTCCATTGTGACTACTGCGTTGTGGTCCTGGACCTTCCTTCTTCCCGTCGCTCATTTTCCAGCTGTCATTGACAGCATTCACTTTATTGAAAGCGATCAATTCTTACACTCTTTTACTCTAACGCCATTATCTATTTCCTAGCCTAGTTGTAGTACACAATCTTCATTCTCACTATCTGAGAGACGCTTAGTCAGAACTGCACAAGCCTCACCCTCAGTCATTTACCATGGCTTCATTCTTTCAGCCTGGGTTACAGGACCCAGTCCTAGATGAATGCGAAAGCTCATCGCCCTATCAGATATACTGCAATAGTATTCTGCCTTCGGCTTTGAGGTTTAGGAGCCTGTACCAACTAGTTATTCTAGTTCTTGGGGCTACCTGCGTCATCGTTCCTCTTGTTCTTTACTTGATACACCGTCTCTATGAGAGACGATTCTTTTATTTGCTGTCGAGGCGAGGAGCGTCTAATACGTATGTCATCTGTCAACCCTATCGCCTCGCTTCCATTAACTTGTATTTAGGAGCTCCAAGCCTCTGTCAAGTCCGAGTGCCAGGCATCTTGTACCATCTGCCAAGGGAGCGCGATTCGCTAAGCATTATGGCTCTCATGTCCCCCAGCTCACACCAAGCCTTCTCAAGCGACCAAGCACCCCCTCATTCCGTTCCACAAAATCATTCTGTCTTATTTCCGACTCTGAAACTTCAACGATCCAAGAGCCAGTGCCAAGCTATGATCTCGTTATCATCCCTGTCACTATGGGTGATGGCCCTGGAAGTGCCGCTGCAGACTCATACTCCATCAACTCGCATCGCTCAATACTGAATGATATACCGGCCAAGATGACACTTGCACACATCAAGATGGAGGACTTTGGGCATGAAGACTCTCAGCTTACCGAATCAGCACAATCCTTGGCACTACTCCAGACATTGAACGATTGGGCTGGATTTGCACTGGAGTGTACCTCTACCGGAAGAACTGACCAGACGAACTATCTACTGGCCTGTCTTGCAAGTCTCGAGGTGCCTGTCATCCTTCAATGCCACCACGACTGTGAAGCCATCGACCAGCTCGACCTGTCTCTGGCCTCAGGCGTTATTATCGAGAACGCATGTATTCTTTCCAACGGTCAACGGCGCGACTACTTCAAGGCAAGAAGGCTCAGGGATACCATGTCTCGGTGCAGTGTGCAGCGCGACAAGCGACCGGATTTCTTTGTCGGATTTCTGGATCGATGGGTAACGCGACCTAAGCCATCTGTCGTCCGACGTGCTGCCAAGGTAGCCCAGCACTTCGATGCGGTCATGGAGCACGGCTCTGCTATGAATCCCAAGGCATATCCTCTAGAGAGCGCGACAAAGACGATGAGTGCTTTCGAGTATCTACGACGAGCAGAAATGATTGAGGTCAGTTATTGATTCAACAAGCTCGAATGAGCCTTTCTAACATATCACAGGTGCAGAAGTGTTGGATGTCTGGGGAGCGCAACATCGATGTTTCCAACCCTTCCGAGAATCCCAACGTGTCAAAGCTCCCTTTGGACATCCTGGGCTCCATCATTCCAGAAGCCCCAAAGCTTCTGGCTCATTCTGATGAGTCATCAAACGCAGCGTCTACGAAGGATAGTTGTCAGGCTCTCGATAGTTTGCCAAAACCGTCACATAGCACGCCGCGGAGAACCAATGTTTGGGATTACGGTAATGGTAATATACAGCTTTCATCTCGAGGCTGCTTCCCCCTTACTTGCGAGCCAACTGCGGAACACTTTGATGCTGTGGTGCGGACCCAAGCTCATCTGCAAACTCTCGACATGCTGCAGGATCTCGAGGGCGTCGACAAACAACGACTTCTCAAGTCGCTTCAACATCTGATGGATCACGAGGGGCAACATGATTCTATGAGAAGCATGATTCAGGAACTTGTCGACGGACTGCTCGCTCGAGAAATCCAAGTATTCAAGGGCCTCAAAACTGGCTTCCAGATTCCTCGTGCGGATGTCAGCTTTTGGGGTGTGTCAAAGGATAAGCAAGTCGCACAGGGGCATGTCACGGACATATACATCTCTTTGTCGTCGCCTTGTGATACCGCCGTGATTTTGCATACCTGGCTTGCGCATAAGGGAGTTGGACGCGAAAAAAGGTTCGAGGAAGAACTGCAACTCGAGCGACAGAATTCTGGTCAAGCTGGAGCCCGCGTCCCTACCACCATCCGAGAATCCATCCAGGGAGCAACGTACGCCGAGCTTTTGTCTCTCACCCACAAAATCGGAACCACTCATACCAAGGATACTATACTCGGCGCAACGCAGTCACTGTGCCGTGCTATGCTCATCGAGGAAACTACACGTGCGGCTTGGAAAAGAAGCTCTGCATTAGCTGCCCTTGATGACTCGTTAAGTATGAGGCAGCTATTGGAACAGCGACTTGGGTACTTGGTAGAACAAGGCGCCAAGAGACTTCCTAGTCTTGACAACCTTTGTCATCTATATACATCGACACAAGTTCTTGCAGACGACGCATTTCTTTCTGGCGACAAACGTGTGCTGAGACAGCTAACGCAAGTTCTTCAATCGTGTCTCAAACCTCAGCAAGGAGATTCCTGCATGGACGTCAACGCGGATCTATTTTCACTCATTGCCTTCACTGTCCTGCGTAGGGCGGCGTTTGAGGACGTGTACATGGAAACCACAGATCGATGCCCACTCTTCCTCTCCCAACCAGATCAAGCAGCTGTCTTCTCCGAACTCTGGATTCTAGGATCCCAGTGTGAGATCTACTTCGACCTTTTCCCTCGCGATATCGGAAACATCATTTACAACCGCTACCGTCTTTTTCTTGCCGCTGATCCTCCACCTGAAGACTACAGAAGAGGCAACGAGATCATGACCATGTATCCAACTTCGGACGAAGCACCACCAGACAGCAAAGACAGTGCTGATCCTTTCAAGCTTACAACGCACGAGAGGATGCAGCTCTGGAAGAAGAGATTTGCGGAAGCAGGCGCTATGTCGATATTCTGTCTCCCTGCAATTGTCGACGTGACCATGCTTACACTCCTTGGCCGCGGATGCTTCATGACGGCTTTTATGGATCCGGACCATCTGGAAGTAGCTGGATATGCTCTTCTCGCGTCCATGCTGCTGACGGCTGGTGTGACGGGCTGGGTTGGCAGCGTGGGCCATTTTTACATGGCTCACTATGCCTACGACAACATGATCTACTTTCACGTGCAGAGACTATCAGGTGGCTTTGTCATAACACTGGCTATAGCTATATGTGGGATTATTGGCTTCTCCATACAAAGGTCTGTCAGCGCAGGTTTTGTATTTGTCGCTTACGTCGTCTGTATCGCCACTTACTTCAACGTTCTGGGCGTTATGAGTACAATGCATCTACACGAAGCACCCTTGGCATCTGGACGAAAGGTGATACTGCAGACCTTGCCCATCCTTCTGCTGTCTCCGCTCATATCGACGTTTGTCAATGGCCATGACTTGGAGATTTATCTACTTGTCATGTACGCCTTCCTTGTAATTCTTCTGTTACGTTACAGACGTCTTTGTCAGCAATGGTCGGGCTGGATGGAGAATATTCCCAAGTTCATGGAGAAAGACGTCTTGGAATGGTTCACGATGAGAACTGTCGGAGAGTCAGGTCAAGAGTCTGAAAAGGCAACGGACAGCGACATGGCACGGATAGCATTCACAGCAGCAGTCGCCGCGTGTACCCGACGAACCGACGAAGCAAAGTCGTCAGGCTTTATGTCCGACACTTTGGTCCGTCGCGTGTCAGAGGGAATGCCTTACATAGAATGGCTTCTCAAGAAAACGGCTGGCGGCAAAGCGCCTCCGACAAAGTTCACGACTGCATGGTTCACCCAGCTGACTGAAGCCGTCAGTCAACAACAACAGCTGAGGCGCGGCCTCAAGGAGCACAGTTCATTTATCCTATTTCGTCACGCACGACATGACATTGGTCAAAACCTTGGCCTTTTCCTCATCGCACTGATGGATCGCTGGATCATGATGGTCATGAGCGCTCGACAGCCGTATCCCAGCATGTATACCGACAGCCGCAGCAGGTACGGTATCTGGCTCGCTATTGTGTACTTCTGCCTCTCTGCCATGATCCTAGATGCGACGCTACAGAAGTACTGGAGTCACCGTTATGAAGTGTCCAATGAGAAAATGTCGGGACTAGCAGACGCTGAGCGCATTGAAAGAGAGGCCGAACGCAGACGCCGAGACTCTCTTATACAAGCAATCACAGATGTCTTTTCGAAACTTACTGTCGTCTTTGGTTGCACGACCATTCTTCTCTGGCTTCTGGTGGAAAGCACCGAGACCATGATCATCTACTTCATGTACGTGTTTGGCTACTCGAGCGCTATCCTGTTCCAATTCAACCGCTGTTTTACTACAAACATTGGGTCGCATGTTACTGCAATGATGACCTCTGCGGCAGTGGGATTTGCAGTTGGCTGTTTTTTACACGCTATCCCAGCAACTGCAGGATTCCTGTACACAGATGTCTTGTCGCAGAATCTGGCTGCTTTCTTGGCTGCTCTAGCAACATCTTATTTCGCGTGGAGAGACGAGACTAAGACTGATGTCTTGGCGTCCCTGAATGATGAGGATGAGGGACAGACCCTCATTACACGGAGCAAGCTCAATACTGAAGGTGCCGACGAAATGGAAGTAACTGCAAATGTTGTTTCTGACTTGGTTGTCAGTTCCACTATCCAACATGGCAATGGGTCTGGTGTATCTGACCAACTGGAGAAGCTTTTGCAGCTCACCTTACAGGATCCCAGCCATCACGCCAGCTCTGTCGAATGGTCGGATAGTCTCATTCGCAGGGCGATGAATATGTGGCAGACACAGCAAGCCGTCGTCACAATATCCACTAGCGAGTCCTTCTATGACAATGGCCTTGACAAAATATCTTCTCTCAGTTACACCAGGTCTGGAGTTTTGCACATTGTCATTGGCCAACTTGGTGGGACAGACAGCATGCTTCCTGCCTGGCAGCCAATTGTTGCTGCCATAGCTTGCGAAGCATTGCTGCACCACGTGGCCCGGTCGGAGATGAATTTGTCTCAAATGCAAGCTGTGCAGTCTGAACATTTTGCTCATGGCACTGAGTCCCTGTGCAAGCGTTACCAGTTGGAGCTCGCGTCTCAAGACCATCACAGCTCGCGACGTCTTCTGTTACAAACGGAAGTAAGGATGATGGAGCTTCTTTGTCTGGACGTTGATGTCAATTCCGGGTGGAGCGACCTTCCGCAGTTTGTCCGAGAAATGATCCTTGATCGTGTTTGTGGGAGTAAGCACTCGGTGTCAGCTGCAGGTCGTCAATGGGTCACCAATCAAGGTATTGACATTCGGAACATCGACTTTCACTTGAGGCTCGCACTTGACATACACAAGCAATGCGAGGACATTTCCCGAAGACCTGTTGGAGCTTCATCAGCGCACGAGAAGAGCCCTGCCTTTGCTGAGCTTAGGGTCACCGCTCCAGCATCTCCCCAGAAGCAACAGTCCGTACGCGCTTCCCTCAAGTGGCTCAGCCTGGCTAGCTCTTCAATCATCAAGTGGATCGCTATAGTCACTGGAGGTGGTTCCAACATTGAGAGGGAATTATCATACCTCTTAGGTGAGACTCCTCTTAACAGCTTGTTACTATGGATTATTCTGCTTTTGTGGAGGGCCTGTCGTTCCATGGCGAATCTTTGGATTTACTGGTTCATCATTCATAACAAACCTGCCCTCGTCAACATCGCTCGTCTGGCTAAGAAGGGAGAGCGACGGAAGATCAAACTCAACAGGGGCGCTGTCGTAGTTGAGCAACCACGAGAAACTTTGACTGGATTCGCATCTCACGGAGACGAAAGCTATATGACTCTCACGTTCCACAAAGGTCTACTCAAAGAGCGACCACAAGGACAATCCCCTGCCTTCTTTGCAACCTATGATCAACATAGTCGTCTACAGACTAGAGTCGAACAGGGACACTCGCGAACTGCAACCTACACTTATGCCGAGCACACAATGTCTCGCCAGCCTGTCATCGTTGAGGCCACGAAGGATGGTGTTCTCACCTTCGGATACTACGACCAGTATGGAAGGATAAGCAGAGGAACGATTTCAACTGGTTCTGAGAACATTGGCTTCCAGTACCACTACCGTCTTCGACCCAAAGGCAACGCTGATCTACTGCGGGCCGACTACACTCCGACGGGCTCTTCAAGTGGAAACTTATTTTCCGTGTTCTGGGGCAAGCCGGTTGATCCAGAGCGCTACGACTGGGTTCCGTCCAAGTTTGTCCATCGTATCGTTCAGCGCATTGACGGCAAGGTGTACATCACTGAGTACGACTACCAGCATCGTCGCGACCCTGTAGTCGTTTCACACATGCAGGGTGATGACGGTAGCAAGACTGCGATTGCCAAGCGACCGCAACTTTTCGAAGCAGAAGAACAACTTCTAGTCCGTCCCGAGAATCTATCTTTTGACTCAGAAGATGTTCTACACCACTACAGCATCACACAGGTGAAGCAGCTGCGTCGTAAGGCAAGCAACGCGCCAACGTGGTCGACCTACTTGAACCCCGTTTTCTGGCTCGCGCAGTGGAACCGACGTGTCTACAAGCGTGTACCGACGTGGCGTGTGCGCACCGAACTGTGGAACCATTGGAAGAGCAACAACAGTCTTGACGCTTCCACGGCTTGCTGGGTTGATGAAGTCATCCTCAGAGAGGAACCGTCGCTCCGGAAGTATTGGAAAGCTCGAGATTCGGGGCGACTCGACAAAGCCCGCCAGGCACTTGATGACAACATCAACCAGATAGTCTCGGCGATTGACATGCAGACGGACGTGGCCGAGGTCACTTTGCTAGCCATCAAGACGGCGGATCTCTACGCCATGGGTCTCGGAAACGACGCAAACCCAATCACTACCCAGCCACAAAACTGCTACAACGATACCGACAGTCGGATCTCGGTCATCTTCAACGACATCGGCTGTTGGCCTATCTCGCCTGGTGGTGTGTCGAATTGCCGACGTGACTTGGTCAACGGCCACAGCACCATTAGGAACCACGTGCTGGCTGAGTGCGCAAACGACTTCGGTATACCACGCTTCCAGGTTGAGAAGAATGTCCAGTCTATGAAGTTACTTCCTCTTTGGGGTCTTGATGGTAATACCGCCAATCACGGCGTCATTGACAACTTGCTCGAGTCACAAGTTGACGAGAAGATTGCTGCAACCGATATCCAGGACGACGTGGTGGGGACTTTTGTGCCCCTTCTCACCGAGTTTGTCAAAGGTGCTAGGACAAAGCGATACTCGCGAGCTGACCTCGTCAAGTACAGCAATGTCATACTATCCATGGGCAAGTTCTTCGAGACCAAGGACTATAGCGCGACCTGGAAATCCAGCCAGTTTCAGCGGGCTTGGATGAAGGCTTGGTTGATTCCTTACAACGATCCCAACATTGCCAGCGTTTCGGAATGCTTTGAGATGGAACGGCCAAGCATGTCCGACTTCAGAGACGCTTTGGGCATTTACATGGCATATCTGTTTATCTACGCTGTCCAAGTACCCGAAGACTGTCCTCGTGTGTTTCAGAGCACTCATCATGGCATAAGTAGTCTGTACGGCATGATCTTGCAGTGTAAGCAGGACGTCACTTTCGGTATCTGGGACCATGCTATCTATTGGCGCGAGACGTGTCTGAATATCAGTCCAGCGCAGTGCGAGCTGCCACTCTCGGTGCAGTCTATGTTACTTGCTGGTATTAGCTTGGCATCTCGTCTCGCCTACTTCCACGCAGATGTCATCATGCCTTGTGCGTCTGTGTTCAATCCGTGAGTTACCAAATCGCATAGATGGAATGTCTACTAACACGTCAATAGTATGTGGGAAATCGAAATGGGGACAGATGGTGGCGCGATCGGCAGTAGGAACATGTTCAAGCGGAAGGTTGATCCCATCGTGAATGGCATCAGTAACATGGATCGCTTCACGCCGGCTGAAAAGGTTCGCACCGACAAACCTACCGTGGTGATGCTGTCCAACGTGCAGTTCATCAAAGGAGTCAAGATCGCCATTCAAGCAGCTGATGTAATCATCAACCAGCTCGGCTTTGAAGATTACCAGCTTGTTGTCTACGGTGCCAAGGACAGACAGCCTAGCTACTGCATTGAGATGGAGAAGCTCATAGTTGATTGTGGTCTGTCTGGTAAGGTTGTGTTGGCGGGCTTTGGTGATCCGAAAGTTGTGCTACAGGATGCATGGCTGTTCATGAACTCCTCCATGTCTGAGGGCCTCCCACTTGCTATTGGTGAGGCAGCATTGGCTGGAGTTCCAATCGTCGCGACGGAGGTGGGAGCGACGGCGTTGGTTCTTACAGATCCCAAGAACCCTGACCAACAGTACGGAGAAGTCGTGCCACCGAATGATCCGATGGCACTTGCACGCGCTCAGTTGAGCATACTTGGTATGGTTGGACCATGGTCAAAATTTACTGGAGATGACCATGAAAAGCCTCCTGTTCTACCCGATGAGATATTACCAGAACATGTGGAATGGTTGACACGTCGGTTTTATGAAAAGGCTGATGATAGGCGGAAACTGGGGCTGCTTTCGCGCGAGGTGGTGTTGCAGAGTTTCCACGGAAGTCGCTATCTTAGGGAGCATGAACAGATGTATTGGATTCAGTGGTATATGTCTAAGATGAGGAAGGAGGCCGCCTTAGATGATGGATGTTTTAAGTTTGGGACACCGAAACCGTTACGCTATGCTGATTATAGCACGAGTTAGGATACAGAAAATTACATATGTTGTCACCTCAACCAACAAACACGTCAGATAAAATCGCTAGTTTGTCGAGCTATAGTCCTTGGTAGTCAGCTCAGGTGGAATCTCAATACTGTTGGTGGCACGACCCCTGTAGATACGGGGATAAATGCGGCTGGACGGAGAATATTGGGTTCCAGACCTGTCCTTTTTTCTCTTCCGCGTTTGGTACATCGTCTGACTACTGATTGCCGATTGCTGAGGAGGTTGTCGTCAAGAGTGTCCTACAAAGCCTCATTTAAATGAGCATTATAGAAGTAATTAACAAATACATACTACCGGGCGTAAATGGTCGATTGATATACACCGGAGATACGAAGGCTTTGAGAGTGAAATCCTCTAGTAGGCTAATGATCCCTGCTCAGTTCAGGTTTATTTCGCCGACCACTACTGAGATCAGTCCAGGCCTCTTTCTAAAGTGGATAAAATGAAGATCTGCAACGCGGTCTCCGATTGGACAACCAACAAAAAGCAAAAAAGACAGGCAGCATTAAGAAGCCCAATCGGCTGATTCCCCCGGAAAGGAGTCTTGTAGGCGTAAGATATGATAATTTTCTATATATTGGTCAGTGACTAGTCACCCGGCAGGCTTGGCTGGTCCTTGAACCGACACTCCCTTGGTGACCTTGAGGGCATGCGTAAAGTAAGGACGATAGTATTCATCTTAAAATGCATATTGGCTAAGTCAATCATACCGAAGCTTAAGTATTCGCCGGCGACAAGCCAAACCCTTGGGGGCTCCGCTAGGTAGTAAAAGATCATTTCTATGAAGTCCAGAGTGCTGGGATCTGCACCTACCCTGGGATGCTTGGGCCTAGAATCCAATAACATGCGCTGTTGGATGAATCGTTCCAGGGGTGTTAAGGATCTAAGTGGGACAGCCGGGGGTGCCTGCTAAGACTATTGTCTCAGCCGCACTTGAAAATGTCTTTTTTTCTTTTTAGAGTTAAAAATAATCCGAGTGCTGACCTGTTTGTTGCTTGTGAGATATTACCCGCTGTGGAATCCAAACGGGCAAAGCGATATTGTGTAGTTGCTTCTGGCTAGCAGTGAGTCTCGATCACTTTATTCCACTTAACATTACGATGCATCCACTTCTACCCTTGCAGAAGTGGATGTAGTGCAAGGGTGTTAATTCTACATAAGCTCACGATAATCTTCCTCTTTACCAAGAACCAGTCAATTGCAGTACCAGCTTAGCTCAAAGTCACCATGGTTGCGATTAAACATATTATTCTTCTTGCCCTTGGCACTGAAGCTCTTGCTGTCTCTAGTACTGACGTCGTCTGCCAGAGCAAGCTTGGAAGCGTCAGTGTCCCGGCTAGTAAGATCCCTCGGGCAACTACTACAGTGAAGAACAACATCACTATTCTCAAGAAGGTTATTCGCAAAGTTAACGTTATTGTTATCCCCCGACCTTGCACAACGACTGAAACCGAGACTATTGAGGAGTCGACAACAGTTCTCGCTGATCCTGATGTGGAGACAGCTACTGAGATAGTAACTGGTGAGCGATCAGCCCTATGGTACTTGCTAGTATTGGATGCTAATGGTTCTTATAGATGAGCAAACCGATTACGAAACACGAGTCCATACTTCCACGACCATTTCAACCTCTTATACAACCACCACTAAGTTCACTTCCCTGACAGTTCCAGCACCAGCAGGCTTCACCGGCCTCAAAGAGGCTGGCGACTATAGGGCAAGGGTCAAAGCCAGAGCGGCTCCTGCTCCTGTAGCCCAGCCCGCGGTTCTTCCACCTGGTCTACGATCTGGCTCCCAATACGTCCAACGAGTTGACTGTGTCAAGAGGGTTCCCAACAAGGTAACCAAAGTTACTACAGCTACAGTTAAAGGACCTCGTATCACATTAGAACCGAAGACAAAGACCAAGGCTGTTAAAACCACTACTACGATTACCGAGACGAAGTATCCCGCCAAGGTAACAGAGACTAAGACGGAGACTGTCTCCCCTACCGTCACGGAAACCGTTGACCGCACTGAGACGGCTACTATTACCGAGACTGGTAAGTATCATCATATCATCACAGCCATGTCCATTTTCTAACATCATTCAGTCGCTGTCGAGTCAGTCGTGCCCACTGGCGAACCATATTATGCGGCTTGCGCAGGAAACATCTTGGATGTTGCCAATGGTGGCAACGGGGTTTCAGACATTTCCCGCACGGTGCCTGCTGAAGGATCAATTATCATCGGCCCTCAAAACAGCTATGCATGCTGCGCCGAATGCATGAAGGTAACGAACTGTGCCATGACTGTGTTTTATGCCCAAGGAGCAAGCGGGAGTTGCTATCACTACAACATTCTAGACACAACCAAATGCGCTAATGGCCAACTATCATGGGGCACCTACTACACCAGACCGGATGTTACTGCTCTACGGGTATTTAGTAACGGCCCTTGTGGGAAGCTGACAAATGGAGGCAATAGATAAGAAAGTTTTACGGTCTTTGTTGCAAAATACTTCTTACCTACAAGTTCCATATTAGCATTCTTAGATCTTTAAGCTCAAAAGCTCGCTGAGCTTGATTATCTCGGTTTTGGTGGCGGATAATGTTCTTCTCAGTTTAACTTGGAAGGCTTATGTGTCGGCAGTGAATACATTTTGGGTGGGAAAAGATGCCATTCTGCCACCTTGTTCTTGTCATAGACAAAATTTAGGATCTCTGGAAGTCGAAACAGAAGAGTTTGTGTCTTTGAACCATGTCAAATAAAGGATCTCAAGGGTCACAACCGACATCATAAGTGTGATCTTCATTGATGTGTACCGGGCTCATGACTCTGAAATCGAGCTATGTTCACTGAAACGAGCACACTCAAGAGGATTTCAATAACCTTGTTTCTGTCTAACAGGTAGTTAATCAAGGGGAAAGATGCGCTGTTTTATGAACCAAACGACAAGCCCACATGGCGAATGACCCACCAATCAAGGCACTGTATTTGCTGACACATCCGACTTTGACTTTATGACGATGGATAAATACTCGTATTGCAAACACCGCTTTTCTCCCTCTTCCATTTGACGATGACTTCACTTTAATATTATCAACTGCGCAATGACCGGAAAGTACCGCACATTGGATATCTGGGATCAAGTCGCGCCAAGAGCGTATATACGTCTATGGTATTGTTTTCCTTACCAACAATCTGCAAGTCTCGATGACCTCAATCGGCATTTGAGACTGGCTCTATCTAGGTTGTCCAAGCAATTCCCGAATTTGAAGAGCAGAATTTCTCTCCTTCCAAACCCACCGGGCTATCTCGCCATCAGTGCGAGTGATGACACCAATATTCCTGTCAACGTTCTTGACCAGCGAGATTCATTTAGCTGGTCGTACAGTCAGCTCAAAAGTCAAGGCTTCCCCGCAAGGGCTTTTGTGGATGGCTCTTTCGACCTTCCTTACCGACTAGTAGACGGCCAGCAGGGGATTCCCGTATTTGAAATCAATGTTCGTCTCATTGAGGGGGGATTACTTCTTGGTATCTACGGCCATCATTCTGTTTTTGATGCTGGTCGTATGGACATAGTCATCAGGTCCCTTGCCGAACTCACCAGGGATCCAACCAAGATGCTTGATATTTCACCTCCGATCGATATAAACGTTGGATCACAAACAGTTGGGAATGATGTAACCCAGGTGCGGCCAGTCCCCGACTTAAAAGAACTGCTTTCGCGTTGTCCCGAGTATCGTCTTCTTTCCGCTCCTCTCGGCCCAACACAATTCCGCATCCCGGACGCTGACACGCAATCGAAGGATATACAGAACACTGGTAGTATTTTTGTCATTCAATACAAGGTCCTTCGCGAACTAAAGAAGAAGCTCGCGCATACAACATCCCTCGACTCCCATGAGTACCAGCCTTCAACATTCACCTGTCTTGCAGCGATCACCTGGGCTCATGTTATCAAGGCCCGTCTCTCTGGAACCCGTAGCATTCCCTCTTTATCATCAACCAAAAGGACCATTCCGGAAGAGGTACGCCTGATGGTTTCTGTCGACTGGCGACGACGCATATCCACCCATATCATGAGCTCCAGCGCTGGTAACTCAATTGTCCTACCAATCGCCTCAATCAACACTTCAACCATCTTAGCAGCATGTAACGAGGATCAGGATCTTGCCTGCTCCGCTCTGGCAATCATAGCGCGTGCCATCGACGAGGCTGTTCTCAGCGTCAACGACGACTTTGTAGCTCTACGGACGGCTCTTTTCCGCGCAAGTCCAAACCCGCGGCTTATCGGGCTTGACTTTGATCTATGTGATCCACGGGACTTTTATTTCAATACTTGGCAACACTTTGGAACTCAGACTTACTGGGGGCTGCCTGGACTTGTCAAGAAGGATTCCAGCGAGGGTATTGCACCAGACGCTATGCGCAGAGCCCAGGCCGGCTTCGGCAATGGTGCCGGCTTATTGTTGCCAACGACGGATAGCACTAAGTTCGAGATACTGATAACTTTGGACGTTGATTCGATGGAGGTTCTGCGCACTGATCCCAGTTGGGAACATTGGGTTGAGCAAACCTTCATTTGATGTTGAGGGGTAGGCGGGGTGCAAGAGGCTTCAGTTATACCGGAGGTGTTTTAAACCCTCCTGCATACCATGTGGTACACCTCCGCCGAGAAGAGCCCTCTACCGTTAAACGAAAACAAAAGGCTTGCGTAGACAAAATGCCCAATATCACTTGTACGGTGCTCGACCACACGTGGGGATAATTACATGGAATGACCTTGGACTTACTGAGAGATTTATACTATCTTCTATTTTAACCCCTTCATTGCATAAGGTTTTATAAAGGGGGAAACACATATATGTAACTTTCTTTGGCCCACATGAAGTCACTTCATGACTCAGTTTACACGTAACTGTGCCGCATTTCCCTCGAAACCCACGAACTGCTCGCCCCATCCGCCGCTGAACCGTAGCATGTACTAACAATTAAATCCTGAACCATTCATGTTTCAGCGCTTCTTCTGCGCTGATGCGCTTCTCGGGGCTATACTGAAACAGCTTGTATAGCAGATCTGCCAATAGTTTCTGCTCTGGTTCGGGGGTTACCAAGGACTGCTTGGGTCCCTTCTTGTAATCTTCTCCCGAATCAAAGATCTCGATCGGCTTACTGAGCGCCACTTCAAGAGACCAGTCCTCCTCTTCCCTTAACCATTTTCCGCTCTCATCGAAATATTCTTCGCGACCCTCCCATTTGGTCCACCACTCTTCCGGGAACTTGCCAAAGAACCGAACCATGTCTGACAATAACTCATCGTTGTCGTAGATCATGTAAAACAGCGGTAGCTGTTCGCGAATCTCAAAGAGTGTGCATCCGAGAGCCCAAAGGTCACAGGCTGCACCAAAAGCGTCCGGAAGGTCCAGCAATACCTCCGGTGGAAGGTAGTTCTCAGGAATACCAAGCCCTTCTGGAGGCGCCGAGAATTTGAATGATTCTCCGAAATCAATTACACAAATCTCATCTGTCAGATATTCGTTTCCAAGCTCGGACAAATCTGCACGTCGGACCACGTACTCCGGGCAAGAGGGGGGAAGTTCCTCCAACTCTGTCCTCACCAAAACCTTCGTGGGCTTTCCGATCTTTGCAAACAACTCATCCTCAGATAGGTGATCCAAGCTTTTCAGCTTCACTAGAATATTGGCAGGACGGAAGTCTTGACATTTCACGTAAGTAATAGATATTTCAGAGATTCCGGGCCAGACACACCTCCGTGGCATATCTGATTTCTATGCAGGAAGTCGAGTGCCTGTGTACTCTGGCGGGCAAATGTACGTAAGGCAGGACCTGAATCCTTTTCCAATCGCATCCATAAGTCCGGTGAGACACAAGGCCCCAGGACTGGAAGCACCAGACAATGATGAGCGCCGTTTGGTCCCTCAACAGAGAACTGATCCAATGGAGTCGCGATATAAGTAGCTCCAGGATGAGATTGATCCATTTCGGCTAATGTGAGGTCGGGAACGTCATCTGACTTCAACTCGCTGGCCAGGACCTTGAGAGCAATGTAACGGGCGTTCACTGAATCTCGACAAAGCCAGACTGTGCCAAAGCCACCGTGGCCAAGCTTGTGAATGACTTTGTATCTATCAGCAGGTCCAAGAGTATCTCCGAGGCGAACGGGGTGATACCCTCCGTCCTGGTACTCTTCTAACGATTCCACTCCCTCATTCGAACCGTCAAGGAAGGTACCTTGCGAGGTTGCCGGTGCATGATCTAGGAGAAAGCCATGGCGTTTGTCTGGGGACAGTGGCTCCTCAGAGGCCCTCAAGTCGTTTGAGGACATTCTTGTATGCGAAACCAAGGAGCAGAAGTTTGATAAAGTGCTGCTGAATTGCTTGTGAGCCGAGTTGTATCGTGAATATGTTTAAAGAAAACCGACGAGGCGATTGCGACGAAGGGCGGTAGACAGCAGAATTAGAGGGACGTTTGACAAATATTCAGCTATGAATGTGGAATAAGGATCGAAACGGTCGATCCATGGAGGCAGGTGTATGTCAGAGGAGATGCCGTCTAAGACTTAGGCCACAGAAGTAAAGTAGCCTAATTTCTAGCCTAAGCTATCACAAGATGACCGAATGATTTGTCTCTTATGCTCTTAGCAGCCAATTCTTCTGACACCCTGATGGGAGGGCAAGACTTGGGGTCAAGGTTGGGTTCATTTAAGCGAGGTACCAAGCCAGGTATGTGTTCTTTGTGATGGGACCCACTCGTTTATTACATATCTGGGGCAGCGGTGATTCGACTACCCGATATGCATGTTTGTTCTGCGAAAATGGGACAAGACAGAACTGCCCAATAGTAGCGAGAAGAGGCTTCATTATTACCGATGCCCACACGTGAAGGTAGCATCCATGTGTTTCATTGTTCACAAAGACGACAATTTTGGGTGATGCGCTACTGGCCATGGGCGTCCAAATGGCACGAATCTCATCATGAGCGCGCGCCCGAAATACCCATGCCAGTGCTGGTAAGAAGCACCCAAGGATGAGAACAATTCACAAATGAGATTGTGGAGAGATCCTAGTCTCAGGTCTTCGGGTGGGCAAAGGGCGTTCCCACCACCACCAGTGATCCTCCAGTGGAACTTCGCGCCTTGTCGACTTCAAGAAGCGGAGAGCCAGGCAGACGGCGCCAGCGTGTCTCACTGCACCACGCCCCGTCCACTCCGTATACTTATTCCTGTTCACCCATGTCGAAGAAGGGCGATCCAGGGGGAGTTTCCCATGCTTGGCTTCATCCCAACCTATCTTTCGGGCTTCTTCCTCGATATCCACTGAGCCGTCCAGGAGGGAGGCGTTGGGCAATTTGCTGTCCATGGTTGATCGTTCCCTAACGAATTTAATAGCCACATTGAAGGTCGTCCTAATTTGGCAGTAAGCGTCCTTATGTTCGGGGTGATGGCAATCCGTGTTAACCAGATGGACTGGTAAGTCGCCAATATCACCGGGTCTGAACGGCCCTTCGGGTCTACCACATGGTCCATCCATGACAATAAATAGAGACTGGAAAGTAGGTTGGAGGATGCACGACTGATTGAAAGCGGCGAGAATCTCCTCTTTCGTCGAGAGGGGGCCGTGTCCCTTTCCCAAGTATACACTAGGTAGAGATTGAAGCAGTTCAGGCTGTAGGTGCCGCATGACGTATCCCGTCGTTCAAGTCGAGACACAAGCCTTGGTGCCAGCGAAATACTTCCTCCATTGTTGGCTTTGAGCGACCTTCCTTCCACCAAACGTTCGACGTTGCTGCGATATGGCATCCGAATTCGATTTGAGACTGGTAGGGCTCAAATGACTGTCGGTAGAGCCAGATGTCCAAGTACCTTAGGATACCATTTCTCACACACTTGGCCTCCTGCTTTCGGTCCAGAACGTATATCATAACAGATTTGTTGTAGCAAAACACCAACTTGTGGAGCCAGCTAGAACCTCCGCCAACATTCCAGGTCGTAGGCTTGTAATTCTCGCCCTTGTGATGGTAGCGAAGTGGGTGGCATAAAGTCGACTGGATGGTTGACAGTCGGTGTTCTGCTTCCTTCAGCCCACGGAGGTAACGGATTATCTCGTCCCTGTCGTTTAATGGTCCAGCAGATTTCATTTGTACGTGATGTTAAAGGTCGCGCGCATCGGACCTCATCGATATGACTTGTAACAAAGGATGGCCGGTCATCTTGACGTCGGTTCCAGAGGCTGGCCTTGTTATATGATGGGTTGAAGAGGAGAGTCTGATTGTGTGTCGCGCCTCTTAAATATTTCTCAGTTTAGGCTTTAGGCTACAGGGTGTCTGGAATCATTGAACCTCTGGTTCATCCATTGTTTGTGTTACTTTTATTAGCGAAAGCATAATGTCTGTGGAAAGGGCACAGCGAAACCTTACTGACTAAGTGTTTTCTGCACAAACTCAACTGAGGTTGTTATAGGCACATCGTAAAGATAGCTTTCTCAAGCTCCGATTTGACAAGACTGGGCGCTAGAGCTCTAAACCACCTTTCCACATGACACTGATAGGTGGGTAACAGAGGAACAAGTTATCATTAGCGGTGAAACATCAGTCGTTGATCAACGGAGTAATGATATCCGCGATGGCCTTGACAGCGTGACATTACAGATGGAGCAGTGTTCCTCGCTTATGAGGTCGCAGTTTGCGGACAGTCAGATCATACGATCATATAGAGTTATGGGTTATTGACATGGACTTGGTGAAAGGTTGAACGAAGCCTCACAATGAGATTTTATCTAAAAGCGGAAGGTCAGTTACTATAGTTGCCAAGCGTCCTGTCTCTATAGCTTTGCATAGGATTTCAAATCGATATGATCAGTTCAGATAACAATTGAAAACGCCGTTATCAGATAAATAACAGGGTTGAACCAACAGGTGGAGTTGCGAACATGGGTTTCTAATGATGTATCCAATGCTTCCCTTCAAGACACCCATGTGAACCCTAAACTGACCCAGCAATAGTTCCAGGGATCATATCCTACAAAATTGAGGGATAAAAGGGTTCCTCTTACCGGTGTCTCCAGGTTTTAGAAAGTTCCCGATAACATCTCTTTCTTGACATTTGATTACCAAACAACAACATACCGGCCATCATGTACCATCTCGATCTTGAACCATTTGCTGCCGGTGGCCACTGCGCTGTGGCTATCTGTCTCGGAGAGACTCCTCTTGACAACCCAAACAACGTCTACGATCTTGTCAAGTGCCTTCAGCAAAAGTTTAGCGATATCGTCTTCCTGATTTGTGACGAAATTCACAAGTATGAGATGATGATACCGCGAAACATGACCATCACCAGAGCTCAGCGACTGGCCATCAAGAAGGGTGATGACATGGATGCGATTGTGACCAGCGCGTTTGATCGCCTGAGGCAAGATAATCAGCTGTCAGCCAACGTGACTATTCTCCGCTGGTCTCAGATCGAGGATCAGGATTACCAGAAGGTTCATGACATCATGTACCAATACCGAGACCAGTTCGACCAGGAGCTCCGCACAAGCTCTGGGTTCTACATCAAGCGTCGCCTGGCTGTCGCCACATTGACCGAGGAACGACTTGAGAACTTTACGAAATACACCCTCGCTGAGCTCCCTGTCCAGCTCTTGGGGTTGAACCACAACAATCGCCAGTACACCACCATCTTTCATCCCGTCTACCCTCGGAAGAATGCTGATGGGTCCGCGGGCGACGTCGGCTCTGCGTATGTCTCGCCGATCGAGACGGTTGTGAATGCCTTCCGTAGCAATGCAGATGTCGTAGGCGACATCTCCCACGCGGTGCCGCATATGGAGGCTGGGAAAGTGACACGAGTATTCTTTGACAGACCTGTCCGAGAAGAGGTGAATGAAAAGTCTTCTGTTCGCAGTGTAGCTACACCATTGATGGAGGCGGCGGTTGTTTCTTAAAATAGTAGCTGAATTTACAATAGGGCTTGTTAAGCTTACGTTAACTACTGTGTATAGTAAAGATAAGACTTCTTTTCAGTTCCTATGCTGCATGTCATACCTACATTTTATAGCATGGATTGTCTTCAATCGACCTATAGATATAACCACACAAGACGCTACATACCGTTATAGTGATGTCCAGGCTATCTCCTATGTTTTTATTTGATTTAACTTACTTGGTCAATTGTTTCAAATAATGCTCAAGACATTGGAAGCCTTGGTGTCACCTCAGAAGAAGTTGTCGACATTAGCGTTTACGAATTCCTGCGTTCCTTCACTATAATGGCTAACAGCATTGGCATATGGGACTCAAGGGTAAGGCTATGACCCTTCAGAATCATTGTCTTCTCACAGTTGGTACTACAGTTGACGAGACGTGTTTTTTCATAAGTCGTATAGAGCGAGCTAGCCAATGCCACTCACGTACCGATGGTGCAGCGCCCAATGGTACCCTACAGATTTCCCCCACCGAGGCGAGTCCAAAGTACACTATTGGGAATTCAAGTGATTCTGAGCTTGTGTTGATTCGACATGTATCCTGGGGACTTACGCCTCAGAAAATTCCAAAATACAGTGACTTTGAGATGTTGTACTGAAATGGTCAGCTCAACGTAGTGTACGAGGAATGAATGTGCAAAGGCGAGCATAAGCGATAGAGATTAATGTTCCTACTGTTTCGACAGCTTTATAGTTATAGTATTGAGTAGTATGGTATTGAAGAGTAAGTAGATCAAGTTTATGTTTATGATAGAAACTTTCAACTGTTAATGTATATAAATTAACGAAGACTTAAATTGAAGAACCGTTAGTAACAGGAATCGGGTGCGGTTGAACATATGATGCAGGTCCGTTGGACCATAGCTATAGCTCAGTTGAGGTTCACTTTAAAGTCGAGCTGCTATGTACTTCAGTATTAAAGATAAGTGTTTAAAGCAAGCTACCCGATAAGTAGACGTGTAAGAGTCTTAGATCTTACTTGAGATTTCAGACTATATAAGATATCAAGTTCATTATCTCGTATTTATGCGCTTTACCCTGTAGCGTAAACAGGGGTAATTGCAGGCGAGATCTGTGACTCGCTGATAAAGTTGCCTACTAGTCTCCACCAGGTTAGACTGTGCCTCTTGGCAACGTTTTTCAGCCCCGATCGAAGAGAAACCAAACTATTGATTTTTCACCGCAAACTAATTTCCCAAGATACACTTGAGCCCCTGTGCCTCTCCCGTTCCGTACTAGACCATCGAACTACTGACTGAAGGAAGTTGACCGCTAGCTCAAATAAGAAAACAACTCAACACTGCTTCTACAGCTTTGCCAGCGAACGCCCTCGGTAAATCGGCAATCACCATGCTAGTCGACAATCAACCTAAGATGGGTAGCGTTTCTGAACGAGTTCGGCTAAGAGCAAATTTCCCCCTGTCTACTTTACAGGTCTAGATTCCAGAATCCTACCATGCTTGCCCCAAATTCATGTAGATAACTAAGTCTCTTAAATAGAGATACAATATCCTGGATAGCCCCTCTCATCTTGTCGTTCTCCAACACTCTGCTGCACTTTCGTTTAACCGCGGGTTATCTCACGATGCAGCTGTCAAATCGTCTCGTAGCCTTCACGGCTCTGAACCCGTCTCTCATCTCAAGTGTTCTGGCGTCTCAAACCTGCAGTCAATTAACCGGTAGAGTTTACACCGACGGCCCTAACGGCAGAAACTTCGAGATCCTATGCAACACTTCCACAATTAATGGAAATATCTTTGCCTATTACTCTCAGGGAGATGAGTTTCAGGATTGCGTGGATAGATGCGATTCTAACAGTAATTGCATTGCTGCATTGTTCTTGGATGGTAGCAGTGACTGTGCCTTGATCAACACTTATCAAGGGACGAGGTCATTCAATGGAAATGACCTAGCCATCGCTCGACCAGCGCCAGCTCCAACTACGACATCGGCAGAGCCTTCATCAGCCGAGCCTACTACCACTGAGGCTGCCACCACTGAGGCTACATCGAGCGAGGCTCCAACAGCCGAGACCACCTCAGTCGAGACCACATCAGTCGAGTCTTCCACAAACGAGCCTTTTTCATCTGAGACCACTTCCGCCGGTGCTACATCAACAGAGACTACAGCAGCTGAATCTTCAACGATTGACTCGTCTAGAATCCAGTCCTCGGCAACCGAACCTTCGTCAACAGAGCCTTCATCTACACATGGAACGTCATCAGAGACTTCGTCAATTGTTCAAGACTCCACTATGGTCTCTACTACAGACTCGTCTTACACCCGTACTGCCACCACCGAGGCTTCAACAGACGACTGCGACGATGAGACATCATCTTATGAGCCTTCAGCTACTTCCGCTGATTCCACATCTACAGGATCAGCGTCCGACGTGCAGCCCGTTACCTCATCTACCCAGAGCCTGACTGGCTCCACTTCGGCCCCTGAATCATCTGAACCTTCAACCTCGCCTTATTCGACTATTCAGACCATTCCAGCAGCTTCTACTTCTGTTACTACAACAACTGAGGCTTCTGTGCCAAGCTCTCTGTCAACCTCGGTTACAAGCCAGGAGGTTTCTTCCATCCCTGTGTCTTCAAAGTCCACAACGACCCAGATTTATGCACCTCCAGATCAGGCAACCTCTCTGATAGGTTCCTCGTCCTCTGAGACTAAAGAGTCTGGCTCGAAGACGCTTCCATCCTCTGGTGTTACCACCATGAAGACAACAGCCGAAGGTCGTCTTCCCACATATCTTCCTGCCTCCGACTGCGTCTGGAGTGTTTACTTGACTATGGTGAAGTATGTCACTTGCAGCACCGGCGTAGTCCCCGAGACAACAACTACTGCCACGTATGTGACTGTTGATGGTAGCGCTGTGACTTACGGTCCTCCAGTAATTCAACTACCCAGCGGCTGTATCGGTGGCTATCAGGTAGACGCTAGCGGTCACAGATATCCTGTGGTGCAACCTACAATGGGATCTCAAGGCTACCCATCAGGTGAGAAGAACCATCCATCTGTTCGACCTACACTGGCATCACCAGGTGGCTCTCAGCCTAGCTCTGGAAACAGCCAGTATCATGTTCCTGCTCCAACTGCAGGATCGCAGGGACCTCATGTGCCAGAGCAAGGTAGCGAGAAGCCTTCTGTATACCCGACGCAGGGATCGCAGGGCAGCTCCCACGACAGCAAGGGCAAGCCACCTGTTTCCGGCCAGGACTCACCAAAGTCCAACGGTGGTGAGCCTCATCGAACACTAGGTGAGACTGCTCCAACAGTCATCTCAGCATACCACACTGGTTCCCCAGCGTATCCTTCTCTGGCATCATCTATCCACCAGGGTCAGCACAACACTTCAATGACCTTTACAGTCAAGACAGCTACCGCTGGAGGTGTAGGAGAACACAAGGCTAGCTCGTCATCATCTGCAGAGGCACCATCTACACCAGTCATTGCTTCAGGATCAAACAAACATCGGTCCATGCTTTGGGCATCAATGGCTGGAGCGCTTGTGGCCTTGACCATGCTGTCCGTATAGTTTACATCGGTCTGTACTATACAAATGATATTGTACTTGGATATATATATATACTTCTACTTACATAGTAAGCTAATGGAACATTTAATACTTCTTAATCTATGCATTGATCTTCTCTGACACCTCTGACACTCAGTCAGTGTTTGCTCCACATGTATTGGGAAAAAATGTAGAAAACACTTGGAATACTTTCACATGTTGTTCGGCTTACTTTCCGAAGAGCAAGATATTATCCTTTTAAACTTGAATGAACTTAATATATAAAATTAATTATGGAAGGGATTTTACTTTAGTGTACAGCCGTTAAGGTATAGTCCGAACGGTAGAGGGTGTTTTCGGAACAAGTGCGTACTCTTGACTAAGCAGAAAGAAGCGGTAAATGTCGGAGCGACACAATCCAGGATGGCACGTACCCTACGATACGAGATCTGCGGGAAGCCACGGAAGCGGGTGGAAAATTGAACTCTCTACTTTATGCTTGAGTTGGGAGTCTTGAAGCAGGTTAAGAAAGCATGATTACCTTCATGCTCTGTTTACGATCGACGCTGCCCAGTCAATCTTGCGATACAAGAGGCACGCCTCTAGATCACTAGGAAACACGGAGCCAGGAGAATTTGTCAATCTGATGGTAAACTAACTTGCAATGAATTCAACTGCATTATCTCAATATACCTAGGACGAAGATTTAGGAGAACATGTCCTCCAATCCGGCAGTTCCTTTTCCAATACCACAATTAGAGTAAATTTTAAGCTGCGAGTGACTTGAACCCGCGCCCATCCTATTGGAATGGGACCCGGTAAAGATCCAAAGATGTGCAGGGCTCCACTAGAAGATACACCTGACAGTCGTACCGGATCCAATGAGATCGTGTTGCATCTTTGCTTGTTAGGGATCCCTGCCTTGGCTGACGGGATACCGGGACCTTGAACAGCCCCGAACTTGTTGTTAGGTCCCGAATTAAGCCGACTTGTTCTCTATCCTAACACTTGAGCTGTCAGGTGGTTGACAGAAGAATTCTCCTCTAAGGCTTAGGTTGTCAAAATAGATTAACCTAAGAGTTACTCTAAGTTGACATAAAGTGACCAAACTATTTCGTCTCTTATGCCTCTGGGGGCCAATTCTTCTAACCTGCTGAGGGCCGTTCGCACCGATTGACATGGTGGGCGAAACAGGAACCTTTTTCCAAGTCGCCAAGTACCCAGCGGCACCCAGAGATCTGTACTTGCTCTATGACCCGAATCCCGGATCCATAAATTAAGTCATCAGACCTTATGCTACGGCAACGCGGTGCAAGGTCATTGTGAGTCATGCGGGACTCATTTCTAGTATAAAGGAGGAGCTTGGTCACTTCTTCACTGCTGGAACGACCAGAGACATTGCCCGGTAACCTATTAAAAACATATCCCTTACGATTTACAGTCCCAAAGGCTACATCTGGAGATTCTACATTCTTCTTTTCCACTACCCGCTCGACTCAAACCATGGATATCGACTACTATGAACGCATCGTGGAGAGGATCCAACTGGACAACACTCAGGTGATGGTGAGCTCCACCGCATGTTTCGTCATCGGCTTTCTACAATATGTCTACGCCATAAGACTTCAAGTCCGGGAAGGCCTTGGCCCGATACCCTTCTGGATGCAGTCATTATACGTAGCCCACGAATTGACATTTGTTTACCTCTTCTCCCGGGCTGCGCCGCAATACAATTACCATTGGTTCCTTGTGGGGACCGCGTTTTCGCTATCCGTGTGGGCGACACTCGAAATATTCTCCATGTGGTATAGCATATATAACCCAAAAGACCGCGTCGCTACGTTCTCTCCTCTTTTTGGACGGGACCCTGCCATTTCCTCTATCTTGGCCTACTTATTCTGGTTTCAGCTCGCTATGTTTGCGTTCGTTTGGTCTTTAATTCATTTCTTGGGCCCTGGATGTTTCCTCCTCACCGGAGCGCTTACCAACGTTCTCATGATCATCGGACCGACACACGAGTATCTAGCTCGCGGCTCACGGAACGGTCTTTCTCTCGGCTTTTGCCTTACCAATGTTGCCTGCGCCATATGGACATTCGCGCCATTCAGTATGGGGGTGGCAGTTTTACCTGAGATCTTCGATCAGCCTGTCATGTACTCCGCAGGGTGTATTTTGCTAGGATACTCCATATGGTTGACGACCGTGGTCGCTGCATATCCTCCTAAGACTGGTAGGAAGGGAGAATCGGCTCCAATCTGGTAGGAGGTGAACGAACTTCGTAACGTCACCCAAAAAAACGGGACACTTTTACTGTCTCACTTCAGAATTTACAGGCCCACCAGCATGTCGGGGTAGGCGATTGGTACAGATCTGCATGTAGGGGCCGGCAGCAGACACTCGGCTACGGGAATCTGGTTAAAAATACACCAGGGGGTAGTATGTAAAGAATCATCTCCCCTCTTTTTATCATATGTCAAAGGCAATAGGTCTTTCTTATCCATCTCGCAACCATACACAGTTACTCGATACTCTCAGTATCTTTCCCCTCGGAGTGATATTCCTACTTCTCCCCTGGTAAATTATCCGCTATGCCCTCTAGTGTTACGCTCCAACAAGTTGATAGAAGTCAGCTTTGTTCTCAGCACCATAGGATCCCTGAAGATGAGCGAATACTTCATCAGTGGCTTCAACGTCGTTTTCTCGCAGAATTCTGAAGCTCTTAATATCCCGAAATGGCTCCGCAGTTGGCCAGCAGGTGTTCCAAGCTTGACAACTGCTGCACTCCTTCTTCCCTTCGCCCGCTTAGGCGATCAATATGGCGCTCGATGGGTCTTGATGTGTGGCTATACATGGCTGCTCGTTCGGTCAATAACATCCGGTTTTAGTAAGAACTCCACGATGCTTACCATTTGCTGCGCTATACGGAGGGTTGGAGCTGGTGCCTGTATGCCTACCGCTGTGTCACTACTTTCCAGCACGTATCGGCCAGGTCTCCGCAAGAATCTAGTATTCGGGTCATATGGGGCTTGCGGTTGCTTAGGATCCCCTGTGGGTATCTTGATAGCAGGTCTCTGTGCCCTGCTGATCAACTGGAGCTGGCTCTTCTGGATCGGAGCTATTTGTGAAGTGGTCATGCTTGTATGTGGTTTCTTTACTGTTCCCAAGAAGTTTGGACACGGTAATTCCAATTTCTGCATAGATTGCTATACTCTTCTCACCATTGTATCTAGTCTTTGCCTCGTTATTTATGCTTCGACCGATGGAGGTTGAGCTCCGGATGGGTGGCGCTTGCCCAGAATCTATATTACATCCGTTACGGGCGCACTATTATTACCAGCCGCCATCTGTGTCGAAGGCTGGGTCGCAAAGGACCCGTTGCTTCCATCTGATCTCTTCCGGGTCAAGTACATGCGACAAATTACTGTTGGCTTGCTTTGGAGCTATGAAGTCTTTGGGCTGTTCGTATTTTATGGCACGTTTTGGTAAGTGATATACCTTCTGCTGTTCACCATTTCCTCAGCACATAGTGGAATAACCTCAGACTTGGCAGCTTCGAGACAGTTCTACATACTACGCCGATTGAGACAGCGTTTTAATTCACATCCTTGGCAGGAGGTGGCATCATACTGGCGATCCTGGGAGGTTTTATCCTTCACCTTGTTCCTGATCAAGTGTTACTAGTGTTCGCCGACGTTACCGAAAGCGCGGTGCTGTCGTCGATCTCGTTGGAATTGCCTTGAAGAAGAGGGAAGCAGCCGATGAGGCCCGTGGAGCGGTCGTCGACCTAGGTAACGCTGGTATTTAAGAAGTGAAACTCAGTTCGGAAAGCCTGGAGTAAATAATTACAACACAGAGAATACATAAATATAATCACTTTAACTAAAACATCAACGATAAATTTTCAGTATCCCAGCTGGTTCTATCTTGTATATTTGAGAGACTCTCTCCTGCTGTTAGAGGCAGGGTGACAAAGCCGAATTTTATCCAGGATCTACCACGTGATCATCATGGCTGCTTACTCGCATTCCCGCTGCGGCATTTTAGATAGAGCTAAACTTAATTTACATCTACCTACACAAATATGCTTTGTCAACTTTGCTCCGGCCTTGACCTCGCTGCCATCGTACAGATCAGGCTTGAGGAGGATTTCAATATCTCGCGGTCTTGGGACTCAAGATGGAGCGAGTTTGAAGAATGTGACAATGTTATTCACTTCCGATCAAAGTCGCACAATGATACAGATCATAAACGCGAAGAAATTCTTGTTCCTTACCACAAGACATTGGAAGATTTATATCGAGCCGCTGAAAATTGCGACCTTTGCCGAGCTCTACTTTGTAGTGCTGCAGGTATGATTAGGATTAGAGAGAGAATGGGTAATGAAATCAGGAAGTTCTCCCACGGGTCCTCTGTGGAATTACATTTATGCGGCCTCAGTAGCGGTCAAGGGATCCAGCTGATGGCATTGGATGCTGACTATGTATGTGCCGAATATTGGCTGCTAGGCGGAGTTGGGCTTTCTGTCGACAATGGTGAGTTTCGGCAGGGCCCAAGAATTGACGACTCGCCATCCTCAGTCTATCTAGTATGTTAATCCATTTACAGACAGCTCTCTCGTCGATATCATCCCTGGACGTACTATTTCGAAATCTCCGCGATCGAGTTACAGTCTTCTATCCGTCGAGAAATGGTTATCGACCTGTTCAACTCAGCATGGACATCACATTACTGACATCGCCAAACCATCTCGTTTGTTAAAGTATGACTACAACCGAGGCAAGGTGTCGCTATGCAATTCTCCTCCCTCGGGTATGAAGTATGCGGCCCTTAGTCATTGCTGGGGCTCCGTCCAGCCCTTTACACTTAACACTGGCACCAAACATCAACTTAAAGAGGGATTACCACTTGAATCATTCCCAAAGACGTTTCAAGATGCTTTTTGGTTAATCCAAAAGTTGAGTATTCCTTATATTTGGATCGACAGCCTCTGTATTGTTCAAGATGACCAAGACGACTGGGTGCATGAGTCAGCTCGAATGTGCGATATATACGGAAACGCATATCTTACGATATCCGCTACTAGGGCTAGAAACTGTTCAGAAGGGTTCTTAGGGCCGATAACAGGCCACGAGTATACCTACATCCCGTTTAAGCAGGATGGAACACATGGGAGCGTCGCTATATTTCCTATGCCCCTCAGTCAGGTGATACCTTGGGGTGATATCATCGGACTGGCAGACGAACCATTATCAAAGCGTGCATGGGCCCTTCAAGAACGATACTTATCCCCCCGAACGGTACACTTCGCGTCCACTCAAATGTACTTCGAATGTAGATCAGGATTTTATCCGCAGGATCGGCATTTCCAACACGAAAATAGTAAGATGAACTTCAAAATACACAGAAGAGCGACAGCAAAAGATGAAAACGCTGAGGATACTTGGGGTGTCATAGTTTACAGGTACACAGAGCGGTATCTAACTATGGAAAGCGACAAACTCCCTGCGATTGGGGGAATAGCCAAGCGTGTGTTTCTGGAGCGCCATTTGCACGATAATCCTGGAGGCGAGTATCTTGCGGGTTTGTGGAGGGAAAGCCTCCTTTGTGACCTGGCCTGGTTGACAGACACTGGAGAAGAACGAGGCGTCCCAACAAGTTACACTGCGCCATCATGGTCTTGGGCTTCTGTCAACGGACCTATTGCCTTTCGACAAGATCACGATACCCAACGTCTTGCTGTTGTGAAAGACGCAAAGGTCGATCTAGAAAACTCAGAAAACCCGTTTGGTAGGGTCACTGGTGGCTGGATCCATCTATGTGGCATCAAACTTCACCCATGCGATGTAGATGATTATGGCGGCATTTACATTCGTACGGGAGACGCGCGTTGTCATGTAAGTACCATCATGGACTTTTCGAGATTCAATCTGCCTGGAGTACACGGAACCGATTACAAAGACAAGAAGTCTGAACTGGTCGCCGTACCCTTGATGTTGGAAGAAGAAGATGACGACAACGATCATAACCCTGGAGCTCATTTTCTGCTTCTTGTGTCATCGACATCTGGGCAAGGTCTAGTCAACGGCCTCCCATGCTTTCGTAGAGTAGGAGTTGGCTCTCCCCATATTGTCAATTTGGACGAGAATGACGGCGATGCAAGGAGACGACTTCGAGACAGATGTGTGGAAGCAATGGAACAGGGAACTTTGGAGGATTTTATCATAGTATGAAAAGACTACAGATGTCGACGGTTCATTGAGTTCTCAATTTGATGTTACACTGGTTCTTTCCCAGAGATTGATTCAGCGGGTGGAGATTATTCTGAATACCTATAGTCGATGTCAAAGTACAGGAACTGCCTAGGTTGGAAGTAAAGCCGTCATAAGCACTAGGCCGATCCAAGATCAAGTTTTCAAGCAATCTTGTCTAGAGAATCACTTGCGCCCTGTAGGGCTGACATTTAAGTACAATGCGGTAAAACCCTCGTATTGGACAACCGTGTTCATATCTGCCAAGCTGAAAAAGGTCAGCGGAGCTCATTCTCCCAAAGGATAAGCGGCGACCAAAAGTAAGTCTAGACCACGGTCTATATTGAAAAATGTAGCCCCATTCAGCAATGCCGTCCATCAGAAGTCTTGGCGATCCACACTGATGGTAACCTTGACAAGAGTGAACACCCAACCGGCCAGGTGGGTGACAGAAGAATTGCCATCCAAGTTAGGGTACAGAAATAAAGTAGCCTAAACGCTCTCATGAACAGCCCAAAATGACCAAATTATTTCGTCTCTTATGCTCTTGGCGGTCAATGCTTCTGACACCCCGACGCCGGCTTATAATAGTGACTTGTAGAGCTGGATCATAGGCTACTCAGTAATCTCACGTTGTATTGATTATTGACAAGGGTCCTTGTTAAAATGAATTAATAGAGCCAGGGCCTTCCACTCTCTCTCCTGTTCAATTCTCTTACTATTGCGATTCCGTCATCATGTCACGAATTCCAAGTCTTCTGTTTTTCACCAACAGCGATTACGGCCAAGCCAACGTCATTCTAGCGACAGCACACGCGATTGGCCTCGCTGACCCAGATGTCGAAATCCACATCGCCTCGTTCCAAGACCTGGAAACCGGCGTCGATGATGCTTCCAAATTCATGCAGGCGTCAGCCGTCCAGCAGGAGCTACGAACCCCGAAGGCCTTCATCTTTCATGAAGTGAAAGGAATTAGCTGGGGACCAGCGACAAAACGTCCTGGGACAGCAATTTTTGACACGCTAGAGCTGACTCCGGGTTTTGTCAATTCGGCTAAAGGCGTTGCTACTCTACCGGCTGTTATGGTTCCTTGGACACCGGAAGAGTACTTGGCAATTTATTTGGAGACGCAGCGAATTTTTAATGAGGTGCAGCCGGACTTGACCATCGTTGAGCCTTTGTATACACATGGCTTGACATTCTGTCATCACCGACAAGCCAAGTTTATGGTCCTGTCACCAAACACGATCAAAGAGTTTGCTGTTCCAGTCCAACCAAGACTGGCTGCATTGTGGAAATATCCGATGTAAGCTGTCAATCCCATCCTTGCGACAATCTCCAAGCTCATATTATAGGGCATGTTCAGCGCTACCGTATCCTATACCTTGGAGTCTCATCCCCGTCAACATTGCCTTCAGCTTTGTAGCTGGTTATACCTTGCTCACAGACAAACGATTGAAGGACGCGACGAAGATTTTACACAAAGAGGTTGATAAGTCAATTCAACTCATGACCATGATGGAGCTCGGTGTCTTGAGACCGGCACCTGCTAATCTCCCCATCCTCGTGGCCAACAGTCCCGACATCGACTACCCATTCAGTGTCATTCCGACTCAACTCACCTCCTGTGGTCCTATTGTACGCGCCGCCCCGCGTCTCGCAGACGTTGACCCTGATTTAGCTGCATGGTTGAGTCGAGGACCAACAGTATACATAAATCTGGGCACACATCACAAGTCAAACCCGACTGAGGCATATGAAATGGCTAAAGCTCTCAAAAGGGTACTGGAGAAGGATGGGGAGTGGGGATCTACTGAGAAACCTCTCCAAGTCTTGTGGAAGCTGGGAAGAAAGCCGGATCAAAAGCCATGCAATGCTGTGGAACCAGATTCGTATCTTGGCGACTGGCTTTGGGCGACTGATGCATTGCAAAAGTATATCAAACAAGACAGAGCACGTGTCACGGATTGGCTTGTGGCTGAGCCGAAGTCTGTGCTTGAGTCAAAAAACATTGTATGTTCTGTCAATCATGGCGGAGCGAATTCCTTCCATGAAGGGCTATGGTACGTATACGACCCCAGATTTCCTTTCAATATGCTTACACGATATCTAGTGCCGGTATCCCGCAGGTACTTCTGCCCGCTTGGACAGATTGCTATGACTTTGCCAACCGAGTGGAGCTTCTTGGCATTGGACGATGGGGAAATAAGAAAGCGAAACCCCGTTGGACCGAAGATGAACTATCGGAGGCGATTCTAGCTACCCTGTTTGGACCGGAGTCAGTGGACATACAAAAAGCTGCCCAGGAGGTTGCAAGTCGTCATCCGGAATGGGAAGGTCGACAGAAAGCTGCGGAAGAGATTCTCAAATATTTACACAATGCAGATTAGACGACAAGTGGCTGCTCACTTTCAATATTAAAACCCCTAGAGCTGACAACTAAATTGGGATTGGTATGTCTTGGCTTTGTTATTTCAATGAGGCTACGGACAGATTTCTTTCAGATATAATGGATAATGCCCATGTTACAATTCTCTGCACATCGGTTGGAATCACATGTTAGGCCCTGGGTGTTTACTTTATCAATGTCACTTCAGCGTATATCGAAGGCATTAACACTTACTCAACGCTATAGGTGAGCCGATGACCGCAATAACACATATATCTGGTCACATGTCGCAAATCAGGAGTACATCGAGAGATACCTTTGCAAGTATAAGAGCCTTTAGAAAAAGCGTCGCAAGATGAATTTAAGTAGCCTAATCCAACCTTTCTGGCATACAGCGTCCATCCTAGTTCATACCATTCTATGCCTTACGGTAACGAAACTAGTGGGGTGAAGATCGATGGCTCTCAGAGACAGGAGCTGCAACTTCCGTCAAAGTAAAGCTAAGCGTCCGGTTGTTCACCCTTCGGAGGATATTTTGCCCCATCCTTCTCTACCTGAGGCTCACAAGGACACCAGCTATCCTTAGGAATTTCCGACATAACCTTAGGAACATGATTGCCACAACCCCACCATGTTGCTTTTTCTATAGTGAATCAACAATCAGTTATAGCCTAATATTGGGTGCGTAAGCCTTACTGCAAGAATTGCATGTTGCCTTCTTACACATTGTGAAGTTGAAGTATCTTTTTAAATGAATATTATACAAGATGATTGATTGTGCGTTTGCAGATTATGTGAATGGAAGTGGATGGGTCTTAAAAACAAAGAGTATGCAACTATTTATATGCTTTATTTAGTTTGTTCTGTATTTGTAAAAGTACTAGGATGCAACCAGCCACTTGCACGTGATCGGCTGATTTTCTATGCTGTTTACAGCTTAGTGCATGGTCAAACAAATTTAGTCTCAGAGTCTGATTTGTGGTTCTAGTCCCCGATACCAGTGTCCGATTCTAGTGTGCGATTCTATTCTCCGCCTCATGACCGACGTTAACCCCGGTGCCCGCACCATCAAGAAGGTTTCAAGCTCTGTAAGCTGGAACAAAGGCTTGCCATAGCTTCTGGAAGGTTACGAACTACGTGCTAGATCTGTCTTTATATGTTAAAAAAATTTCTTCTTCTTGACCTGTTTATAAAATAATGATACTTACATATTGAGGCCCTCATCTAATTAAATACCGAACCACCAGTTCTTTACCTTTATTGTTGTACTCAAATCACGCGTGTTCAACTTTTTAATTATGCAAGAACATCATCCACCTGACCAGCATAAAGAATCCAGCAACAAAATCCGCCATTACCTCTCCGCTACCTTGAACGTTGACTTTCTCCTTGAAGTTCAACTTCTGCTTCTTACCTTTAGCACTGGTATCCAGGATGCCGTGAGCTACCCCGATTTCAAATGCTTTGCGTCCAACCAGACCGGCAATTCTGTTGTGCTGGCTGTAGGTCTTGCCGGGCATGATGATTCGATATTCAATTTATCCAACGTTGGCATGAGTCTGGGGATGTTCCTGGCTGGAGCCATTATGACAGGACAGCTGGCAAATCTTGTTGGGCCATGCGGTCGTCTGTGGTTGATAACCAGTCATTTGGTCCAAACGCTTCTGACGTTTGTGGCTGCTATTATACATCCCGTATACTCTTCATCTGGCAATAGCCCCTCATCAATGGGTTCACTAGCATTACTCGCCTTTGCCTCGGGTGCTCAAGTAGCCTCCATGAGACCTTTTCGCATACAGGAAATCACAACAGCTATGGCGACAGCAGCATGGGTTGACCTCGTCATCGATCCAAGCCTATTGAGGCCAGGGAATCGTTCCCGCAATCGACGGGCTGGGTTTTTGATAGTGTTGGTGCTGGGGAGTTTTGCCGGTGCGTTCATGCGAACAGGTGTCGGGTCTTCAAATGCTTTGTTTGTGGCAGGGGCAGTGAAAGCACTAGTAACGTCATTGCTGTTTCTTAACCGTGAACAAACCCTTACGGATCAGTCCTCCATTGGTGCATAAGTAGCAAAAGAATGTACTGCTTGATTCATGCTGTATATCACGAGTAATCGATTGATAATTGTTGCTTCTTTTAAACAAAATGGTACTTTCAGTGGATCTCAGAACTGCCAGGATACTGTCAGTCGTTGAGGTCGTAAAGTTTCTCGCATCATATCTAGTTTTTGAGTGCGTCATTTCTCTCCCTGCCAAGGCTTCTACGCTAACGATGACCGCGGGGTCTGTCAAGTCACCGCTGGGTTTATGAATCTGACTAACCTACATGCATTCACGTGCTTAATGCCTGAATTAGCTTGAGGCTATCCATCTATGTAACACTATTAACGGCGGGTTATTATAGGAAGGCTCGATTTCTGACTGTTCGACTTGAAAGATACGTTACAGCCATCTAGTTTCACCTTTAGATCGCACGTACATCATTGTAAGCACAAGTACCAACTTCTGGTCCACAAGATAACGGAGAACAATAGTAGATTCCATTGTTTATAACCCTCAAACTGTAGCTTGTAGGCGAATTGTATTACTTGATATTGCTATAAACATCTGTGCGGGCGGTGGCGAAGATCGCTTCCGTTAACGCGACTTGGCTTCCACTTTCGTAGTTGATGTGTTATTGTCTGTCACAATGCACTATCTGTTCCTCAGTCAAACTCATGCCTGAGGCTGTAGCTCCCTAAGCATTTGTCGGATAAGTACAGCTCAGAACCTTTATATCAAATCACGCATGTGTGTTTAATTGATGTTAATTACACATTTGTTGAGGCTGTCCGCCAAGGGGCTAGTTACCCGGGAGCAGCACGGAAGACTTGGGGGGAACTTGGCTCTCCAGTAAATCAGCCTGGAAAAAGCTTGAGCACAAGAGCTAGCGCCACATCCGGTCTGGAGTCGCCACGATAACGTATCTTCACGTGATACTGATCCACTCGGTTACCGGTCTGGGGTATCCGGTGCTCAGACTGTGGTCTAGTGATTCTTAGACCAGTGGGGGTTAGCGTTATTACAAAGACACAAGTAAGCGCGTCTGTCTTTGAGCTCCGACACGAGACCTTTGAATGATTGTAGATCAGAGAAAAAGCGAGTCGTGAAGCGTTCTTGGCGTTTTGATCATTATTCGAGCCACCTCAGTTGCATAAAGCCGTTTGTCCGACAATGACCAGGTTGGGACAGGAGAGTGGATTGTCTTGAGCCAATAAATAAGCAGTTCTCCGCTGTAATTAGTAACTCAGAATGTCATTCTCTTGGCGCTAGATCGAGGAAGGAAGGCATGCATGGGGCTGACTCGGGTCTTCAGGACGTTTAATTCCGGATGATAGACAGATAACCCCCGACGGTCTCATGGAAACATGGGTCTAGGGCTGACATCAACTAGAGGACGACAAAAAGGACGACACTCGGGGAGGTGCCCGGTCACCAAAGTTTAGTGAGGGCGACAGTTGTCCTTTTCTTACCGCTAAAAAGATCGTCGTTGCAGCTTGGCGCTAGATTCCACAGCAGTTTCTAAACTAGCGGGAATAAGTATAGTTGCGCTTGGACCTGCAGACAAGTGACGTGAATCCATGAGACACGTCGTAAAATGCCTCTGGGAATAATTTGCCTTCCCCATTAACTGCTTGTCCCCTGAAAGGTCTCACAAGGGTCTTGAAGCGAGATTTCTCGCATCCACGATTTCGGAGCCGAGGGTTTCACGATCGCTTTATGTTTGTCAGGATTACAATACCTGTTCAGAGATGCCATTGGCTTAAAATGATCTTGAATATGAAACTGTGTCGTATAGATGAGCCGCATGAATTTTTCGTATGAATATAGGAGCCACAGGAACAGGGTATTGCATTTAGCGCAGATCCTACCCCCCATACAAAATGAAAGATCAGCACTAATTAGATTCTTCAACAGCCAGTCTTATCATGTCTGACAGGGGTAGGAGCAGATCGCCCGCTGCCTTTCCTTCCATGCTGAAAATGGGGCTCGCTAGCATGGCAATCGGTGCGACGATCTCCTGCAGAAGAAGCAAGAATTGTCCACATCTTGAATCAGCTGCCCCTTTTTGCCTCTATCTTATATGGAACTCAGCTGCCATCTGCGGAGCATGCATTGTTGTTTTTCTTCATCGTTCTGTTTGGGTTGGCTTGTCCATTAGAGTTCCATCATGGTCAGTTCAACAGCAGCGTCGGCCATCAGCGCCATTGAGCGCACATGCTCTGTGCCTAGTCTTCTCGGTTCACTTTTTATTATCGGTACCTTTTGTTCTTCGAAGTTGTTCCACAAGCCTATCAGCCGCATGCTTTTTTACGCCTCTTTTGGAAATATGATGAGTAATGTCGCTACACTCATGTCCCAGGATTACACCAACCGGCCAAACTCTGCGGGATGCCAAACACAGGCCTTCCTAATTGAGACGTAAGTCCTTCCGATACAACGCCAATCACCTACCTGGTCGCTCATCATCTATTAGGTTCATGTTTGCCGATGTCTTTTGGGCTCTAGCTATGGCTGCGAACGTATACCTCACCTTCTACTATCGATTCGACGGCATCAGGCTACGCAAGATTGAGCCACTCTACATCGCTCTATGCTACGGCGTCCCTTTCACCATCGGCATCACGTTTATCTTCGTTCGAAACAGCGAAGGACATCGCCCATACGGCAACGCGAACTTGTGGTGCTGGTTAACTGTCGAGTGGGATGCTTGGCAGCTCGCTACATACGGACTCATTTGGTAACCCATCCCTGCTTCTTGGCTCTTCATCAACAGTTCTAATACTCTATAGGCTCATCATCCTTATGTGCTCAGCAATCTACATCCGCGCCGGTCTGACTATCTATAAATGGAGGATTCGCCTGAACGACTTCTCGAACTCGAACGATTACAACACTGGATCCCAGGGCGTGCGTACGCAGACGCGAACACAGACGCAGACACAAAATGACAACTCAGATATCACGGGTATTGCCAAGACCACCAACATCACTATCACAACGTCGGACTCTGCCCCACCCCAGCTCGAGTCACCCTTCAGACCCGGCACTAGACCCGAGCCAGTCCATACAGCAAACATCTACACAGGTCCTGCTGCTCCACCCGTCGCGAATCCAACCGAACAACAGAATATCAGAACGCAGCAGCTGGAACGCCGGAAGCGCAGCCCAAGTGACGAGGCAGCTGTTACTTACGCCAAGACCGCCCTTCTGTTCTTCACGGGAATGCTCATCACTTGGATTCCCGCCAGCGCAAACCGTCTGTACGTTCTCATTGACGGCCATTCATCCACAGGCTTGGGATACCTCAGTGCCTTTGTGTTGCCCCTGCAGGGCTTCTGGAACGCCTTAATTTACTATTACACCTCTCGAGCTGCGTGTAAGCAGGTCATCAACAGTTTCAGGAATAGGTCTCATCCTCTCGAGGACAATGATGTCACTGGATCTAGCTTTGCCGAGAGAGGCAATGCTACCAATGCAAACAATGAATCCGGCTTTCAGCTGGACCGTATAAGATCTTCCAACAGAGAGGATAGTTTCGGGGAAACGGAGAGCACAACGTCGCTGACAGCGAAGGTCTAAGGATCTTGTCATAACTTAATTCTTTACTTTGTACATACTACCTTTAATAATACCCTTTTACATTATCATTTCTTATGTTCCTGAATACCATTGGTGATGAAGAATGTTACGTATTCTTAGTAGACTTTTGCTAATACTCTCTGGGCACTGTCTACTTCAAAGCCTCCACACAGAAAGGGTTGGCAGTAAATGTCCCGTTGGGATCATAAGTCTTCCTGATCTTCTGCACCTTCTTGTACGTGTCAGGATCGTAGTAGTGCTGCCAAACATTCTTCATGTTCCAATCACCATACGATCCCCAGAGAACACGTCGATCCTCTTTGCTAAAGTACTTTGCCCTGCCCACATCATTCTGATCCTGCCACTTCTTGGCTGCTTCCCTCGTACCTTGGAAGAAAACGTCCCATGTGCCGCTGAAAGTAGCATCGCGGAAAGTGTAAGCTGTGCCGTTACCCTTATTTCTGCGAAACATGGATTGCTCGCCACCGTAGACTTGCAGTTGGGATGAGACCCAGAGGCCATTATTCTTGTCCTTAATGACCTCGTTCACACGGCCGGCGAACCAAGAAGACCAGCCTGTCTTGGAGAGCTGGGTTGACGCGGTGCTGTTGGTGCGCTTATCGTAGGGGTAAGGGAACTCGCGAGGGCTTGCGAATAGCCACATGGACGCGATGTAAGACATGGGAGTTTTGTCGGGAGCTTCCTTGATAATCTTGAACTCATTTGGCACGTTCTTGATCTGGTTGAAGAGATCGTCTGAGTAGGGCTCTTCGTGAAGATTGACCCATTGGGCATAGACGACGATCATGGCATACTTAAACTTAAGGAGATCGGCGATGTTATCTTTGCCGTCGTGAATCCTGTCTGGCAGCTTCTTCTTGAGTTCATCTTCGGTACCAGGGAAGAGATCGAGGAGGTTGGCTTGTCTGCTGACAATATTGACAGTGAAATCATAGCCACGAGGGAACTTGGGGTCTTCACCCTTCTTCACGAGAAGATCCAGAAGGGTCTTGAGTGTCTCCTCTGAATAGCCGAAGCCGGCCCACATGCCCTTGGAGCCTTGGTGGTTATTATCATCTTGAACTTCAATCTTGAAGTGTGTCAGGACACCCAGATTACCGGGACTGCCTCCGAGAAACCCGAAGAATAGGTCCGGATGGCAGTCCTTGGTAATCTTGAGTACATTGCCTTTGTAGTCGACGATCTCAAGCTCACGGACCCAGTCTCCGAGAAGACCGAATGATCGCGCAAGCATGCCGTAACCGCCAGTCTGAACATGCCCACCAAGGCAGACAGTAGAGCACTGACCAGTCGGCATAAAGACACCATTGTCCTTGAGAAAGTCAAAGATCTCGGTGAGTTTCCAGCTAACACTAGAGCGAAGGTAGACCTTGCCATTCTCCCTCAAGATATTAAGATCGACATTGGGACGACGGAACGTAGGCTGCAAGTCTATCTGGATACCCTGAGGGCCAGTTGAAGATGCACCACTGTATTGATGACCTCCCGATCGAATGGCGAGAGGCTTGCCCATTTTAGTGGCGGTCTTGACGACCCAGATAATATCCTCGATGCTAGAAGGCTGAAGGATTTCTGAAGGGTTCAAGTTGCGGAAGTTGGGACCTTTGGGGTCTTTGGTGTCATTGTAGGTGGAAGAGGAGTAGATATTGTTGGCACGCGCGTAAGAGAGTGTGTTAGGGGCGAAGGAGTTGCCCTTGAAAGAGCTCCCCAATTTGGCGGTAATAGTCATCGTTGAGTGGAGAAGAAGCCCTGGATGGTGAATTGAGACAAAATATAGAATCAAGATAACTGTCCTGAAGCCTACTCTTTATACTAGTTCTCTGAGCCTTTATCATGGAGACTCACTCTAGCATGTGAAATGCCACGCGGCTCCCACAGATGGTTTAGATCACATCTCTTTAGAGAAACTCTGCATTCCAATATTTTCAGCTTCAGTCTTACATGCTGACAAGAAAATCAATAGTTGCAAGGGAAAATAGGCGGAGTTGCCATTTCAATCGTTAGCAGGTATGTGATGGACCATACGCGGCGCAGTCTGGACTCATCGGAACGGACCGTGGCCAATGATATATACGAAAGGCGCTTTCTGTGAGACGTAAATAGCTGTGTCGTTGCGGGGAAAATAAGCCACAAACGTTCAGCTTGCCATTTCAAGATTGTGGCACTTACTGGATGGGAGAGGAATACTGAAAACAATTTCACCGCTCTAAGCAACCACTTGCAAATTTGGCAGCTGAAAGAGCCGGTCTGCCGGTCAAGCAATCCAGACTTTGGTCTTGTCTCAGAACGTTCTGTGGTAAGCTGACGAAGTCCCTTGCATTAGCAGACGTTGAGCTTCTAAAACATTGAAACCAAGCTATTGGTGCCGCACAAGTGGCGCCAGACTAATCCCGAAATAAGCGAAAGATGGAGCTATTGACCGCGAACCATCGCCTGTATCCAATTAAGAACTTAGCCTGTTGTCTTACTAGGTAGAGTTTGAATCTATTGAAACTGCCTAGTGAGATCTAGACTTGAGATAAGCCAGCGACTCAGACTGTGGCTTGTTGTGGCCACCTGAGCATACTGTATTGAGTAGACGACCGAGACAAATTCTTATCTCCACCGGTAACCGAGACTCATTTGTTGCGCAATACTGTATGAGGCCAGATGAGACTCATATGACCAAAGCCTCGAAGTAGATATCATCCCGGAATATCTTCTCCAGAAGGACCGTCCCCAGGGGATTGATAGCCTTCGAGCGTTCACCATGCTAACGGAGCCACGACCCTTCGCGGCAACCGAAATTGGATTGACAAGCTATGTTCCCATGAGGGCTAAGAAAGGGGACTTTTTGTATCTTGTATGGCTCAAATGTGCCGTTTGTGGTCAGGAAGGAAGCTGGATGCAAATACTCGCATGTAAGCGAGTGCTATATGCATGGTATCATGGAAAGGGAAGTACTCACGATTGACGATAGAAAGGATAAGGACGAGGTGTTTACTTTTACTTGAGAAAGCTCTCATTTAACCCCGTAAACTCATGATACTGGAACGTGAGAGTTCTAGTTATGCGCAATTAATCAAATTGTTAATGAACTTGGGGATTGTTTGCTGTGGAGTGGCATGGGAAAACGCCAAGTTAGGCAACAACTGAAGGTTCCCCACTGTTTGTCAGGCGATAAAGAAATTTATATAGAACATGAGGGATTTTCTCCTAACCTTCCTCAGCTAAAACACCGTCGAAATGTTTCAACAAGCACCCATCCCCGATTATACATATTGGAAAACGGCAGGAATTGTCCCTAAAAGCTTGAGCTCTTCTATCGCTGTCGGCGACCTTGTGGCTCTTCGGCGCTTCCTCTCAGGTAAGCTAGACGAACCTATCAACCGATATGGTGCGTCGCTGCACCAGGCAATTTATCGCGAGAATGAAGAAGCCGTCAATATCTTACTACAAGCTGGTGCGGATCCTCTTAAAGAGCCGGACACTTTCGACTTAGAGTACCCCACGACACCTTTAGGACTGGCTGCTCGGCTAAACAACCATGCTATTCTCAAAAAGATCTGGCAACACATCAATCCTGATATCAACGGCTATAACATGCCAGGCTTCGATAGCTGCTTGGTAGAAGCAGCACAATACGGCGACACCGCTACACTAGGCGAGATATTGCGCTGGGGTCAGAATAATTGGTCGTCTGCGTCGAGAGGTAGGGCATTACGTGCGGCAGCAGAGAATTGGCATGTTGAAAATCTCCAGCTTCTCCTCTCCGAAAACATCGCCTTCGAGAAAGAGGCACTGGACCTTGCATTGGCTCAGGTAACAGTACCTAAGCTATGTTTTGAACGTCGAGATCAGACTCAGGCGGAGATTGATGCACAGTCGCAATCAGTTAAGGTTCTTATGGCTGCCGGGGCCGATCCCAGTAAGCCTGGACCCCGTGGGATTGAGCCTGTTCTCATATGGACTGCTGTTTGTCGCAAATTGTATTACTGTCTGAAAGCATTGCTTGACAATGGTGCGGACCCTAATATTACCAATTGTCAAGGACAGACTGCATTGCATTACTTGGGGGCTCGTGTCAAGAGGGATTCTGTATGGCGTCGAAGGAGGGAGGACAATGAGCCGACCGAAGCTGTATTCCACACTCTTCTTGCATTCAATGCTTCTGTCCGCCAGCAAGATCTAATTGGAAATACTCCTCTGCACTTTGCCGCATATGGATCGCCTATTAAAGTACTTCACCAACTTCTTTCAAGCATACCAGTTGAGTCGCACAAAGATGCGCTTACGATGCGTAATCATAATGGCGAAACGGCGCTGCACTTTGCCGCTGCAGGAGGCCGAGTCGACACTATCAAGTATCTCTTGTCTGACAACGTCGGATTAGATATCAACGAAACTGCCTCCATGGGCTGGACACCGTTGCTGAGGGCACTAGCACCCACAAAACCAAGTCTTGCAGGCCTATCATCCTCAAGGAAAGTCGAGGCAGCTCAGCTACTTCTGGCCCACGGTGCCGATCCTTCTAAAGGTGCGCACGATGGTTGGACACCGCTTCATTGCCTCGCTATGATTCCTACCTATGGGAAAAGTGATGAAATACCGCGGCTGGTCGAGACACTGCTGTTGGGTGGTGACTCTCTTGACAGTCGCGCTTCCTTTGCAATTGACAGCCCTCCCAGTCGCCCAACACGAAAGCATCGAGTACAAGACGAGATATATTGGGGATGCCGAGAGTCACAGTATATCGAATCACCTATTGAATGGGGAAAGACTCGTCGTTCCGGTCTTACGCCATTACATATTGCCGCGGAATTTTGCGCACTTGATACTGTCGAGGCGTTACTCAAACACGGAGCCGATCCTACGGCTGAAGACTCTGAAGGTAACTCCCCAGCTAGATTAGCGGGTTACTCCAAGAAATATTCCTCCAGCAGTGAAGTTCGAGGTACAGTTATGACAATTCTGATAAACGCTGGAGGGACATATTGAGTTGGTAGATCATTTTTAATCTCTGTACAGTGGCTGATACAGATCCTGGGTAAGTTAGGAAGCAACTATCTTTAGTGTGCCAATTGCAGTAAGCCCTCTGATGCTCATGTCCATTAAGAAGCTCTCTATCATTATATCTAGCATCAATTCCGTAGTATAGTAGAAGTAAAGCCAGTGCAGTGTAAAAGTGGCCTGTAGCTTCTGCTTAAGCGTTTTATTTAAGGTGAAGATGGTTCCTAGACACGTTATCGCGGACCTTCTATTCCGGTGAAAGTATAAGGTTTTGGTTCTGTAGATAGGCCAGTCTCATAGCCCTACTAAAACTTTAGTACTTTTCTTTCTACTCTTCGTTGACCGGTCCCTCTGGTTTAAAATTGCCTCTCTTAAATAGATAACCCGTATCTGTTGATTGTATGTCTGACAAAACTGGTGTCAGCTATCAGATGTCGCCACCCAGTGTAAGAAAGGGCTCTTGCTGCAGTAGCTTGTCAACGTTCTGGGCCCGACGGAGATGGTGAGCTTAGATTTTAATACAAAAGTTAAGTCACATATTCTTAGACAGTTTCACCGCGCTTATTACCAGAGTCTGAATGCCTTGGGTATTGGACCCGACACCCTTCAGATGATATTAACTCCATTTGCAAGTTATTATCTGTATAACAAGATATTTTCAGACTAATATATTGCAGTCGCAACTATGACGCGATAATGAAAAATGAACAAGATCCTCGGAAAACACCGCTTCGCTGTAGCCAATCAGAGTTACACACCTCTTTCCTCCTCCACTAGCAGGGGCGCACGCGATCATGCAACCGCGCGTACACGAAAGCAGGAATAACCCGCTGAGCTTTGAAGGATATAGCATCACTATCATCCTCCCTACTAAGAAGCCTAGCATGATGTCCCTGTCGTCCATGCAACAGCTTTCTTGAGACATACATAAAAGCAGTAAAGTTACACCTTTGCATGATATAATGATATTTCCTGATAAATTAAAAAGAGTGGGGATATCTGATCAGAAAAAATGAATTTTCTTCTACTGTACTGCCACATCTCCCGCTTGCTTGGATCCGGCGAATTGCTTGACATTTGAAAAAGACAATCGGGCATTGAATCTAACAATGGGACAATTTCCGCAGTTAGACCGTAGTAGTGTGTAATACGCTCATTGGATCGTCATGTTGTAGCTATCGACCTACTTTATTACGTACAGGTCACAAGGGTAATAGACATGAACTTCAAAATCCATCTGCTGTTCTGTGCCACAGCGTTTTCTCCGAAAGGGTTCGGAAATGGATGATCTCAAAGTAAAGATCAATTGGCTTACCAATCGTGGCTGGTGTAATTACTGATGTTTATCCCCTGGGGGTTTGTGCCAAATTATGACTCTTATTGCTAACCCCTCTTTCTCAACATTTCGACTTTGGCTTTTATTTTCGTAGGCAGCTCTACTGAATTTAGCTCATTATGCGTGAGATTGTAAGTCCGCTCCTGGCCTTTCCTTTGAATCTGGATAAACTAACATTGAATGCGCTTTTCGTTATAGGTACACGTTCAAGCTGGCCAATGTGTAAGTATCACGCTCTTCTCTTCTCACGCGGCATGTTAATCTTAATAGGGCAACCAAATTGGCTCTGCGTTCTGGCAGACTATTTCGGGTGAGCACGGTTTGGACAGCAGTGGAGTGTAGGTGTCTTATTCCAAAACGTCGCTAAATGTTCATTCTTCTCACGTATCAATTTAGATACAACGGGGTTTCCGAGTTACAGCGTGCGCGCTTGGATGTTTATTTCAACGAGGTACGTGACGTTCCATGGCGTATTCTAATCAATCATCAGCCTCTGACAGACTCTGCACAGACGTCCAGTAATAAGTATGTGCCGCGTGCCGTGCTCGTTGACCTGGAACCTGGTACAATGGATGCAGTGCGGTCGGGTCGACTTAGCGAGCTCTTTCGTCCTGACAACTTTGTGTTCGGACAATCAGGCGCTGGTAATAATTGGGCCAAAGGCCACTACACCGAAGGCGCTGAATTGGTCGACCAGGTAATTGATGTCGTTCGCCGTGAGGCCGAAAGCTGCGATTCTCTTCAAGGCTTCCAAATCACGCACTCGCTTGGCGGCGGTACAGGCTCCGGAATGGGCACGTTACTTATTTCCAAGATTCGTGAAGGTGAGATTCATACCACTGATCTGATGCACATCGTTATCTCCTACATTTCTAACCACCCATTTAGAGTTCCCAGACCGGATGATGGCTACCTTCAGTGTGGTACCATCTCCAAAGGTGTCTGATACTGTCGTGGAGCCGTATAATGCTACGCTTTCGATGAATCAACTAGTTGAAAACTCGGATGCGACTTTCTGTATCGATAACGAGGCTCTCTATGATATCTGCAAGGGGACCCTGAAGTTGACAAATCCTTCTTATGGCGACCTCAATCACCTCGTATCAGCGGTTATGTCTGGCGTGTCAACGTCCCTACGTTTTCCTGGACAGCTAAACTCCGACCTTCGTAAAATGGCTGTTAATTTGGTAAGAAACCATGTTCAAACACACGATCGAAGAGTGTTGTGGCTAACCATTCCTCCACGGCTAGGTTCCGTTCCCACGTCTGCATTTCTTCATGGTTGGCTTTGCGCCTCTTACTGGCCGGGGCTCCCATTCATTCAGTGCCGTCTCTATCCCCGAGCTTACGCAGCAGATGTTTAACCCGAGGAATATGATGACGGGGTCTGACTTTCGAAACGGCCGATATTTGACCTGCGCTGCTATCTTTCGCGGGAAGGTGTCTGCTAAGGAAATAGAAGACCAGATGCATAAGGCCCAGCAAAGGAACTCGTCTTACTTTGTTGAATGGATCCCGAACAACGTCCAAACCAGTCTATGCTCTGTCCCGCCCCAGGGTTTAGAGATGTCGTCTACTTTCGTCGGTAACTCAACTGCCATTCAAGAGGTCTTTAAACGCATCGGCGATCAATTTAGCCTTATGTTTCGCCGCAAGGCTTTCTTACACTGGTATACCGGTGAAGGCATGGATGAGATGGAATTCACAGAGGCTGAATCTAACATGAACGACCTGGTATCAGAGTATCAGCAGTATCAGGATGCAGGTATCGACGACGGCTATGAAGAGGAGGGATATGACGAAGAGGAGATCCCCGACGAGGTTGACGAGCTTGATGAGTAGTCTGTCCCAATCTTGCGGTTGGATACCACATGGTGTGTGACAGTGGGATCACATAGAGTTAACGCTTTGTGGAAGCACCATCTATTCAAGGATAATTCTTCTACATCTTGTGGTGTAGTGTTCGCTACAAAGTCGAGTTGCTTGGTTTTGTCACGCATCCAAGAATACGCAGCTACAATTTAGATTTCTAACAATAACATTTCAGAATCATCATTTGTTAAAGCATTAATTAATCAAAATCAAAGTGTTAATTATCTACCGAGCGGGATGTTCTGTTATCACATAGCTTCAGTTTATTTCACGTATATCCCAAAGTTTAAGATCCAATGAATAATTCTGTGGAGTAGGAACGCTTCATGCTTATCAATGTGTTAGGAGCTCAGATAGGTTTTACCTTTTTTATCGCGAGGGAGTTTTTAATGGACCTTAATTGATCAAGGATCTTCTTGGACTATGAGAGAAGATAGTATCATTATTCCTGCACCTTCCTCTCTATGTAACAAAACTCTCTGAAAGATAACAGAGCTTAATTAATGGGCAAATCCAAGAACCAGCAAACTGTTACCACTGCAGCGTTTCCGCAATGCTACTACTACAACCACTCCTACCCCAGTCATAAATACCGCCACGATCAAGGAAGGAACCCTTGTCCCAGACAACCTGTCCCATCGCTTTCTGAGCACCGACCTTCAAAATAGATTTACTGTGTGTAATCATTCCCTCGCCCTTGTCTAAAAAGCACATGTATTCGTCCAGAAGTAAGTAGCTGCTTGCCATTGTATCTGTATCCTCGGGGACGTAGCAGGGCAAGTGTTTGTGCAGGTCGCAGAGCGTCTTCCATTACTCGTCAGTTACAAGGAAGTTTCTTGCATCTCGTAGTCGAGTCCCATCCTCGTTCTCGCTAGCGACCAATAGGCATTGGAATACCATCCACCTGAATGGCGCGAGCTCTTCGATTTCAGATGACATGTCTTCATCCCAGTTATGGACGTTTACGACAGTGGTTAACTTGAACTTGATCCCATATTCTCTGCACCATTCTGCAATCCGGAAGAGCCGGACAACGTTTCCAGTACCACGCGAGCGTGTGCCACCATATCGTCAATGCATCGCTATTGCGCGGCAACTCGGCACCACCATCAACAAACAAACAAAACAATGCATCTTCAATCGAAGCCAAGCGGGCAAAGCCGTAAATTTGCGATAATCTTCGTTCTCGGTATTGATATCTCAACATCCCCTCGTCGACCGCTTCTGACAAAACAATAGGTGCTGCTGGTGCAGGGAAAGGAACTCTATCGACATATCTCGCGCAAAAGCACAACCTCGTGCACTACTCCGTCGGCGATGGCTTACGAGCCTGGATGCGCGAGAATCGCTCCACTGAACTTGCGGCCAGAATTCGAAGCAAACTAGACAACCAGGGCTTCCTTACCTAGGAAGATCTGAATCCATTCATCTACCGGCCGATTCTCGACGCTATCAACCGCGATGGACGTGAGCTCAACGGTATTCTGATCGACGGATATCCAAGATGTATCGAACAACTGAACTCTTTCCGAGCATGGCCGTTCCAGTATGTTGCACCTCTCGCCCCTGGCAGCGACGGAAAGGTCAGCTTGGATATCAAGCCGGATCTCGTACTCTCGTTCCAGGTCCTGAAGCACAACGCAAGGGAAAGATATCTGAGTCCGGCGAGAGACAACAACGATAGTGTACACAAGTTTGAGAAGCGCTTCACAGAATATCAGGTCGAGACTGTGCCTGTCGAGGACGAACATCGAAGACGTGGTGTCTTGGTACCAGTATGTATTGCCATCCTGGATTCAAAAAGGCTATGCTAATCTTTGCAGGTTGACTTCAATGAAACAAAGGAGGAGAACATCCAGGTTATAACCAAAGCACTTCAAGAGTCTGAGCTATGGGAAATGCTTTCAAGACCGAGTAACGAGAGGCTGCATGAGTCTTGTCGTTAGTGCATTCCAATAAGGGGGTCAATGTTTCAGGAGGCAAAATAATTGATTCAACGGTCAGGAAACCTGAACTAAAAGGAAGTCTTCAAGCTGAAGACTAGAAATAACAATAGCATCACTCCCTTCACATTACGTGTGACTGTCAGTATCTCGACGCTTCAGTGCCATGACTCTGATCTCCATACTTCGAGGAGTTCCTCTGGATGTATAGCAATCATTGCTTAACTATTGCTCTAGCAAGGGACATAGATGAGAGGGTTCTTGCAGACAGTGATGCTCTTGCACTCGGGCTTGGCGCCGGCTGACTGTCCGTTGCAGGCATCGGCCGTAAAGACCTTGTCTGCCTGTGGGGATCGGTCGTCTGCAGTGTAGCACTAGAAATGCCTGTCAGCATCCATCACTAGCTCGAAAGGATATGAGGGTTGTAGGACAACGGGCCACGGTTTGCAACAAGCATTGAACGAAGTCATGAGAGCCGTATTATGATGGGTCGACCTACGAATTTGTTGTCTGTAGTGGGAATGCCACGGTTGTAGAGGCACAGACTGTTCGTGACGTAGGTGCCCGAGGGGGTTCTGCATCCGCATGCTGGGACGGTGTACTTGGTATCGCTATCAAGACTGTTAGTTTTCCGTCACCTATTCAAGAAAAAGGCGAATAGCCTAGTGCAGATGGGAGACCTACGCAGCAGGGGCAGCCAAAGCGGCGGGCAGAAGAGCGAGGAGAGCGAGAGAGAACTGCATTTTCAAAGATGTGAGGAGGTATGTACTTTGTGTGTGAATAGAACGACAACTGAAGAATGTGCAATGGTGAGGATTCAGAAAGCAGATAATCATGAATGTTTAGATTCTTATATGTCTTCAAGTACTGAAGCCGGTATATATTTACAGACATATACACGGAAGGGTTACGAGACTAGTAGGTAGTATTCAATACCGTGCCGCATGTATGCCACCCTCCATCTCCATATCCAACGTTCGGGGTCCCGTCGGCTGACGGCTATTTGCCGGACTGCCTAAACCGGATGCATGCTCCGGCTTCCGGGGACGGCCATAACCTTGTTCTGGAAGACAGATGCAGCTCTATTCCCCGCAATCATATCCTGCTTGCGCGAATTGGATGCCTATATCGGACAGCAAAGTTATGACTACATGAATAAGTATGTCAAATCACGATAAACCAAGTAATGTGCCGTCTGAGGTTGCAATTATTGGGCTACGGTGGTAGTTGTGCATATGTTGTGTCGGTAGATGTCGTGCAGCACTTGACGGACTTCTTGCCGATACCTTCCTTCCTCCCTTTGTAAAGTCTGTCGGTGTTTTAATAAGGTCATGATGGTTTAAGGACTTGATTGTAAAGATCATAGCACCCTTCCAGCTTGTTCAGGTGTCAATAGGGCTAGCAGACCTGTCAGAGTTACGGTCAGCGTCGGAGTGTGCTAGAGATAGCAAGAATAAGCCTTTTCACTCTAGCATATCGGCGGTGGCGTTCGAGGACGGATTACGGAGCATACGGCACGACTTCTAGGAATCGCATCGTGAGGAGGAACGGTATGATGGATCCGATGATGACTTAGGGGATCTTCGGAGCGATATAGATCGCAGTAACCTCCATGAGGATTATAACAGAAGCGAGCCGGGATCTGAAACTCTTTGGAAGATCACTTAAGTCAGTCGGTCATCTACTAGTAACCTCATTACTGACTATTCTTGCATATATACCACAATGCAATGGATATATGCGTTCAAGCCCGCTGTCACTCTGTGGCTAGTATGTCTTCGAAGACCTCAAGATTCCGCATTACTGATTGCCTAAGTTCTAGTCTAAACAATAGCGACTATCCTGTCCGTTTCAGACCATACAATACCGCTCCAAATTCCCTTTCCACTTCTATTTTCTCGGGGTAGTAGCACATCGTCTAAAACTTGATCGGTGGTTCCTTTGTCTCTACAGATTCCTATCCTCCTAAAAGTGCATGGAAGCTCAGAGCCACCAGTCTGATCAACTGGCTTTAACAGAAGCCTAACAACGACTATTGGGGTCATTCCGTCTCCTTCTTCATCCTCTTCTTCCGGATAGTAGGCGTCATCAACTTCTCGATCAAGGCCCACGAGGTCCAGAGCGTAACATTTATCGATTCTATCTTCCTGATAATCGAAAAACGCACCACTATCCTTGGACGAGATATTGGCCTCTTTTTGGTGTAATGTCCCCCGAAGCGTGATGGAGCCCGATATGTTCGTTTGTGAATGATCGGTATGTACGTCAAATGAGACCACGGTGGATAGGGGAGCAGACATTCCGAAATCGTACCCCTGTCTGAGGCAATCGAAGTAGATGATCTGATCCAGAGGTGCCCAAGACCAAGATGGTTCTTGAGGACGCTTGGCAGATGCGTCACGTACATTCCAAGAGAGACTTTCCAATAACCTTGCTCCCTTCCAAACCCCTGCAACGAACACATCTCCTATGGCGCTCTCCAGGGACTTGGAAATCGCTAAGAACGCAGGTATACGATCGGATGGCTTCGTCAGGCGACGCTCAGTATAACTTGTTAGAAGAGATTGCCAAATTTCAAATGGCTGATGTCTTCTGATTTCTGGGCGGTAACCGTGCATCGGATTGGTAAGACCCCGTAATGCGCATTTCTCTCTACTCTGTGTTCCAAGTGCCCTGCCCAACCTTGAACTTATAATTCTAGAAGGATCCGAGTCGGTTGTTGCAAGGCAAAGACATTCCCAGACGAGGTGATTGCTACCGAAGTACAGGATTCTAGTACCCAACATCTGCTCTTGTAGAACCCACCCACGAGAGGTGATGGGCGCTTTTGATGCCACATTATCAACACCAGAGAATCCCATAGGATCACCGTCATTATCATACAAGAATGACGGATAAACAACGTTTTGATAGATGACATCCATTTTCCACCTCTGGCGCCTCACTTTTGGCGTCCAAATGTTAAAAGGAACAGGTCGCGTCGTCCTAGCACCTCGTGAGTGGAATAGATGTTCATGACAGCCACTTGCAACGAGGCTGGATAGTGTCAGGTCGGCATTTGAATAAACGTCCTTCATTTTCGATGCCTCTTTGTCCCAATCATTAGGATCGTCTTGTATTATGCATAGAGCGTCGATCCAGATGTATGGGTATCCCAAGGCTCGAGCCGCCACGAGGGCCTCCTGTATAAACACCGGAAGAGATCTCGTCGGTATTCCCTGCATGTGTGTGGCCATATTACCACGTTTCGTTGTCGTGTTGTTCTCCATATCTCCCCAACAATACGAAAGTGCACAGTACGCAGATCAGGTACCGTTTGTTTCGACTAATCGAGGTTCGGGGAAACTGGTGAGATCCAAAATCCGAGTTGGCAAAACTGGCCACAAGTTGTGCCCCGTATCAGTGTAAGTCTTTTGACAGTCCCCATGATCACTCGATCTTCGACATTGGTCGAGCCATTTGTTTGCTATATCAAATGACTGCTGGGATGCTGTCGATATATCAGGTCCAACTGGTGTATTCGTATTAACAATGTATGCTTCGTCAATTGCATCTATTGGTAGGTTGACTTCAGCCCTTGTGTTTCCATCCTGGGCAACCAAGAAGGTATGAGTTTCGGGCACGACTGGGTAGAGCACATGTTCGCGAAGCTTAAGGTGAATAGATGATCCACCCGTGTTCTCTTGTACTGAAACATGATCGTTTGCATTCTTCGACTCTCTAGCCTCGCAAATGCGACACATCCGGCCACAGCCTTCATTGTCATGCTTCGTAGTAGTTTCTGCTTTCTTTTTCGCGACCTCTTCTGCACAATAAGAAGCGTCGGCAATCAAACGACATAATGGACAGCTATGCGCGCATTCATCGAGATCACCCCGACTTTGGTGAATCTCAGACCAATCATCAGGTTTGCCAAGGAAGCGCTGGAAGGATAAGCAGGGCTGGCAAGGTGTTACTCGTGATGCTGGCGTGTTAATGCCTGCCGCATTATAAAGGGCTTGGAAAACATCGTCGACGAGCAATGTCGGCATTATAGTACCTGATTCAACATAATGAGTGCCGGCCAACGAAAGCAGGACATACGCATAAGTCTCGTACAGGTCCGGCAGGGGGATCAGGGCTTGACTGGTACAGACCGCAAGCAATTCCTGAGCTTTTGAAGGATCTATGTCTTTCGGCGGAACATCATGGAATTCAGAACAAGTCCACGGAGAGGGTTTCAAGGCCTGGTCCTTCTCAAAAAGTATTTCCAAAGCTCTGTGATCCCCCATTAGAAGTGCAAGATCGACGATGGTCCAACGACCAGTGGAGGCAGTGGTAAAATCAGACATGGCATCTACCAAGTGACAGAAAATGGGAACGTTGCTGATAATCAGTGCCATATATAAAGGGTGAATACCATCAGGGTAGCGTTGGTCGAAGTTTGCGCCATTTTCCAGCAGAAACGCGACTGCCTCTTCGTTTTCGTCCAATATAACTTCGTGGAGAACAGTAAGCCCCCCACCGTTGCAGAGGTCGATATCAGCACCATGTTGGAGGAGGTAATCTGCGGCCTCAAGAGTGGAATTTTTAAAAGCCCAGTGCAGACGTGTAGCTGTAGGTCTCAATCGCCTCAACTCTCTGTCATCCAGAGAGTAGGTGCGATGTGTTTCATAAACTTTGTTAGGGTCAATCCCGCGAGCTAATGCAGCTTTTGGAGCAATAAAGTTCTTTGTAGCCTCGGCGCCTTTCATATCGTGGAGTTTATCTAGTTTTTGGTGTCAATTCGGCAGTGGATGTGATATGCCATAGGCCTTTTCGGAGCACCTCAGTGTTAAAGGTGTAGGGCGGGACAGATAACGATATTGAGTAGAATGCGATATTTGTTGTGGGCTAATAAAATCGTCAGTATGTAGATAAGCGGGGATTAACGGTTCATTTGCCCAGCTTTTTGTAAGAGGCAACGCCATTTGAACACAGGGGAGCGTCTCGTTTGCGGGCGTCAGCCAATAGTAATTTGGTGTTGGTTCAATCCACATGTAGGTTGGTGCAAACGAGAGACGCTATTGGATAAACATCCCAATATGTGACAATCCCAGTCCTCCGTGACGTGTACGGCATGTATTTTTACCAATCAAAAAGTGTCACAAGAGTGGACCGTCTTGTCACAAATGAATATCGTGAATTCTTGTAAAATGAATGAAGTCTCTCTTAGAACAGTCGTTTGACCTTGTCCCCCAGGGGCTGGCCGAGAAATACGAGAGAATAAGATAACAATACTGCTTTAGATGAACAAAATCATATCTCTGCGGATAGAGACTGCGCCCCAGGATGCGAATTGTTCCAAATGAAGGTAGCGATCAACATCTTTTAGTTATGTACATGTGAATGGAAAGAATAATACAACGCCCCGACACTTTCTGCTGCAGTTTTCGTCATCTCTGTTTCAATCTGCGGTCACTTTGTTGATACAGCGTCAAAGTCTCCCGACTCAAGTCACTAGATCTCATGTTTGGACATTTACTGTTCTAGAAGTCTAAAATATCAAAGAATATGTTTTTCAAAAGAAAGTGATTACAATAGCTAAAGGGTGCAAAGTATATAGAGCTAGCTATAAGAGGCATTTCTGTCCTTGCTTCGCTTTGCAAGACAAAGTTGTGATTGCATAAATAAGGATGACAAATCACTATAAACTAAGTAATGCGCCGCCTGGTATTGCAGTTGCTGGGCTATTGTGGCAATTGTACATACGGTACTCGACGGACTTCCTGCCGATGCCTTCGTTCCTCCGTTTGTAAAGTCCGTTGGTGTTTTCGACTAGGTCGTTGTGAGGGTAGGCACTTTATTGCACGTCGTGGTTAACTAGACTATATCAAAGCGACACTGATATGTAATTGACGTCCATGTTGAGGTAGATTAAATATCAGTCTTTTCGATAATAAGGCTGCATGATCCCCTAACGATAACTATAATGTCTTGTGGTAAGAACAAGTCTAAGGCGATGATTGTTCTGCAAAAGTATTTTCAAAGACCTTTGCTTCCCCACCGGAAGTGCAACGCCAACGATGGTCCGACGATCGGTTGAGGGAGTGATTAGCATCAACCTCAAGACGGACAATAGCGAATTTTTTTTATTGTCAGTGCAATATACAGAGAGTGAATACCATCGGGGTAGTGCCAGACCAGGGAAATCAGGAAATCTGCCAAAAAGAAAACAAAATAACAACACTGGTTCAGACAAACAATTTGATATCTCTACAGACGCAGACTATGGTTCTGCCCTTGTTCAGACTGCTGAGTACCGCCTGGCTATATTTGGAGGTCATCAACCCCAACTATCAAATTCTTCAACCTTTTTTTTTCCGGGTCCTCGTCGATTCTAGCCATTCCGGGTATTGGCCAATGGCTGTGCGAATGCTCCACAATCAGAGCTTGTTCATCCTCTCCTATGTACGCAGCGGTAGTATGCGTCTGGACCAATTGCAAATCCTTGGGATCCATAGCTTTCTGGAGTTGAATAGCAAGGAGCCTACTGATATGGTAATTCAGACCCTGCTTATTTAATCCTTGAGCAGCCAGAACTAGAGTAGAGCGGTAGCCGGACGCAATGTCCGGGTCGTGGCTAGATGCAGCGGCCAAGTCGCCGATGACCATGTTACCGATGGCTATCAATGCGAATGCGACCCAGGGATCATAAAAGTTGAAATCATGCCGGGCATAGTAGAGACGTATTACCGTCTCAAGCATTATTTTAGCCTCATTCAATACTGTCATGGGTGCCTTCCCTGCATGTAGATGCAAAATATCGGGGCTACCTGCATATTCAGACTTGATGATGACTTCTGTGAATGCTATAACCAATTGGTGATATTGGACACTAAAATGAATGTTAGCATAGCTACAGTTCTATATTACTCCGTATGAATAGTAGAAAAGACTTTCCCTTAACAGGATGGAGGGACATTTTCAGAGTAGAGCCACTTACTGCAACGTCAAGTGAAGAGGAAAGACCAGCTTCTTTGGTTGAAGGGGTTCCGGTAATGTATTCTTCCAATCGTTGAGCTTCTGTTTGAAAACAGCAATTTCGCCCAAAGTGAGCGATCTTGACGGTTTTCGAAACAGTACCGCTCCAAGCTCGTTCATGATAGCATGCAAAGCTGCCTCAGTCTGCAATTTACATCCAACATGGAGCGGATCGAGTGTCGGATTGTGAGGATACTGTATCCAGACCTCCCCGTACCATTGCGGCTCCACTGTAGGATTTGGTAACGAAGCTTGCGGAGGATGCTCTAGGTATGGTGGGCGAAAGAAAGAGTAATCGAACAAGGCTTGCCATGAAAAGATTCCCCATGCGGTGAACAGACGAGCTTTCCCTAATCTCGTATCTTTTCCATGCTTATCTGGTCCGAACAAATCCAAGTCTTTACCCATCTCACAAGCCCGTTTCGCATAAAAAGCACCAATCTCGTCCATACCATTATTTGTTGTGGTATAACTCAATATCAGTGCGGCTTGTATGGTTGTGATTGAGCTTTCTTTGGATGACTCTATATCCCATAGTCGTCTTGCTTCTGCCATGAATCGACAGGTAAGAGAATCAGGAAGCCAAATCTTTGATCTGTTCGGAATCTCAAGCACGCTTTGCTGAAGTAGACTTAATACTCATTTGTAGGATATGCAATTGTGGGATACTTACACTTGCAATTGATAATACGGCATTTACTAGCAGTGGTGAGCAAAAGTCGGTTCGACCTGTTGCCATATCCTCAAAGAATAGATCCTTGTGTGCAAAGGGACCACAAGGATGGGGATAGTAGAAGTAAGAGCAGATTAGCTGTCTGAATAACTGATTATCAGAGATGACCCTTGTCCATGGCGTTGTTCCAAGTTTATCAACTATTGGCTCAACCATCTGGGCAGCATGGTATGGTACCAAATATGTGATATGGTAGTTTTGTTTATCAATTGAAGAGTGTTTGTTGTATGTTTGAGAAGACTGTTGTCGAGCAATGGTGTTGTCATCGTTGACGTCCTGAGCCTGGCCATTATCATCTAAAACCCCGTTGCGGATAGTGGGTTGTGCTAATGTAGCCTGATAGAGAAGGGAATCCATATACGGATTATCTGCCATAGAAAGGTGAACGGGCATCGATAACGAGTATGGAAACTCGTACTGGCGACGAGTTTCTGCCGCTAGCGAGAGTTGTATAAGAAGATGTCCATTCTTTACCTTGCTCACGATAGATGCCACATCCTCACCAGCCCGTATGCGACGATGCACCTCGATGGCGTCTGGCTCCGACATGACACGCAGCAGCTCGAACAGTTCTGCGTATGTAGCTTCTCGCTGTTGTAACTGTTCGTATCGCTGTCCAAGAGGACCTAAATCTGGTCTATATGAACACACATTGTTACGATTAATGCAAGTATTGCACATGGGTCGTGACCCATCACACTATAAAAGAATTAGCTTCGTAACTGGCTCCTCCTCCAGGAGCTTATCCGACCTTTAATTTGCGCTGGCGGCAGCTTTCACATGCTACTGATACATTTCTTCGTTTCGGAAGTAATCTAAATCGTGATTCGGTTTGTTGGTTCGTCCGAGAGCCTTGGGCAGAGGGCAAAAGTGGCCGAAGAGGAGGCATGGGATATAATTGAAGTGGAGGCAGCTACCGAGGAATTGACAAGTGTGCAGCTGAAGTAGGATAAGTGCTAAAAAATACTGAGTTTAGCGTGGTCTCACGGAGGGGAACAACTAGCCTCCGTTCCGCTTATGGTCGAGCGCTTTGATTAATTATGACGCTATTCAATTGTTATATTATATTATACCCAGAGGAGCTTATGTAAGTGACAGCACAGTAAAGATAGAGATAAATCTTGCTAAACTAGTTATGTGCAACTCTTGGAACCTGAAGCTATAGACTTAGGATGGGAAAGACACTCGCACTGCACTTGAGAATGTTAGAGCCGATTCTCTAACTTGACAACGCTGCTCAAAAGGAATCTCTCCCATCTTTTCTAATTAACTCAATTCTCAAGCTGGTTACCTACTAACTAAAGATCCGATATCTAGATAAGATAGAAAACAACAGATAGAAGACTAACTATAGCACCTTCGCACTTGTAAAGAGTCAGGTATTTGCATCTCGAGGTTTATAAAATTTCAATCTAAGTATTTTTCAGTTACTGGGCTATTGATGTATATAAACATGAGTAGGTAATCTCAGCTTCGTATAGAGCGTGAATCCCGACGACAGCTAATATAGTTTAAATATTTTTAAGTTTTTCTAAGGCGTAAGTCCCCAATATACATATCAAATCAACACAAGACAGCCAATCAGTACCGCTACCAGGAACCTGAGCTAGTAACTTCTTACTACTGGACACTGACCTAGTTAGCTAAATAGAAACGTAGCAAAGACAGCACTGCACACGGAAGCGTGAGATTGATTAAAGCAAGAACCTTGATATTTACACAAGAGAGAATAACAATAAAATCCTCTGGCTAATTTAATACTATCATACTAATGTACCGAGTGTTAGAATAACCTACGCTTAGGCTTTCGCAATTGACCCATTATTAATAATAAAATGTAACCTCTCAAATTTGCTACACCGCTGGATGGAGTTAGTGGTATCCTCGGTAATTTAGAGAAGGCTGTCTCTAGACGATAGCCCTTTTAATGTTTAACAAACAATCAAAGATGATCTTCAGGGTTTCATCTAAACGGATACGCCCTCGTCGTTACCAATGGGATGCTTATATTAGCAATTATAATCAACAACCTTATTCTCGCAATTGACCCACTTGCAGATCGACACTGGACTACTTTGACAGCACACCGACGCACTGGTGCTAGAGCAAAGGGTAGCTCCACACGTCTAAGCTATGGATCTACATAGTATTCTCAGGCAGACAACGACGAGGAACTCTAACGAGTAGTGATCAAAAGTGTATATAAGGAGCTCAACAGCTCCTCTCATGAACATAACAGCTCACTACAGTTCCCTCTCAATCTACATTCTACACAACAAGCCTCATACATATCCAATATCTCAACAAATCTCATCAATCTTCTACAACTCTCAACTTATTCTTCTTCCACCACCACAGCAACTATGAAGACCACCATTTTCGCATCTGCCGCCGCCACCATCATCGGCTTCACCTCTGGCACTATGGCCAACCACTGCAGCTGGGATTTCTACGAAGGACCCATCTTCAGAAAATGGCTCGTTATCGGCTCCGGCGTCGATGATATCCCTGCCCGTTGCGGCGGCTTCTGGGACGGCATGAATAACAAGAACTTCCACGGAGCCTGTGGAGCTCTCACCAGCACCAACTGTGGCAAGGATAAGAACGGAGACATGGTCATCAACTTCACTTCGCTCTCGGGTTGCAACAGTGGCCATGTTGAGTCGGCTTGGTGGGAGGCTACTAAGAACAAGTTCGGCGCCATCAAGTGCAAGTAAGCGACACACATTACGGTGGCTCGACCGACGAGCTAGCTTGAAACGCAGTATCCCGACAAAGATACTTTAACTCTATTATCGAAGGTGGCTTGCGTCTAGACATGGATATCACGGTATCAATTTATGCAGGGAGAGAGGGAGGACCACTTTTTATTCAGGATATATATCTTTAGTATGACTTTATCACAATAATCTGTCATATCCCTTTACAAATACAAGAATACAAGCTGTTACAGCTGAGGGTCTGATATCTCGGTGATGCATTCAATCAAGATGGGATGGGTGAGGTCTCATTATTGTGGAGTCCGGATAATTGAAAAGCAGACTACGCGGAATAGGTGTGCAAGTGATGCGTGTATCAGAGAGCTAGCTGGGGTCAGAGCCAAGGTTGATGTAAATGCGCATGTGCCTGAGGCAAACATCCGGTGATGATGGATCATAGCCATTCGCCAGTACCCTGGCACTGTGGCTGAAGCGGTCGCTTGTTGACCGCTAGGCTAAAACGAGGGACCCCTCCTAGGGATCTAAACGACCAATAGCAACCAACCAGGCCTTTCAACATCGCTTCGCTGCACTCTGTGGCTGACAAATGTAACCTTCTCCAGAACCTTAAACATCCATGTTTTTGTCTAAGTTGCCGTTTTTTGAGGTTCTCTACAGTTCGGAAAGTCCTATCTGCGAACTGTGATTATCTCTGTTATTTAGTACACCGAGAGCGATTTGTGTTGACACATCGTTGTAGCCGTATCGTTGATGACGGTTTGAATGGGATATGAATTTTCGATCTGAAATTTAAGAACAATTACATTGTCAAAATACGTTTCCACCGCATTCTATCGCTGTGTAAATCGATGTGATTGGATAGTGATCACTCAACTAAAGACAATACGTGCCGGTTTCGCCGCTTCTATCTTGACGCAGGTAACGTAACCAGCATGATATAGGGTAAACGCTGTGGCGCTTGTTATCTAAGTCTCATCACCATGTCATGTAATCGATAAGATGAGCCCCACACTGATCCTTATCGGCCTGTGGCTCGATAAGCAGAGCTTCTCTGATAAGAAATCCCTTATCGACATCCCTATCATAACCTGTAGCGAGCATCTGGCTTGAAAAGAGTTGGACCGGAGGTTTAGACTGGATACTTACACAAGAACTCGGTCAGGCATATATGGAAGCGCTGTGGCTTACAGAAAGTGAGTTTGAACGGAATGCGAATCTGGCTGTTAGCATTGTGTCCCATATGTAGCCATGCCATTGACTCGGGTGTACATAAGCGTGGCGCTCTAGCCGCTTCAAGCAGCGGAAAGTGTGCATCACCTTGCACAAGTGGGATAATGATCTCCATGCACTAGCGCCACAGTACTTCACAAGTAGGTACACTAGCAGTCTTATACCTGATAACCAGTTAATCAGCTTAAAGCAAAATGCTCACACATCAGTAGTCTTTTTGTTTAATAATGTATGTTAATCGTTGAAGATTTAGAGAAACTTGGGTATCGGCGGAAATTGAGGAGTTACGCGCTGGATATAACGATCATTTCCAAGAACAGGTTAGTTTCGCAGGGAACACTGTCAGCCGAAGGCAACTGACCACGATGTTGTGACCAACATGCACAAGAACTGTTTCAGTCTATGTATGTTGGTTGACGGTGCTGCGCCTCTAATTTCACTAGTTGCTGCCCCCCCAAAGGGCCTAAATACAAAGAATTCCCCTGGGGCAGAGTCGTTGAGATAAACAATTCGTACTACCATCATTGTAAGACCAAGCAGAATCTGTTTCTATACAACAAGATGACGAGCCGAGAAGAAGCAAAAGAGATCATAGACGAAATAGCAGGAGAGTATGGATACCTGGATAGAGAGATGATGGACGACATTGGGCAATTCAACGCGGATTATCGCCGTAGGATCGACGAGAATTGGCTCAAGATGGAAAACGCTGCATCGCATTCTATCAAAGTGTAGGTTCACACATTCCCACCGGGGTAACTTGAGCTTATCGACTAACAATCACCAGGCTGGCAAAGAATATATACGGAAGTGGTGCCAGATTCGTGTTCGAGCTTCTACAAAACGCCGAAGACAACGAGTTCACCAAGGCTGGTCGCCTCGAAGATCCTCCATTCATCTCCTTCAAGATATATCCCAAACACATTGTTGTCGACTGCAATGAAGATGGTTTCACCAGGCTAGATCTGACGGCTATCTGCTCTGTTGGAGATAGTACCAAGTCAGCCTCGCACGGATACATAGGAGCAAAAGGAATCGGATTCAAATCTGTCTTTATCGCCGCATCCAGAGTCCACATTCGATCTGGCAACTTCTCATTCGAGTTTCGGCACAAGAAGATCGATCCAGGCCTCGGCATGGTGAGACCCATCTGGGTCACGCCAACAGATGAGATTCAAAACCCTCTGACACGTACCACGCTGTATCTCCATGACGAAGGCGACAAGGAAGACATCGAACATCTGAAGGCGATCATATCCATGCAATTCGATGACCTGCAGGAGACATGTCTACTGTTTCTTCGAAAGCTTCAGCAGATCAGCGTTGCATTTTATGACGACGTGGGCAACCTTGAGCGATCGAAAAAGTTCAGAAAACAACAGATTGACGACCATCGTGTCTCTCTGGAGACCATTACTGTTGCTTCCGGTGAAGAGATCACCAAAAGTCAAATCTACCATATCGCGAAACAATATGCAACGGGATTGGCACCGAGCGATAATCGGGAACCGCCAAAGAACGACGAAGAGCGAAGGATGTCTACCACTGCCGAGGTAGTATTGGCGTTTCCTCTAACAAGTGATTACGAGCCACAAATCACTCGTCAAAAACAAGAGCTCTTTGCGTTTTTGCCTCTTCGTACATCGGACTATAAGGTCGGTAACATCCATCTTCCTCAAGCCTTCGCTGAACAACTCCTAACTCGTCATATAGTTTCACATTCATTCAGACTTTGATACGAATGCCAATCGACAGGATATCATCACCACATCGCGACGCAACCGCAACATTCGCGATTGTATCGGAACAGCATTCTACAAAGCGGTCCTTCAGTTCTGCAACCACCCTACGCTGTGTTATCAGTGGCCACTTTTTCTTCCACCGAAAGACAATGGCTATGACTCTTTTTGGTCACAGTTGGATGCCAGCATCCAGTCGTTGATTACGAAGAACCCTGTTATCAAGTCAAGGCATATAAATTCATTGCGCTCTGTTTCAGACGTTCGGGTCCCAGGATTCGATGCGAAAGACCAGAAGGGGGACCCGCTGTTCGATGACCCCATCAAGGATCCGTTTATCTCGCCCAGATACTCTGGCGCAGCAATCAATGCCTTGCAAGAACACGGCCTCAAAGTGATGGACATCGTGCTTTTTGTTGGGTTGCTTGCTTCTGACTTGAAAAGCACTAACTCTAAGATGCGCGGGAAAGCAATGACTGAAGAATGGCATAGCCGCGTGGCACGTCTTCTCTCCAAGTTTGTGGGAACCAATCCCGGTATACGCTCCCTCCAGCTGTTACCACTAATAGATGGCAAATGGACATCATATGGAGAAGGGCCCGTCTACCTACCTGCGACAGGAGACGTCAAGATTCCAGCTACACTGGATCTCAGAGTTTTAGACTCTGCGGCGATACAGAACCCTGACAGACGAACCTTGTTTAAGCAACTTGGCGTTTCTGAAGCTACAACTGCTCAAGTCCGACAATCCATCAACACGGCCTTTGGGGCGGGTAAAAGTATTGCACATACGATCATGTTGGAGTTTCTGACCTATCTTTACCTTACGCACCAAACCAACGTACATACACGCGAACAGTACAGAAACGTATGGGTTACAACAAAGGACAACAAAGGCTATTACACGTGCAGTACGACCGTCTACTTACCGGGAACCGATCACCCCTATAGCCCCGAAAGCCTTTTATCTGTACCGGGTACTGCGCCGAGCTTTCCTATTCACTTGTTGAAGGACCTATTTTTCAAGGGAGGGCCGGCCCAGCCACATATGTTTCATCCATCGTGGAAAGTATGGCTGGTATCCTTCATAGGTGTCCACGAGCGATTTAGTTTACTTTCCCCTGGTGGAAATACCTTATCAGAGCCCTTCCTCTGGGTCTTCAATGATCACCCGGATAAATTCCTGGGCCTGTTCGAGCATCTTTGGTTACATGAGAGGAAGAGATTATTGGACAACCCAACTCTGGTCTCAAAGATCAAAGACTTGTCCGCCAAACAACTTTGTAAAGTAAACTTTTCACCCAAGCTGAAGAACACATGGCTTCCCTATCCACACCTTCAAGAGTTGGTCCAGCGGTATATGGAACATCCCGATCGATTCCCATTCTTGAAGGTCGAGAGCGATGAGACGGATCTAGGGCCCGGAATGAAATGGAACTTCTTGACCAAGCATTTCTCAGTTGGTAAAGACGACAACATGGAGTTCTTGCTGGAGATCCTCACCTGTATCGAAAGATCGTGTCCTGACCCATCGTCTATTCGTCAGTCCCAGAGGGTACTGAGTTTATATATTGCCATCTACGCCAAGCTTTCTGTTACTAATAATCACGTCGCTATGGCAATCAGAATCAAGTAAGTTGCGAATGCTTATCCTCGAGAACAGGAAACTAACCAAAGTAGGGAATTCTTCAACGATTCGGGCATCCTAGACCCGGGCGAGAAAGCCCCGATGTGGACAAGTACTTCCTTCTGTCTCTGGTCCGCGCCTCCTGATATGGTGACAGCACATTCGCTGAAGAGGAGTTATGCAAGGAGAAGTCTGAGTGAGGAAGACATGAGCAACATCGAGAACCTATTCCATCGTACGCTAGGTATACGTAACGCTACGGTTGACAATTTGGTAACGGAGCTGAATGAGCTGCGAGAGGAGGGCTGCGAGGAAGACGATCGCATCTGGGAGCTTTACGAGTACCTGCATGGTAATGCGTTCGAAACATCTGACATAAGGTGCGTTTCGGCTTTTGTCTCTTTCACAGTACAGTTTTCCTGACATGACACAGACTTGCGTTCCAGGAATCACCGCTTATCTTCGTGAGGCAACAAGGTGTTCCGGGTTGATACCGAACGTCTGATTGCCTGTGGTCTAGTGCAACGACGATTCGGGGCAAAGCTACCTTGGACGAGTCATATGAAGACCTTGCTGAGTTCTTCATCCATATACTCGGTGTTAAGTCACTTACACTTCAGATGGTGTATGACGAGCTAAGGCAATCTCCCAACGACAGCCCGGAAGAGGTAAAAGTGGCGATCCGTTCCTTGAATGAGTTCCTTCAGACCGAACCCACCTACCTAGATCCTGAACCTATCAGGAGGGCCAAGGTATTTCCCATCAGGTACCCAAATGGAAATGTTTCTCTGGGTTCTATCGATGTGAGCTTTGCCATTGGCGACCGAGAAAAATTGAAGGCTGCCTTTGAGACCAGGATTAGCCTTCTGGACTTTGATCTAGAGGACATCCGCCGCTTGAAGCCGTTGTTTGATTGGTTGAGACTTGAAGACCGTTACTTATCCAGCTGCGTCAAAGAGGATACCTCCATTTCTGGAGATTCTGGAACACCTATCTTGTCGGGTAACCGGTACCTAAGAGCCAAAGCCTACTTTATCACCCGGTAAGTTTGTCGCAGTGGATTTGGAGGAAGAATATTAACCACCCTGTCAGAGTCGCTGCGACATTTAATAGTCCTCGATTCCGTCATAATCCGCTCGAATGTTACGAGACTCTTCGCACGATGGACGTGAGAGAAGTAGACGACATATCTTCGGTCCTGAAGATGAGCCAGAACGGCCAGCTCTTCGAGACTAGGATCGCCACTGCCAACGAACATATCGATGAGACTGGCGGTAACCTTACCATCTATGTCCCAAAAGAGCCAAAGAAACAGGACATTTGCTTCGCGTCGGTCCTGCCCAGGAAGCTTGTTGCATGGCTAATGAGGCATCCTAGGACTCATGTTACTGGGAATGTCGAGGTTGAGGCAATATTTGCTCTCACGTCTATCTTTGCCAGCGACAAGTCCGTGCTGGACTATATCCTCGAAGACCAGGGCATTATACAAATATCTTTGGATAACAACGACGAGGATGAAGTCTCACCTGTTAATGGAGAGGAAGAACGTGCGGATACAGATCTACCTCCGACCCGGGTTCTGGAAACTCCTGAGTCCTCGAGACAAGATTTCACCCCAACAAACTCCTCAGACATCGATGCATTGTCAGATATCGCACACAGCACCGATCTCAGTGAGACCGTAGTTGAGACTTTGGGTCAGAGCAGTCACATGTCTCATCAGGGTCGGACAGCTGTTGGAAGAGTTTCACCAATTCATGACGCTTTCCGTCCACCACGAAGCGCCGATGTTACAAGTCCTCGGTTTCGTCAAAATCGGTCTCCAGGTCCGGATACGACCGACACAGGACTTCAAGAAGATGTACGGTATCGCTCCATCCTAGAACGAGTAGTCGAGGCAGCTCGAAGAGCCAACTTCCCACATTCAGGCGCCTTTGACATGCAAGATCTACGTGATGCTCTGCTTGATGGAAACCTCGGCACGTATCAGAGCTTTGACGGGCTGGATGTCATGGACAGTATGGGGTCCAGTAGCCAGCAAGAGCGCGACAAGAGAGTCGGTGCAGCTGGCGAATTATATGTCAGTATCCTTATGAGTGTGACATTAAATAATATACTGACAATCTAAATTTAGGTCTTTGAGCTGTTGTCCAAGCTCGAATTGCCAGATTGGGGCCGTGGCAACTGGCAAAGCACTATCAGAAAGTACGCGACTGTGCATCCCGACTATGCAGACCTTTCACATTGGTCCAGACGAGAAACTGCTGACCTAGTCTACGTCGATGCTTCGGGCCGGCTTACCAACACCCTGATTGAAGCTGGCATTCTAACTTCCGACGAGTGGTCTGGAAAACAACCGACTTATTACTTTGAAGTAAAGACAACGACTGGACCATGCAAGACACCATTTTACATGAGCGGAAATCAGTATCGTCTTGTCAGTTCACTCCGATATCCTGTTGAAACAAAAGCTAACTGATTACAGATGGAGCGTATCCACTACGATGAAGATCGTTCAGAAGTATACATGATCTTCCGTATTTACTCTCTGCTTGATGGCAGCCGGATTAATTATTGCGTCTACATGGATCCTAAGAGATTGCGAGATGAAGGACGGCTTGTTTTTACTGAGGGGACATGGTCGGTTAGGCCAGGGTCTGTGGTTGAGCAAGAGTAGTGACGCAGCATTGGCTAGGGTTCAGTTCACTTGGGTAGATGGTGGGGAACAGTAAATATAATGAATTTGTGATCACTTTTGTTTTCTTTGTCTGAACAAAGGTAAGGTTAAAGCTCTGCCAACCTCGCGTTCTATGCCAATAACTAGTTTACATAAACATGACCTGAATGATAGACTTAACACTAGTCCACCCCAGTTCCCTTCATCCCAATTTCTTTCAAGGTAAATGATGATGTTGACTTATACAACTCCACCATATCAAAGTCAAGTTTCTTCTCCAATTTACAACAGTCCACGATTCTTATCCGGTTCTGGTGTGTCCAGGAGGGAGTCTCTATTTGACGAATGGATTCAGCCACCGAAAAAACAGTGAAACCCAAATATGGCCAATCTGGCTCCGTCAGGGGCAGACCGTCCTCCCACATTTGTCTCATCAGGTGCCCGGCGAGTCTGCAAGAGCACTCCTGGGAACAGCCAACTCGTCCATCAAGGAGGTCTTCCTGCAGGTCGTACAGTTTGTCGAAGAGTTGTTCGAGTAGAACAAGGCGCCATCGGTCGAGGTTGTATGTCACTCGTCTGGGTAGTGGTAGGTATGTTTCGATAGGGCCAGATGCTGTGAGTATTGCGTTGGCCGCGAGGTTATTGAACACTAGCTCGCTTTGGAAAGTCCAGGCAATAAAAAGCTGAAACTGCTGGGTCTTTCCGAAATGACTTAATCCTTGGTTATTAGTGTCTGGCCAGTTGCTCTCAAAATCGTTTCGGCCCCAATCGTTACCGAACCTAGCTTCCCAGCCGTGATAGACAACCTTAACGATATCAACACAGTTATAGTTACCAGCAATTAGCGCAACGTGTGCAACAATCTCCTGGGATAACTCTTTGGAGACGTGACTGTGGTGGCCATGTATGATGTCAAGTAAGACCAGGAGAGCCTGAGCATTCCAGTCCGAAGTTCTGAGTTCCAAGAGGCCTTGATCGTTTGGCTTGGACTCTCGGAAGTCACCCTTGATCAATCTGTGGAAGACCGGGGATGCCATGCTGAGATGCTTGGCGGACACACGGAAAACGATCTCGTTGAGAGTACCATCCTTCTCTTCTGGTTGTAGAGATGTGATCTCTCTGAGTGCTGTGGCGTTTGTGATTATATGCAGCCCTTTCGGTTTCAGGAGGGACGGTTATAGTTGGTTCATCCTTCTTCTTCTCCTGCACCTCCTCTCCCCATACAAGAACGTCTGGCAGGTAGGAACGAACCTGTTGCAAGTTGGGACGCTGCATTATGAGTAACGCATCGGCGTCAAGGTCGAGCTCGAGGAGAGATGGCTTCATCCTGAAATGTTGAGAGACAGTATGAAATTGTGAATGATTCTTCTGCGTCTTGTTTGGCGATGAGCTAGTGTTATATGTTTATTTTCCCCTTGCTTGATCAGCCTGCTTACTGCGGGACTTCCCACGTTTTATAGTATACGTCGCGATATTAGGTTCGCATGACTCACGATATAACCTCTGTTCGTGGGCCTTGATTTGCATAAGGTTCAGAGCCTGCATCAATATGATTAAGTTGTTTGGTTGAGGTCGATCAGCGGGCATCTTCAGATTTGTCACCGCCAAAACCTAAGACCTGTGATTAAGAGTGTGATCTTGTGAAACATGATCGTGTGAATGTCCGCTACGGATGTGTTACTGTAGATAGCCTGCTTTCCTCTCAGTCCACTTCTCAGCATCTACCTTCCTATTCGAGACCAAGCATGTGCAGACCTGTCTTCCTTTATCGATTGAGATAAGTTTTTTCACAACGAATTTATACTTTCTTCGAAGCATCATGAATACAATGCTTGCGAGTCCCCGTTTTTGCCCTGCTCCGGAGTAAGGTTTGGGATAGAAACTTCCACTGAGACAAGGTTTACCTACTTGATCGAGTATCAATTACCCGCTTATTGCAGGCCCTGTGTCTGGAAGGACGGAATATGATAAGGATTCGATTTGAACGGGAATAGACCGGGTATTAGTTCTTTCTGTCTATGATAGCAAGCCAATCGGCGAAAGCGTGTCCTGGAACATGGAAAAGTCATCAGGAGACCTCAATCAGCAATTGCAGTTTTGAACAGTGGTTAGTGTATTTATTTACGAGTCAATAGTTTATCTTCAAATCGATAGTTTTAAAGGCTAAACCAGAGCAAGTACACGCTAAGACACAATTTCAGGGGCCTGCAATTTCAGATGCAAGCCACGGCACTAGCAAGCGCCTCCACTGTCGCAATCCAGTAACGGCTGATCCATCAAATCGTTCTCTGGCGAATCCCAGCTTGACGCTAAACAGTGTTTGCCTTAGGAGTCCTCTGGAGTAACTGTTGAACAAAGTAAGGAGAAGAGAATTATTGATCCTTCAGAAGCAATTAAACTGACAAAGGTCTTTCAGCTGGTTACTAGTCACTAGCTTAATACCCATTCAGGCTTGAACCCAAGATGCTTATCTCAGTGTTGCGCGAGTCAATTGAATCTCACTTGGTATAAGAGAGGCGCTCTTACCCCCCCAGTTTTGTGGCTCTTGTTCCATTGCGCCATCTGCAACGGTCGTTCCTTTCCCTCACCATAGTCACTCGTTTATAATGGTGTCACTCAAGTCTATTGCATTCGCTTATGCGACTGCCAATTTATTGGCAGTAGATGCAAGCCCCTGCCGTCCATCAAGCTCCGCCTTGTCCGGCTCCGAAAGCCAGACCTTATCGTCGGCCGTCTCGACTTCCACGTCGGGCAGTGGCACCATTCCAGTTGATACCACGACGTCCAAGGAACTCACTTTGTCCAACGATGAAACAACTATTGGAAGTTCAACTTCGTCTGGTAGTGAGACTCTCAGTGTTTCTATGTCGTTGAGCGAGCCCACTACATCTGATCTTGCAACACTCTCCACTATTGCAACTTCTAGCAGCCTTACGACTTCCGTCGAACTGACTACTGCGTCTGGAAGTGCCACGACCTCTGCTGAGACTACTGCATCTACAGATACTACGGAGTCTGTTGAGACCACTAGGATCACTGATGCTACTGCGTCTACCGATGCTACTGCGACTACTGGCACCACAGTAGCCGCCGGATCTGATACCACAACCGTCGCTGATACCACGGCTGATACCACCACTACAATTGATACCACAACCACTGCCGACACTACAACTACGGCTGACACAACCACTGCTGATACTACGACTACGGCTGACACAACCACTGCTGATACTACGACTGCCCCAGATACTACCACCACCATGGGATCTACAACGGTTTCCGAAGAGCCTACTACTACAACCTCTGCTTGTGTTGAGCCTACCAACATGCTCAGAGAGGCTGGCTTTGAAGAATCTACTGGTACTTGGGGATTTTACTGGGGCGGCGGTTATGTTGACGAGAATGCCGAAAAGCCTCGCACTGGAAGTGGAGCCGCGTATGTCCATCCTTGACTCTTCCGACAACATAAACTAACTGAAAGTAGTGTTCTTCCCGTTCCTGATAAACAAGAACGCCGTATGGAGCAGCGCGTACATGTTGTCCCAGGTACAGAGTATACCGTCAGCTTCTACTACGCTCTTTCGGCCGTCCCAGATGCTAGCAGCCAGTGCATCGTGTTTGCTACCTTCGACTACTATACGACCTTGAAGACAGTACCGATTCCATCTGACATTGTTTACCACCAGTACACTGGCAGTTTCATCGCAGCGGACAACTTGGACCCGGTCATCGAGATTGGTGTCTCATGCCCCCGAGTGAGCAATGCGCCTGAAGTTCGGGTTTTCATCGACGATGCTTCGGTCATGGGTGCCGCTTGTGACGCCACTCCTCCCGAGTCAACGCTTCTCGTCCCTGCAGACCCAGAGCCAGCTAACTGTCCTTCGAACGTCATTAAAACCCCGGGTTTTGAGACTATGGATGGAAGCCAGAGCTGGTATATCCTCGGCGACGGAGATTTTGTAGAGGACGAATCGAATGCTCGCACAGGAAAATGGGAAGCGTAAGTGTAGATCTCATTACACCCTGAACCCAAACGCTGACAGACGACAGACTCTTGAACAGCGTTTCTCAACCTGGATTCGGCACCTTCCTCGAACAGGTATTCTCTTCGTCAGACCTCGCTGCCGGCGAGACATACGATCTCCGTTTCTTCTGGAAGCCCAAGTCTTTGCCAGATAACGGCCGGTGCTACATATACAGTGTTCCCAATCGTGGAAACAACGCAATAACATATGACACAGTTGCTTTTGGGGCAACCTCGTCAACTGGCTACACTATCTCCTCAGGTCGCTTCACAATGCCGGAAGGTGATGTGACTATTTCAATCATCTTCATTTGCGACGAGATCAGTAGTCAGCAGCTACAAGGATCAGTCTACGTTGACGATACTGCACTGATCAAGGTTGGAGGCTGCGAGGCATATCCCGAGACAGGAGCAATCATCGAGAACCCTAGCTTCGAGGTTCAAGCGACTGACGATAGCACTTATGCCTGGTTCGGAACTAGTGGTGTCAGCATCAAGGCAGGCACTACAGCCAACGGTCCCTCCCCTCAGACGGGTAACAATTTCCTGTAAGCTTTGCACCAATGGTACCCTCCTTCACTATTCTAACTCTGTCTAGATACATCAAGCTCGACTCCGACAGAAATTCCGCTACTGTCACAAAGCCTCTGGCCAAGACTTTAAGCCCAGGCCGACAGTATACTATCAGCTTCAGCTGGACTGCTGGGGCGGCTTATGAAACCGGCGATTGCTCCTTCACACTCGCCCTTGGCTCAGCTACTGATACACTCAACCTGAACTCAGAGGTTACGCCTTATGAGTACCAAGAGTTCACGGCCAATCTCACGCCTAATGAAGAGACTTCCTCTATGACTCTTCAGGTCCAATGCGGGGATGTGTTCCCTGACTTTGCGTTTGACGATTTTACTCTCCAGTAATCGGACCGAAATCATAATTGGGACCAGGCAATTCACTTCTTTAGATATATATTTATGTACATATATGTATGCTCTTGTAGTTAACTCAATGAGTGTTTTACAAACATATTGTGGCTTTCCACCAAGTTCGTGGTGGCTCAAAACAACAAACCGAAACATGGTAATTTGCTTTTTCAGGTCGTTGTATGGCGCGTTTACAGTAGAGCCCAGAAACTACATGGGCCCAACTACAGTCGTGGTCCCCCGACTTACCATGTTATGGAAAGCAACGGCTTGTTAGTTCTGCCTAGTTTACTATATCAATGTGCAATACAGTACCTTTTACTTCCTTTGGTTACGATATCCTAAGGTTCCGGGTAGGTATCCTTATCTTATCATTATCTCCTATCTTATCGATCGCCCAGTCGGTGTGGGGTCTTTCTTGGTCAATCAGACAGATAGACCCAGATAGACCCACCGTTCTCAAGTCAAGTCAGGGGTCCCCTGTGCTCCACGCCTATGGAACAGGCTGGACTTGTTGCGAGCGTTGCTGACATGATCATGAGAGCTTCCTGCATCTGCCACCATCCATCATTCGTTCACTGTACCCCACTTCTGCCAAATAGATGGATACGTATCGATCCATGTAGGTTTCTCTCAGCTTTCAGCTTGTGAGACTTGGAATCATGCATGCGCCACCAGTGTAACCGCCCGAGTACTGGGTCTCGAGCAGGGGAACAACAGGCGTTTGCCCATGGCTTATTTGGTCATTAATGCAACAGCCAGAGACGTTATGTGTCAGCAAACTCTTCCCCCTCTCCCAATCCCCATCTCTGTCTTCGACAGTCAAACGAGATCAGAGACTAGAAACTTGGAACTACCATGTCGTCTGCAAATGCCTACGAAAAGGATATTGTCAATAAGCTTACGAACTATCGGCCGCTACGAACACAGCGTTATGCCAATGTAAGCGTGCTGATCATTACCTGGAAGGACCATGACTTTGACCCGCCTTTCGCTTTCGACCAAGAAATTGCTGAGGTTAAAGCAATGTTTCAAGAAACTTTCAACTACACCATCTGGCCAGTCAAGATACCAACCGAAAATGCTGAACGATCTCTTAACCTAGCTGTCGCTCAATTTGTGAGTAACTTCGGGGGTGAAGACGACCTCTTAATCGTGTTCTACAGTGGTCATGGCGGTGGTGACAGTGAGAAGAGAAGTTCTTGTACATGGGCGGCGTAAGTGCTCGCGAAGGGCATATAGAAGCCGTTCATTGACTAATGCGCCTGGAAACAGAAAGGTTTGTGGTGGCCCCACACTCGACTGGTCGAATATACAGCCGCAGCTATTCTTTTCATCTGGCGACGTTGTCATCATCCTCGACTGTTGCTATGCTGGTCAGGCAGCAAGACCTCATAGGTCAAATAGAATCGAGTTTCTAGCTGCCACCGACAAAGACAATTGGACACCAACTGGAATGAAGAAATGGCCTTCCTTTACAAAAGTTCTTCTGAGGGAGATGAGAGCTTTGATATCGGCAGAAGGCGCTGTGACGATTGCCGCTCTTCAACGACGCATGGTTGTAGAGGAATCTGGTTTGAAGAGACAGCCATTCATGGTCTCCATGGCTGGTGACATGTCAGAAGGCCCGATAAGGCTAGCAAAGCTGACACAGAGCGACAAGTCCAAAGACCTTGCCCCTCGGTCAGGCTCACACTCCACCAATGCCATATACCTGCGGCTGTGCCTCTTCGATCCTTTGGATGAAGTAACATCTCCGAGTCTGCTTCGCTGGCTCACTCGAGACTCACCAGCCTCAGTGGAAGATGTCCAGGTCATTGAGGAGGCCTTGGCACAGGCGCACGACGTCGTGAAGACGGAAGAGAAAGTATTCGCGTCGGCAACTGAGCAGGAAAGAACACAGGCCTTCCGCTCAATTTCCCTAGAAGGACAGAATGAGGTCCAAAGGCTGCTAAGAGAACTGAAGCTTGCTGTTAGCTCATCCTGCGATGCCCTGTCGACGACATCTAGATCACCCAGTGTTATTATTAATGGTCTCCGGGGGGCATCCTCTCGGCTTACGGATTTCATCGCAGATTTCCTTCCAGTGATGGACAAATCAACTCTCATTGACCTGAGCCATGATGACGCAGTGGGCCTTGAAGACATCCGCAATAAGATACTGATGCGGCTTACTCTTCTCGACGACGAAGAGATGACAGGGAGTTCTATCCGTATCACCTTTGATGACGAGGCAAGCCCACATCAGCGAATACGCCTTGGAAGGCAAGCTGATCAAGACGTATTGGTTGAGTATATCTACTACAATAACGAGAATCCTGATGTCCTTAATCGATTATCGTACCAGATCAGGCGGATGATGGCTCTGTTAGTTGAGTCTAGGAACCCGATATTCCGGTCGCTCGGTGGGACTGGATTCATTCACGAGAAGCTTTGTGGACCTCGCTTCGGAATCGTGCACCCTCTTGCCAACAGCCTCAATGGCCGCAAGTTCGCAGTTCTCGCCGAATTGATAGAAGAGACCAAGTACGTCCGGTTGGACTGTCGCATACGTCTTGCTGCTCATATCTGTGAGGCCGTCCTGCATCTGCATTCCGTCGGCTGGTATCACAAGAACATCAAAATCGATAACATCATTGTTCCCCGCTCTTCTGATAGCGGGCAAAACTCGACTTCACCGACAAATTGGGATTTTGACAATCCGTTCATAATCGGGTTTGATTGCTCGCGCCCGACAGATGCAGAGACAAGAGACACGGTCGACTTCAATCCGGCAAACAATATCTACAGGCACCCGGACCGTTGGGGGAGATCGACCCGTTTTAAGAAACATCATGATATATATTCACTTGTAAGCCAATAACCCGGACTCTCTTGACCCTTTATGACTTGTACTGACCCACAGAGGAGGGTATTCTCATCTTGGAGATTGGATGTTGGATCAAATTTCCAACACTGGACACCAAACGACAAAACTTTGTTCACGTTAGTGATCCGGAAGAACTCCGCAAACTGCTTCTCAAGGTTGCATCTAGTAAGCTTGCGCATGCAGCTGGTGCACGATATGCCGAAGCAGTGAGGAATTGTATCATGAGAAGGAAGTGGGAAGATCTTGACGATTGGGAATCACAAAAGCTAGTTCGGGAGACTGTTTTGGACCAACTCCGATAGTCTCCTCCTAGAAACACTGGATCGTTCTTCATTACTTGAAAAAGCTAGCATATCCTTTCCGTCTTCAACTCGAACATCCTTTTTACCGTAGCATCACGGTAGGATGTAACAGAAAACAATGTTATGACTAAGGCGACTGGGCTAGAAATGCGCCGAGTAACGTAGCATATCTGCCCAAGATATGTGTTTAGTATCCACATCAGATAAGATGACGGGGTGTAAGGTATAACATACGTTACCAAAGCAATTAAAAAGTTGTGTTTAGTTATGTCGAGTGCAGCAACAAGCAAAATGGATGTGCCGAAGACAAAGATAGCATAGATTATCGATCTTGGGAGGCTTCCACCTGAGCTTTGCAACAGTATTGTTGGGAGAACCAGCCACATAGGAACAAACAACGCCACGAATGCTTTGGCAGCATGGTCAAGAAGTGAGGGGGGAAAGAGAAAGATGTTGGGGTCTCGAGTCTTTGCCTAAACAGGTTGCAGCTTAGTAAGGGTATTTGATCATATATTATGTTGCTTACCAAGTTGGTGTGAAACTGTTGTCTCATCATTAGCACTTCTCTTCCAGGATTCAAGGGCGGAAAGTCATACCAGTCTTCCAACCCGAGGAAATGTCCTCAGCCCCCACTCTAGTACCTTCTCCAGCCGTGATCTATCACATCTCTCGGAGACTCCCAGGGCCACATAATCCGTTTCAACTGACATATTAAGAAAGCATGCGCTCTCAGACCGTACCAGCGGCTTGTTTCCCGCGAACCAGTTCTCTACATTTTGGCGCTGTGCTTCATGCGCTTCGGGCAGACGGAGCATGTTGTTGTAATCTTGTACAGCCTTATCTGACCATCCATCAGTTATGCATGGCGTTGCGAGGGTATACGTGTACTCACCGTAAACTTCGAGTGTGGAGCGGATGCGCTGCAACAGGTCACGGCGGGTATTGTTGCTGTCTTGGCGACGGCTGCTCAGCCCTAGTTGTACAGGTTCAAGCTCGTCACACCGTTTCAGTTGATCCTGGAGCTCTGAAAGCTGATCTTGTAGGTCTAGGAGACTCCTCATATGCAAGAAGTCATACCTCTTTAGAATGGAGAAGTTCCTGTCCAAAGTGAGAAAACTCGCCAGCCGAGGATAACCCTGCCGATAGTCCTCAACTTGGAACATCAGGTCAGTTCGCGTGTGGGGAGGTATTGGGATAGGATAAGTGACTCACGCTTAATGCTGGACATGGTTACTCAGGTGTAGAGGTGGTGGCCTGTACTACTGTGACGAACTCAACAGTCGAGAGTAACATTTATCTAGAACATCTCGCATGGCATACTGCTCTAGACAATCGCGTGACATCGAGAGTCGAGAGGCCTCTTTGCTCCTTCCATTTTTGTGGCAATACTTTCAGCCCGTAAGCCGTCGTGTAACCACGTCGGTGAGACTGGCTGTATGGATCTGACTGTCTTGTCTCACGCAAAAGCAAAACTATCGACGCCCAAATCTGCACATTAATGCAGACGAATGTCACTCATGCATGGTGGAGTGGGGGCCTGATGATATTCTGTTTGTATTTTCAACCCAGCTGGATTTTGTGTCAAATCAGACCTGTATAAAATGCCATTGATTGTGTGCTCTAATCACATTGACAGTGACTAACTTGTCTTTGAACACTCACACAGCGAATCGGCTTGGCGAAGAAGCTGGGCGAGTCTTACATTTGCTAGAATGGCTACCAACACGTCCGCCACCGATGTACATGAAGGTGCAGGTCTCAACACAGCCCCGCTTGGCAGCACACCCGACAAATCAAAAGACAATCACGACAAAGAAAAGACTTTCGATGACAGCGATGATGAAGACAGGAAGGCGCATGTAGCTAGGTACACCCAGGAAGCTGCAGTAAGTACATTACATTTATACTTTTGCCGTATATTTGACATGCTAACATGGAACTTTCAAGTTCCCTTTGGAGATTGGAGAGACGGTATGGATTGTCAAGCCAGGCTATCGGGCCCCGTTAGGTGAATTTCGCATTACAAAGGCTCATCCAAACGACATGTTCGAGCTGCAATCTTGCGCAACCAACGCGGCCCACACCGAACTGGTTGCAGGGAAGGATCTGAGACGTAATGTTTAGCTTGGATGTATTATAGTCAATCATTGTAACTTGATAATCGGCACATCGGCAATATGTATATGCAATAGATAGTTGAATAAAGTGCCGAGCCATCTCGATTATCGTTCTGCGTGATGCTTTTGGATCCAACCCAAGTATGAGGTCCTGTCTTCTCTAGCCATTCAAGATACACCCGACGAAGCAACATAGTTTCACTTTTCTTAAGCCCTATCACGTATTGCAACTATAATGGCACTGTCCTTTCGCACTCCCTCTACCTTGGCTATCTCCAGTCGGGCGGAGGAGGATAAGAAAAATGAACCAGAAATATCTACAACAGCCCTGGACTTTGTCTCTGCTCTCACGACCAGCAAATTCCTAATACTCGGTTCTGGACTACTGAGGCTCGACGATATTACCGTGAGAGTTGCTGGACGCGGTGGCTATGCATCCATTGAGATTGGTACTGCCAAGCTACCTCACAAACGCCTCGTTGCGGTTAAGCGAAGCCTGATAAAATCCGATCAGAGACTCAACGGGCCTACTGCGTCCGGAAAAGGTTTGGGAAAAGGCTTTGAACAGATTGTTCGAGAATTACGCATTCTGGGCCATGACAGTATCAAAAAGCACAACAATCTGGTGAATCTGGAGGGTGTCTGCTTGGACGACTACAACGGTTTTCCCTCGCTGGCCATCGTTATGGAATACTCGAGTTTGGGGACATTGCGTGCCTTTCTCACCGAGAATGCGAAGAATATTTCGCTTGGTGAGCGCGTGGACTTCGTGATGCAGAGCGGCCGCGGCCTGGAAGCGCTTCACCAGGTCAAGGTTTGTCATGCAGATATTAAGATCGACAATGCGCTCGTATTCAAGTCATCGACACATAAAGACGTAGCCTCCGGCTGGACCATCAGGTTATCAGACTTTGGTCAGTCTATCATCGCGTCGCGAGATGATCCTGACGGAAGGGTGTACTGTCGACCTGGAACACCTCTATTGGAAGCTCCTGAAATTCGAAGTGGTCAATCGTTCTCTGACGGGGATTTCAACATTCATGCAGCCTTAAAGACCGATGTATTCTCTTTCGGCCTATTCATATGGGAAGCTATGAATAAGGGACGACTCTACTTTGATCCGGCTTGGATCGAGTCAAGTGATAGGCCGCTTGATATCAACATGATGGAGAGCTTCCTTGATGGCTTGCCTGAAAACGGCCTTTTATCCCGCGCTATCGCCTTTGCTAAGGGCTTAGGCCAAGAGGAGATAGCAGACCTATTGTCGCGTCTATTCGAGGTCACTTTGATCGACGACCCAAAAGCCAGAAAGTCGATAGGCGACCTAATGGAGCTGTTCCCGCAGAACGAGAAGTAAGTAGCAACCAATCCAATCATGCCATAGCGATCTCTTTGGATGTATACCTAATCACCAACGTCTATAGACATGTTGACAGTGACACTGACTCAGATAGCTCGATCGATATCGAAGCTATCCTCGTCACCCTAGGATTGGAAAATGACCACTTCCCAACATCTTCAATAGTCTCTTGGGGAACCCGAAATTCCTTTTACGACGTAAGTAGCCCCAATCACAATTACTCCTTGGACATCTCACTGAATTCTACCAATTAGTTAGATCTTCAGGGTATCGTACTTGGCAACGGTATTATAGCTAGTCTGCCCGTGTCTCTCCAGCGAAGCATCCTCGCTGAGCTCAAAGCTATGGCGGATCTTTCACAAGATAATGCTGCCGGCCATTCTGCTATGACAGTATCCGAGTGCTACACAATTGGCTTTGGTGGCTCGCATGACATGGGTCAAGTTTTGCACTGGCTTGCAGCTGCAGCTTCCAAGGGCTTTCATAAAGCTTGTCTACTGTATCACCGTGTTTGCAGCGGTCTCCGCTTGCCTCCCCGTGATGTGGATGGTACTGATGAGGGGAAGGCTCTTGATTTGGCCCTTCGAAGTCTACCCACTGAGAAGTACTTGTCAGAAAGGATCATCCATCACTCACGAATGATCATCGAAAGCGCACGGAATGCCATGCTACAGATTGCACCTGTAAATACTAGAATGGGGACTTGCAGCCTTTCACTGTTCAATGAAACCGACATCGACACCCTTCAACCACTACACGTGGCATCGTGGCTAGGAGATGAGTCCCTTGTATTACAGCTACTCGAGTCTGGCCCGCAGGATACGCGATCCCAGTTGGGGCTCAACGCCATACACTTTGCATGTCTCGGGGGAAGTCTCTCTGTTCTTAAACTACTAATCGAGCGCGGCCTTCCACCCTCGGTAGCCGACTTTCGGTCGATAACTCCCCTGCATCTAGCGATCTTCTTTACTTCAAAGGACCTACCTGCCGCTGTACAACTTCTCATTCAGAGTGGTTGCTCGGTGGAAGCTCGTGCAAATAGTGTCAACTTCGAAGCACATGACTTGTTGCTTAGTGGGACGCCGATTGAGTGGGCGATTGGGTCACGTAACATAACATTCGTTCGCCTTCTTCTCACACACCATGTACAGCCTCCCGACCCTGTTTGGCTCCATATAGCCATAGTTGACTATTACTGGGAGATTTTAGAAGACCTTTTGCCTCTTTTCTTACCCACAGCGATTGCCTTACCTGATAGCCACGCTACCTTACATGTAGCACAGAGGCCATTTCTTCATTGGATTGCCCATGGGAAAGACTACCACGAGGCAATCAAGGGGACAGTCCAGATATGCAGCGACAATGGTCTTCTGAGTTGTTCAACGGATGGAACATCCTATCTAAGTCTTTTGATAGACGATCTACGGACCGAGGGGGATTTCGCGATGTTCAACGCCGCCTTGGACGTCTCGACACCTGAAGACGTGCGAAAGAGGAGGGCGGGCTTTTTGGACGACCCCCTGATAGTCAGTGCATTCCAACACAACGCCCAAAAGGATGCCTTTCGTGATATCTTGATCAAGCTCACTGGTTACTATACACTCGATGAGCTTGAAGATGGTCGCATGTGTCGAGGAGGCAGCCTCCTTGGTCAGGCTGTCGAACACGATAACGTCATGGGGGCACGTATCTTACTCGAAAAGGGTGTCGACGTGAATAAGACCTTCGTGATTGGCGGCATTATACTCACAAACCCAATTCAAGAATGTCTTGCCAGCAGATCCTCACCAGAGATGCTATCGTTGTTGGTACAATATGGCGCTGATCTTCTTGCCAAAAGCCCTATGACTGGGCTGACACCACTTCACGCACTATTGACCGGTCGGATGCAGGTGAAAGATATTCTCGATATTCTTTCCCATCATCAGCAGCCCGACCAAGTATTTATCGAGGCATTACATAGAAGCTTCGGTACTCTGCTCATATTGTCTATGAGATATGAAGCCGGGATGTCTTCGAATGAGCGGGATAGTAAAAGCTTTCGACTACGAAACGACCTGCAGGAGCAATTCTGTCAGCTACTTCGTGACTCTAGGTTCTCAAAGTTTATCGATGCGCCTCAACATGAGGATGGACCTACAATGCTTCAACAAGCAGCGTATCTTGCCCAACCGTTCTTGGTCAGTCTCCTCCTTGAGGCAGGGGCTGATGGAACTCGACGATTGAAGCGCGATGACGATATGGTATTACCGCTTGACCTTGCATGCATGACGGGCCGGGGACTATACGCTGCCAAAGTAGCAGGCATTGACAGCACGGAGGGATTCGCCCATCTCAGCATTGATGACGCGTTGGAGGTCGCGACAGATTTGCTGCAGTGGCATCTGGCTCGCAATGACGGTATTTTTGAGGGTACCACACAGCTACACCTCGCAAGCCGTATATTCCATGAAGAGGCCATGGCAAAATTCATCCAACAAGGACAGAGTATGATGGCAAAAGGTCGATGGCCTGGGGTTGAGTATACGGTAACGCCAAGAGAGCTTGCTCTTCTCCCTGTTCATGACAAGGAGGTTGTTTCTTATGCAGATCTCATTCCACAATTTCGAGACGAGCTACTTGGGGAAGAAGCTATGGAGCTTGTACGTGAATCTCTACAAGACAGAAGGTCATCAGAGGATAGCTCATCAGTAGATACTGAAGATTTAGAGTACTAACAATAGCTCTCATTCTTCTATCCCACTACAAAGACACAGTTTACTATTTCGCATTCCTGACATCCTTATTCAATGCATCCCTTAAACTCGGCTACCCTCCTCATCAGATTCGTGCGTACCATTAGTGTGAGATTTGTCAATGTGTAATCAAACGATGCGACACTCGATGTCACCAGAAATGCAGGGACTAAATGATCACAAAGTGAGTTAATTTACCGACAATGATTATATCTATCAAACAAACGGCAGGATAACATGACTAGCGTTCTCCCCTCCACAAAAGACGTTATGCGTGCCCTTATTGTCATTATGCTCCAAGCTTCCAAAGTTGCTCACGCCCAGATTCCTTCCACAAACAACGGCCCGAATCGACTCACCAGCCTCATACTCAATACCCATAGCCCAAATACCAATATCCAGTCTGACGACATCGCCGGGGTTGATCTTCTCCTCAATCTCATGAGGGTGGAAAGGCCAGTGTGGATGCATACTTTTGCTCTCATCAATCTCACGGTGCGATGCTCGCAGAACACCCATTGGACCCCGGTAGACTACTACTTCGATCTTCTCCTTCGCGTCCATCTCTTCGAAGGATTGCTTGGGAATGCCTTTCCACGGAATGTTGAGGTTGAGCATGACTTCGCCGTTGGCGTCGAGCTTTTCGAGGAGGACGTAGACGTCCATGTCGTTGTGATCGGGGCAGGACATTAAGACTGTGGCTTTGGGCATGCCGACTAATCTTGTTGTCTTGTCAAACTTGTATGTGAAGCTAACTCGCTCGTCGGTCTCGGACTTGTAGGTAACAGTGGATGACTGGGACGGCTTGTCAAGAGAGAGTTGACCTTCCCGGGTGAAGTACATCTTCTTGTAGTCCGTTCTAGGAATGGGAAAGTCCTCTTCGACAATGTTCTCGTATGACTGAGGCTCCTTCTTTCCAAATCTCAAGACAGCCATGCGAACCTGCGGCGTACTATCCCAGCCGTTCTTCTTGCCCTTGAGGAAGTAGTCAAAGAAGTCGAGTAATTCTGGGTTGGCTTGCTCATTACCCCAGATGTCATACCACTCCTGCCAAGGGTGCCATCGAAGCCACTTGTGAGGTGTATCAACCTCAAGCCAGCCTCGAATCGCACCCATGCCATGCATGGTATTGGTCCAAGTTCCAGTGATGTAAGTGGGGATATTGATCTTCTTCATGTCAGGACGCTTGTCGTTCCACCAGTCGTTGGCGAGAGGGTGCTTCTTGAACATCTCACGGAAACTCTCAATTCCGTTGTGACCTTGGAGCATGTACTTGACGATCAGCTTGTCGAAGAGATCGCCAGCGTAGATACCGCCTCGGGCAAATTGTTCGCGGTACAGATCGCCGCAACCTTCCCAAGGAGCGATGGCTTTGAGACTGGGAGGTCGAAGGGCGGCAATGAACCATTGTACAATGGCGAGGTGCGAGTTTCCAGCGAGACCAACCGAACCGTTACACCAAGGCAGCTTAGCAATGCTCTCAATTGTATCAAAGCCATCTTCGGCTTCTTGTGTTCCCATGATGACCATGGTTCCTTCACTATCTCCTGAGCCCCGAGAGTCAATATTGACAATGGCATATCCACGAGGAACCCAATCATTAGGATCAGGAGCCTCAAACTTCTCAAGACCAGACAACGTCTTGGGAGGAATACCCAGATTCCAAGGAACCATGAGATCTAGTGACATAAGACCATTGAACTTCTTCCCGAAAGGCGACCAGCAGATGATCGCAGGAATAGACTCATCACTGTTCGGTGGCCGGTAGATATCAGCGTATAGCGTAACACCATCACGCATTTTGAACGCAACATCATGTTCAACAAGAATATCGCAGTTTAGAGGCTTTGCTGAAGGATGATCGAACTTCCAACCAGCTGGAAGGGTTTCTGAGTGTGGGTTGAATTTGACATAGCCGCCGTTACCAACCTTTGGAGGGTTGATGGGCTCGATTGGGACTTCGAAGGGGAGTTTGGCAGCAGGCATTGTGACAAGGATGTAATTGGTGGTGTTAATACTATCGGAATTGAAGTCTGAAGCGAACTATTCATAGTCAATGCTTGAACTCTGTAAGAGGGATACCGAGGTCGTGAACCGGTGGTCCGCTCGGCCCCACTTGGGTCTGGGTTCGGTGTAAGAAGAGGCGAGCGGCTCGGTATCGGAGTCTGGGGTAAGGAGCGGGGCAGGCGAGAGATACCGATCCCGAGCCGAAGCGATAGCACATCGGAATCAATTATTGGTTCAACGCCTGACTCCGACTATTTGGAGGATTAATTGATGAAAGATAAGTAGAACAGATTGAACTTACAAAGAACTATTCTTCAACAACTTTCAAAACAATTGAACAACATCTTGAGCACATTCAATCTCTTCAACTTCTTTCTGTCTTTGCATTCACAATGGTCATCAACACAGAGCCCGCCGGTTACCAAACCAGCGCAACTCTCAGGCTCGACAATCCCACAACCACCAAGTCTCTCCAAGCTAAGCCTGCAGGTCCCAACAAGCTCTTCGCCAACCCAGACGCTGTCTACGGCGACTGGCGCGATGACCTAGTCCGGGATGGTTACGCGGTCGTCAAGGGTGCTATTCCCCGCGATCGCGCTGACCAGTATGGAGAGGAGATTATGTCTTATCTCGAGACCTTGTAAGTCATCCTTCATTTTCCTCAATATCTTCACGACTGATACTTCGCAGCAACGGGGGCATGGGTTTCAAGCGCGATGACCCCAGCACAGTCAAGAACGAGACTCTTCCTGTCATCACAGAAAAAGGCATGATCATTGGCTATGGCGTCGCCCACGAGCAATTCACCTGGTCAATCCGTCAAGAACCCGGCGTCGTAGAAGCCTTCGAACGCGTCTACGACACAAAGGACCTGATCGTCTCCTTCGACGCAATCAACACCTCCTTCCCAGGCCGCAAAGACGTCAAGGTCAACAAGCCCTGGCCCCATCAGGACCAAGATCCCGAGAAGCCCGGATTCCGATGTCTGCAAGGTCTCGTCAACATCCTACCCAACGGAGATAAGGATGGCGGTTTGATCGTTTGCAAGGGCGCGCATCGTCTTAGTGAGGAGTTCCACGAGGACTTCAAGAACGAAGAGAACAGGATCTGGGCTTGGACGAAAGAATGGTACGGTTTTACAGAAGAGGGTATGGAGTGGTTGAAGAACAAAGGCTGCGAATGGATCAAGATCAATGCCGAGCCTGGGGATCTTCTTGTGTGGGATAGTCGCACGCCTCATTACAACGTCAGTCCTGAGGGCACGATGCCAAGGTTCTGCACGTATACTTGTTATATGCCTGCTGCGGATGCGACACAGGAGGACTTAATCAGGAAGAAGGGTGCTTTTGATAACCTTCAGAGCACGACGCATTGGCCTAATGCTATGCATGTTGGAGGTATTCCTGTCCTGCGCGATGGAAAGCCTTGTCCTTATAATACCGGTAAGCCTAGGGCTGTGCCGAAGTTGACGGAGAGGGGGTTCCAGTTGACAGGTATTCCTTATATCGCTGCATGAACGATCGGTCGTGTATGTTTGTCATTTATCTAGTTCCTACAATCAACTATGTTAGTTACCAGCTTCCGGGGAAAAAATAGACCTAGCCATCTCCTCGTCCATTCTTATTTACACGCAAATGAAATTGTATAAAATAGCAAATACTGCTACCTGCAAATGATAAAATAATGACTTAGTAGGTAAGGTAGAGAGAGTATCATATCTCGTTCTTTTTACTAATCTTTCTCGGCAGGCTTTTCTGTGCTTGGTAGCTCTGATAACCTTCCCTGGCCCGCAAGCTCAGTAGGCAGAGATAACACTATAGACCCGTGTATCTCTGCTGGTGCAGCAGCCGCAGCATCGGCCGTATTGGGTTGCTCCAACTCAGCGATTTGAGGCTTAGAGCCACGTCGGTTATTGTTCAACGTTACTCCTCCGGTGGCCTTCTGCTTCCTCCTTCTCATCCAGAGGAGCAAAGCTCCAACGAAGATCAGAATTACAAGTACTATTCCAACTACTATTCCAGCAATCGCTCCGGCACTAAGTCCACGCTTGGGGTCGACTTCTACCTCAGTTGATTCGGCCGAAGAAACTTCAGACGGCCTAGAGGTTGCAGCGTCTCGAGAGGCTGTTGAAGATGCTGGCGCCCAATTAGTAGTATGTACCACACGAGAGTTTTTCAATGTCATACCGGAATCAGTAATGATCAAAGTAGATGTCGTTGGTCTTGGCGCCGATCTGGGCATTGAGGCGCTTGTCAACTCGAACTGGGTCTCCGAGGAAGCGATTGTTTCTGACTTGGATGGGTTCGACTGTTCAGATAGGACAAACTGTTCACTGTATTGAGTCTCATCTTCGTTGGTCATTCGAAAGGAGTATGTATCTTCTTTCAAACCATTTAAAGTGAAAGTGAAGCTATCGCCGCTCGCACTCGCTGCAGTAATTAGCCGCAAGACCAGATGCAGGCCCTCTTCCGTAAGAGTTTCTATGTGATATCATTGCTTACTAGTCAGGATTCTGAAAACTTTCAGATCGGTGCTTTCACCAACCATAAGTGCTATATTGCAGCCATCATCGCAGCCATTGTAGTGTATCGTGAAGGGCTTCCCCTGCTCTACATTCCAGTTTTCAGTAAGAAGGACAAGGGCACCGGCAACGGCAGGAAGCGCCCAGCCAGCAAGTAACATAAGTTTTGTTAGCATTTTGGGGGGCTCCGCTAAGATACGGGGCGTTATTGACAAACGGTAGGGCCGTGTGACGCTTGTGAGTAAGGTATAGAAGCGGGGTATGAATGAAAGAAGAGGTTTGAGTAGCTGGGCTTGCAGATCAATCAAGAAGGAGTATGTCAAATCATCGAGACCAGTCACCCCAAATACTTGTTGACAGCAAGGGTTTTCTACCGCTTGCCAAGGATGGCAATGAAATGGTCAATGTTGCCAGGAACTGGAGGTAACAACAAACTTTCCCTTTTATAACCTTAAATGTCCGTAATTTTATTCCATTCCAGAGGGAAGCACCTGTTGTTCAGCCGCATGAAACTATTAACGCCATGCATTTCCACTATTGGACAGTTACCATTGTGACCTTACAATGATGTCATTTTACCTACACAGTAAGCTACTCGTCCAGGTCTGTGCATGTGAATTCCACTGTCAGAAAGCTCTTGGCAAACTGTCAGCTGAATTGCGAACATAGGCTAAGTATGCAGTCAGCAATCGTTACACCTGTAAGTCAGAAAAGCGTATGGCTTGATTGATCAGCACTCCTGTTGAACTGTCGACCCACTACTGGGATTTAGTACACTTAAACTCCCAATTCAAGCTTCTATCCAGAGGTTGGTTGCCTAGAAAGGAACCTGTACCTGCCCGGATCCCTACGCACTTTTAGTGTATAACAATTTATGCTGAATGGTATTGCTTTGAAGTCTCCATCCATGCTTTGCGCGTTAAGCAACTCAACCCGGCGTGGGGGAGTCCTTTTTGCCGGAGAAAGAGTCCATCGCTACCTCCTGCCCTCTCTTTCTCCTTATCTTCCTTCTATTCCATATGCACAACCCACCGCAACATATTAATATCGCCCCAACGATAATAGGAACGCCAATCATCAGGAATCTCATAAAAGAGGTAGTGAAAGGACCATCATTGATTGATGCACCTGATGCCGCTCGAGCTACAAGGTGTGTTGGCTCCGCCATCGCACTGCTCAAATTACTGGCTTCAGGAAGGTCTCGTTGACGGATGATTTTGGGTGATATTTCGTGCTTGGTAATTTTGGAATGTGTTCAAGGTGCCAATTCCGAATTTGCTTGTTGTCATTGACCCCATTCGGCAGCTAGATGGCTTGTAGCATGATGTCATGAGGGAGCTGAATGGTGAGCGAGGAATGGCTGGTGTCGTGGTCAGGAGAGAAAGACTACAATCTACAATATTCTGTCTCTATTCCGGGGTGAGAGATTGTCTATCACATGCTGCTATGCTGTGCCGGAGGGCAGATTATGGCCCTGGCTAAGCTCCACTGTTTCATCACGAAATGGTACAGTCTGGGTTCCAGTAGGCTGCTAATACTCGTGTCGCTGCACGAGCGATGGATCGTTACATAGTAAGTCGGATTAATTTTTATCTTCCAAAAATAAACAAAACCGAACAAGGTCTTTGTCTTCACCATGTTCATGCATACCGAGGTCCCGCTAATCCTTCGTAGAAACACCATCTTGAGCAGCTTCATATGGAAGAGGCTGCATAGCTACAGCTACCTCTTGGGCTCTTTGTCTCCTCATCTTCCTTCGGTTCCACCAGCACAGCCCAAAACAGCACATAAATATCACCCCAACTGCAACACCAATGCCGATTCCCAAGGAAACAATAGGACCCGCGTTCAGATGACTATCTTCTCGAGCGACAAGATGGAATGGCTCCGCCATGGCAGCACCCAGATGTAGCCGCTTCCAGGATAGAAAGTGGGTCGTAGACAATTCCGCAGTGCGGAATAATTGAGGTTGGTTTTGAGTGAGATTGTCCTGGCAGTGGATTGGATTTCGTACGCAGCGACGAGTCTATCTTAGAATCCTGAGTTTGTTGTTGAAGAAGATCTGACGTCTGAACTGAGAATGAATGAAAATAACCTGTGGTTTTCTCTTTGTCCTGGGTTGAGTGGCTGTTTATCACAGACTCCTGTGCCGTAGGACATAATTTAACCCTGGTTGCGGTCCACTGTTTCATTTTCAAATTGACCAGTCTGGTGGCAAGGTCGCTGAAAAACGCCTTGAGACCCCTGCTAGTTTAGTGCTTGTTGGTTGTAAAGTTCCGACCAACACGTTTCTGAATAGGCTAATTACAAGCTTATCTTCGTAGCAATAGGGTAAGGTACCGCGAATGAACACTTGTCTCCCGCGATGACGACGCGTCGTATGACAAGGCACCTCCATAGATTCAGCAAGACGCAGATCTATTTTTGGCTATGCTGTTAGACCCGGATGAAAGAGAAAAAAGTAATGACGGGAAACGCGGATTGATCTGAAACAAGAAGAGAAAAAAATTATGGGAATTGATTGCACTGACGGTTTAAAATTCAATGGATTCCATTTATTGACAGTTATATTTTTCAACCTTGCTAGTGGTCACACTTCTAAAGTCCGTACGAAGCCATCAGCTCCTTGAACGATGCATCCTCGAGAAGCTGACCAGCGCTCAAGCGATGCTCCGGGAGATACGATAGACCCCTCTGCAGTATAGAGCGCACTAGCTCTTTCTCAACGGGGCTTATCTCATAGCGCGAACGCTCGATCTTGGCTTCCAGAGTTTGATGGGAATCTGGTCCTCTATTCTGGTTATACCAAGACTCATCGTATTGCCCACCACCGTCGTAAGAGCCCCTCCATTTCGATGGAAGGGGCCCGAGGCTCCTCACCATAAAGTCCAGGGCTGAACGGGGTACCGAGCCACGGAACAGGGAAAAGCCTATGCAGAGATCGGCAAATATACACATATAGCTCCACATGTCTGACGCAAAGCCCGATTCTACACCGTGGAATCGTTCTGGGGCGCAGTAGATAGCAGGAGGCTCGCCTTTGCACTCCACGGAGGTGTCAGACTTGACAGCCAAGCCAAAGTCGGCGAGGGTGACCGTCTCCTGTACCAGAGACTTATGCGGAGAAATAGGCATGACCAGCTCGCCCTCTTTCCACATGGGCTTACATGTAGGTATATGCATTTTCCGTGGACGCCCAAGATACTCGTACTTGGTAACTAAATCGGTGCCACTTTTGAAGGGAGTGAGACCGTATAAGACATTAGAACTGTTGATGTCTGCATCTATGGTTAGCCTTTTGCTGTTGACGTCCATGGCATCATACCTCTATGTACGACTCCGCCGTCGTGTAAAGCCTTGATGGCTTGCAGCAGTTGCTTGGCAGACGACATCCGGGCGGCAACAGACATGGACGAGGCATGTGTCCGTAGGCTGGGGCCCAGCAAGGGGAAGACCAGGACCCTGTGTTGTGTCGTGGGGGCGGGCAGCAGGAAGGTCTCTCTGTATAACAAGAGGCGGGAGGTGTCCTGCACTGTAGTGGCGATCATATCTTGCGCGGTATATTCTCGCTCAGCAGGAGGCCCAGGGGTCATTATCTTGAGAGCAACGTCGTTGTTGTTGACCATGTCATGTGCCATCCAGACGGTTGAGAAGCCGCCATGACCCAGCTTATGCTCAACACGATACCTGTTGATGAGGATTTCTCCGATGCAGATTGGATAATAGAGCCCCTCGTCGTATCGCTCAGCTGGTTCGGCTGCATCCTCGACGTCGCACTGGTCATCTGAATCGACAAAGTCGCCCCAGACAGCGGCACAATCTGAATCATCGGTTCCAGTAGCCATTATGGTACCAGTCGGTGCGGAATGAAGAAGAGTTGCACCAGGAATTGCTCGGATCAGGTAAGGAAAAAAAAGAAAGGGTCGGGCCAATGGATCGAGTTGTGAGAAACAAGAAATAAGGCGATACATGTGTTATGTGGAAGTGAATTGCGGAAGAGAGAATTGCTGTACGGATAAGTTCATACGAGGATGTGGTACGTGGGCTGGATGCTCCCGGACGTTCCTAGCTCAATGTGACCCCACTCCTTCTTTCCTTCTGGTTGGTTGGTTGGCTGATGATATGGCGGGGAGGTCTAGGTTAGGTGCCGGGAAGTTGACTTGGATGGCTGGATGGGTGCGGCTTGGTTAAGTCGTGCAAGCGCCGTCCTGGAAACATAGCATGGGGACTCTCATGTGGTGTTGGGTCTCATCTTAAGCAATAAAAGCTTTAAACTGTAGTCTTCACAGCACTGTTTTATATTGGACCTCTCCTAAAAGGTCTATCGACTAGGGTAAAAACAAACGCGCACGATATCTAACATTGTATATACTAAACACTCCGTCAGCCACTGTATCCACTGTACACTTCGCAAAATGATCCAACCTGCCCCGATGGTAAGTGCAACAGAAGATGACAGTGTAATGACTAATATCAAGACAATAGTTCCAGCTGATGGATGTAGGTCCGTTTCAACCTTTGTCTGAACTTCTTTGCATCCAGTAACTGTCGGACTATCAACCTTACCCGGCGACATATATGCTGTGCTGTTACTTTGTGCAGATTTCTTATCGCCTCGCATCAAGGACGTAAGCTCCGGTAGACTTAGCTCTCGATCGAGCTTCTGAGACTCACTGATATCCTTGATCATGACTCTCCACATTATCCTGTTCGATATGTAGGGGATTTGTATAGGTACTGATAAAAAAGTGAGTATCGTGTAATCGAGAATGTCTCAGAAAATAGTGTTATAGCTTACCATCGTCAATATCATCTTCAGGACCCTCTAAATCCTTTTCATCGACGACCAAACTAGCTTGCTCCTGTCTTTTCAAAGCATGTCGAATTCGTTTGAGAAAGTGCAAAAACACAAAATTAGGCTCCTGCGTCTGAAAGCTTTGTAAGAGCTTTTCAAGCCTTCCGTTTCCCTCGAACTTATCGTCTCGATCCATATGTGCACTGATGTGCCAGATACGAAACATCGCAAGTGAATGTTCCAACTCTCCAGTCGAGACATCCCGTGGCACATTTGGATGGGATGGCGAGGCTGCTGCTAGCTCGGTAATGCGTTCGTAGATTAGGCGAAGTAGAGTATCCTCCTGCAAGTAGGATTGAAGCCTTAAATAGGAGCCAAAGTTTGTCACTTCGTCAGGTAATTGGTCGGGCTCTTCTGCATCTTCACGGCTCGTACCCGATTCATTGGGGGACATTCCCTCGGGGCCAGGGTCTGCCTCGTTTACCGGTTGTTTCTCCATCTTCGTTCCGGCTTGCTCTGACTCATCGCCTCTGTCTTTAGCGAGTTCTTGAGCCCATCGTACAGAAGCAATGCCGGCTTCTCTAAAACGCGCTATGTCAAGGTCTTTGCGGGTTGGCCAGTCAATGATCTTCGTTGAGACCTCTCGCCCTTGCGCCGCCATGAAAATGGTTAGTTGTTCGATATATTTTCTCTTGGTTTCACGGTTCTCTCCAGTCAAATTCTTACCCACTTCACAGGGCTCAGTCAAGTACCATTCAACGAGGTCGAGAAACACATCCTGTCGATTGAAGATGATGGTTGAGCCGTGAAAGGCATTGTCAAGGAGCAACCCATTCATCTTATGAGTGTACTCCGTAGAGATCTGGAAGATGGGGAATGTAAAACAGTCGTTCTTGTTAAGCCTTCCATCCCATCCCGGTAGTGGTATACGTCTGCCATCAATCACCTTTGAGTAGCTGTTGAATGCTATGTGAACTGGGAGGTCTTCCATGATGGATTCGGTTCCCGGGCCGTACAAGGAGTTGATCATGATTTCTCGCCGTTGTCTCCGAAATGCCTTATTATCTGGGTCGCCATCGTCGAGGGGCTCGGGAAGATGTTGGCTCCGAAGGAGAATCATGACTCTAGGAGCGATAGGCGCGAAATAGTGAAAGGCAGGACCCAGACTAATGCATTCGCCAGTCTCCTTGTCTTCGAAGCCGACAGTTGGTCCTTCGTGGACGTTGTAGCCATTCTCAGTCAATACGAATTCCTCTTCGGTGTTCGCAGGTGTGCATATGGCCATCCAATAGCCCGTGACATGCTCCACGAAACGCTCAGCGATAGCGAAGTATACGGCTGAAGAAATAGTTTCTTGCCACTGGCCCCCCACATCCATATCAAGGTCAACAATAGCACTCAGTCCATGTAACCAGACATCTATCGGCCGTTCAATTCCGTGGCTTTCCATAAAGTCCCTGAGCAGAGCCTGGTCTTCTGTATGTTTGTAGTCCTCGATGGTTTCGCAGTTGTATCTTTGAAAGAACCCAGTACCACGGATGCCAAGTAAAAATAGAAACTTTCGTAAAACGGTGCGTTGCGTCCTGGTCAACTCAACATCCTTCTGACCTTGCTCCTGCGCCGTGACAATCTTACGAATGATAAGACTGGTGCTACATTCGAGCCGGCTGAATTTCCTCTCAAGCTGGCGAGGAACTTCTGCAGTCAACGATCGATCGGTGTACATATCATTAAGACCACAGACGCGTCGGATGGAATGTTCCTCGATCTTGAACCCAGTTGGCAACAGCTGCAAGCAATTTACCACGGGATCGCCTGGATATTTGCCCGTTTCATGGTGACGCTTCTTACATTTCAAACGGCCCTTGGGGGTAGAGGGGTACAGAAATGGATGATTAAAGTTTCTCAAAATAAACTGTGGAACGAAGTGTTGATATTCGGGCTTAGCCGCCTCCATAATGGAGTAATTGTTGAAAGTCAGGTTAGCGCAAAGTGGGGATGACGGTGATATCTGGGGATCGTTCGTGCGTCATATAGTAAATGCCCCGCTGGAACGGAAGAACTATTAGCCAGAAGCCTACTGTACTGATTACTCTGCGTATGAGGTCCTTACATACAATTTAATAGTTCGTGGATGCCGCCACGCTTGACAAAAGCCAAGGTGTATAAGCAGCAGTGCCGTTGATGTCTGTATCGCATGCTTAGCTCCTTCCCATTGGCAGAATAGAGTAGTTGCATGATAGGATCCCACAATATACAACCCCGCCGTCACTTAGCGTCTTGATGACGAGCAACAGTCATTTGACGGATGTCTTTCAAGCGACAATATACATAGAAGAGGCTTATATATGCAAACTAATACCTAGTAAGAGTAAGACAAGGACTTTATGATATGGCTTAGGGGCTGGCGAAAGAACGATTTTCGGGTATAAGAAGGGGGGAAGCATCCTGCACTGCGCTGATAATCATGTTCTGCGCCGTATACTCTTGCTCATGTCATCCAGGCGGTTGAGAAGCCGCCACGGCCCAGCTTATGCTCAATGCGGTACCTGTTGACAAGGGCCCGTCCGATACATATTGGATGATATATCCCTCAGCCGGTTCGGAAGCATCTTCAACTTCACCTTCATCATCTGAATGAACAAAATCGCCCCAGATGGAGGCGCAATCTTTTTCATCTCTTCTATTAGACATCGTGGTACCAGTGAGATATTCTCCAAATACTATTGGATAATGCTATACTCATGTACACAAAAAAGGAAAATTATTAAGTAATTGAGTTTATACAAAGCGGCAAAAATCGATGTATGTATTAAGTGCATAGACTTTGGAAAAACGAATCGCCGAACAGCGATAAGACAAGTGGACCGGATGCTTTAAAAATAGATTCATGCTTAGCTCCACTATCCAGCCACTGCTTCCTTGTAGTTAGTTGGTTGCCAATTAAGCTGGGTAGTATAGGTTAGGATCTGTCGCGCTGCCTTGTCTTTCTGTACAAGGGGTATCTCACTCCATCCAGGAACACGTAGATCTGTTTCAGTCTTCTTTTTTAGATATCACATTATTTTCACACACAAGTTTGAAAGCAAAACAATAAAGATCCCAATTGACAGCACCGCTGTATAAGCACTTAAACAAGCTACTGATCAAATGAACCACGACCAATCACCCATGTAGCGCTTCCAAGTATGCTTATTATCAGTCTGCAAATGAGAATTCCTACTAATAAGCGCGGTCCGGTCTTGTTGGAGACCAGGAACCCGGCTCGCGGTCGGGACTGTTTTAAAGAGCCGCTGAAGAGGGACCCTGAAAAGCCACGTGTGGAGATCTACAAAAAAGGAACGGTGTTTATCCAGTTAGGTTCATCAACTAATTAGAAGAGGACAGTCGGAACCCGTGCAATTGGGCGCGCCCCATAGATCCAAGCTACCAAAAACCCCTCGATCCGTTTGCTTGGCTATAAGACGGCGATTAGAGTCATGTGTAGCTCTGTGATCAATAGGAGCCACAGTATGTTAAAAGCAGGCTTGCGTTAGCATGCCGCCGGTATCCACAGAGCGCACCTAATTTCACGGGTTCCTACGGTATTGGCTAAATGAGGATAGTGAGAGACAAGCTTATTAATGACAAAAGCTTATGATTTGGGCTAGCTTAGTTATATGGATCGCTGATGGGAAATAAGGTTTGGTTCGGATGGATGTTGGGAGCTTGAACGAGTCAGGATGAACTCAAGTGGAACTGAATTGGAGACGAGAAGAAGTAGAAGCGAGAGAGCTGTACTACTCAGGAGGAGGTTACGTATTGGGATTTTACTCGGACACAAGTATTACGCACTAAGCCTCTCACTGCCTCGGAGAGATGTTGTTTCCTTGGAAGCCTAAAAGATTGATAGCACATATGGAATTATTCCGTAGACAACAGGTGCGGAATAAGCCAACGAGAAAGACCATTGAATCCGTTTCACCCCATTTCAAACATGACTCGACCCTTGGTTAGATTCGAGTTGGATACCCAAAGTGGCCTAGCTCCGATAGCCACGTCTGATCTAGCGTGTCTTCGGGGCCCAGGCGCTCGGGCCCCCTCTATTTCGTGGCGTTTATCAAGTAGTCTCAGGGGTTTGGTGACACTGACAGAATGGCATGATACTCCGTGGGCACTAACACCATGTAAAACCCGCTCGTCGAAAGAGAGAGAAGGTAGAAAAGGGACCAAAGAGATAAAGAGAAAAATAAGAAAGCCAAGACTCTGCTCATCCGAAAAGAGACTTGTCGAATCGCTTCCTCATCTTGTGTCGCCACCGACAGGTCGTCATGTCCATCAAGCACACGAAAGGTCTATGTACAGTCCACAGGGGTATGAGAGGGCAGCGGGAATACCTTTTCTCCAACACCTAAAATATTTGCCACCCGTAGAGCAACTTAGTCCTAGGTGAATAATGGGCGAATAGAAGGTCTCTATACAGCGGAATACACGTGCGGAATAGCGGAAGATGCCCTCCCAAACCCCTGCGGACTGTACTCTACCACACAATCGTGGTTCTTCCCCATTGCTTTAAGGGCAGGACATTCTGGCCTCAACTAAGTGGGTTTATTAGAATTGTGGCTTATACTCTATCGATGCCCGGAATTTATTTTCTTGGCGACGGTCATCCAAAATGTTCGATCAAATATGTCCTTTTTCTTGCAATATATAAACAGGAAAGAAGACATCGGTACTCGTGGTCGTGCCTTAAAAGTCGCCAACGTAGCTATGTAGCAGTTATTTCTCTTCTCTTCTACCGTGGACCCGACGACCAGGAAAACCGAGTGACGCCATTGTACAGAGTAGATCTCTGAGGGCGGGGACTCGGGGATCATCGCTCGGCTATCCGAACAGAGCTGACTGATCTACCGTTTATCGCTGATCCCGCTTTGACCGTCACAGGAGGCTAACGGCTCAAGAAGGGTTCAACCAAAACTACCCGAAACACCACTGAACGTGGCGCGTTGACTCCAGTATCTACTAGAGAAGCGCGCGGAGCAAACTGACCGTCAGGCTTTCGTCTATTACACGGAAACGTCGCAAAGCCATTCCGAGACCCAAGACGAAGCTCGTAGCGTACTGATAACTAACACGGTTTCATCGAGTGAAAATATAATATCCCACTGAGGTAGATTGATCTGTATGATTGCCTAACTTCGAATGCAAATTTGGCAATACTTAATTTGAATCATACTCTATATAAATATTGAATCTCTGGTCACCAATTATTCCCATTGCGTCGTCCAGCTAAGAAGGAGCAAAACAGACTTATTAGATCGGACAAGCCAGTCCCAATAGTTTGGGACGCGATATTTGGCCTATGGATCAAGAAAGTGTAATGATGGACTAAGTTAGCAGGCTAAACCCAGGTGGTTACTCTGTCTGCGCGACTGAATCAGTCGTGCTGTTTGCGCCCCGCTGACCAAACAGGCTAATCATGCTAAGCATGCTCTAGTCGAATCTTGCAAAACCTAGACGCCCCCTTTTAATTCTTCTTACGCACACAGCAGCTGGTGTGCTGACTATTACAAACCTCTTTTTGGAAAGACACTAGACACGGCTTGCGCTTCAGGGGTGCTTGGACATCCAAGCTTGCCACTTGGTTTTTTTTTCCCTTTGCTGCACTCTTGTATATATCCCCACCGTCCACCCCTTCCTGTATGTTGAAACGTGATTACCGGCTATGCATGTTTTAATTTGGTTCCGTTCTGTACTGTGACCAACCAGTTTAATGTCATGACGTGACATCCGTTTCCTTTTCTTGTTTCTTCTTCGTTTCTTTTCTACGAAACAAGTTTGTTTTGAGATGAGGCCTTTCCGGTTCATTGTTCCTTGCCTTTTAGCTCTTCCTTTGGCCGTAACTGGTCTGAGTAAGGAGGCTTCAGCGGTGTTGGGCAAGTTGCCCAACTGTGCGGTATATATCAACTTTACTGGCGATATGTTTTAACAATGACTAATCTTGTGTAGTCAAAATGTCTTGTCACCAATATATTGGAGTCAAGTTGTGATCTTGACGATATAAAATGCACATGCACGAACGTACCGCTACAGGCACAACTCGAGAAATGTGTACTGGCTGACTGCACTGTCCAAGAATCCCTTTGTATATTTCCTCACTGCTCCAACAATGTTCAATTCATTTACTTACTCTTTGCTAGTTACAAAAAACACAACGCAAACGCTATGCGGTGCCCCTGTTTCAGACAACAGAACCCTCTTCGTCCGCCTCAACGACATCATGGGCACCTTATCGGGTATCTTCTGCCTTATTCGATTCCTCACGAAGCTCGGTTATAAAGTCCCTCTCGGTATGGACGACCTCTTTATGCTCATTACGATAATTGTCGCTATTCCTTGCATCGTAATCAACTCATATTACCTTGCACCAGCAGGTATGGGCACCGATTAATTGTGTTGATTTGAACTGTACGACTTGATGACTGACCTTGAAAACACTTGAAAAGGTATGGGCACCGATATCTGGACCCTAACGCCGACGCAAATAACAGATTTTGGTTACTGGTTCTACATCATTTGCATGATGTACTTTGTTCTCCAAACACCTCTTAAATTAACCTTGATTTTCTTTTATCTTCGAATTTTTCCTAGCACTGGGGTGCGAAGGATTCTCTGGGCAACTGTTGCCTTTACAGTTGCTTACGGCCTTACCTTTATTCTGGTCATTATCTTCCAGTGTCATCCAGTTAACCACTTCTGGTTGAAATGGGACGGCATGCATGAAGGTTCATGTATCAGTGTAAACGGTATTGCTTGGTCCAGCTCTGCTATCAATATTGCTATGGATCTATGGATATTGGGTGTCCCTCTTTCTCAACTGAAAAAGATGAACCTGGATTGGAAGAAGAAGGTTGGTATTGGAATGATGTTTAGCGTCGGTGTGTTGTAAGTCCACCCTATCTCTTATCCATTAACTTGGCGCATGACAGTCTCTAACGGGTACATCTACAGCGTTACCGTCATGAGCATCTTTCGTCTTTACGCCTGCGTTGTAGCCGGTCTGAGCCACACAAACAACTATTCACAAGACTACCTCGCCATGTCGAAATGGTCCACCATTGAACTTAACGTCGGTATCTGGTGCGCCTGCATGCCTACGCTACGCGTTCTTCTCGTTCGACTGTTTCCCAAGGTGCTCGGCACATCAAAGAAATACCTCCGTTACGGTAGCAAGAACACGGGGCAGCCGACGGGTGCGAAGACGGCTGGAAACAACAACAGCGACGACCACAGTAAGGGACGAAATCGTTCAGGACCAAACCCTTTTGCTGGGGGTGCAGAACACCATATCGGCAAGACGGGGCAGTCGCGCGCCCGGGTCGATCCTATTGGAATCACTTGCGACCGAACCTACGAGGTGGAATACGGAATGGCAGATGATGATGAGACATATCTAGTGCATTTGAAGACCATGAATCATGGATCTAAGAGCACCAACTCTTTGCCGCGGTCTGAAGACTCGGTATAGATTACACAGTACTTACAAATAATTATCAATGAACGATTGAGATTTATCTGAATATGATTACAAGCATCCAAAATGGCCCAACCAATGATTGTGACTGATTCAGCTAGCGATTTTGTCTCAGCAGATCGTAGACTTGACTGGAGCATCTCCAAGAATACGATACGGTCGGCTTTCTTTCCATCCTTATCTTGGTTCAGCAAAGCTTTGGGTGAAGCTATCACTACTCTGTTCGATGATTGAGGTACAGATCTATGTTGCCTTGAAATAAGGCGGCTTTGCCGCCGTGGCAGATCGATCTGGCATGTACAACGACACGGGGGTTTTATCCGGAGCTAGTTATCCGGTCTTCCGATCTAGGTATTCTTGCGCATACCCCCGAATTAGGATATTGCTCCGTGAGCTAAGATCGGAATGTCGATCATCTTGCGCCACAGCCGATGCAATACAAATGAAGCTCGCGTGTTGTGTTACGCGTCTGGACTTCCAACTTGTATAGAATATATGTAGCGTTTTTACAAATTCACAGGTTCGTTCCGACGTAAGTACTACTATGAAACGGAGGTTAAAGACCCCAAGAGCAAGATAGAACTCGTGTCGGGAAGCTTTGTACGTCAGTCGGGGCTGGTCGTCGATGTGCCAACACGATCTTGAGAAGAAAGACGAGGTCATTGGATTTACAGAAGAACGGTCGGAAATGCCAAATCGTTCACTAATTCGTCTCTTTACATCTCTATAGTCATCCCTTCTTCCGCAGGGAACATTCCAGGATCATTCTCAAGTCTCTGCAATAAGTTCTCAAAGTCTGCCCAGTCGCAGCCGATTTCATCAGGTAATATTGGTATGCTGAAAGGTTGTCCCGAGAAGGGGTCCAGAACCTCACCGCCCATGTTCATCTCCACCGGATTCAAGATGGAGGAGTCTGATGGGTCCAGCGACTGAGAGAAGGTCATGGCGTTGTGCTGTGGAGGCCTTGCCGTACCGCCGTGCTGAGAAATGTGCGTATCCGTGTTGGGTTGGTCGCTGGCGATGGTAGTCGTGGGCTTCATTGCTTCTTGGACCACGCGGATAAGGCCGTTTAGAACGGTGTTCAGTCGGTCTGCTTCTGCGAGACCAACGGAGTAACACCGTATCAAGTCTGCAGCTGTGGAGAGTAACTGTATCGATTAGCATCACTCATCAACACGAACTGGGTCCACTCACACTTTGATCGATCTTGGAAATACGAGAATGTGGCTGCTTAAGAATATGCACTGCTAGGACATAAAGTGCATGAAGTAGAGGGAAGTAAGATGGCGCGAACAGGTGCGACAAAGAATCGTCACTGTCAGCCAGCAGGTGAATGATCTTTCGGGCGGAGTTGGCGACCATGGATTGACCGTTGCGAATCGTGTACTCCCATGGCATTCCTTTGGCAATCACCTCGACAGCCTTGTGGATGGCGTCTTTGCTGATGAGGAGGGAGTTGCGGTTGAGCATGATGATGCTGTGAGATATTAGAGACGTCAGAGAGTCGAGGTTGGACGGATACTTACGCATTGTGGTAGTGTAGGGAGATGAATGATGAGAGTGCGAGATCTTCTGGGACACGCATGAACTCTGATGTCGGTCTGCATTGGCCGTTAGCTAGTTTACCAAATGGTGAGCCTGGGAACAATATACCTTAGGCCGGCTGGTAGACCGTTTACCCAATCTGACAGCATGAGGAAGGACTCTCCAGTTGCGTTCACCTTGTCCTTGATCGCTGCCTCAATCGTTCTCCGACTAGCTCTATCCTCAAGTTGTCGCGCCTTTGCACATCGATGACTCATTCTACTGAACACCTTCGCCATCGACAGAATAAGATGCTGCGGCGCGGAATTCGGAGTCTTGAAAGCTTCCAGATCAAGCGCATCATAAACCTCGTCGGATATACTCGAGACATAGCCCAATTGGAAAGAGAATAGCTTCTCGTAGCTATACAGTGCCCACCAGGCTGGAGTCCAAGCGTCAATGAAAGATGGTTGGGGCTTCTTCTTAGGACGGTTGAGCCCGAGAGAGTGGGCGATGGAGAGGCAGATACCGAGAGCTGTCCATGATGAGGTGATCTCGTCGTTGAGACGAAGACAGACGGAGAAGAGGAACAGAACTTCTATTGTTTCCAATGTGACGTTGCCGATGAGATGGCCGAGAGCGCTGCGGGCTAGAGAAAGGGCTTCGATCATGTACGACTGGCTATCAGAGGATTGGAGAATGAAACCGCCTGCTGCTAGTAGCAACGACGTCCTCAAGGCAGTGACGTCTCCGCCCGATTGGGATTGATGCGATTGCAATGCCTCAGCCCTCGCTAGATCCAATCTCACAACAGGATAAAACACGTGTATCTCTCGCTGATACGCATCAATAAGCTGCGGAAAGTCCCAGGCTTCCGGTGCCCGGGGAAAAACATGCCGAGACTGGAAGCCACTCGGTCCCGATGCCGGGTTCAACGTCGGAGGGGCATACGTCCCAAAGTGGTAAGGAACGTTGAGTCGGAAACATGATAGGTCCAACCATTCTGTTAGTACCTGGAAAGATGTTGTCCCTGTGCTTTGTCGCCATATCGGCAAGGGATTGCTGATGGTGTCGGTATGCGAAGAGTCTCGGCTCTGAGATGGTCTTGGACTTTGGGACCGTGCCCGTATGGGTGCGGCTACCGAGATAGTACGCGCGGTCTGGTGATCCGTCACCATTGACATGCGCCTAACTGGTGAGACTCCGTGCTCGGAAGGACTCCCAGACTCAATTGACAGACCATCGGCAGATTTGCCTGCCTCGCGCCGTTTGATCACCTTTCCAGGCCGACGTCTATCCTCAGTGACACACGGAATACCCGCCGAGATACATGCTTGACAGGATGGTTGCTGTTCATCGCAGCGTGTCTTGCGATTTCGGCAGTAATTGCAAGCAAAGTTGAGTCGGCGGCGTTTACTCGACTCTTTGGTCCGGAAGCCGGGGCTTTCTTCGGTATCCATTGGAGAAGGCATCGGTGCGATATCGCGGGGAAATATGGATATACTGAAACACTGATTGGAGACAAAAGATGCCGGTAGATACAAACGGGATGCAATGACAGGGTTGATGAGTCTGGGGTTGTCTGTGTTTAGGTGAGATGAGATACCGAGCCGATCGAGGGTATTTTATTCTCTTTCCTGTCCTTCCCCGCATCCTTTCCCTCGGACTATCGGCTCCACCCCCACAAGTTAGCATACCCCAGGCCGACGATCGGTCTTTTACCAATCGGAGTCTGTCTTTTAAACATCTTAACTTTACTGTATCGGCATTAGTTTGCAAAGCTTGGTTTTAACTCCTCAATTTTCGCAATTCCGATCCGACAAGAGACCAGGATGCTGAATCATATAAACCTGTCCTCGTCGCTGTGGGATTGAGGAAGGCAGACTCATCCAGCAGACACAATGGCTGAGCGACGATCTTTTGACATGAAACCTGATGTGGATGCCGTCGAGAATATGGTTGACAAACCTCATCATGAGTCCCACGATGCCTCTGGTACAGTTAATCTCTATCAGGATGGGACTGTTGTCCTAGTCCCTACGCCTAGTCCCGATCCCAAAGGTCAACACCCAATTGCATGCGTTTCTACAGTTACTGACTTGACTTAGATCCTCTCAACTTGCCTTCCTGGCGCAAATACATGATCATCCTCCTCGTGGGCTTCTACTCCGGCATCTCAGTCCTCGGCACATCCGGTCTCGGCGCAGTAACCCCCGAACTTCACAAAATCTATCACAGCGATGATCCCAAGCGCATCACCGACTTGCTCACGTACCCGACTCTCTTCATGGGCATCGGCAACTTGTTCTCCATGCCACTCGCCAATGCCGTCGGTCGTCGACCCATCTTTCTCTTCTCAGTCCTACTCTTGACAGTTTCTGGTATCTGGTGTGCTTGTTCGACTTCGCTTTCGAGCCATATTGCAGGTCGAAACGTCTTCAGTCTCGCTGCGGGACAGAGCGAGGCTCTTGCGCCGTTGATTGTGCAGGAAGTGCACTTTCTGCATCAGCATGGTGTCAAGTTGTCGTACTTTGTCGGTGTGCAAAATACTCTTACTGCGGCAATGTTTACTGCGACAACTTATATCGTGCCGAGTATCGGATTGCCTTGGTGGTATGGAGTTATGACTATCATCAATGGCTTCACTATGATTATGTCATTCTTCTTCTTGACCGAGACGCGCTTCGAGCGTCCCGAGGATGCTACTAGTAAGTTCCCGATACTCGTTAGGAAGCGACAGACTAACATCATATCAGAGGGCGCTGTCCACCTCAAACTCGATAAGAATGGCAACGTTGCCTCCGAAGGTACCAACGAAGTCCTCTTCCAAGTAACAACCCGCCAAGGCGTCGTCCTCCAGCCCGAGAAATTTGGCGAGAGAACCTTCCGCGACGACATCCGTCTTTTTCACGGACAGTTCGATTGGAAGGCCGCACTGCTCTTCTACAAGGACGTCGGCCAATCTCTCATCCTGCCACCTATCTTCTGGATCTTTGTCCTCAACGGTGCTTTCTTGGGATTATACATCTACCAAGCCTCCACTTTTGCTCAAATATTGGTCATGCCGCCTTATAGTTTCAGTCCTGAACTGTTGGGCTATGTTCAGCTTGTGCAGATTGTTGATTGTCTTATTGCTGTGCCTATTCTTGGAGTTGGGTCAGATGTGATCTGCAAGTTTATGAGTCGTCGCAACAAGGGTGTCTTTGAGGTAACTCCCACCACTAGTACAAGTTTGAACAGTGCTAACTTGCTTCCAGCCTGAGTACCGACTCCTTACTCTCATCATCCCTGCCGCCGCCGCTATGATCTCAGCCATCTTCTACGGCCGCGCAGCTGCCAACCCTAACGACTACCACTGGATCGCCATCGTGGCCTGCTATCATCTTGGCTTCTTCGCTTTCCTCGGCGCCAACTTGGTCGGAATCACATTTGTCATGGACAGTTATCCCAACAAGTCTGGACCTCTTCTTCTGGTTGTTTGTGCCGGTCGAGGTTTCGTCTCTTTCGGATTGAGTTATGCGACCGTGCCTTCTATTGAGTCTCTGGGTTATGACGGTGCTATGAACATACTTGCTATCATTTGTGGTGTTCTGAGTGGTTTGGGAATCGTTGTGTACTTCATTGGAAAGAGGGTTCGTGAGTGGGCTCGCAGGACTATCTGGCCTAAGCAGCATGAGGAATGAGCTTAGTCGGCCGAAAGCTGTTAAAGTGCTTAATAATGAATCGTCTCAAGTTGATCATCTTGTCAGGCGTCACGTAAGAAGTGGATGTTTGTAACACGGAACCTCCAATCGTTGCCGCTAGCCCAATTTCGCATTGCTTTTCGATCAGTCAGGCTTTGCTTACGCCCTCCGTCCAGCCGGTGTGGCTGAGCATTTGCCTCAAATGTGGCTATATCTGTATACTCAGCTCATGCAGTACACCAGAAACAGAAATGTTCGAGGAGGGGGTTGAAAATGTCACCCTACTCTGAAAATGGGATGTTTTGATAGGCCTATCGCTCTGCACTTTTACCAGCCACAACATTCGCAAGAGCCAAATAAAAAGGGAGCGATGACCCCTCGTGATAAGCCTGTACACATCCCCCGGACTTGAACGAAGTCGCACAGAGAAAAGTGGCGATATCGACCCAATGATAAATTTCATTTCGTCCACGTTCTTCCTACGACAATCTTATCTCGCTGCACTTTGCTTAATTGTTTGGCCCTGTGAAACAGCCTCATATTTCCAGCCATAAGCCAACTGCCTGTCAGAAACTGAGACGCCCTGCCTGGTGAAAGATTCCAGCGACTTGGTTCAGCCGTTAATATGGAGTGGACATCCAGGCTCCGGTCTCGTCTCTCGCTTTCTCGCTCTCGCAAGGGATGTCGTCAATGGGGAGGCGAGGATGATCTTGACACCATGGATCCGTTATCTATTACGGTTGCTACTATGGCCACTCTGGAACTATCCAATAAGATTGTTCATGGATTGAAACGAGTGTACAAGGCCCCGGACGAAGTTACAGCGTTATCAAATGAGGTAAGCCTTGGCTCATGCGACATGAAGTATGCTGACATTCTGGTAGATTGTTGACCTCAGACTTGTCTTCGAGACAGCCGATGAGACTATCAGGGATAGTTCTGTTCAATACAATAACCCTGATCTTGTCAAAGGTCTTGTCGCGTTGACCAAGCGAACCGAGGCTACATTGGTCAAGATCGAAGCCATCAACGAGAAGCTCTGGCCAGTTGATAAAATCAACAGTCATGGACAGCCTGTGATTTCCAGGATGGCCTGGTTGAAAGAGAGGTACCATACGGGAATTGAGACATCAGCTGAGGGAGACGCGACACAATGTGCATGCGGCACTATCGGCAATGACCTCGGCGAAAATGTGAGTTCTTTCCTCCCCACTCGTCTATGTATATCCATGTTAATGATCAGCAGTAACGCTATGTCTGCAACAAACCTTATATTACAAACATCCATCGCAGACCTGAAAGTGACAATGATGGGAGGTTTCAACGCTCATCAAGAGCAGCTCAGAGCTATGAGATCAAGTCCAGACTCAGCGATCACTGATACCGAGGCAGTAGTCGAACCGTTCAAAAGAGAAAGATCTCTGAGTACGACCACAACCCTCGTCAGTGTCGCCACCACCAAGGCTGTCACAGGATGTGACTATCCGTGTCCATGCCAGTGTCATATCCGAAGCTCATACGAGACTCCAAACTGGTTGAAAGCAGCTTTTGGTGTTCTCTTTGCGAGCTATGCAGGGTCTCCAGTTTGGGGAAGGCAGCCATGCAACTACCGCCCTTGCATGAGAAGTGGTGCGTCGCAGACTTCATACACTTGGCACTTTCCAACCTGGATGATTGCCAAGGCCGTCGCTTTCTCGTTCTCCAGGTCCAGCTTGACTGGTCTTGGAGGCTCTTGGAGTTTGCACATACCTAAGTCGTTGGCTGGGGATAATCCCGTCTGGCGATTTTTGAACTATGGTACTGTGCCTCAGCTCGTGGACGTGATGAGTAGTGGAGTTGCATCTCTTTGTGATATGAATGAAGATGGAAAGTCGCTTCTACATGTAAGACGCTACAGGTATCTCAGCTTTTGGCAACCTACTGACATAACCCGTTCGCTTAGTTTGCAGTTGAGTTTGAAAGGCCGGATATGTGTGAGTATCTTATACGCCAGGGAGTCAACTCCTCTTTCCAAGATGGCGCGGGCATGTAAGTAATATGGAAAAAAGCGCACAAGATTGAAACGCTAACATATCTTGACAGAACAGCTTCCATGATGGCCTATTCCAAGGTGACTCCGGCGTCTGCTACTACAAAACAAGCTTTAGCTATCGAGTCTCTCCACCGAATCTTCCACAGCGATGAGACATTTGAGTACTTGAACCTATCGCCCCTACACCTGTGCATGGCCAATTATCCCTAGTCAATGTTCGCTACCCAGATTACCTTGAACCTCATGCACATTAACGAGCAAGATGTCCTCGGCCGCACACCTCTGATCTGGGCAGCTTCATCGAACAAGACCATTATCGCCAAGATCCTGCTTGAGTGGAATGCTGATGTCTCGCTGGTGGATAAGCAGCAGAAATCCGCTTTACATTGGGCGATGATATCTCAGTCCTTCGATGTGGCCAAGCTGCTTCTTGAGAACAAGGCAAACACTGAGCTGAAAGACATCTTTGGCCGGACGCCATTGCATGAGGTGGCCAAGGTCGCTAACAGTGAGCACTTGATCAACCTTTTACTCGATCATGGTGCGGATATAGATGCGGAGGACTACGGGTTCAAGCGCACGCCCTTACATCTGGCCGCTTACCATGGAAGGGCTGGTAACCTCAGGGCACTAGCAGCTTGTGGTGCCGACATTGAGTGCCCTACAGTCAGTCACAGAACAGCGTTGCTCGACGCCATTGCATATAATCGTCTTCCTACGGTCAAGGCCCTCCTGGAGCTAGGGGCAGATCTCAATGCTGTTGACTCGGACGGACGAACTGTGCTACATCTTACTGCAAGTTTTGCCTGCCTGGAGATTATCCAGGAGTTGTCCTCCGCAGTGATGCGTTCGGGTGCTAAGACACTGAGTGTGTCGGCCATTAATTCAGAAGGGAAAACTGCATATGAAAATTATTATCATGACAGGAAGCGGCTTTATTATGGAGAGATGAGCGTGGCTGATGATGAGGAGCAGGCCTTTTTGCTTCTTGAAAAGATGTGGGGAACGAAGTTGTAGGCAGAATAGCCTTGTCTTCATCTAAAACTACGGGCGTTTGAATATCGATAGAGGTAGCCCTACTTGATGTGGAAAGCGAAGGTCTCTGGACCTACCCGGAACTTTGAGCGCTAAATTCCATTGGCGGAGAAAGTACGTGCGGTGGCTAGCTGAGTGAAGGCACCATATCAAAATTGTCTAACTTGGGAGCACCCGCATGACATTTGGTCTGGACCTCGATATCACAATCAATGTCTCAGGATAGTTTATGCAGAGTTGCGGGGTACCTGTGACATAAATATTTACTGAAGAGCGAGCGGGTAACCCTGCACAGGACAACTTGTAGTCGTCTGAGTTATCTTAGTAGATGTATACGTAAACGAATACAGATATAAACACGTTAAAAACATCTTTTTATTTCAGATGTATGTACAAAGATAAACAGACCAGAGCGTAGGTTACACTTTCGAAAACTGTGTCGATGCCGTATTAGGCAATTCAGACTAAACCTAGCTTGGTGCATACATACCAACTATCGAGCCACTAGCCTACCAGGTTTATGCAGGCTGGCCGAACCGCCACGGCCCAGGCCGCCCTGGCCCCATCTTCAAGCAGACAAGACACCCGGAAATAGCCTTGAACTGGGATGCATACTTTACTGGATGGGTATCTATCAGCTAGCCACCAGTCATCCGAAGACAAGAGCTGAAAAGCTTCCGCCTCCCATTCGCTTTCACCCCAGGTTGAGTGGAGGAGGGCTGTTTATACAGAAGTCTGACAGTGCTGCTATTGGTTGATTTAACTGAACCTCGTACATATCACATATCGATCCTTTTCAGCTTGGTCCCTCCCCGCCACATAGTCATTTTTGTCGTAGCGAGTTGATACCTGACTCTACGCTGACGAGTCCTCTTTTCTCTTTAAGTCCTACCTAAAATATAAAACGCATGGTGATTCCACCTATCGAGACCACCAAGCTCCTCACATAAAGGGGCATCCATCTCTACCCCATTAATTATCTCATACAAGACACCCCCCAGTCGAAACTTCACCATGGCAGATGACACTGAGACCTATTGCATCAAGGGTCTTCCCCGACCTGATGATGCCAAAACACGCACTCGGGAGACTCAAGATGGCACGGGCATTCCTTATGTTGAGAACCTACCTGTTCGCTACGAAATCTCTAAGCTTGCAGGTTCCAACGACCCCATGCTTCGAAGGCAGTGGACACTTTTCATCCTCGCACTCGAGAAGTTCAAGATGAAGCCTGTCAATGAGAAGCTATCATACTTCCAAGTCGCCGGTATCGTAAGTTTGAGAAAAGCTTTCAAAAGAATAGAGTTGCTGACGACGGGAAAGCACGGCTATCCTGAGGGTTCGTGGGATGGTGCTCCAGCCCCTAGGCCAGACCCAACTGACCCCAAGAAGGGAGACCAGCCCTATGGTGGTTACTGCAATCATAACGGCTTGAACTTCCCAACTTGGCATCGTCCTTACATGGCACTCTTTGAGGTAAGCTTTCGGAGTCCTTGCATGATATCTACCAATGACCAATCTTGCAGCAATGTATCTGGGACAACATGGGTGAAATACTCAAACACTGGGCTACTGAGCACAAACTGGACGAGGATGAAAATGAGATGAAGTTGTGGACTACTGCCAAGGATACTTGGCGTATGCCCTACTGGGACTGGGCTCGACGGCAAAGCTACAATGAAGACTTTGCCTATCCCCAAGTCTTGGTACAGGGTCCAGTTCGCATCTTTGTACCTGAAAAGCTCAAAAAGTATTACCCTCCCAGCGGACTCTACGCCAACCCCTTCTGGAGCTTCGAAAATCCTGAAAAGGATGACAATGGAAACCCCTGCGAATTTGGTAAAATGCCCAGGGGAAAGAGGGACTACAACATCGAAGATGACCCTGTCAAACATCCTGATGCCCCACCACGACACAAGAAAGACAAACCCTGGATGCCTGTAAGTTTCTTGGTTAATCAAATTACTCTTCTCAGGATGACTGATGTGTGTTCAAGTGGAGTGAAGCGACTGCAACCAGTAGATACGGTATCTTTGTTAATAAAAGTGCGGACAGTTTCATCGGTCTCGAGGGCGTTAACAATGCTTGGGTAGCCAACAACCACCTTGCAAACATGACATGGTATCCCATTACAGCCAGACAGAAGGCGGAAGATAAGAAACACAACAGCAATTTCTATCTCAAATGGAATCCAGGAACACTTGCTGATTCAGTCAACCGCATGTTCTCTCCTCAGTATAACGATACCTGGGGCCAATTCGCCTCAACTAAATGGACGTACGAGGGTTACGGTAACTCGATGAATGGCTTCTTGTCTCTGGAGTACATTCACAATAATGTTCATGTGCGTATCAGTGACTTGTCAAGCTAAGACCTACTTACTGACTTCTTAAGAATATCGTTGGAGGCTCTGACTTCAAGACGGGCGTGGGCCACATGAGCGATGTTCCTGTGGCTGCCTTTGATCCCATTTTCTGGCTCCATCACACGTAAGTTCACTTCATCATACTCTCTGTTTCACTTCTGATCAGCGGACTAGCCAAATTGATCGTCTTCTTGCCATCTGGCAGTCACTCTACCCTAAGCTCTGGTGGGATAAGAGTGAGCCTGGCCATGGCAACGTTCCCGATGAAACCCCGGACCACTTTCTTTACCCATTCCACGACAAGAGCAAACCATACCCTCCCAAACCAAAGGATGGTATCAAGCCGGAAGAAGATAAGGACTTCTGGACCGCAAACAAGTGCCGTGACTGGACAGTCTTTAATTACCAGTACGATGATCTTATGGAGCTTTCCCAGAAAGCACTCGGTCCAAAAGGGGATCTCAACGAGGAAAAGTTTAAGAAGCTTCTTCAAGCCTATATCCACAAGACATACCCTTGTGCGGAACACCTGATTCGTGACATCAAGGAGAACGAACACGTTCATGTCCCAGCCGGACTGAACCCCAAAGTCCCCGGTGTCAGCGATGGCTCTTGGAAGGACTACATCATCAACGTCAGATACGATCGCTATGCTTTAGATGGACAGTCCTACACCATCAAATTCTTCCTCGGTGGCCCCGAAGACCAGGATGAGACTCACTACGAGCCGCAGAACTTTGTCGGCAGCGTCTACACTTTTGGTGGTGGCTCGCGCAAGACTCGGGAGTCATGTTCCAATTGCAAGACCCAAGCTGATGCAGGCGTACTCTCATGCGCCCAAGTTCCTCTTACTATTCAACTGCTCCACCACACCATTGACTGTGTAAGGGACCACCCCATTGACACATTCGACGATGTTGAAAAGTATCTCAAATTACATCTTCGCTGGAAGGTCTATGGATACGGTGGCTTCGAGGTTGACGAGGACGATCTCGAGCCCTTTTCAAAGACTCAGATTACAGTATTGCGGGGTATTGGTCAGCCTCATCATGTACCTGCCCCGGCTCAAGTTTCGATGTCAGCGCTGAAATCATTCAGTGTTGCAGCTGCTGACATTTCGATCTCTGCGTCATCGGATGTGCCTGCTAATGAGACGAACGGGTCAGCTCAAGGCACCCCTGTTGCGTTGCCTCCGGACTATACTCGCATGGAGTACGAGTCGCTTTCAGCCATTACTCATGGCAAGCAGTTGGGCCTGCAGAATGATGGAACCTACAGCATTTCCGGCAACAATGAGGCTTAGGTAGACTGTGTTGTTTCGAATGGACTAACTGAGGGGAACGCAAGATGGTGGTGAGTGGCAATCGGTACTCCAATGGGTTTTACGATAGGCGCAGTTAACTTGCTGAGAGTCTGGGGGTGTAGTCCAACTTTAGCCTAATATCAGTCTTGGCAAATTCTTTTGTCCGATCCTACTTCTGCACCTAAGCGATGATGCCTGTGTATGCAGAGCCTCACTTTTGCTTTTGAAAACCGGTCAATGTAACTTTTTGACGACACTAGAGCCTCACTCCCAGCGCCGTCCAAGTAAATGCCGCCGCGAGTAGCCGATCCTTGTCTAAAGGATGCCCCGAAGAAATTTTGCGAAAATCGGTACTTGGCCAGACATGACATATTTGACGTTGTCTCCAGAGGTGATAAAGATTCGACACTATTCATTGGCCACGAGACCATCGTCGTACATGTGAAAGAATGAGGCTCAAGGGAAGCGTAACGGAGGGGGTTGCCGTCTCGTAATGCTTATATGAACACCACGAGTCTGATCGAACCTACATGTTTTCCAAGCTTATACTTAGTCAATTATCAACAAGCCTCTGTTACCCAAGTTATTACTGCATTACATCTTCACAATGGCTATCTTCGAAGGCCTTCAGCTTGTTAATCAATGCTACGGCGCTTGCAAATCGTGCCACTGCAATTCATTGTCCAACCTCAACGGTAGGTCTAACACTAACGTTGATTACGCATGCGGCCCTAAATACGGCAGTAAGTTAATACTCTGTAACCATGGAGAGGTAAGGTGCTGATATACTACAGATCATCTTGAGCTCTAGGTGTCACCAAAGGGAATGGCATCGATTCTGAACTTTGTGGCTTCTTTACTTCCTGACTGATGTGGTGACATGACCACAAATTTCACTGGAACTGTGTATCTTATACTCGGGCATGTCTGTAGTTACTAGATGTTTAGCTTCTGCTCCGACATTTCAGGATAGCACGAGTCAATTACTGAACCAACTATCACCCTAAATATTCTCCTTAATAAAAGAGCCTTAATTACTATTATAACCTAAGAAAGATCCTAAATTGCCTAGCACTAGAGTGATTTACATTAACTCAAGAAGAGTCTAATTAGACTCGGATACTATTTGACATTCTGTACTGATTAAAATGATTATGTTGCTCAAGGCACATTCCACCAACTCTCATGGACATCCTTAAGGTCAACCTTGCCTGGCTGATGCAGATAAGGCGTCATATCCGCATCCCGATCCTGCTCCTTCCGCGTCCACCCATTCCCAAAGTACCACTGGAAACGATTACCACCACCACCCAAGTACTCGTACTCGAAGTCTTCCCAGCGTGGTTCCCGGCGAACGATGGTCAACTGAGTAGCACTCCCCGGCCACACGCCATGGATGCGTCCACCAGGTTGTCCGCCGTTATACCAAGAGCTGCAGTTCTCTGACAGAGTAGTAGAGGCGAAGAAGGAGTCTGAATACTCCAGGAAGTCATCGGCTGCCTTCTTCGATGCTACGATCGACTTGATGCCCTCTCGGGATATCTTACGTAAAATCTTGGCAAAGTATGCGATCTGTGTCTCGGCGGAGTGGGGTACCGTCCCGGATGGTCCGGTGCCGTGCGGGCCTGCGAGGAAGAATAGGTTCGGGAATCCGGGGGTAGCCACTCCGAAGTAAGTGTAGGGGAAGCCGTGGCCTATTTCTTTGCCCCAGACGTCACCGATTGAGGCTCCGTTGGCGCGGATCTCGAAGGCAGGAATCATGTCGCGGTTTGCGCCCGTGGCACAGAAGATGGCGTCGACATCTCGCTGCACGCCATCAGTGGTCTCAATGCCGGTGGCAGTGAATCGCGCGATGGGCGTTGTGATGTAGTCTACGTTTTCTTCGGCGATGGCTTCCAAATATCCAGGCCCTGGAGTCAGGCGCCGGCAGTTAGGTGAGAAGTCCGGCACAATGACATCGAGGAGCTCGGGCTTCTTGGCGAGCCTCTTCTTCATGATGTCAATGAACTGAGCCTTCAGTTGCTTGCTCGTGTCGGAGTTGCGGATGAAGCCATCGAAGCCGCGCCAGTATTTATCCTCGGTAGTCTTACGGAAGTTCAAGTAGGCTTCTGGATCTTTGAAGGTGGCCTTCAGATCTTCTGGAATTGGTTGTGGCTCAAGTGTACGGTCATCGCCGGCCCAGGAGTTGGCAATCCATGTTTTACCTCGGACGTAGTGGTCGAGGTGCCCTGCGCTCTTCTGCACATTCGCAACTAGCTGTATGCCACTGGCCCCGTTACCAATCACTGCAATTCTCTTCCCTTTCAGATCCGTCGCTGGGTCCCAGTTCTGGGCGTGTCTAAGGAGACCTTGATAGTCGGAGATGCCAGGGTAGTCTGGTAGTTTCCACGCATTGAACCGTCCAGTGGCAGTCAAGACAACGTCGGCTGTCTCTACTACAGTCGTGGTAGCCTGATCTGACTGATCCCGCTTGTGCAGGGTCAACGTCCACGTCGATTCCTCGGAGCTCCAGTCAATGCTCTTGACGTGGTGTCCGAATTTAGCGTATTGATAGACGTTGTACTTCTTAGCCACGCCTTGCCAGTAGTCACGAATCTCTGCGCCGGGCGCGAACTCATCGGACCATTTCTCGTTAGGAGCAAATGTTGACTGGTAGACGTGCGAGGGAATGTCGCAACGCACTCCTGGATATGTGTTTTCGAGCCATGTTCCTCCCTAAGCGATGTTAACAAGATTTACAGTGCGGTTGAGTATTAGGAAAGCCGTACGAAGTCATAGTTCTTGTCGTAGATTGTAAGTTGAATCCCGGGGACCTTTTCGGGTAGTAGAACCCCGGCAAGAATCCCTGACAGGCCACCACCAATGACAGCGACTCGCAATTGTCGCGGTTCATCAATGTATCTGTCGATCAAAGGGAGTTTTCCTTGAGCATTGACATATGGGTGTGGCTCTGAGTGCCTCTGTAGCCCGACGGGCAAGCCATTTACTGCGCTCAAGCTGCTGTCACCGGCTGCATCATGCAGGGACGCGACTAAATCAGAACCGTCGCCCATATTGAATTTTCAAGGTACAATCTTGAGAGTTTCAATTTCGTTACTGTTTTTCCAATTGATATGAGCAATTTGCAGTGAGGTCAATAATGTTGCCGATTCAAGTACCGTATTAAACTAGACCATGCCACGGATACCATGGCGTGTCCACCCTGGTCAATCACATCATGCCAATCAATCACAACACATCGTCGCAAAAAAAGGCAATCTATGGCGTGCTGGTTAGTGCGGCCGATCGCGGCTTTAGAGATATGGTTGAGGGATATCTTGTAGCGTTTTTATTTGCAAGGTCTCGGCTTCCGAATATACCTAGGGTCTTACTAACCTAAGGAGATACTCGTAAACTGGCTTAGTTAGCATAGGGTGACCAAAGCATTTCGTCTCTTATACTCTCAGTGGCCAATTCTTCTGACACCCTGACGATTAGTCCCTCCTCGGGGGGCTAGCTAACGAGTATAATGCCCTGTAGAAAGTCTAAATATCTGAAAGGCTTATCCGATGGATATGGCGTGCTGAGTCTAGATCATTAAGCCATAGACACTTGCCGCTAATGAGAATGATAACTGCCGATTCAACATTGCTATAACTGGACATAATGGTTACCCGGTTTCTGGGAATTCTTAACCACTAAGAACTTTCCGCTCTTACTACACTTGATTTCACGAATAACACCATATTTAACATGGCCAACGAAAATGCATCTGGCCATGAGCCAGGTCAATACCCAGGTTTGTTGAGTCGAGCTGTCCACGATCGTCAACATGAGCTCATTTATCGCAGTCAAATGGTATCGGTCGACCTTCTACAACATGACCATTCTTGGTCTTTGCAACCTTGCTGCACCGGGTATCTGGACTGCAATGAACTCCTTAGGTGCTGGAGGAGCCCAAGAGCCATACTTGGTAAACACGGCCAACGCCCTGACTTTCTGCCTCATGGTTCTCAGTTGCTGGGGCGGTAGTGTCCTTGTTCACTACATTGGCATCAAGGGAGCTCTCATCTTTGGAACGTAAGTGCACCATCTACCGATGCGACAGGAGTTTATACTGACCACCATAGCCTTGGGTACGCTCCGTATGCTGCCGGGCTGTACACCAACAACCGCTTCGGTACCGAGTGGCTCGTCATCCTAGGCGCTGCACTCTGTGGCATCTCGGCCGGCGTCTTCTGGATGGCCGAAGCGGCAATCGCTATTGCGTATCCTGAGCCATGGAACAAAGGGAAAGCTCTCGGCTACTGGCTTACGTACCGCCTGAGTGGCCAGATTATCGGTGGTGCCATTAATCTCGGTCTCAACGCTGAACGCAACGAGGCTGGCCAGGTCTCATATACCGTATTCCTTATCTTTATCGCTATGCAAGCTTCAGGACCGCTGTTTGCTCTGTTTCTAAGCCCACCCAACAAGGTTGAACGCACGGATGGTAAGAAGGTTGATCTGTCCATCGTCAACAACCCTTGGCTTGAGACCAAGAAGATAACTCGCCTCTTCTTTACGACCAACTTTCTTCTCATCGTGCTCTACATCGGAGCAGTCGTCTTCTCCGAAGCGGTATTCTTCACTTATCTATCTCGTACGTTTCCAATGCTGCCTCTTACAAAGTCTTGCTAACGATCGTTAAGTATGGTTCACGGTACGAGCTCGAGCACTGGGCTCCTTCGTCTCTGGTATTGTCGCTGTAATCGGTGGTAACATTCTCGGAGTATGCCTTAACCCCTTCGTCAATACACACTGAACCTTGCTAACGGCTCAGGCCTGGCTCGACCGAACATCAGTTCCGCTGAAGCGCCGCAGTCGAGGGGCATTCTGGGTTCTTATCATCTCGCAGGGCGGATGGTGGACCTGGGCAACGGTCCTCGTCACCCGCTTCAACGTATCTCAGCCCACCTATGACTGGTCCAGTCCCGGCTTCGGTGCAGCTTTTGCTATATTTGTCTTCCTTACGTTCGGCTTCCAGCTGAACTATCTCTTCCTGTAAGTCCCCTTGACACATCTGCGCCGTCGAAACTGACCGTCTATTTGCAGCTACTTCGTCGTTCAGAACTTGGCCTCTGACGAAGCAGAGATTGTGCGGTACGCTGCTCTGCTTCGTGGCACAGAGTCTGCATGGCAAGCGGTCAGTTACGGCACTTCGTCCATTCCCGTCATGGCCCGTGTTGGAGGTGTCTACTTCAACCTTGCTCTCTGGGCTGTGTCAATCCTCCCTGCTTGGAGTGTTATCAAGCACTTTGGCAACGCGCCGCATAGTTCGGATGTTGATGGGTCCAGCACCCCTCCGAGCGAAGATGGGGAGGTCGAGGGCTCCAAAACGGTGACATCGAGCAAGGAGTAGGTACGCGATGCTGACTTGTAATTATCGACCTCAAGTAGATAGCTATTACTCTAAACTACTGCCAAGAAATACAAGCCTACATTTCACGCCGCGTTGCGTGCATCTTATGATATCCTTCATTACTTCGTCGCCCAGGCATCAATATACCATTGTACAGCTTTTGATCTCGAAATCTACATAACGAGCTGACGTTCATCATGATCCCCTGAATATTCTCTTGTGGACTGCAAATTAATTATCATAGCCATGGCTTTTTGCCGGTCACAATGATCGGAGATACCATGGTCTTTACTCTCTTGAAAAACGAGCAAGGTCAAGATCCTCTCAAAAAGTTCCAAGTTATCTGTGACGCTGAAAGCACTATCTACTCTATACCTTCACAACCAGCTTGCCACCGCTGATCTCGCCTCTTCTCATCTTGTCAAGGCTGGCATTGATACTCGACAAGCCGTCTCCAACGCCGGCGATCGTGGGATACGCAACAGCGTTATTCTGGAGTAGCCTTCCAAGCCACGTTGTTAACGCCTTACCCACTTCCGGACTCTCATGGAAGAGCTTGATCGGGATCGTGTGCAGTGTGAGATCACTGCGCTGGGTCTTCGGAGCCGAGCACAGAGCGATAATGTGAACATGCCGTGGCAGCAAGCTCTCACTAGTATCAGAGTTGCTGTCGTCGAGCTCTGGAACGCTTGTAGTGTCGCAGAGGGCATCGATCAGGAAGGTAGTTGTCTCTTTGCCTCTCGTATCGAGTCCGAACTTTTTACTGCCTCTCGTGCAGGACCGAATGATCTCAATCGCTCTCTGAGGATCATGACTGTCGATCACAAGATCAGGTTTGATAGAGTGCTCTTCATACAGCCTCGAGCCATGCTTTTCTGCGTCGAGCACAACTGCGACCCGTAGCCCGGCGAGCTTTGCCAATTGGGCGCTGAGTATCGCTGATGTGGACGAGCCTATAAGACGTCAGCTATGGTCATCGCTGAAATGTTTGATGCACTTACCTCCCCAGATAATGAACCAGTCTCCCGCCTCTGGGCGATCTGGCGATGGAATTTGCTGGGCAATTTCCTTGTGGACATCTTTAGGAAGAGAGTCAACCTTCAGGCCATCCACGACTTGCCGCATATCCGGACCGCTATCAACAGCCGTGAAGTCTACACCGAGACAAATGCTGAGTGCAACTGCCGCCGTGACAAAGGCGACGCCAATAGTTGATCCTTGCTCGAATGACACATTATCAGGGAGCCGCACAATATTGTAGCTCTTGGCTACAACATGCTTTTGATAAGCTCCCTTGCGACTGTCGCGGTAGTCTGTTGAGATGGCAATTACCTGGCATGAAGTCAGTGTCTGTTTCGTGGAGGGCTTGCTAGGGTCACTTACCCGGTCGCCTTTTGCCCAGCCAGAACGGTCATCTGCAGTCCGGACGAGAACTCCACTAAGCTCTCTGCCCGCCACCTGCGGAAGCTCAGGTATGCCGAAACCGAAGTCTCTGTAGTACGTTCAGTTTCTGATGTTTGGTAAACTTTCCTGCGTTACTTACGGTCCTCTCCAGTCAATTGGATTCAGGCCCACGGCTCTGTTTTCTATGAGAACCTCATCGCTCTCCAAATCCGCTGGAACAGGATGGTCCTCTACCAATTTGTAAGGCTGGTGGGCGCCATACAGGAGGACTGCTTCCTGTGTCGTCGGAACAATATAATCGTCCTCGGCTGTCTTTGGGGGTATCGATGCACTCTGGCTCTTCGACCTCAAGAGATGCGTTACTGCCTTCGGGCCACGATTCAACCACCAAGTAATCATATTGCGTCGTTTATGGCTTTGCGTAGATTCCTACGACGAAATGATTGCGAGTAAGTCATTTAAAACGACATAAGTAAACCATCGCGGCTTTCGTCCGAGACTTTGTTCTGTTTTGATGATCGCTCCGAGACTAGCGGACTAGTGGACGTCGTAACCATGTCGCAATATCATTACGAGCTTATGCGAGATACAGATCAAATGGCGTGACAGCCCAAAATGGCGATGCGGCAGATTACCTCACATCACGCAATTCGCACCAGTGCACATTTGTGGAATCGATATCAAAAGCGGGCCTGCGTCAATTGCCGGATCGTGAGGAATCCATGATTCGGCAATTGAATAGACTATAGATTATATAAGATATTTACTATAACTTGCATGGCTTCACACTTGACCAAATCAACTACCTGGATTATTCCTTACTCGACAAAAAAACATCAGCCTCAATGTCTGCGCAGGGGAATACCAAGGAGGGCAAGAAGAGCCTTATTCTCAATGCCTTCGTTGAGATGTGTAAATCTTTTCTTGCCTAAGTAAGACTTAACATACTGATGAGGCATTAACAGGCAGTGGCCATCAGTCGCCGGGACTCTGGCGTCATCCCGATGATCAGTCATGGCGGTTCACCGATATCGAGCACTGGACAGACCTCGCCAAGCTGCTCGAGGAGGCCAAGTTCCACGGCATATTCATTGCAGATGTCCTAGGTAACATTTTCTGACGATTCAACTTCGAGGTCCTCTGATTGAACATTACTAGGAGGATACGACGTCTACAAGAAGTCTCTTGACCCTGCTATCATTTCAGGAGCCCAATGGCCTGTCACGGAACCGCTTTCAATCATCCCGGCCATGGCCGCAGTGACCAAGAACATCAGCTTCGGTGTGACAGTCTCAACAACCTATGAGCAGCCGTTTCACCTGGCTCGAAGGCTTTCCACACTTGACCATTTGACAAAGGGAAGGTTTGTGGCCCTCAATACCAATCGCTCTGCCATCACAAACTAACACATCGAAACAGAGTTGGCTGGAACGTATGAGAAGACAGACACCACTAAACAATGTTCTTTGCTGACCGTGCGTAGATTGTCACAAGCTACTTGGACTCTGCTGCTCGCAACCTTGGCAAAGAAGAACAGCTAAGCGTACAGTCACCCCATAATGCTTCATAAACTCCAAACAATAATAACTAATATCTGTCAGCACGACGAACGGTATGCCATCGCTGAGGAGTACTTGGAAGTCATGTACAAGCTCTTCCAGTCCTCCTGGCGCGACGACGCCGTCAGGCTAGATCGTGAGGCAGGTATCTACACCGACCCGTCGCGCGTGCGAGAGATCGGGCACAAGGGTAAGTACTTTAACGTCGCCGGCCCTCATATCGTGAACCCCAGTCCCCAGCGCACGCCTCTCCTGCTGCAAGCTGGAGCATCAAAGGCTGGTAAGCTGTTTGCTGCACAGCACGCGGAGGCAATCTTCACTTCGGCCCATGCTCCTGCTGTGGCCAAGAAGAACATTGCTGAGATTAGGCAGACGGCCAAGGATACTTTTAACCGAACGCCGAGCAACATTAAAGTCCTTGCGCTGGTTACACCTATCCTTGGACGTACTGAGGAGGAGGCAAAGGCAAAGTATGACGACTACAAGCAGTATGCTTCGCTTGAAGGAGCGCTATCGCTGTTTGGAGGATGGACTGGTATGGATCTTAACCAGTACGGTGATGACGAGGAGCTCCGAGAGGTGGAAAGCAATGCTGTTAAGTATGAAACCCGCTCCGCCTTATTTCCTTTATCGTGCTGACGATCCATCAGATCTACCGTTGAGGGCTATGCTCGCTTCTCGCCCGTCAACTCGAAGTGGACCAAGCACACTGTGGCAGAGCATGTAAGTCTCGGTGGCAACGGGTCATTGCTTGTCGGCACACCAGCCCAAGTCGCAGACAGCCTTGAGGAATGGGTTGCTGAAGCTGGCGTTGATGGCTTCAACTTTGTATGTTCATCACATGACCGTTGACTTGATTGTTGCTAACTTCATCGTACCTAGGGATACGTTCTCTTCCCGCAATCCTTCAAGGATATTTCTGATCTCCTAATCCCTGAGCTACGAAGCAGAGGACTCTTCTGGGATGACTACGCTGTGCCTGGAGGGACGTACCGCGAGAACTTCTACGGCATTCCAGGGCAAAAGTACCCATTGAAGGAGCACGTTGCTTCATCGCACCTGTGGTCTCCTTCCGAAGATAAATAGATATAACAGGTTTAGAAAAGTAGAAATAACAAAGTACTACATTTCAATTAACTATTATCTTCTAAAATTTCCTTTACTTATAATAATTTAGAATACCAAGGAAATGGCGGTTTTGACTTTAATTGCTTATTTTAATAATACCTATTCATATTTGGAAATGAGATAGCAACGCCTGTGACTGAATTGTTACATCGTTGAGCATGTCTGTCATCACTAGGAGGGTGTTGACTTCTTCACCGGCTTTTCAAGCACGGGTGATGTGATGTACAAGACAAGGGTCATCACAATACCCTGGGCGATATACACCGCAAACCTCCGTATCGGGCTTAGGCTCCGACGATGCCTGTCTTCGACAGTCAGCCTGGCAAGGCTGTGCATGTTTTGTAATTTATGGTTGATTAAATAGGAGTTGTCCCCGACCAACATAAGCCCGGACAAATACCAAATTTGTGTTTACCTTTGAAGTCGAACTGCAAGATGAGCTTTGGTTTCTCCGTCGGCGACATCCTCGCGGTCTTGAAGTTGACTGGAAAGATCCGTAAAGACTTCAAAGGAGCGCCCAGACAATTCAAGAGTATCAGTGAGGACGTTCGGTCACTTTCCATCGTCATCCAGGATGCCCACGCCAATATCGACCAACTGACTGAGCATCAAGCTGCCAACTTTGCACAGATTCTAGCAACCTGTAAGAATCTGCTACATGAGCTGGAGAATGTCATGGACAAGTGGTGCATTATTTCTAAGCCGCGGAAAGGCAAGGAAATACAGAGACTTTGGAAGAGGCTGAGGTGGGAACCTGAAGAGATCATCGATCTGAGAGCCCAGATTACCTCCAACATTGTTCTTTTGAATGCCTATAATGATCATGCGACAGCGCACAATGTTGCCAAGCTCGTTCGGCACAGCGAGGGCGATCAGAAGCAATTGATGCTGGATTGGATAAGCTCAATTGACTACATTCCCCAGCAAAATCATTTGGTCGGCCGGCTCCAAGCGAACTCACGAAGATGGCTTTTCAACATGACCGAATACCATGAATGGCAGAATCAAAAAGGTCAAACCTTATTTTGCCCGGGCGACCCAGGCAGTGGAAAGACGTTTACCACAGCACTTCTGATCGAAGTGTTACAGGAACAGGCGCAAGACAATCCCGCAGTTCTCAACACATACGTGTACTGCAATTATCAATCACAAAGCCAAGACGTTCAAGGCCTGCTTCGTAGCTTGTTTCGCAACTCCCTCCAACAGGCTGGTTCGATTCCCGAAGCAATTCGCTCGCAGTGTGATCGGAAGAGAATGGCGGAACAGGGCCTGTTAAGAGACGAGACCATAAAGCTCCTGGAAACGCTATACGGCTCGTTTGAGAGGGTAAACTTGCTGGTGGACGCTTTGGATGAGCTCCCTACGGAAGTCAGTCGGCGATTCATCTCAGACCTGCTCAAGCTACAAAAAGGTTGCCAATTCAACTTATTCTTGACATCGCGCCAGATCCCGGAGATACAACATCAGTGTACGGGAAGGGGAGCAAAGGTGATCGAGATTCGAGCAAGTGATGAAGACATTCATCAATTCTTGGAGGATTCGATGTTCCAACTTCCGAGGTTCGTTGAGAGAGATGCAGCTCTCCAAAACGAGATAATCAAAGAAATAACTGAAGCTAGTTCTGGCATGTACGTATCCACGCCCGCCTTCTCATTACATTGAATTCATACTAATCCTTAACCAGGTTCCTTCTTGCTGAGCTGCATCTGCGATCTTTAATGAATAAGAAGTCGCCGAAAGCATTACGCTTATCGCTCGAGAAGTTAGCGACTGGTTCAAATGCCTATGATAACGCATATGAGGATTCAATGGCTAGAATTGTTAGGCTCGGCCCAGATTCGGAAACGCTTGCCAAACAGGCTTTGATGATACTAGTCTGTACCCGGCAGACTCTTCACACTGAAGATCTCACATACGCATTATCTGTTGAACCTGACAGTGAAGCTCTTGATTATGACAACATACCAGATATTGAAGATGTAGCAGGTGTCTGCGCCGGTCTCATGGTCATTGATAAGGAAAGTGACACTGTTAAGCTCGTGCACAAATCAGCACAGGAATATTTTGAGCGCAATCAATCACGATGGTTCTCAAATGCCAGCGAAACAATGGCACGCCTTTGCTTAAAATATAAGTCTCTCACTACCTTGGCACCAGGATTCGACAAAGATATTGAAGCAACGTGGCCGCCCTTCTGGAGATATGCCGATCTCAATTGGGCCTACCATTCCCGTCGCGCTGACAAAGACGATGAGGTTTCTGAAGTACGTAATGGCAATATTGACGAAAATCAAAGATTGTCCAATCTGCATTCTGTATCGAACATAGCAATCAGTCTTCTTGCAACAGATATGTTTGGTAGCCTTACCTCCGCACTTCAAAACGCCTGCCGAGAGAGGCGTCATGCCTTGGTGGAGCTTCTCATCTCAGTCAATGACTACGATCTGAGCCAGCCAGCATGCAATCCTGCACAACCTTGCCAGTGTAACTATGATGACTCAGACTCAGAGGCATCTCCGGCGCTTGAAGGAGATGCATGTTCTAGAGATGGGACTGAAATCGGGACTGGTGACACCGATGGTAGAAAAAGCCCTTGTTCGTATTGCGGGCTTCAGCGAATTGGTCACCGAGAAACCCTGAATAGCCAGTCTGAGACCAAAGCCGCTGTTCCAGATAGACTTCTAGGGTCCGAAGACGATACCTGTTCAGAGGATCAGACAGAGAGCGATACTTATAGATCCAACGATAGACAAAGGCCTAGTTGGCTCGGTGATCTCGATCATCACGATGATGAGACACTTACTGAAATAGGTCACAACCACAACCACAACCCAGATGCTTTACTAAGGAATCTTTGGAGCAAAGTCGACTCAGACATGGAGTCTTTACTTACATGGATCCGTCTCAATGGATACGGCAGAGAAGAGCGTAACTTACTGATAGAAGAAGATCTCACTAAAGAGGGATGTCTCTTAGTTATATCTGCTGCAAACGGCGATCATGCTATGGCCAGAATCCTTCTCAATCATGGGGCAGACCCTAACGTGGTTGGGACTCTGGGTCAGACACCTCTCTATATCGCGGCAAGATACGGAAAGCATACCGTAGTCTCTCTTCTCCTCGAACAGCCAACGATTAATCCAGATTGCGAGTATAAAGGGATGACACGGCGCAATACAAAGCCGATTACACGGGGCATGCAAAAGACCCAAAGGGTATGCTGGACTCCACTTCTAGTCGCCGCTTACTTTGGTCGCAAGAAATGTGTAAGACTGTTGTTGGATCAAGCACAGCGAAACTACAGAGATGAATCAGGAAGGAATGCTGCGTGCCTTGCTGCTGAAGCTGGACGTGCGCAGGTGCTTGAAGAGTTGTTGCAGTGGTCGGATATTCAGCTTGACCCTGGAGAAGGCCTCGACGGTCTCTCGCCTTTGAATATTGCACTTCAAAATGAGAGAGAGAAAACGGCATTGACTCTGATACCTTACTCCGACATCAACTGTCAATACTCGACAGGCGACAGACCATTGAACGTCGCTGCCAAGGCCTCAAGCCTGAAGGCGATTGAAAAGCTCTTTGCACAGAAACACGTCCGCGTCAACGCAAAAGGGTTGAGAGGTCGGACTGTCCTGCACAATGCCGCTGTGGCCGGGGACGAGAGGATGATGGCGCTGATACTGGCCAATCCAAGTATCGATATCAACGCTCGCGACAACGATGGGAATACCGCTGTTATGACACTCCTCCACTATTTAAGAAGACGGCATGTCGAAGACTCAGATGGACTGGCATTGATGCTATCAAGACCTGAGTTAGCTATCAATGCGCAAAATTTGAATGGCAACACAGCTCTTCTCATAGCTGCATCTTTTGACTTTCGGAGACATTTCAGACCGAATAGGGTACTGAACGCGCTACTCTTCCGTCCTGGTGTAGATAAGGAACACAGAAACAATCTTGGTCAGACTGTTCTAACTCGTGCCGTTAAGCAAGGCTCACCAATGATCCAGACGATCGTAAGGGAGACGCAGCTATCACATCAGTTCCGAGAAACCGACGATGAAGGGGAGACATTGGTCTCTCTGGCTGCCGCTTGCCACGGGGATCATTGTGGCTGGTCCGATTCTAATTGGCAATTTATAGTTGAGATGTCCCCTCCGGAGTTTATGCATCGCAACACTCGGTTGAGGACACCGGACCAGATCCGACAGGAATGGCTCAGCTCGGACGCTCGTAATCGCAAGGCGCCAACGTGGATGCATCGTCAAGAGTTACTCTGACCGAGAACGCATCGCTATTTGCAAATCTCATCGTGCTTCTGAGCCAGTGTGCATACGAAGAGAGTGGGCGTGTTACCTTTCAGCTGTAAGGTGGCGAAATCATGGATGACATGATCGTCTTTGTCTGGGGTAACATCCAATAAATGACAAAAAGCTACATCTATTGAGCATGTGCATCTGCAAGACGCTGATCGTTTCTCTCTCAATTGCTACTTGGGGACTATTGATCCCCAAATACTGTATACCGAGCCAATCGGCATATCTCTCCAGAGCAGAGAAGAACTCAATTGAAGTGATCGACAAGCTGAGGCCGGTTGTCGGTGCAAATCTCCCGCGCTCGGCCCGCGACAAGTGAGGAGCTAACATCATACTCTTCGTCATTGGTTCAAAACTTCCCGTGTCTTGGAAATCGCCTCTTTGTTACCTCATTTTCATGCATTACGGTGTGAGATGGAATGAACATTGTGGAGATGCCGTGGCTATCATAGCTGTTTACAGCAAGCCTCAAGTGTTGAAGACAGCTGAAAGAAACGTCATTATCCTCTCTGCATGCATAGGTGCAGTCGATCACTAACATGGCCTGATTTTTGGATGGTTTTGTCGTTCCCAATGAGAGCAGAGGGTTTTGACGAGGTAATTGAGTTTTCAATCTCGATGCTGGCCGTCGAAAGTCTATAAGTAACTATCCAACCCCCGAGTCTCATTTCTGAATCCAAGCTCAACATCAACTTCAAGCCTACACTCATCACACCAATATTCCACAAGCCATAGACCTACCATGTTGAGCAACATCAAGGAGACTTTCGCGGTCGTTCTGGCCTTGACTGCCGCAGTCTACCCCTCTTCGGCATCACCCAGCGCCAAACGCAACGCCAATAGCTTTCTTCCCGACCAGAACGTAATGGAAATTCCGCAGTCCTCTGATGCAATCAAGTACGGACACTGCTACAAGATCAAAAACCAAGACAACGAAGACCTTGGTCATCTTCCCGCCTACCCAAGCTGGAACTACCTAGGCTTCGGCTCCAACGTCAAAGCCGCTCACTTCAAGGTCTGCCAGAACCTTGGAAAATGTCACGACCCAAACAGAGGCTCTCAGGAACTCTGGAACAAGGCTCGGTTCTGGCTTTTTGACGTTGATGGCAATGCATTTTCACCTCGTGGTGAGTTCGTCGCTGCGAACTCTCCTCCTTTTGGTGGTAACAAGAACATGTATCCTGGAGGAGGCGCTTATCGATACTATGTCAACTTCTGGGTTGACAATGACTGTGCCGATCGGGATCAAAATGCTGCTGGTCGCTGCAAGGTCAGGTTGCACATTGACAACTTGCGAGATGATAAGGGTTTACAGATCGTGGGTGGTCAATTCAAGGTCACTACCAAGGATGAGTCTATCGTTGTTTCATTCCAGGAGGTCGACTGTCCTGATTCTAGGATCATGGGGGACCATGTCTCTGACCTTTAAAGACGAAGATGTACTCATTCTGAGGATACTGGAAGCAATGGTGAAACAGGAATGTGAATTCCATAGCGAAGGCAAATAGCTCGTTCATGGTCATATCTTGGATCTTCATATGGAGGAACGGTCTCTATTCGGACATGACTATGAAGGGTTGTTGCTTCTCTCAGGCTAGGGTATTAAACTAGTTCCTGGCCTAAATGGCAATAAGATTGTACGCAATTATCTATCAATGTCAGGAACCTGATGCGAAGTCAAAGGTAATGTTGACACCCCGTGCATTGGGGACTCGTGGCCGCTCAAGGCGTCTCCAACTCACAGACTCGTGTAAGTTTGACGTCGTCCAGACTGATCGTAAGCGAGTCATATTCTCCAAAGCATTCGAGTTTGAGTGTTAGTTCAGCATTAGACACGATGTTGCCTCCAGTGGACCACCTCTGGCTTTCTGGAGTCCAACCACCAGTCTCAGGATAGCTAGGAGAAAGCTGGTTATCCCCGATGTAGGGTGTGATACTGCATGAGAATCCAGCCATGACGCCCTCTGTTGAGAATATTGCCCACTGATAAGATAACCTGTATTGGCCGTTGAGGTTGTCCACACCCTGGGAGAGGTACCCATTACCCATGCCGTTGGAAAAGACAAAAGACCTAGTAAGCGATGTGTCAGTACCGTTATGAAGATTCTATGAGGTGAGGCATACAGGGAGTTGGGGCCAGAAACGCTATGGTCTTGTACCAAGTAGCCATCGCTTGACCAAGGTACAAAGTCGTCGGAGGTGCTATCGTCGAGGCCTGGGTTGATGATCACCTGTGTCTCCACACATGCTGGCGCTCGAACGCTTGTCGTGGTTGCCAGTGTGGTAGAAGTGGTTTCAGGTAAGGTTTCCAAGGTAGTCTCGGCCGAGGTAGTGATTGCAGTCTCCGAAACAGCAACGGAGGTGGTTTCGGCGAGACTTGTGGCTGAAGCCACAGTCGTAGCGTCAGACAGGACAGTCGATGAGGCGTCGGTAAGGGTTGTGGCAGTGGTGGGTCGACAGGGGCTGGCTTCGGCTCCGAGAAAGCCGACAGCCACAGCCGCCACAGTGAGAAAAGAACGACAGCGCATTACGACCGAGTAAACGAATGGAAGCGACTGAAAGCAGCGCAGATCAAGTGGCCGTGAGATGTTGAGGAACAATCGAGTCAAAAAGATCTTCTGCGAAATTTCCCCTATTTAATGGCGTCTGTCAACATAGACCCTGTCGGCTGCGGCTGAGTTACTGCCAATAGTTTCAGAGACTATTGGCGTTAGCGTCCCCTTCCACTACGCTATTGGTCGGACTTCTTCTTGTCCATGAGAAGACCCCATATTTAAGTTGGTGTAGGTTAAGTTCTGATTTTAACATGATTTGATACTGGCGTTGAAGATAAAAGAAATATGTTTATTAGTAGTATTGATACACTGCTAATAGTACTTAGACTTCAAACAGTAGAAACTCATAGATACTATAAATAGTGTTTTACATAAACTAACAGGTTAAACATGGACTTTTCTTATCATGTCAACAACCGCTCCCTGACATCATGATATGTGTTCACACACATTCATCTTACAGGTAAATCAACGACAGAAGAATTTCCGTAGCCTATTGCTGGCTTTACCTTCACAGATAGGTCTAAATTGCAGAGAAGGCCACCTATGGTTTCATAAAACAGTTTGCCATAACATACAGTATTCTTTTCAGGATCATAGGCATGAAAGCAAATAAATAACAACACACATCACTCTATGTCCCCCACTTTCTCGATAGCAGTACTAAATGAGAAGTCTAAGATGTTGCCGCATTTGTCGCCATACATAAGAATTCTACAACCAATGCAGCCGGTAAACCGCGTGTCCATTACATTGGAAGCGTGTCGAAGCGCGTCAGAGCGCGTCAAATCGCGTTAAATGTTGTCCAATCACCTTCCGCATCCAGGTCCCAATTGAGTTAGTTCAAAGCCCCTCGAGCAAGTAAAATAAGAACAACACATCTCGAAAATGCCTTCATAGACAGCCACTTATCGTCGTAGGAGACGTCATTGGATCGCGTAAGAAGGGTCCTTGCCATTGCATCGATAGAGCAGGATTTCAGCATTTCTTTTGCTAGAAGTACGAGCTCACATGTATGACCTCACTCCCACTTTGATGAAAAAATCCGAGCCGTGCGGTCTTCAAATTGATATTACGCGAGCGCATGGACAGAGTTATGGCACAAGAGCTCGCGAGCGCCAAGTCTGGACCTGACATTGAAGTCTTGCGCAAAACACGTGAAAGGCGTAGCACGACAACTTGTTCGAACATCCCGTGTCGGGTCCTGGCTTTGTATCTCGGTAAAGAGAACTCACTGACCACAATTAAAATGACTGCCGGCTCGTTGACATTAGGAATCGCTTGCCGAGATCGTTTAGTGCAGAAGCGAAAGCACTGATGGTCGATCTTGGCTAGTAGTGGATGTGGAACCTTGGCAATAGCTCCCTGCATCTGTCCAGATATAACGATCCCCCGCTTGGCTCCTCTCACTGTCCAAGCGTGCAAGGCTGTTGACTTGGCTGGTATGAGCAAACAATTTTGTTACGAATAGAGTTACCTTTCAGAACATTACACCTGACGATGGAACACACTCATGGTAAGTTTCATATCATTCAATCGAACCACAGGTTTATGTGCTCCATAGTAAGCCATCGACGAAGGTGTTGTGCGAACTTGCTTATTCGACGTCGTACAAACGTAAACTGGAGCACTGATCACTGTAGATTGAGACGTGAGCACGTCCATTTTCTTGCCAAGCGTCTGAGCCCAATTCTTCACCTCGTGGGTGGATACTCGCTCGGGGACGCTTGGAACCCTTCCAAGTCTTCACCATCTTCTTCAAATGTCAAGGAATTATAGATCCTGATAACGATCCTGGAGGCCGTAGCCATGACTCGGTTCTCCAAATGGCCTCGGCATGCTACTTTGGCAAGGCAGTCACAAGCTTCTCAAGCCCGGAGCGTCCACGGCCGAGTGAAGCCAAGACCCCTGGAACCGCGCTAGTAACCCCATAGAGTTTGCCATCGAACAGGCCAACAGGGAAACATATCGTCGTTTCGAGCATTTCCGCCCTATTGCAGATGTCCGTGCGCAAAACCATTTGAGTCTGACCATGTGGCTAGGCGGGAATGGCAGAAGTGCTTTTCTTGCTTGAGAATGGCGCTAATGATATGCAGACCCAAAATGTGCTATTTTGATGACTGTTGAGGATTGATAACATGAGAACTGGAGTTTTGTAGAGATTGAAACTGCGATACAGGTACTCTGTGAACTGGAAGATAAAGGAAAATGATTGTATGTATCAAGCGGGAAGCAATAAGCTAATGATGGGAGCATTGTTACACGCTGGTGAGAGAATAGACAAGTCAATTTTATAGTTCGGGAAAATTATCAATCACTATCAGGGAGAGTTGATGCATCACAGTTGATTAAACGTACATTTTTTAACTCTAATTTTAGTCTTAAGTTTATGTTTGTTTTTCCACGATGAATCGATTTCAATGCGTTAGGATTTTCTGTGCTAGAATCGCACAACAAATTTCAGACGACGTTTAGAATTACAAGAAGAGGTTTAAAAATATCTCTTTCTCTAGTTAAATAGACTCTGCCAGCTCAAGATTAACATGAGAACAATCCCATACTGGCGATAACTACAATCAGGAAGCTCTCTTCACTGTCACAAGATGTCCTTTAGGGTAGCATTCAATTGCAAATTCTTCAAGCCAAGATCAATTTAGCTACCCGTTAAACAGCAGTGAAACTCTATTGCACAGCCTCTCAGACTCTTCGATTCCGCTGTTGCTTTGTGCTCAGCCCCTCCATCTCAAACGACCTGAAACTACCCACACCGCAGGGTTCTTCAATCCCCAAACTCAAATCGCGACACTCAATTGGTCCATCGAGGGGTAAACGAACAAGATCTCGGAACTTGACGAGTTTGAAATACGATTGGCTCCTCAGAAGATAAGCCGAGAAATATGAACAGTTTCGCATGTGCCGCTCTGCCGTTATCCCTGTTTGTAGATCGGGGTCCAAGTAAGCGTTCCGCATTTGATGCTAGTCTCTTATTGGTTCGCTAACGAGTGTCAACGACTGAACGGATCATGGCCGTTTTGACGTTTTGTTTGACAGAGAGGCTGTGCTCACGGGAAACGAGGATTCCGGGCCTTGGCTGTCAGGTCATAGCGTTGGTCAAGTTTACTTTGTGATATGTTTGTTGGGTGATTCGAGTCCAAGCGTGCAGCCATATGTGTGGTGATATGTTTCTGAAGCCTCGAATATGGTAATGTGAAGCTCTTGGATGTCTCGGATGGTGTCTTGGCTTCTACTGTGTGGTGATATCTGTGTGGTGACAGTACTGGAAAAGAGGCAGAGACATATCTCAAAATTCTCTATATAAGGATGTAGCTTCTCTTCCCAAAGTCAATTCTTTTCATCATCAACAACTCAATCAACAAACCAGTTCACTCTTCTACTCTCTTCACTTCTATCTCCTGCCGGTCAGGTTTCAGTTAATTCTCTAACTACCATAATCACTTCTCCATCTTCTTACTCTTCTCCCCACTTTTCAATAATCTCAATCATCACTATCAAAATGCCTTCCGTCAAGAACATCGTCTACGCCCTCTTCGTCGCTGCCGACCTCGCAGCTGCTCACAGTGTCATCACCAACGCCGTTGGCGACGCTGGCGGCTCCGGCATGGCTCTCGGTGTCGACACCTCCACTCCCCGTGACGGTACCCGCCGCCGTCCTTTCCAGACTGACGCCACCCGCTTCCGTGGCCAATCTGCCGAGACCGTCGGTGAGACTCTCGCCGGTGGTGACAACAATGTCGAGCAGGGCACTGTCGACATCATGGAGGAGACTGGCGATCAGCTTCCCCAGGTCAGCCAGGGTGGCAGCATCGAGATGACTGTTCACCAGGTCAACTCTGACGGTGCCGGTCCTTATACCTGCATGATCAACTCCGATGGTACTGGTAACTCTTGGGAGAACATCCCTGTTACTCAGAATGTTGAAGGCAACGACCGTGGCCGCAACCGAGATGGTGAGATGGGCGACTTCCCTCTCGTCGCCTCCATTCCTGCTGGACAGGAGTGCACAGGTACCGTCGCTGGTGAGGACAATGTCTGTCTTGTTCGATGCCAGAACCCTGCTCGAGCTGGTCCTTTTGGTGGTGTCGTTCCCGTTCAGATGACCCAGTCTACCGGTGGTAACACCAACAACAACACCGGCAATGCCAACAGCGGTAACACCAACAACAACGACGACAACACCAACACTGGCAACACTGGCAACAACGCTGGCAACAGCGGTAACACCAACAACAACGACGACAACACCAACACTGGCAACACTGGCAACAACGCTGGCAACACCGGAAACAACAACAACAACGCTGCTGACGAGGATGAGGAGGATAACACCACTGGAAACACTGGAAACAACAACAACGCTGGTGATGATGAGGATGAGGAGGACAACACCGCCAACACCCGAGGCAACCGCAACAACCGCCGCGCTCTTCGCTTCGCTGCTTAAGGTGTCAATGGGTCAATCAATGGTTTAATAACGCGTAATCAAGAGGTCTTCCGATTGGACTTCAGATGGAATATGGTAGTAGATAGTAGCTGGACTGCTGTTGGTAATTGGATATGAAGGAGTAGATAGTGTAATACATACTGGTTTGTTGAAGCTCTTACTCATAATTAACATCTGACAACGTTGATCATCCACTTGGCAATCGACATAGTAAATGCCTTCTTGGTCTTAAAGTGAATACATACCTCAAGGCGCTCATATGTAATCGACTATCTAGAGTCTCAAGTTTAGTTGTCGACCTCTCAGTAACTCGTAAGATACACTTGACCCAAGCTCTTCCGTCGCCTGCCAACCCTCTGTCATCAACTGTAAATAAGGAAAGCTCAGCGCCCTAGTCCTAGGAACCCTTGTTACGCAGATTGTATCCACCACTCCATTTATCTCCTCGAAACTTGCTTGCCTGACATGAATCGATGCAGAGGCAGCTACCCCCGTCAAAAGATTCAGGTACTCGACTCCATTGACTTTAATCAATCTCACGACCTCATTGATAGCTGAGTCCTCTGGCCTCAACCTTTCCATCTATCTGCCATACGCTTGGTTGAGCATCACGTCTCCTCTTTTCTAGTCGACCTTGGACCACGTAAACACTCCCTTGGTCCACCACCGTACGAAGGGTTGACACATGCCCAAGTCCGAGATACCAATGCACGAATTAGCCGCCTTGCATAACCACTCAACTCCCCCTTGTCGTATGGAAGGGCGGGTTTGTGGGAGCAAACAGCCGATCATTGTACTGTCACGATTAGATATCGTCAGAATGAGGACTTTTATGTAAAGATTGTTAATAGATCGATACAGAAAAGTCGACCGATACCAGCTTTGAGGGGCACTTTAGGCCCCATTTACTAAATGGAAACATATCTGATCGTGGGAAAGATTAAAAACAAGGAGCAAAAAAAGAAAAAGAAAAAGAAGAAAAAAAACCCCGAGGCACAACGATCATCAGGTAGTATAGCCGTGCAGGAAATTTCTTTTTATATATACCGAATATAACTCATGGTAGTCCGCATTGAAAATTTCTGGCAGGGTACATATGTTATTCACGTTGTCTCCCTGCCCTTGATGTCGGATAGGAGTAGCGGCATTATAACTTATCATGATCCTATTGGTAGTTGTGAAACGTCGCTGGATATGAACGAAAGGGGAAGGGACTGCCTACTTTAACCCGAAAAACGGACCAGAGCTACTGTACATGATCCCTGACGAATGCGGCGTGGGAGCTATCGATTTGGTTCCTGGTTAGGCGCTGAGTAAAGCAGAGTAGTGAGATTCGTGGGACTAAGAAAAACAATAAGCTTTATGCACCACTTGGTTTTATTATTGCACCTAGCGCTACCCGCCCGGAAAGAGAATTCTTAGTAGTCTGTTAATTGTTTAAACAGTTGAACGTATTATTGAGATTTTTCTATCATACTTTCTTATCTGTCCTACTCGCTTATTCTGCAGGTTATTATGTTTGTTTGCGTGTACCGTGCTAGTCAGCCTTTCATGCCTTCGGAGCCTAACGGTTGCCTAGAAAAGGAAAAAGGCGGTGACAGCTGATCCAGGCGAATTGCAAGGCATACTGAACAGAGATATATAAAATTGCATTACCGTAAGAGAAAAGAAATTTCGTATTTGTTTTAGCATCGTTGTATAAACACAAGTTAGCAGAACACCAAGACAATGCCTATTTATACCCCTCTACAGCCTAACGAGATCAGACTTTTCCATCTTGAGCCATGGAGAGATAGCGCTGACGATCCCGTTCATTTGTCTCTGTTTGTCAGTCAGATTCATTACTCACCTCGATATGAAGCATTGTCCTATGTCTGGGGAGACTGCAGCAGCCCTATCTCAATCACTATCAACGGCGAGAATTTGGAAGTGGGGAGGAGTCTCCATAAAGCTCTAATAGAGCTCCGAGCAGAAAAGCCAGTCCGCCGAACGTTGTGGGTAGATGCTATATGTATCAATCAACGTTATACAAGGGAAAAGTCACAACAAGTGGCTGGAAGGACCGAAATATACCACAAAGCGTTTTCTACGACGATGTGGGTTGGAAGACAAGGGTCATTAATTGCAAATTTGCAGAATGTTGAGGAACTACATAAAGCTTTGTCGAATAGCTATCAAAATATAAGCGGCGTTGATTAATCCTGACGTAACTGGCTGCGTCTAAGACCCCCTCCAAATCGAGCAAAGGTTCCTGCCCTCCCTGCTACGCGATTTTCACTTATAAGATATCGTTCCATACTTATTCATTGTATTTCACAATCTTATACTGTCTAAGAAGACGGCTCAGGGCCGTAACGGAATCATTGTCAGAGTCAGTTCCTGTTTCCTGGCAATCGCCATCGTCCACCTGACACCACAGGCCATAGGTCTTATTGACAAGATCAGACTCAACTTCACTTTTGACATACTCTAGGCGTCCGGTAGAGCACCATTGAGCAGCTCTTTGAATTCCACCGGTGCTACAAACAGATCTACAGCCTCGCATGAGTACACCCCATCAGAAGTCGTGGTCGGTTTCTGTATCTCAGTACGAAACGCTGAGGAATAGATCATATTTCTCAATTGAAATTCCTGCTCCGAGATCCTCCAGAAGATAACAGAGACAAGTAACCTTCTACTTATGATATAGCTAAGTAACTAAGGGGAACCTTTACCATATTCTGAGATGGATGATCTTTATTTTCAAGGCTAACCCTGCAGCTACGTAAGGAGCCAGACCGGTGGGTCCGCTCGAGACTGACCTAACCGACCGAGGATAGGCCGAAACATAACGGAATATCGATATATCCGCCTCATCTGCCTTCGTGCATCAATCACGTTGCCTTTTCATCTTCTGCTTGCCCAGGCGCATCCTTTGCGTCAACGACAAGGCCAGTGCTCTGGAAAACCTGAGACAAGATATGAACCCGCTTCCAGGTTTCTGCAGAGTCTTTAAGGTCATCCATGGGAAGATCGTAATCAAAAGCCATCTCATCATTAACATCACTGTTGACGTTCGTCAACTTCTTCTTGATATCCTGAAACATGGTTTGGAGGGCTCCAAAGGTTTCTATAGTCAACATAAGCATTTGATCTACTTCCCAGACTTGTGGTGTGAGATACTCACTCTGCATCTTCCCTACGGCCTGCAAAGCATTGTTAATTGTGTCTGTTACGCCTTTGATCTCTGACGTGAGAGAATCAAGTTGATCTGTCCATAGGAAAGAGTCGTTAGGGTCTTGGTGGCATATCAACTGGGGAATGCAGAGTACTTACGGGAGGCAGCAGTAATCGATTCAATAGCGTTCTCTCCTTTCTTCCTCTCCAGCTGATATTTTTCATTAAGTTCGTTAAGAGAGTTCACTAATCCTCTGTGCTTGATGATATCCACAATCAAGAGGATCGTGCCAACGACAGGAATGTAGTCTTGGAATCCAACGAGTTAGTACTGGGAACTCTGCCGTCGCTGACTATCCTTTAGATCAATCGAAGAGGGGGAACTTACGGTACCACTTCAGCCTGCCTGCCTCACGAGCCTTTTCCGCCTCGGCTTCCAGCATGAGCCTTGCGCCGTCCACAAGATACTTGGCCTCGTCGATTAACTTCTGCACTTTGCTCTTTTTTGCTTCTTCATCTGGAATGATCTTCTTCAGGCGTCTGTCAATTTCAAGAATATCCTTTAGATCTTCGTTCTCCGTGTCCGTTTTGTACTGGGGAAAGGCCATTAGTTACAACTTCTGGTGCAGAATTTGCGGCCGGTTCTTACCTTGGAGAGCTTGTCAAACATCTCACCACACTTGTCTTCGACCTCTTTCGCATGCACGGTCAGTCGATCGAGCAATGTGTCAACCTTCCTCTTTGCGGCGTCAAATTTAAGACTGCCTCTCACCATTCCAGGCTCGCCCATGATCATAAGACTCGCGACAATTGTTTCAATGTACTTTCCCGAGTCTTTGGCAAAGTTGCCAATGCGACCTCCAAGGGTGATCATTGGTTCGATGGTATCGATTTGGAACTCATTGGCTCTCTTGTGCATTCGTGGAAGGACGATCTTCATATACTAGATGTAGCGTTATCAGTTAAATAATCTTTAAGCCACCGATAAGGCGGTAATTGCGGGTTATTGGAACTGACATCGTACAAGGTGTCATCAGAATCGAAAAACTTTTTCAGATTCTCCTTAGAATACTCGGCTTCAAACAACTGCTCTGAAGAAGGAAGAACAGTGCAAGCACGGACATACTTCTGAAGATTGACAAAGTCTTCAGAATTAAGAATGAAAGTGTTTGCAGGGTCGGAGGGGTCCAACTTGTCGATGTTGGCTTTGGGGTCACCACCGAGCAGGAAGACTTTGGCCGCATTGTCATAGCCAGAAGTGTCCTCCCCATTCATAAGAGTTTCAGTGGAAGTAAGAGACATAGTGAAAAGATGTCAAAAGTTTGCGAACGAATTGATAATAAATTGTTGCTGTTGATGTTGGAAGTTTGACGTGAAGCTTGAGGTCGATGGTTAGAAAGGTATTACCAGTGCTGGGGCGAAGTCCGAGTTTTATACCGTTAAAAGGAATGTTGCTCGTGGACTGCGATGATCGGAGGGCTCCATCACTGCCACAAAAGTAAAAGCATTGATGCTAGAAGCTTCTTTGTCTCCTATTGAATCAAGACGACATGATAACCTGGCATGTGCGGTATCATCGTTTAGAACTTGCGTAACGGCTGGCGGAGGAGCAACCAATGACGTCTTGTTGTTGCCACTTCAAGCCGGGGCGAGGCCTCGCGAGATTGATTCTGGATGCCCATGGATCCCGTTTTGTTGTGCCAGTATGCTGGAGAACACAGTACAGTCCTCACTACATTGGCCAAGGCCATGCCATTGGAGATATTTCCTCTACCCGAAGCTCCAATCGCCATCGTTTCGCGGACGCTAGCGACAAATAGAGCTAATCGACTCGGCCCCTGGCGAGCTGATCACAGTGAAACTTCCTGCAGGTTGGGAAGTCGATACCTTGAGTCGCGGGCACTCTTCTCCGTAACTTGGTGAGGTGAACGAGCTGTGGCTGGCTGACAGTTGTGAGTCAGAAGTATCATTGCAGTTCGGACTCGTGTCTGAGATATTCTATCACCAAAAAGACAAGTGGCTAGCTGCAAGGCCCAAAGGGGTAACAGGAGGCTAATACAAACTTGTCAAGTGACTTCCTATTGGAATGATGGATGCGCTATGTTTCAAAGCCAAGGGTTGGGAGCCCTAGTTTCTATCCCGCATAAATGTTAGGCAATACCTGATGTAGTGTCGTAGGTTCACCGCTAGTTGACATTCATGAGTGTATATCAGTATTTCCCTATTTGTCGATTTCTGCATAGCTGACTGTTAATAGGATCATGCGCGTTGAGGCTGCTCCACCTGTACCGCCTGTCAGACTATTTTCGGACCGACGGGAGAATACCCGCGGGCTTTGGCAAAACCGTATTGGCTACTTAGGAACCCTGTTCAGCCACAGGCCCACACTAGTGAGGCTAATGCAAATATATTGAACCTGAGCAGTTGAGACAATGCTGTGTGAGTGGCAACCCACATGTACATAAATGGCTCAAAGAGTCCTGTTTATTGGCCCATGTTGAAATGATATCTCACAAAGTAAAGGTGGAAGCTACTGGAATATCTGTGGCTTGCAACACAACGGCTGAGGATTTTGCAATGATCGGAGTGTCTCTGGGCTACCAATCTGGCTCGGTTTTGGTTCAGCTCCCAGTGGGCTCGTTAGTTTAGGAAAATTGGAGAAGAATGCAAGTTCTTCTTCGAAGCCAGTAGGGACAATGATATATATATCAGAGGCCACATTGGTCTTCAATTTAGCTTCCAACGCTGCATGAATACGTCGAAATACTTATTGTTTGTTTGATAAATACCTTGATATCTATACTTCTTACCTTGCGACAGCCTCTTGCCAACAAAATGGAAATTGAAAGAGCAGCAACCTTTGCTTTTGAGAACCTCACGCTCCAAGAAAAGTCTCTGGCACGCGAGATTGTCAGGTTCCAGTACTATGATGCTAAGAAAATCACTGTATGTCACTGACATGAATTCCTTGCCTCAACTGATCTTTGCCATGTGCATTGAGTCGCCCATGTGTCCTTGGCTAGGAGACTGACAAATACGCTAGGGCTTCTATAGAGCCCCGGTGCTCTACATGGACCAGGTCATGAAGCATCTTGCCACGGGTGCCAAGGAGTCCAAGACGACTCCGCGTCGTGTTTCTCTTTATTGCGATACTCTAGTGTTGGCGGAAACTCTCACCCTCATGGGTAATGACACTTTCATCTGCAACATCATCGCCCGTCAGATCCTATTCTCAGCGGCCGAGCAGGGTCCAGCGATACAGATGCGGACCAACCGCAATTCGCGACTGCTTATCAATTCTCAGATTCTTCCGAAGGCTTTTCGGGTCGAGTTCGTCAGCGAACAGAACCAAAGGGAGCTGAAGGAAGTAGAGATTCCAGATGACGCTTTCGGGATCTCCTACATCGCAACTGGAACAGGAACGGCCGTGAAAGTAGATGTTATTGCTACTGGCCCAAACATGGAAATGCAGAGTGAGAATTGGATGAACCTTATAAATGATGATGGGACGCTAAGAGACGTCCCATTTACTACAGAGTAAGTTAAGATCCTCCTCAATTATACTACTGAAGATCATGACTAACGAGAACAATTGTGGTATAGCAATTTTCCGCGTCTTCTGAACTTTCAGTACCTCATGGCCGCCGCAATGGTTCATGAAAGCCCTAGGCTTTCTATGTCGATTCTGAACTGGATCTGTGCTGCTACCAAGACGGTCGGAGGGTCGCTACTCGGAGCACAAGCTCAGTCACTCCGTAATAGTATTGCTGTCGACACCTCGGGCATGATTTCCAGCGTGCCATCGCTCAATATCTACTCTTGCAAGCAGATTCTCAAATCCCGCCTTTTGGCTGCCAAGGCGTTTGAAGATAGCTTCAGGGACTACACGTCTGAGGAGCGCAGTGCCAGTAGCTGGGTATACCTTGCTGCCGATCTTTTGCGTAAGAGCGACCAAGCCTTGGAGGAATACGGATTTCTATCCACCATGGCTCGAAAGCGTTACGATGAAGCCATCGAGGCGCATTCTTACGCAGAAGATCAATTTAAGAGGACTCAGGAATTGGTCACTGAGACCAGTGAACAATTTAAGGCAGATGTGGCCGAATGGGAGAAGGAGCAAAAGCTGGCGGCAGCCAAGGACATACTTATGGGGCTCATTGCTGTGGGTGTCGCCATAGCTGCCACAGTTGCTACCGCTGGTGCTGCTGCGCCAGTTGCTGCTGGTACGATGGCCAGCGTAGCCACTACGGGTAGCAAGGTAGCGATGGCGATTGCCAAGGTCAAGGAGATCATCGAAAAGATACAGGATATTTACGAAAAGCTCGAGCCTATCATAGAGAAGCTGGGCGAGCTGTTCACAGCTATCAAATCCATGGTCGCTGCGATCGAAACATCCCAAACCGCTTTAGATGTCCCCAACTCACTCAAAGAAGGGGACATGAAGCTTGATGCTCTCAATGCGACGGCCCAGTGGGATATTTTTGACATTCAGGTTGGCCTCCTCGAAAAGCAGTTTGCAGATCTGGGTGTTCCCAACCAGGACAAATATCTTTTTGCGTTGCGGTCTCTTGTTGTTCATGGCAAGACATACCTGCAGTCACAGGTCAATGTTCTCGTTCGTGGCGACGAACTGGCGACGGTCAAATTCAGACTAAGACAGCAAGAAGCAAGTCGCCCAGCTATCGAAACCATGTTGACTCGCTTCGAAGGCAACAATGACCTGGTGAGCATACTTAAGATGGCGATGTTTGATCGTCTCCTTGCCATCCGAGCGCTCATATATATCGACTTCAATTCGTATGTCAACGCCTACAACTACCACACACTAGATACCAACTCGCCTGTCAAGATGTCAGCTGTAAAGCCTGTGGTGGATTATCTGGCCGATGCTGCGCGGTTGCAAAGTTATGTTTCGGCTTTCGGTTCCAAGATATTGATTCAGCGGAAATCCTTCAAGCTTAATCATGCAGCCTTACAAATCCAAGTGGCGCAAGTCGCGAAGGAATTGAAAGGCGCCGGTCGGTTCAAATTCTCTCTTGATCCCACAGCCCCAAGCTTTGTTGGGCTTTACCGCGTCCGTGTCACTCGTGTTCGCGTCTATTTACGAGGCATCCGTGCTTTGGCCGACAAGCCACTTCGCCTCGCCCTCCACACTACTGGACGGTTCAAGGATATTGCACCCCCGCGTAGCGTCCCCACCGCTTCATCTACGTATTCCTTTACCGGGGATCCTCGGACCATTCTCTACGAGGTCAAACTGGAACCGACGGAAGAGATCACCTGCGATGGGGACTATGGACTATCCCAGGATTATACCATTCAATCTCCGTTTACGGAATGGACTGTAGAGCTTGCAAAAGGGGGTTTGTCTGCTGATGAATTGGACACTGATAGATTGGATGAGGTCGAGGTCGAGCTGTGTTGCGATGTCTGCTACAGCGATGAGCTCTGAATGCTCAACGCTTCATGCGCGTCGTAATACCACTGAGCCTTTATTTGGTGCCATTATGTACCAATATTAGTTAGTATAAGCTGCAAGTCCTGCGTGTGCTTCCATTTCAGTATGGTAGTAGTCTAGTTTGCCACTCCAATAAGAAATGCTGGTCCTTGGCACTGCAGCTTTGGTGCAACCAAGACTGCAACTCGTACCCCAACCTTCGTGCCCCAGTGAGAATTTGAGTCAAATGGCATCTAGACTCGACTGGTATTGATGAACAGATTTTGAAAAGTTCCTCTGGAAACCCTGTCTGCCACTCGAAGTCTCCCGCGGCGTGCCACCCCCTCCTGGACGAGCGGTAACCATCAGCCACCCACCAGCTGAGGGGCCCAACGTTAGAAGGCATGCCAATCAATAGTTCGAGGATTTTCAGCTTGTTTCAGAGCGCCACACAAGTGATTAGTGACAGAAGAACATTCCACCCCATTGCGACTGATCCACCCTGGCACCAAAAAGATCCGCATTGTAACTATAAAGGCGAGAGGTTAGGCAGGCATTTATTCGATCCTCTTCAATCCTGAACCCAAGATCATTAGTTATCTACCTACATTGAAGTTCACCGACATATTTCACAAGTTGCCAAGCACAGAACGATGACTGCTCAGCTGAGAATTCCCAACCCCGCATCTTTTCTGCTTCTAGATAAGAGTAGCACGGTGACGAAGATACAACTGCAGCCCAAATCCTTCGACATACTACGGAGAGCTGTTGCCGACGGCATGACGCTCCCGGCCAGCCCCAGGGAATTCGAAGCTCGGTATCCACGTGGTGTCCTTCAGGAATTCCTGGAGCGAGACCCAAGTGTATACGAAGTAAGAGATCTGCAATACCATTGATCCAACATCTGCCTTTAGCTGACCATGCTTTTCAACAGTATGTACTTCAAGTCTACGTGGCGACCCACCTTACTTGCGCGCGGTTCGAAAATGTGATCAACAAAGGCCTATCTGTCATCGGTAAGCTTCATGAAGAGCTAACACTTCAACTTGTCAAAGCTGATGTTGGAAACCGTAGCTGTGAACCTGACACGGGTCGCAGACTCTGCAATGGCCTTGCTAGGAGTTCGTCTGAACGCTCTCGTACAGGAGCAGAACAATGGTAACATCGGAGACACGCTCCATGGCATTTTGCAGAGTCTTAGAACACTGAGTAGCGATGCGTCTGACCTTTCCGCAAAATGCGAAAGTATTGAAGGGGATGTCGCCGAGGTGAGTTTACGATCCGATCGCAGCTTACAAGCTGGGTTTGGGATACCGAAGCTTCACCAAAATAGGTGTCAGACATACTTACCAAGATCTTTAACTGCAGTTTAAAGTCCAATCCAAGCAGAATTACGAATCCGCTGCCAAAGCTGAAACCCGATGGGACAAAGCTCGGGTTTCCGATGACGAGTGGCAGGGAAAGCTCAGCCGGAGGACTGAGGCTATTGAGGACTCAATGAGACGTTTCCAAGACGAGGCTGAGAATTTGGACAAACAATCCCGGATGTCTCCTCCACAAAGCTCTGTCGGATGGCAAAGTAAGAATGCAGCTTCTTTGGTCAAAATATCGAATCTTAAAGACGTTTCGTCTTATTTCATCCTCCAGATATAAAAGCTAATTTCCATTCGCTTACAGTCTTTCGGCCATTTGCAGAAGTAATCAGTTCTATCGGTGGTCCTCGCTTGAGGAGTCGCGAGGAAATTGAAAACGACTTAGAAGACCTAAAGCGACAATTTTACCGAGCTCAGAGGGAGGCCATGGACAAAGAAACCGAGTTTCGCAAGGCAACGAGTATGTTATCTCTGTCTTATAATATGCAGTTATTTCGGCATAGTAAAGACCCCTTGGCTGACCTTTGCGCTTTCAATCGCAGACAGTATTGAAGCACTGCACCATAGCATGCATGACCTGTCCTCACATGCTGAAGAAGTCGCTGCAGCCATTTCTAGCGTCAATAGTGAGTCCCCATAGTCTCCAAAACAGCCGTATTGACAAGTCCATTTGCTAAAATCGGTTTAAGTCGCTGCGTCAAGATTGGTTACAGACAACGAGGACCTTGCTCGCAAACTCGAGTACCTCCGAGGGGACATCGAAATGGAGGGTGAGCTTGGTGGAAAGCTTGGGGATTTACTGAGTTCCGAAGTTGATGAAATCTCTGAATGCTATGCTATGTGGCAAGAGATTAGATCTATAGGGGAGATCATGAGGTGATAGATATGATCAAGCCTTGACGCTTACAGAATTAACTTCACTGTAGGAGTAAAGCAATTTGATCGATTAATTGAAATGGAGCGCTATATCTATGATTTAATCCAGCCTTTTGGGGTGTTCAGTATGCTCATTTCCGTCAAGGTCACCTTACTCAATTCTGACTTTTACTGCTTAGTGCTTACACTGGCACCCCTTGTTATCTTGATACCGGTGATTACGTAAATAGTCATTTTCCGGTTTATTCCGTGGACATATGACTGGAATGGTCAATCTTGAAGTACCTGCGGAATAGTAGTCGTCAGGAAGGAGGTGTTTCTCAAGGCAGGACTTCAGATGGTCCAAGCCTAAACGTCCCTGCATAACTTGTAGACCTATCGCCCAAAGGCCAGTTTTACGTGAGCGCGCTGCACTGGGGTGGGTGGTCTCCTAGTTAGCCTTTTCTCCTTAGTAGATATTGGTGAGTGGAATGATACCACCGGTGGTGATCATGTCCTTGGAAATCTTTATTAAGTACGCATTGCCGGGCATCTTATTACCAGATGTGTTATAAGTAAAACCCCGAGTAACGCTTAGGATTTCGAGGATCCCTGGTTAAGTGTCTAAGAACTACTTTGCTATTGACTGGTATGTGCTAGTTTGGAGATGGGATGTTGGGTAGGTTGTACGAGGTTATGATGATTGATATCTTAGATGCAGAAGCATATGGCCAATACATGTTATAAGTTCCCATTTAGGTACACCCTCAGATGAATAGATGCGCAATTTTGCACCCCTATCAGAAGAACATAATGTATAATTGAGCCAGTAAATCACATCGGTGTTTCTACATAAGCACTAAAGGGCTGAGTGTTCCTAAAACCTAAGAGCTTACGCCCACTTTCCAAGTAACGCCGTAATTACTATCCTAAGATAGAGTAAGATAAGTATAAAAGTTAATAGCTGAATCAATGTATTTTTCGTAGGCGGTATCGATCGGTGCCTGGGACGGAAGGCAAATCCATTCCGATACATTCATCTGTAACTAAAACGCCGCCAAAGTCTTCGCAAAGGAGTTCAGTGACATCGAGGCGTCGGCGAATCTCGATGGTCGCGGTCAAGAATGAGCCTATGACGGGAGATAACGGTTTGGCATCGTCGGAAACTCGGTGGTCGGTCTGACAGGGACCTTGCCGACTCGATCGATATAGTTTCGGTATCCTGCGTCGGTGCCTGGGATAAAAAAAAGGTCCATTTTGATCCATTTATTGATAGTCAGAAAGGCGCTGAGATCTTCAACTAGCAGATCAACCCATTGCGTTTCGGTCAGACATAAGCCTATAACGGCCGGCGAAAGACAGGATAGCATCGTCGACGAGGTTGTTGATAGGCCTCAACTAAAGCTCGGCAAGAGGTGATGTCGTCGTTCTTGGCAATCATGTGGCTGGTCTGGGTTGATGATCGTGCTGCAGGTCTTATCGGAATGAGTGAATTCGGGTGGCCGGAAGTGCTACGGGCGGCTGATTGAGTAACGGGAGTTCGAAGAAAAAGAGTTTGGAGTTAGGAGAGACATAACGCCGGAGTTCCTTCCGTAAGCGACTCCATTGGGGACGACGCGTCGAGCACGCGATCGGGAGCGTGGCGGGAGGAAGGCACTATTGGAGGGGAAAGATCTGTGGCCAGGAAGCACAAGAATTATGAGCTGGCCCACCATTTCAAGCCGATACAATATGCGTCGCCGAGGAGCCAGTCATCACTCAGGTACAGTGCTGGAGACTTTCCAAGGCTTGGAAGGATTGCAGAAGTGCATGGTCTGGGGCCTATAGGCATTTGAAGAACCTGATGCGACTTTCCGCCAATGATCCAACCATACTCATCAAGACGCTATAGCCAGCCGAGAGATTACGCAGCTCACTATGAGAATGCAGTTTGGTGGGCTGAAGTTGCCTGAGGAGAAACTTCCCTGAGTACTCGCCGCCACGTCTACTCATGACGGGATCGGAAGTGAACGGAAGGAAGGTACGGTAGGAGTGAACAAGCGTGGCCAGCCAGGCTAGACCGCATGTGCAGGCGGGCAACAGAGAAGTCATCTTCTAAGACTTAGGGCACTAAAACAAAGTAGCCTAAGTCCCAGTCTAAACTTAAATAAGATCATCAAACCATTTCATCTTTTATGCTCTAAGACCCTCTGGCACCCTGATGGCAGTGTACAGACGTGTCGGGTATCATAAACAAGAAAGGTTCTGGACAAGACTTAACGATGAGCTCTCGGAAGGTAACAAAGAGACACGGCTGTACAAGATATAGAGGTCTTCATTTATGGATAAATGTCTGTTACTTCGTTTTTTACTTATGACTAAATGACTAATACAAGACGCATTTCCACTACTCCCATTTAGACTTGTTCTTCTCAACAAATTCCTTCCAAGTAATCGGCTTCTCATCCAACATGTCCAAGCTCTCCTTCAGATCAGCTCCAGCATAGTATCCAGGGTCCTCCAAAAGCATCATGTTCTCAGTCAGCTCATCAGCGACGGGTGGAGGCAGGAAAGTCTTGAACACGTTGGCGGGGACTTGGTTAAAGGTAGCTGGCTTGCCAATGACTTCGCTGAACTCGGACATGATCCTGTTGGGCGTGTAATAATCTGTCGCAGCGAAGATGCGCTTGTTGATGGTACCAGGGAAATTCTTGATAGCAGCCTTGACGAATTTGCCTGTCACTGTCAGTATACTAAGTCCCAAGACCTACAAAGAAAAGACTTACCCATATCGCCCTGAACATCAAAGATAGGAACCTGAGTCTTATCTCCATCACCAGGAAGAGCCCAAGCAAAGCTCCCATCATCGTTCTTGCGAATCGACCCAAACAAATTCGAAGCAAAGAAACCAGGCAGAACGAAAGTAGCAGGAACATTAATCTGACGAATATACTCTTCAATCTCAGCCTTGCCCTCAAAATGCTTAATATGCGTCAATCGCCCATTGCTAATCTTGTTCGTATCCAACAGCGACGAAAAAACGAGTTGCTTGACACCAGCAGTCTTGCATGCGTCGGCTACGGCTTTTCCTTGAGCAATTTCGCCGTTGCCGCTGTTTGTTTCCCAGTAGTTTGTTACGAGGAAGACGGTGTGGGCGTCTTTCACTGCTGGGGCTACTTGTTCGGCTGTGTTCATGTCGGCCTGAAAGGTCAGTGAGTTGTCAAGGGGATTGAGGAGGGAAGACTTACTGCGACGACTTCAACGCCCTTGGAGGCGAGCTCTTTGGCTGCTGGCTTGGTGACATCGCGGGTGATGCCGCGAATCTTGAACTCTTTGGAAAGAGCGGGGTCGTTGAGTATGGCGCGGACGACTGAGCCGCCCTGGTTACCCGTGGCACCAAAGACTGTGAGAATCTTGGACATTTTGATGGAGTAAGTAGTATTAATGCTTGTTAAGATTGAGAGTGGTAGTTGAGTGCTGGAGATGAGAATGTGAGTAGATGGTGTTGATGAGAATTAATTGATTGAGGTAAGGATTGTCTTTATAGAATCATGACACCGCAGTGATGCTGGTACAGAGGGGCTTCATTGGACGCCTCGGTGTTTCCCCAAAGCCACGAAGCTGCATAATCCTCCTTCCTCCTCAGCCTTAGCAATCACTCACCCAATCGCTTTGTAAAGATCTCTCCTCGTATTGGTGGCGGAGCTTTTCGCACGTCTTTGTCCATGATTGGTATGACGTTAAGTAAGCACTATCAAAGGATTCGGCTCGGGGAATGCCAAGACAGCGAGCTGCAGCCCTGATACGATGGAGACAAATCTAGATTCGTCTATTGGACAGATTAATTGTTAGTGCAGAGATATATGGGGAAGTTGAATGACAGAGCGACGCTTATGCAGTTAGAGATATGCATAAGGATTGGTCATTTCATCTTAGTGGGGCTCGGGGAACGAAACGATGCGAATGCCGGGCGCGAAAACATGTATGGCTGCTCTATAATACGGAGAAACCCAATTCATGCTCACAGGAGCCAATTCCTCTGACCCTCTGACGACAGATACACTCTAGCTGCTCTCGGGACCAGTCCAGCCGCTACGTCTCAGCCAATCTTCAAAGGAGCTCCCGTTAACACCCAGCTGCTCATTCAATCGTTCACTCTCCAGCTCAAACGCTCCATAGCAGGTTTTATCATCTGGAGCCACCGCAGCCCACTGCATCATCTCGGTGAAATCTTCCTTGAAAGCTGGTCCGACAAGCGTAGCACACAAGTTGCCGAATTCTTCGAACGAGATGGGAGAATGAACGGCTGGCTTTCCAGTCACACGCGTAAAGGTTTGTGCCATATCCTCTGGGGAAATCCTGGGGCCTAGAGCAAGATAAGTTTTGCCTTTGGTCTTCTCAACGCCCAGCTGGAATATTTCTACGAGTATTTGTCAGTATAGGGAGGTTGCTTACGAGGTAGGGGAGGTCTTACTTGCGACAAATGCTCCCATGTCGTGTGCCGGATCGGTCCATTGCATTGGTTTGTTCCCAAGCACTGGCATACAAAACTGTACGATACCGTCGTCTGAAACGTAATCTTGTCAGTTTTCATTTCTCGGTATGTGAACGCGATGATATGGAAACAAACCTCGAAGACGGCAATGCTGTGGCCAGATGAAGTTATTGTAGAAGAAGCCTGAACAAAGAAGGTCCGTCAGCAAATCTGGCTGTTATACAGATACCCGAAACAGGAAACTCACCAGGCATCACGGCAGTGAAGCCCTCAAGCTCCTCTCTTGCCATCCTATCGATAGCATACTTGTTGTTCATATGATGTATCTTTTTGAACTGACCACCACTCGCGGTTGGAATATCAGGCAAACTACTAAACACAAAATGCTGAACATGGCACTCTTTCGCAGCAGAAATGATGTGACGGCCAGCTTCGATCTCGTGCTGCAATTCCGACTCTTCGGTCAGGAATCTACCGGGGTATCGTTCACTGGTGAGGGCGAAGAGACCGTATGCGCCTTCAAAGGCGGTGCGCAGGCTTTTCTCGTCGTAGACATAGCCAGTCACCAGAGTAAGACGGTTGTCGGCGGTTTGGTATTTTGAAAGAAGATTCTGTGCTTTGGGTGAGTTGGCATCTTGGGTAAGAGCTCGGACAGACCATCGGCTATCATTCAGCAATGCCTCGACAACGCCGGATCCTTGTAGACCTGTGGCGCCAATAACGACTATGATCTGTTTTGACTGAGTAGATGCCATGATTTTGGGAAAGAGTATGACGAGATTGGAATATGAAAGTTCTTAGATAGAGTTCTTTGTGATGTTAGAACCCGGGTGAGACTGTCAAGAGCTGCATCTTATCATTTATTTTCTTCCGCCGTCCGAGCAGTAACGTTAGCATTCTAAAATTATCTCTATGGATTACAAACCAGTTCTAATGTTATGTAGAGTTGTACATCCTTCAAGCGGAGCGACTTACCATCCTATTGGCCATCCTAGTAGTTATCCTAGTGGTACACACGTTATGTACATCAGAGTGATACTCTTGATTTCTAATCCCCTTCCAGGGGGAGGAAGCCCAGGTTTCACGGATTTAACCTCAGATAGACCGTTCTACAATCTTACCGAGGTCGAGGACCGTTCATCACAGGTCCACATCTATACGCCTAGTAATGCATGTTTGCAGATGATCTAGAAATGGCTGCCATCCAGAGACTACTGCTAACGCAACAGACGCAAGTCCAAGTAGCGGTCGGCCGAGACAAAGGATCAGACCAAGATAATCCTGAAACAAGATTTTAACTGGTAGACTTTCACGGTAACTGAAACATGCTGCTAACCTGTACCAGATTCCAGCTTATAGTCACAAACCACTTTATCGTGAAATCTCGGCTCGACAAGACTTTAAGCTCAACACCGATTGTGAGGGAGCGCAATCGTGCATAGACCCGATTACACAAGAAGCTTTAGCCACGCTACTGCTGATCAAAAATTCATGAATAATAGAGTGGTTTCCCAGCATAAAGTGTTACAAAGAATGACCTCGCCTCATTCTGCAACTCTGGATTGCTTTACTCTTAATCGTGCCACTCCCGCGTAGACTAAATACCTAGGACAGTCGCCATTTCGAAGAGACTAATTAGTCTGTACAAGGAATTGCTTGCAGATGGAAAGTGCAGTGCGTAAGTAGGCCGGATTAATGCAAGTTAGCAGGGAAATATCTGTTCGTTTTAATTTATAATTTAATTTTATTAGCTTCTTCCTGTATCCCAGTCTTATGTTTACTTATTTACCCGACAAGCCCTTGCAACTACGATCTAAATGCCTTTTCAAGTTGCACGAGCGAGAAAACGTCTTTCCACAGGCCTTACATACTGGACGAGTCATGTCAATTCCCAAAGTCAGAGCTTCTGCCGGATGGTGAACCTTTATATGCTCTCTTAACTCTCGTTTGTATGGATGTCCCTTGAAACACAAGTGGCACACTTCGGGCCTCAAAATCTGGCGAGAATCGCGACTGAGGTAAGAACAAGTTAGCCTTTCTTCCTGCAATGGCTTCTACAACATACCTCATAGTTCGAAGCGGTGACTTCTTCCCCCTGGTAGCCTTTCTCCTTTGCGCTAGTGACGCTCGGTTTATGGAAGTTGATGGAGAGGATGTCGGAATTGTTGCAGAAGTTGAAGATGAGTATTGATGGGCAGAACTAGAAGAAGATATTTTATCCCGCATGTAGTTCAGCTCTGGCGAGTGCCATAAAGTGGGAGATCGTGTGATGCAAGGTGGAATAATAGTGCTCTCGAAGCCGGGTGATAGTGATGAAACATCAGAAAATATTGCGTGATCCATGCTATCTTGCGACGAACCAAGCACATCAGATACAATCAGCTCGTCAAAGGTAGGCGGAAAGGGTGTGTTTTGGAAAGGACTGTTATCTGCTCGGCTCGTTACGTCGGCTAGAAAGTCAGGGTATGTTTCATCAGGTAGGTACCCATCGCATGCTACAGTAAGACCTGATACTGGATCTCCCATAGTTAATGCCATGTCGTCTGATGGTTGGTATGAGTCACAGAGGGAGAGGTCCATCTCAGGGCGTATGAATCCAAATGGATCATTCAGGTCCATAATAAGTGACATATCCTCGTCGGACAGATTGTACTGCCACTCAGCGTCCATTGTGAGTGTAGACTTGCTGATCCTTAGTTCGGGTGGTGATTTAAATTCGTACTTATGGTAGACCGCTTTCTGCGGTAGAGGTAGATGTTGTAGGTAAGCTGAATAGTTGCGTTGTGTGAAATTGTGGAAGCTGTTGGGGTTGTAAGATAATTCTAAGTAATCCTCGACGGTCGTATGGGTGACGGGACGAGTGATTGGACACCTTTTAATGACATAATCCGGGTCCTCAATCTATTGAATCCAAAGCTAAAGTCAGTGAGGAAGTTCCCCAGGAAGCCGCGCTCTTGCCGAGTCGCAACACGTACCTGCTGAGTCGATATTCATTGAATTGAAATAGCATTCTCTTTCCTCACTCCCCCCCGAAGACCAACGCGACGCATTGCTGAACGTCTCTCGGTCTCAGTTACGGATCCCAAACAGAAGGTGTATAGGGCATCGGAAGAGCCGGCGAGGTTCCGTAGCGAAGTGCTACCCTCTTGGACCGTCGATGACATGATACAAGAACTATCTCTTTGTAATCAAAAACTGAAATGTTGAGATATCCGCGATGCTCGGAGTCTACTAGTCCTTTGTGCAGGGTCCTATATAGCACGGCCATGTTAGTGATTATCGCGTGGGTAGAAACAACAAACAAAACCTTACCAATGTTTTGGTGAAAGCAAGGTCTGTAGATAGCATGATAGCTCTTCAGTCTTAACGGCATGGAATATTGGTTGTGCCTGGAAGCACTGTTACAATGATTGACAACTGACAATACTTCCAGGCACAAAGGCTGAAGTTGCCGTAGAGACAACCTCCAATTGGAGTATGTTGAAGAAAAGGGATGAATGAATCGAGCTACCTAGAGGTGGTCCTCCCCTAGAAATGACTCCCTGCTCTCCAAGCTGTT